CTTTAGAAGTCGTATCATGATAGACAACCCTAATACTGTCAGATTCTTTTTTCATACGTAAACCAGTCTTCATGACTAGTAGTACAAGGATTCTTTATTAGACTTTGTTGTCTATTAATACATGTATTTCATATAGCATAGTGAAACAGTATTCAGTTTCGCTTTTCGAACGTTTCAAGCGTAATAAGCTGTTATTTCAGCGTATTATTCTTTAATTGAAAATGTTAGTAAATCCATACTAATTCTTTAACTCTTCAAAGAACTCTATAACTAGGAACTGCAGTAATATTACGATTATCTAAAATAGGTAATGCTATAACGTAATGTTTTTCTTAATGGACATTGTTATAAGATATACAATTTCTCCTTTCACTTTAAGGAGCAATAATTCAAAATATTACTCTGTCACATTGAGGAATCGACCTTTCCAAAATAAATAATACTTGGCCTAAATTTTTTGTTTTACTCTTTTCAAACCTAAAAGAGGTAAACCATTTGTAAAAGTAACGTAATTTATGATTCGAATTGAAAATGTCAACTTTCCTTTTGTCTCTAAGCGATTCAGTAAATATCATCATATGGTCCAATTATCATTTCGAAAATATACTTTCTACCTCAAAAAATAAAATGTATTTTTGGAACAACAACCGAATGATATCATGGATTTAAAGAGCTCATAAATAAAGTAGTGATTCATTAGCTATCTCTAATTGACATACAATACATTCGATTTTTGCAACAAGAATACCTATAGTTTAAAAAAAAAGTCATTCCCTTTCCTTTAAGAGACATGAAATATTTAAAAAACCATTTGAGCCAAAAAAGGGAAAAAAACTTGTGACAAAAAAAGGAAAATTTGGCTCAACTTAAAATAGATTTCGATCAATACTAAACGCTAAGCTGACATTCAATTACAGAATTAGTAAGGGGAAAGATACGATTTAAGGTCGTTAAACGATGTCATAAAGGATTATTTCTAATCGTTCAAAATATTAAAATATATTATATCATTTAAATTTAATTGAATATAAAACCTTCAAAAGTTCTAACAACAAAATACGATTTGGGCTTTGCGCACGAAAGAAACTTATTAATATTAACCTTTTAATAAAATTGCATAAAAATACATACCTTTTTTTCTTCGTCACTCTTTTGCCTTTGGTTGCATTGAATTTAGCCCTAAAAATAAAAATAATTAAATAATTAAATAGTCTTAAAAACTTAACCAAAGCATCCTAAACTATTCAACAGCAACACCCGAAAAAAGCTTTCCATTAAGAACCGGTCAATATTTACAGGACAAATACAACGCCTAGTTTGTCAAGAAAAAATCTAGCAAGGACAAAATCGTTAAAAGGAGAGCTAGGCACGATATTTAACGAGTTTTCTTGCAGTATTTTTACTGTCGGAGTGTAATTGATAAGCGAATCGAAAAATTGATGGTGAAGTTTATTGATTATTTCATTACTCCACGTATACACAAACAAGTTCCAATAAAGTGATGCTTTATACGTTTCATATAGCCGTAAGTAATTATGTCTCATAGTAAGAACATGAAAGAAATAATTATGCTTCCAATGAAAAGGATATTAAATGAACATTTCCTATTAAATCTTAAAAAAATTAACTAAAAATTTGCACATTTTGTTAAAATAGTGACTAAGCAATGTTCAGAATAAGACTAAAAGGAAGATTGATTAACCAACCTTTCTTTTATGAATGTAAGCTAATCTTTAGAAAGCAATAAACCAAATGAGATATTAAATGTAAACAAGTCATTGAAATTTCGTTCTAAATCACAGTAAAGGAGTGAAGTACGGAATACTTTTTCGTTGCTTTTAGTATGTATATTATTTAGCGAAATAGAGCTATTGTAATTTCGAACTTTCCTGTCATAATGACATCTAAGGCGATATGCATGGTATAAAATAGTCAAGCGATAGAAACGTCAATCTAATAGACATTATTGTAATCTGGCTATCCGATGCTTCAGTTAATCACTTTCGGGTTATAAATCAACTTTAATTTATGGATGAATCAACGAATAAAGTTTAATGTTAAATTTAATTTAAATTAAAGTGCACATGAATGAAATTTTAAATTAGCAGAGAATACATATTTAAAGTATATCATTCATTGGGAAAGCAACTCTTAAACTAATCTTTCCTCTTCATGCATACGAAAATAACACTATTAGTGTTTACCCTAAGAACTTCATCTATATACTGCCGCAAAAATGCTTCTATGTAACATTACCTTTCAAAATATTCGTACAAGTCGCTTAAAATATCCGTACATGACAATGGTGCAGAGTCAGCCATTAAAATAATTCTTCAAACGAAAAATTTCCCTAACTACAACAAAACTATGCTGACTAATCTTCAGGCGTCTAATTTAACCGAAAGCCCTTCGGTTTTTTCGACGCCAATTACGATACAGTATACATACAGAGCCATCTATAGATCTAAAAAATGCCATCTGGGGTACTATTTTATACAAAAAAAAAGCTTAATAGCTTACATTTGAGCTATGAATATACATAAGTTATTTTCGAACGAATCAGTAATATCTATATGTATGAAAATGGCGCAAAAATTAAGAGATGAATACATACTAAAGACTTTATTCAAAGTGAATTTCGTACATTTTTCAATATTGAAGAGATCTAATTGAAGGACCTCTTCATAAGTATGTATTTACAACAAAAAGACTGCGCTTTCTAAAGAATGTTTTCACTATCTCCCTCTTAAAATACGTACACAAATCTTAAAAGAGAGCTATACAAACAATTAGCGATCTTCAATTAGATAATAGTATAAAAGCAAATTTTAGAGAATGGAAAGTTTCGAATTTCGGTTAATTTGTCTAATACTTACAATAATTCTTCTTTTTCCTTTTTTTTTCGATCAATTTCCATTTGTTTTGTTCTTGATGGTCTATACAAGTATTTCCTTTTACCCTTACATTCGTAAGTATAATGACCTTTTTCCAAGCATTTTTGACAGCGAACGTTAGTAACATCTTCTCTGTGGGCGATAATACAAATGTAAGCCATAAAATTAGTTCGATTTGTCAAATTGGGTTAACAAAAAAGGTTTTTCTAAAAGTATTATATAGAATACAAACTCTTCTTTTCTAAAAGCAGGTTTTCTTGTCAGAGACATCTTTACTTCACTTTTAATTTGACGGCGCCGATCTCCACAAAGAGCGAACTTTGCGAGACAACAAAATATACCACAGTTGATGTTCGTAAATGGCACATTAAATTAACAGAAAAATATAAGACAATGTTCTTACTTTAATTATTAATATTTATTAAATAATTAGTCTATTTATAGTTTAAAAAATTATACGAAGATATACAAGTCGCTATGGAATGCGCCAACTAGTGGCGTATTTGAAAATTAATAAAACAAAATTCGGTTTTTCAACAATTTATAGATAATCGTAACAAAGTGATAATGACAACTGTAGAGTGATGCATGGTAAGCAATTTTATTCTGTTAAATTATCTTGTTAATAAAATCTGTTGTCATAGAGCCTTTAATATAAATGTTTACGTTCTATTTACTTGATTCCATGAGATTGACACGGTGGTAGTTTTTCATTGGATGTACTCTTTTTAATAAGTTTTTATATAAAATCACGACACAATAATATATATAAATGAGACATATAACTAATAATTTAGTCATTTCTTTCAAATTTTTAACAAAAAGTAGCTTTTATATGTGTTTTGTTTTTTTTTGGAGGACTAGAAAATTTTCATTACAAACATACATACGTAAATTATTTAATTATAACTTATAACTAATTAAATATTATGGACATTTTTTCTTTTAAAAAACTGAAAGCAAGTTTATGCTATTAATAATTTCATTTAACATGTTTTTTCAAATGAAATAGTTTCTTTCATTGTTGTAAATGCTTTTTAAGAAGAGATATTAAGACATGAAAGCTAGCTTGAAAGATATATATTCTTTTTTATATTGTTTTACATATGTAGAAAATATTGCCTTAGGTTAGACAATTTATAGAAATAAATTATAAGTATAAATAAATTTTCTTCCCTTTTCTCCTATCAGTATTCATTGAAAGATAAGCATTTGCAAATATTAATAATTTCAATTGTTACTTTATTAAAGAAAAACTAAAGAAGCATTTTTGATACTATCCCAATTTTTTAGACGTGTATCGCTTCTTAACGCTGCGGTTTTGTTTTTATTCCCTTGTCCTTATTATGGAATCCTTTGTAAACTGTTGATGATACAGTACAATACTCTTAGCAATTAATTATAACATGTTTTTCCCTATTTCTCAGGGAATAAATCCCTTTCTCTTTTTTTCTGCCTACACTTTGATAGGCGACTGCATACTGAACAAACGTTCACACTTTTTATAGGGTCTTTACAAGATTTAACTGCATTGTAGCTTCAGTAAATAAGTAATTAGTTTGCAAATACTAGTAAGTATCTATTATACTTTTCACCTATATTTATCGATTCTGAGCATTTGAAGCCTTTGAAACTCTTTCTGTTTTGATTTTAGTTATTGCGTCATACATGAAATAAACTATTCAAAGCTTCTCATTTTTCCTAGCATGGAACTCACCTTCAAAAGTGATTATACAGATTACGTTTTATTTATAGGCTTGAAGTAATGCTTTTCAAAAAAGAGGCGATTTATCGATTTATCTTTAGCATCGTACAAACTCGAAACTAAGTATACCTGTACTGTTCTATTGATTACATATATATATATATATATATATATATGTGTATATATAAGATATCTGCGTACGAAAGGGAGAGTAAGACAGAAGTATCATATATATTAGAATATTTATTATGTAAGTGTTTGTGTATTAATATAAATATGTATATTTATTTAGATATGTAGTATGCTAAAAAACTGCAGCACAAATTATAAATAACAATCAACTGTAATCTTTGCCAGACTGCAAATGAAGGAACACGTAGAGAATCCGGTTGAGTATTTAATATGACTTCGATAGGAGCTCGCCAAATTGGACTGATTGCCGCAGGTTCGCAACCGTGGAACAGGGATGTTTGCTCAGCATCAAATTCAAGATTTGCATACTGTGCAACATTAGCCGTATATGTATATTCTAGAAATAAACATGGAGATGGTCATGTTCTTGAGAGCATCGTTGCTGAGCATAAAAAGACTATTACTGCTCTTTCTTGGAGTCCACTTAAACCACATCTTTTAGCAACCGTCGGAGCTGATAATACTGCATTTGTTTGGAACGCCGAGACCCAAAAAGTGGAACACAAAACTGAAAATCTACGATACATTCCCCAATGTATAGCATGGCCTTTTCATATGGCTGATACACTTTCTTTGGGTGGATCGAAAGGGCCAATATTGTTGTGGAACCTCAATGAAGAATCTAAGAAATTAGCATTATTACCTTATAGCCAAAACTTTCAAAGTGAAATAACTCATATGCGATGGAACAAACTAAACGAAGGCCGATTAGCAATTGGCCATGTAAATGGATCTTTGTCTATAATAGATAAAGTAAATAAACCTAGAAAGCATTGTTGGACGCCTGAGAACTGTATTGACGAAGAAACCGGAATAGCCTGTCTAGAATGGGATCCACACAGTCCCGATTATCTTCTCGTAGCTCATAGAAGTGGAGCTGGTATACATTTGGTAAATATATTATGCGTTATTTATTGTTAGTAAAATATTTTTTATACTGTATATGTGCAATAGATATATAGCAACTGCTTTTTTATCTGTTTAATATTTTCTTAATAGTTCACGTAGATTTAAATAGTCAGTTTTATTTTATCTTATTTATAGAAAGTGAGAGAAGATATCGGCCTAAATCTTAAGTAGAAGCATAAATAGACGATATTATATTTTGCCACAAGTTCAATAATTATACTTAGTTCATAGAGACTGTTAGGGTTAAACGAGATTAAGCTATAACCTTCGATTTTTAATCTCAACAGATCGATTCAAATTCTTTGTCCCCGATCACCCGATTTGAGTTACCCTCTGCTGCGGCATCTATCCAATGTATGGTATGGGTCACTTCTGGACCTGGTCTATTTCTTACAGGAGACGCCCACTCAGGCGTTTTAAGAGTCTGGAGTGTAGCCAAAAATACTCCTATTCATAGTTTAAAAGTAAAGAATACTGCATTTCATTCTCTCGCCATCCTCCCCGATTTGACGAGAAGGAAAGAGGAGGCTCCTTCACTAGCCTCTAATTTTGCATTACCTCCTGCTCAGGTCGTATGCTGTTTTTTAGACGGCGGAGTCGGTGTGTACGAAGTAGCCAGGAGAAAATGGAATTGGTTAAGAGATCAAGGGCATGTAGAAACGATATTCGATTGCAAAATGGCCCCATCAGGAGAACACTTGGCAACTGCTTCATTTGATGGAACCCTTAAGATATGGGATATCCATTCCTTAGAGCCTGTTACAACGTCAACAGGAAATGAAGGTATAATATATAGCATTGATTGGGCCCCTGGTGAGTCGGGTTACATAGTGGCAGGTATATTACAAATCATAAAAGAATGTTGAAAATTAAATTTATTAAACAACAATAAATTATTAATAGGTACCGCAAAAAATGGTGTTCTTGTATGGGATTCGATAAAGAAACGTCTGTCAAAACGTTTTAAGGAACATAGGAGCTCCGCTGTATATTGCGTTGCTTGGAATCAAATTGATTCCAAGATGATTGCATCAGCCGGTGCTGATAGGCAATGTGTTATAAGGAATATTGATGGTTCACCTGTGAAAATATATCAACATCCTGCCCCAGTGTTCGGTGTCTCGTGGTCAACGACTTCAAGAGATATTTTGGCTACCGGTTGTGAAGATTCAATCATTAGAGTATTCTATCTAACGACTCAAGGAGATCAACCATTGAAAACATTCTATGGTCACTCGGCAAAAGCCTTTCACGTGCGATGGTCACCTCTTAGAGAAGGAATTATAGCCTCAGGCTCCGATGACTGCACGTAAGTATCATATACTCTAATAAATTCGATATCATATACTGATTATACTGTATATATACTTTTTACATAGCGTGAGAGTATGGGATTATGGGGAGGAAAGTTGTATAAATACTCTTAAAGGTCATAGAGCACCGGTTCGCGGTCTTTTGTGGAATACGGAATTGGCTCATATCTTAATATCTGGTAGCTGGGATGCCTCAATAAAGTAAGTTTGAGAAAGAAAATAAAATGCACTTTTAATCATCTTCCCCTTTAATCTCTCTCAAAAGAATATGGGACATAAGAGATGGTAGCTGCATAGGTGAAGTTTTGGATCACGGCGCTGACGTCTATGGTATAACTTCGCATTCAAAAAGGCCTTTCGTATTGGCCTCTTGTAGCCGAGATTCAACTATTCGATTATGGAGTTTAATTCCTATTGTATCCAACGTACAATTATCGATTTTGGCTAATCGACCATTCTCAGAAATATTTGCTCCAACTGGTTAGTATTGATAATTTAACAATATAAATTGAAATAAATATCTTTATCTCTTTTTTTCTATGCTATTTAAAAACTTTGCTTTTTTTTATTTTCCACAAAAATTTCACTATTTTTAATTCAGTTAAACAAAAAGGTAAGAGAAAAAAGAAGCTTTTTTTTTTTAAAAAAACAAACTAAGAGCCCTTTTAGCTAATATAGAGTTAGCTGTGTAGTTTAAAATAGGTCGAATAGAAAAAAAGATATTAATAAATTTTCTTTATTCTAATATTATCTGAGCTACTTTTTTTTTTAATTATACAGTATACTAAAAATTTCCCTTTATAAGACATCTTAGCATCAACGTTGACTATTAGCAACGAATGATTTCTCTCATTAACATCGAAGACTTTGAATTATATTTATTATTTCTTTCAACCAAATTCATTAAATAAAATAAGAATAAGAAATAATTTCACACACACCTTAACTACAGTAACTAGTATTATTATTAGTTTTATCGTTGTCATTTGCACAAAAGGCACATATGTGTATAGAATTAGATTAAGAAGAAAGAAATTTTTGGCTAATCCTATTATAAATCTTTTTTTCTATATATAGCTTTTACACTTACTTATTCAAAAAAGAAAACAAACGCTTTCCCTTCTTTTGATTATTTAAGAAGTAGATTTCTCAGGGTTCATTTTATGCTAACAAAATGTTATATATTGTTTATTGAATATACAAGTTGATCGATAAATTTTTAGTAAAAAAGAAAAGAAAAGATAGGTCAATTATGTGTGTATTGTTCAAAAGACAATTTAACGATAGCTTTGTTTCAATTTAAATACTGTATTTCTCTTTCTTTGACGTTCTTTCTTCCTATACTAATATATACTGTTTATAGCTGTATATACCAATGTTGAAATATTAAAAAAATAACTAGCGAATGTTAATATCAAGTTACCATAGAAACTGACTAGATCCTGTTACTTTAGACATCAAAATCCTCCTTTCCTCTTTCCTATCCCAATCTTTCTATTTTGTTGGAATTGTATGCTTGTACTTTTTATTCACTTTTCTTTCTTGCTACTATCATACATACAAAGATTAAATGAGTATCAGCTGTTACTTACTATTGTTTTTTCTTATACTATGCAGAAGTGTCGTTGAATCCATCAGGACCCCCTTTACTTTGTGGCCCTCTATCACGTAAAATACGTGGTAATTTGGAGCAATCAAATAATTCAGAATCGTTAATAAGCTTTTCCCAATTATTCTCTTTACCTGGAGCGTATTCGAATATTTGGGATCTAACAGATGTTTTGAGGGGTGCTTCCTTGGATTCTCTATCCGGGGCCTATTCAAATGGTATTATACACTACTCTCACTTGGCTAGTATTAAATCTGCAAAGGCTCAGACTGCCGAGATACAACAAGGAGGAAAAAGCAGCTCCATTATTGCACCTAGTAAAGAAGATCAAATAAAATTGGCTGCCGAAGATCATCTTAGAGTTGGCAACATTCATCGTTACTGTGAATTATTAGTACAATTAAAACTCTGGGATAAAGCATTAGCCGTTGCACCTAGCGTTTCTTTAGATTACTGGCGTCAATTGGCGTCAAAGAGGGCTGATGAATTGCGTCGAGAGGAAGATGATGACTTTGTACCTATAGCCACAGCTTTGGCGGATGTAAACGGCTTAATAGACTATTATAATGAAAGAGGACAATTCGACAGAGGTTTCTGCATAGGTAAGTTTTTTTTTCCCGTTGTTCAAATGACCTTCACTTTCTATAGAATGTTCTTATTATAAATTAAAGCCGCGGCATCACACGATGGTTGGATTAAGAAACCCATTGCAACCAGAGGAAGCACTTTAAATGGCTACAAAGAATCAGAGGAAAATCCAGAAACATTTGCGTAAGTTAAAGTCACCTTTAAGTACAAAAGAAGCACTATAAAGCGTTCACTTTTTTCTATTGTAGCCTACTCAAAACGACAGCTAATAACCTTGCAGATCACTACTTGAAATCTGGTCAACCTGTCAAGGCCGCATGCTGCCATCTAGCTGTTGACGATTCAAAGGTATTCTAATGAGTATGATAGATGCCTTTCTTTCTCTCATATTAATTTATCAAAATAAACCTATATAGTCATCAATGCAAAAACTAATAAGAGGTAATGAATTGGAGCTTGCTTTATGTTTGTCGTCCTATTTACCGGATGTTACTGCCCAACGACAATTGGTTATTGAATTATTGGCTAGAAAATGTGAAAAGATAGCTCAATGGTATGTATTAATTATTCACTTTAATTGCATATATAATTGATAATGAAAAATGATAAAAAAGAAGCTAATTCACAAAGATATAATTCTTTCTAACTATCTTCTATATTGTTGTAAAAAATTTTTCTCACCATTTATTAACTCACTAAACTAATTAGGACTGAAACAGGAATATTTAATAGCAGGTTAAATATATACAGTATATATTATGTCTCTTCTTTATCTATTACTCTGTATGTTTCATTTTCATCGGATTGCATGAATATGATGAAACGATGGATGATTAATTAGGGGAGAATAAAACAAGCATGATATAATATTGTTAATTTTTCCTATGCATGAAAACAATAGGGTATTTTTTTGCTTGAATTTTGATTATGATAGATTTATATTTACTGCATATCTATAGTGTTTTTTTTTGTGACTATATTATTTATATAAAGCTACCTATCAATATATTTTTCTTCTCTCTCTTTATTGATAATTTAGCAATTGTGCCATCGATCTACTGAGGTTATTACCGGAAAATAACGACGCCCTATTTAAATTTCTTGCCAGACAGGCAGCAAGTATGGATGAAATAAACGATTTACATTCAAAGGTAATTTCAAACGTTTTAAGACGATGGAATTAAATTGTATAAAATAAATTTTCTCTTTTCAACTATATAAAAGGCTGGAATACCATTAATTGATGACTGCGAGATTATTGCCAGACAATATATGGAATCTGGTAGAATAAAGGATGCAATAAAATATTTTATAATAAGTAACAATGTTCAGCTTGGATTGGACTTAGGAATACATTTTATACAAGGTTGTTTTCTTGTATTAATTTACTATTTGCAAATATCTCAAGTAATATCATTATAATGCATTTGAACACAGAAAAAATAAAATCAGTCACATGGACAGTTGATGAAATATATGACATTGTAACCCTATTAAGCAGTATTAGAAGTGATAAATTGGGACATGAAAATCTTACCAAGTTAATATATTTCAATTAAACATTAATAATTTATTTAAATATTCTCTTTTTTATAGGCAAAGTGTTACTTTACAGATAATCAGCGCTTATTGCGGCACATTAATAGCTATAAGGCGGCAATATTGGAGTATAATATCACCATTATTTAAACTCGTTATGTTTGTAAAACTTTAATAAGTTTATAACTAAAACTGTCATGTTACTTTATGAAATATTACAGATATTTAATGACTAAGCATAATGATTTACAAATACCACTGAGTTTATCAAGAATTTCATCAGAATATGAAGCTTGGAAGGAAAATGAAGCAAACCTAAAAATCTGGTAAGCTAAAAATACAATATGCTAAATTATCCATTCAATGTAATTTTCTATATTACTCTCTATTAATTAGTCATAGTGTTCAGTCTTGTGGAGTATTGGAAGATCTTCTTCAGAGAGTTGGAGAAGAATGTTGGCCAGGTGGAATTGGAGGGGACTGCGTTTCAGGATCAAATTTACCTTCTCATTCGGATGTCTACTTCTCTCTACTGGACTCATCGAGGATCCAGGTTTTTATATTTTTTAATTAATAAACAATATTAAATATATTTAAAGAGAATATGATGTTAACACACTTTTTTTACTTTTCCTTTGCTAGGGTCCAGCGTTCATTTTAGATGACGGTAACTCTGCAATATCATTAAGCGATGCTCTAATGTGGGCAAAAGTGTGTGAGTTTTCACCTCTTGGTAGTGGGCTAAAGATAAATCCATTCTAAAAGCTTTATGAATCAGAAACTGTATTTATTTATCTCTCGCCACTAGTCGTTTCCAAAGTATCATGCTCAAAAATAAAACACTTTGTGCAAGAAACAGCCAGCATTTAAGCATATCTAGGAACATTAGACATGTGTAAGGAAAACTTAGGATAAGAAAAATATCATAAAATTTCCAAGTTATAGAGACTTTATGGGAAAAATAAATAAGACCAAAACATATGCGAGCCAACGCCCCATGATTCATAAGATATTATTAAGGTATTTACCTCGTAATCTCTGCTGTTTCCGAGTTAAGAAAGTTCCTTTCCTCTGCATAATTTTTATTGACTTCAATATTTTATATGAAAAATTACGACAAGATTTAAATGAAACCCATTTATCATTTACTTGGAAAAGCTATGCATTATAAGAGTACAATAATATAAATATACTTGAAAATAAAATGGGCCAAGTACAAAAAATGTATTTTCGTTACTCCATAGGATGATATTGAATAATACAACGGGACAAAGGTAAACATGTAAATGTAAAAGTTTTGGAATTCTTGATTATTCACAATACGAGAGCAAGAGTTTGAATGTTGTTAGCCTTTGTTCTGGGCCAATTTTGTTTTGTACGTTCTGTATTTACCAAAAGCCACATCGAACATTTTATTCAAGTGATCTAATAGCTTTAAATCGCTAACAGCGTGATTGGATAATTTATCTAGTAGAGGCTTCATTTTCATCTGTTGAAATTTCTCGAGGTTTTCTTTCATTTGATTTGCTCTGTTTCTTATAGGAGTAGAGTTTAAGGGAAAGCAAGCCCAAAAGTGTTTCAATAACTCATAGCCGGACTTGTATATAAGAATTACTTCTGATTTAATATCTTTCGGAATTAGATTCTCAGCGGCATTCTCTCGAGCAGCTACCCTACTGTTTGCTGCATTATCGAGGCTACTTAATACATTTAATGCTGTGTTAGATGCGTGTGAAACTCTCGGAAGTGAAAATTCGTAAGCTTGCTTATTTCTATAGAAATTATCTTGGGAAAATAAACTTGGATCCATATGATCCTCCAAAGCTTCATGAGCATAATGTAATCCACATAAATAGTGATCGGGTCTTTTTAATTTCAATCTTATGCCCTCTGCAGTTTCCTCTGTTGCCAAATCGGGTATTTTTGTTAATTCTTGGAGTTTTATGCGTTTCGCCGATGCGGCATCATCTAAAGGCCCTTCGGCTGGCCTCTTTGAATGATCGATGGGAGTGTTGGAAACCGCTGTTAAAACCATGGTCGAATGTTGATTTAGCCTTTTAATAAGTGGTGAAGGATCAGCTATCACTTTTTCATTTTGTCCGTAAGCTTCGTCGATATCTCTATCGTACATTGATCTCATATTAAGAACTGGATCGTTACTGCACTTTTCTTTGCACTTTTCAATTACTTCTTCGTCATTTTTCGAGCAATCAGAGAAAAAATCTTTACGAATATCTAAGCGTTCTTTATGAAAATAATAAGATTGGAAGAATTTATGCCAAAATTCTTCTTCTTTCATTACAGTTGGCACATTTTCCATATATTTTTTATAAACTGCTGGGTACGCGCGAAATATACTTTCAATAATATCTTTAGTCAGTTTATAATTTAGTTCGTTTGCTCCACTGGCCTCCGTTCTGACTAGAGAAAGAAAGTCGGGAGTAATGCCAACCTTTTGAGCTAGATTAATATTTTTCTTCTTTTTCTCGTCCATGAAAGTCCTAGCAAAAATATTTCTTGTCAATGTAATGTTTTATATATATTTAAGACTATCTATAAATCAATTAGCTGCAATTAACTTATATAAACAAAGAGAAGTTTTCCTATAAATCAAAAATCTTACCAAAATTCTTCAGCAGGCATTATACCAGTTACAACCAACTCTTTGTACAGTTGGAAAAGCTGTGGATCTTCTTGGAGAATGCGGTTCTTTTCTACTAGTTCAGAATTGACTTGTACTCTAAATTTAGGTAGCAATTGTTGAAGAAGCTCCTTTACTTCTTCACGGTCTTTCTTTTGAGCTTTTCTTCCAGCCGGATTATTGAAGTGAAATGTATTTGCTCCGGAATCATGAAGAACGATCTGCAATTGAACCTTTTCCTTCGCCTCGGGGGATATTTTTTGGACCTTAATATCAGCATAATTATGAGATATGTTGAAATTTCGTTTACTAGATTGCATCCACGCCATGCGTTCACTCATTAAGTATAGCTCTCCGTCCGTTTTTTTGTGTCTAACATGTTTTATTATTAAAAGAACGTCTTCGCTAGCTCTCGACATTTTTACAGTTTATCTAGATCCAATATTTGAAGGGAAAATTTAGAATTTTTTTCCGAGATATATCTTCTATGTCAACGTCCTTGACCGCTAAGTTTACATAGCAAAGTCCATAAACCGGACACTGTAATTAACTTTGAAAACAAGTGTAGTTACGAAAGTCTAGTTTTGCTTATTTTTAGCCTTTAAAAGTGGTAAGAACTGATTAAATTTAGTTTTGGTAATTATATATGTATACTTCAGATAAGCAACTGCCTTTAAGAGTAAAGAGCAAATGTGTTATTTGTAATGCTTTATTAAGAAACTATTTACAGTTCTTACTATAGAAGAAAGTATTGATAAACTTATTGAGAAGTACTAAAATAATAAAAAAATTACAGAGAAAGATTCATTCTGAATAGATTTTTTATATATTTTATTTGAAGGAAAAAAATCACGTAAGAAGGAAAAATTATTTGCTTTTTTTCAACAAGTTGTCTTCTTTCTTCTGCTTGAAAGAAAATTTCAGGGCGTAGAAACCTGCAGGAATATATATCTCTATACAAATATATATATATATATATACTGTATATATATTTATTTAGAATAAAGAAGTAATTAATAGAGAATAACTGCTACCTAATAATGTTAGAGCAAATATACCAAATAAAGTAGGTACAATTAAGCCATATAATTTATCTGGAAAATACGAATGTATAATACTGCTTTCGTGGACAAAAGGCTGTGTGATAAATAAGATTTCTAGTTATATTACATTTTAATATTTAAAAAGAAAACAAACTAGAATTATCATCCAAATTGTATAGTATGTAAATCCTAACGATGAAATACTTATTATCAAATAGCCGGCAGTCTGATCATTAACAATCATATTTACTTTTATATCATCACCTACGGAGTTAGTTGAATATGATCGACGTAAAGATTTTATTCCGTTTTTATAATAATTGTTTAAACATTGTCTATAAATTTAAGATGATTGTTTTGTTCAATTAGTTTTTATGCTATACCAAAAATTAGCGAAATATGATGTAAACCAGTTTTTCTTGGTAAATCAAATATAAATTTGTCCATCTTATATTCACTGTAAATAACTTATTTTTATTCATAAAAAATGCAATATAAAGACAAAAAAGCAGACAAAATACATTTTTTATAAGGTTAATGTTATTATTGAATGTTAAAAAGTTATATGTAGCTCGAAGATTCTGTTTTCATCGAAGATTAATTTAAAAAAAGCCTGGTTCCTTCAACTAGTAATTACTTTTTATACGAATTGCAACCCTCAATACTCCGCAATGAGTGAAGAAGGTTTTTTTCCTTGATTTTTATATCTTTTAGTATAGACTCATAATTTTTCAAGCTCTGTTACAACTCCATTAAACAAAAACTTAGTGATTTTCAATGCTATTTGACAAATAGCTACGATGTTGCAAATCATATGTTTGCGTCAGGTGAAACTTATTATCGCTCACATGACTAGTAATACTTTTACCTTTCAGATCTACCAGAGACTGTCACTCTATTAAAAGGACCTCATCAAAACACTGTCTATTTGATTGGTACGGCGCATTTTAGCGAAGAAAGTGAAAGAGATGTTATACAAACGATTCAGAAAGTTAAACCAGATGTCATCGTCCTAGAACTATGTGCAAGCAGACGGCATGTTCTGAGTATGGATAAAGAAACTTTATTAAAAGAAGCTTCAGAGCTAACTATAGCTAAAATTCGAATGATAATTAAGTCGAATGGCACTGTACCAGGACTGCTCCATATAGTACTATTATGGTTATCGGCTCATATAACCAAACAACTTGGAATGGCTCCAGGTGGAGAATTTCGAGCTGCTGTTGTTGCTGCTAACGAGCTGGAAAACGAATGCAGGATAATTTTGGGTGATAGACCTATAAATATTACTATCAGTCGTGCCTTAGCTGCCCTTAATTGGTGGCAACGACTTAAACTTTTAATAAGTGCTGTAACAAGTTCAAGAGAGGGCATTTCTAAAGAAGAAGTTGAACGTTGTAAGAAGAGCGATGTATTAGACGATTTGTTATTAGAAGCAGCAAAATCAATGCCACAGTTTACTCATGTTCTTCTAAATGAGAGAGATGAATACCTATCCACCAGCATAGCCAAAGCTTCATCTATCGCTAACGGTTCAATAGTTGCTGTTGTAGGCATTGGCCATGTAAAAGGCATAGTAAAAAATTGGTTGAAATATGACGATTGTAGTCATTTATTAAGGTAAGGAAACTAAGTGAAACATCTTCACTAAAAACCACATGAGAGGAAAAACTCAAGTTTTTCAAATTTTTCAGTATTCCAACGAGAGAGTCTTCGTTATTAAGCAAAACTTTGAAATGGACGTTATACCTTTCTTCAATAGCTGCCGTGATATTTACAGTAAAAAGAGTGGTTAATGGTAAAAAAATATTCAATTAATTCTTTTCATAAAAGAAAAAATTTGATTAAGATCTTGTACCTTTGTCTAAATAAATTACTCATTAAAATGGAAACTATATTAGCAGGTGACACTTCACTCAGAATATATATATATATATATATATATATATATATATATATATACAGTATATAAAAGTTTATATACGGTATATATATATATATTAATACAAACGTAATTCTTAATTTTCAGTATTTTTCTATCAATAGTTTCATTTTGACGTTAAATTTATATTCTTTTCTTGTCTAGTCAAATTTCAAATCAGATGTAGATTCTTCCACAATGTATAAATACTTTATATATTGTAACAATAACTTAAAACATTGCTCTAACTCCATTAGATCGTAAATTTTCTTGTCCATTTAACACAATCCTTTAAAAATTTTAGTTCCTTCTTTTCAGTTATTATATCAAATGCGATTAAAAGTTCATGCAAATTTGATTCAGCTACGCTAAATGTACCTCCGCATTTGCAGAATGTCATCATGTTATCCGCTTTTACACCTTTACATTTATCGCAAGCTAAATCACGTAACGCTGCCGCTTGATTCGAATTTTGTAAGGCAGTTATAAGCTGTAATTCTATTTGACCTACGTCGTACCCAGTTGAGCATACAATGCATATCCACTCGTCCTGACAAAGGTCCACGTCGCGAACATGTGAACAACTTGGACATAGCATTTCCGGAAGAATATACGAAACTTGATTTGCTATAAACTGAGCTTTTGAGCTGAACTCGTCTACGCTTATAAGGCGTAGTAAATCCGATTTTACATCTTCAATCGTCTCCGTTATATTTGAATCGAGCTGGAGTACATGGCAGAAGACGTTTACAAAGTCCAATGCAATCTTCTGATCGAATTTCTTATTTAACTTTTGTGTTATTAAGAGAAGTTCACTATACAAATTTTTCTTATTAGAAACGTCCTTAATAATCTTTCGACAAAACTCAGAAAGTTCATCTCCCGCTAAGTTTTCTTCTCGCATTTTCTCATGAATAGTCATCATGTAGCCTGCTATTAATGCATTAAAATTCCCACGGCAAGCTGTTTGCTCATGTAAATTATTGGCAATTTGAAAATTAATATCAACGCCAACATCTTCGTCTTCATCTACAGGTGCTCTTACCCCTCCATAATTAGCTGAGTTCATCCATAGCAAATAAAACCACGACTGTTTGTAAGTGAAATCTAATAAGTGATAAAGGGGTCTCGAACGAATGGTATTTGATACATAATCAATGTGTGATAAGGCATCTTCTAACTTGTTCTTTTTTGAACAAAGAATTAATCTATTCAGGGAAGCATAAATGACCTGGCAACCAAGTTTCTTTAGTTCATTCACTAATTGCATTAGTACTTTTTTCATTAATGAATGTAAGGTTCTCTTCAGAGCTGGTTCATAAAGCAGACCGGAGGAACTTCGTATCCATCTGTAGAAGTGAACTATTTGGGAATCAGCAAGGATATTTTTATAAGCTGTAACATCTCTTATCCAACCATGGACCATTGATTTTAAGACACGAAAAGCTGCTGATACCAGAGCAGTTTCATCATAAGACGATAATACACTTCCACCACTTATAATATCATCTATGGATGTTTGAGGTAGAATGTCGAAGCTGACAGCACTTGCACCTTCGAAATCATGGACTCTTGATGATTCAACAACAGTGTTAATTGCCATTGAGGACATATCAAGATCAACACAAATTGTTGAATAAGCATTTGCATTATTGATTTCAAATACACTAGAATCATCATTCGAAGAAAACAGCAGATTTTGGTCAACCTCTTTCCCTCCTAAATCGGGTTTGTCGGTTGGTGAACACCATAAAACATGTCCATGTTTATGTAGATACCGTGCGAAGAAGATATCACAGCCAAACAGTATAACATCTTTAGGAAGATTGCCCACTGGTACATGAAGATATCTAGCCTGCTCCAGCATTCCATATAATATTGGTTGAACGTTGAGAAAATGTTGTAACATTCGTCGGGATCCAACCCTTTGCCAATCAAGAAGAGAGTATAAATTGTCACCATCAGCTATATGAACGGGAACTAAAGGAAATTTATCAAATTCCGGCATATAAGTTTTTAGTTCGTTTAGATTTAGTCTAGTTTGAACAGCCACATAAGTTGCACCTCTCTTTTCATCTCTATATGCAGAAAGATGACGCTGAAGAGCTCTGTATACTATTTTTTCCTCTTTTTCAACTCTGATTTCAAAGGAAAAACCATCAGGAGGTAGCATATTATCATCAATTTTGTCTAATTTACATTGTCTTTCATTCGAGTACATAGTATTTAAATTTGGCATTTGATTAGTTCTTACAGTATCTGTAACGTAAATAAAAGCTTTTTTCGTTATTGGATAAAAAAGTCCATAAAAATTCTTTGATCCACAATTATGCTGATAGAAATAAATATAACGGATATTATCTTCTAAATATGTAAACTGAGCCAATGTTCCAGATTCGAATTGATTAAGTTCAAATGTATCAGGCGTTTCCTTAGCGTTCAGTATGCCAGCAGCTTTTCTTGTTACTCTACAAACGCATCCTAATTTCAAATATGTCCTAAAAAGTAGAGGAACTTGGGTTTCGTACACCCCTTCGACATCTGGATTAGCTAAATCCTCGGTTATTTCGTCAATATGTTTTTGATAAACGTCTTCCGGAACTGTATATTCGTACAAGTGATAAACAGGCTGAGATCTCGGTAATATAAGGTGCGTCTTCCTCCACATTGCTCCTTCCTGAGCTTCCTTTGCGTGCCTTTGATTTACATAAAAGATCCTTGGAACGTTGAGCTTTATCGAATGTAAATCGTTATTGATCAGCATCCATAATTTAAAGAGTCCTGTTAACGAGAAGGAAAAATGAATAACTTTCTCAAATATTTCTAAAAAAGCTTAAAGTACTTATTAAAATGAACTAAAATAAGAATATTTATTATAAATTAAATTAGTATCATAGCAAAACGCCCCTGGTTGAGCAGTTTCAGCAATTTGTATGATTTGCCACGGTTGGTAGAGAAGTGTGTTTTGCTGCCATCGAAGAAAACTCCCAATATTAGCATTTGTAGGTTTGATAGGTTGAGGGACGTAGTCAGCATCTTTTCGACTTCTTTTCGCCTTATATTGCTTTTGGCGTAATTGATAAGACCATTTTTTCTTTTGGAATTCTACCCACTTGACTCTTTCTTCTTTTGTTGGGCCCCATGCTGGAGGTAGTCCTAAAGCTTGTTTCCAATTCATTGATAGATCTTCCTTTTCAGAAGATCGTCTTCTCTTCTGAATGTTAACAGATCTCTGTTGTAAATCTTCAATATCCTGTAAGACTCGACTTTTTGGCGCCACTTCGAACAGTTCATTAATTCTTTTTTGTTTAAACACGTCATTCTTCTCCAAAAGCTTCTTATGCAACCAATCTGGATGAGGTACCCTTGAAACAGGGTTATTTAATCCTTGCAGAGCAGCGGGGATAGTTATAATTTTTTGAACGCAACTACCAAATCTTTCGATATAATATTCCCAATCAAGAATATTTCTTATATCAAAATCTGTTAAGGATGGACTCTTTAGCCATTTTTTCAAATAATGTTTCTTCACAGATGGTTCAGATTGGAAAATAGCTAAGGGAATAGCTCTTTCTGTTACTGGAGCTCCCTCAGGTTTCTTAGAAATAACAAATTTACATGCTAAGCCCGCGTCTTTAACCATTTGATCTCCTAGGAACTAAATAATTCAAAATTTCAATTTTTTTAAGAGTTGATGTCTAATTAATGTTCACAAACCTCTGCTAGTCTCTTAGCCGTACTAATAGATGTACTCTTCTGAGAGCCGTAATCTTCCAATTTCCTAGACATACTACGATTTTCAGATATAAGGTCAAATAATTCTGAATCTGGCATATTTGCAGCTTTGGAGAACAATACGTCTAACCAATAATCAGCGACAGTTGAAACCGATTCATAACATTCTTGGAGCGTACTTCCCTTCAAAAATGCTTCGAATACTGATGATTGAAAGATCTTGATCAACTGTAATTCCCCTCTTCTTTTTACCTAAAAAATTCAATTATTTGAAAAACTCATTTTTTGCTAGTAGACATCTTTACAAACCTCAAAACCCTTAAGTTCAGCCAGAGAACCATCAAAATTAAAAACTGCATATCTTTTCTTTAATTTCTTTCCTTCCTCTTTACTAGCCGGTAGGATCATTGACAAATAAGGTCCGTCGACCTAGTGAATAAGTCATCAATGCTGTAATGTAATCAACTTATTCTTCAAGAAACAAATGAATATTTACCTCGAAAAATATTGAGTTTTCCTGTTGAACAGTGTAAGTTCTGTTCTCCGCATCAATTAATTTATGATATTGGTCATTTGTAAAGCTGTCCTTGACCATAACATTTAACATAGCACCTGGATAAGAGATAGCTACTTTTGACTTTTTTTCGTTTGTTGTCCTGATTTCATAATTTTCTGGAAAGGACGCCGGCAAACAACACCAAATACCATCAGTGTCTAATTCCAATGGTCTACCTATTTGTTCGACAATTTCTCTCGCCTGAGTAATAATAGAGGCTCCTGTGTAGCAAACAACACCAGCCATTTCCATACTGAACCATCTTGCTCCTTTTCTCATTACATATCCATAGAAACTGTTTAGAATACACTTATGAGCTAACTGTAAAGAGTCATACAAAACTATCATTCCGTTCGCCCTTTTAATTTCATCCGGATTGCCCTGCTTTTCGGCCTCAGCTAACTTTCTTTTCCAAGTTTTAACAAGCCCTTTAAATTGATATCTTCTATCTCTAAAAGCCCGAACTGTATCAACGTAGAAAGAATTCTCTCTTTGGCATATCGTTGTTGTTTTCTCTGTTTCCTTAGTTACATTTACTCTTTTATATGCCTTCCTGCAGTATTCTGATAATCTCTTTTTCTCTTCTGCGGCTTGTTCTTCTTTATTTAATTCATGAAAAGGACGGGGAGGGCCTCCAGGAATAGCTGGTGGAAATTTTTCGTTTTCCAATTGCTGCTGAATTCTGTGATACTCATTCTTTGTTGCAGGCATATATTCCCCTCTCCAAGTCCAAGTTAATTGCCTTTGGCAAGTTTCACCTGGTTTATTGAAATCGCAAGACGCACATGTGGCTTCATCAACCATAGCTGATGGTTGTAGACGATTCGTTAAAATAATATTTGGGTACATAGCCCCCACATCTAAATGGTAAATTAGCGGCTTCTCCAATCGATTAGGCGTGTCTCTTAAATTTTGTAACTTCTCTTCAATATCCTTGCACACTTCATCAAAGTTTGTAACCGTATCGAGCGGTATTTTCTCTTCTTCCTCAATTGCATGTCTTAATGTTCTGGGAACGGCTTCGATTAATTTCCTAAATGCATCGGGAACCATACGAAATCTACAAGGTAGATCTGCACGAAAGACTCCAGATTCTATGGCTTCTACGTGACCTCCGACGTAAGTTTCTGAATTGAGAATATGTCCATCATTAGTCATCTTGTTAAGCTCTTGTTCGTGTTTGTTTGGGTAGATAATATTCGCATGATATGCCTGTACCATTAATAAAGTCTCACAAAGCGTTCCAGTTCCTTTTCTCAAAACTTCATCAGGTTCCATTGGGACAATTGTACAAACAGCAAAAATGAATGGATGAACGTATTTCATATATAAGTAATATGTTGCCACAGCATCTGAAACTGAGTAATTTGCAAGAACATGAGGTTGCTCCGTTGCCATCCTACACATTTCTTCAGGATCCAATTCAACTGGATCATATCGAAGTTTGGCCTTTGCCACAGCTTTCAAACCTTGACTACCAACAGGGAGATAAGAGTCACGTTTAACCCATCTCAGTGCATCCATATGTATGCACGGTCTAGATTTATATTCCCCTTGAGCATCCTTCTGAAAACCTAATTCGCGGTACATGTCCATTTCGTGGAAAGCAGCCCGTGTTTCTAAAAATGGCCAGTCAAACATATCCCCGTTGTAAGTGACAAATATATTTGGTTTTACATCAATAATGTGATTAAAGAAACGTTCTATCGCTTCCCGTTCGTTAGCTTCATTAAAAACAATAAAATTTCCTTCAAACTCCGGTTTTGGAGTAAATTCAAAATCTTCGACATCCTTTGATACAATTTCTCGATTACAAATCAAATATCCTATAAAAAACAAGTTTTTAGATAAAATTCTTACATTAGATCAACTGTAGAATATATTACCTTGGGTGTCAATCATATAAGAAATCATCATTATCTGATCTGTTGATGCATCAGGAAACTTTAATGGTAATTTCGTTGTTTCCAAATCAAAAGCTAGAACGACCGGATCAGGTCGATCTACGAGGTCAGATTTGGGTACAATGTCAGGAGGTGATAGTCCGTGACCTCTTACTGAATACCACAAACCAACTGTTATTTTATTATCAATAGAAACTCTTATGTGATACGGCACATCGTATTCTCTTATATCTATCATGTTCTCATATTGATCTGCAACTTTCTGAACATTATCTTGGTCTTGGTTATTTAGACAGCTATATATTTCATTTGCTTTTTCCTTTTCTTTGTTCTTACGAACGGCTGCAAGTACGTCTCTACGAACTCTCATAAGTTCTTCAACCGAATCAAAGCTTAGTTTTATATATAATCTTTTAATACCACTTAAGTGATTCTTTAAATCTAGATCTTCTTTTTCAATTAAATCTAAAGTAGCTATTTTTCCAACATATTTTTTTGCTAAAAATGCTAAAACTTCTCTCTCTGTTTCAGGCTTACAACCTAAATAAAAATATGGCCTACAAGGTAGAGAAACTTTAAAACGCTTTCCATCTTCTTCTAGAAAATAATAGTCAACAGCAGATACCAATTTTTTATCCTCATTAATTATATCAGAAGGATGAATGTTAATTAGCCAGCCAATTCTTTCGAACGATTCAACGTGTTTTGGATAGCCAAATTTTTCATCGAGTTCATCGTTTTGCTGCGCTCTTCGAAGACGCTTATCCCGAGCATCACTTTTATCGTTGTTATCTTGATTTGCCTGGATAAGTTTTTGCCCTTTACGTATCATTTTTCATTTAAAAAAGTCAGTTTTCTCTCTTGTTATTCACTGATTAGGAAAGCGCGCAAAATTTACGCACCCACAGCGTTAAAATCTTCAGCGTTTAAGATTAAATAGTAAAATACCTAATAGCTGAATCGTATTACGCTCTTTTACGACTAAATAAATATTCTTAAACACTTTGATTTCAGTTTTTTAATATCATAAATCTTAAAATCTATTTTTTAATAGTATGGGAAGTGAAAGTTTGTTTGCAGAACGTATTACCAAAGATTACCTAAAGTTTATACCATTGGCTAAATAAATAGTTCGGACAAATAACATCACGTGACTTAAAATGAAATATTCGACTGTCTAGTGTTTTAGAAGTTATAGTAGAGAGATTGTTGTTCATTATCCACATATTTAAATAATCTTCAAAGCCACATATATCGTAATTAAAATTAAGCGCAATTCAAGTGTATTGCCGTTCAGTAATTATAGTTGATGAACTTTTAAATATTTTACTTGAAGATAATATTATCTATTTTAAATTTAAAGAGAAATATCTCTCTCAAGTAATTAAAATTGCTAAAAAAAAAAGCTTGTGGATGAGAAACGTGAAAAATACGCTTTGCTAGAGAATTTTAAAATTTATAAATTCTTTTAATTTTTGATCATTCCATACTAAAAAATTTTATAGTTACTTTATTTGAAAATCATTTATTACAATAAGTTTTTTAAGAGAATATATGAAGTTTAATGACTATAATAATTTCCTGCCATTTGTGGACTACGAAATACTGAATGCAATTTTGGAACTGATTTCGGTTGTTAGCGATATTGAATCGCCGATCTCCGTTTGACTAACGCATTTGGATTCCTTATATTAACAATGTAAGTTTTAATATTTCTTTGAAATTCATATACGATTTAGAAATAGCTTGTTCTATCACATAGTAAAATTGAATATTAATACTAATGGCTAAATGAGCGATAATGTAATGCAGTAAAACACGATGTTTGATATCTGTTTAAATGTGAAAGCTGATTTTTTTATAAGTGTTACTTTGTTTCATCTAGTACGAAATCAGTTGATCAATCAGTTATGTCTTCTCAAGAAAAAAGTGGAATAACAGTTGACCAAATTCACCAAGATGCATTGCTTCAGGTATTTTTTTATACATATATAAAACTTTCTTTTTTAAAGATATTATCATTTAAAATTTTCTATTAGATTGCCACCCAATACTGGTTGCCAGGAGGCGATTCAAGAAAGCCTTTTGATTCAGACATTGTTGAAAAAATCTATGAAAATGAAATAATCGGATCAGGGTAAATTTTTGCTATAAATTGTTTCTGATTAAATTATTTATTAAAATACGATTTTTAACTTTCTCTAGATTTTCATCGAGACGATGTATGATGTTGGAATTCAGTCAATATCTAGAAAAATTTCTTTGGCCTCATTTTGATACAGAAAAGGTAAAATGTAGCGTCATTTTGACTCATTAAAATGTATAACTAACATGGTCTTTATACTGATCAGTCCTCGAATGAACATTTAATTTCTATAATTGCTATGGTTAATGAAAAATTTCGGGAAAGAGTACCCGCATGGGAGGTATGAAGAGCTAAAATTAATGCTGTTTTATTTACTTAACAGAAGTTTTTAACTTTTAGCCCTTTAAACGTAATCCAGAAAATTTTGAGGGGTTTATGAGAAGAGCATATGAACTGAGTTTAAATGAAAATTTATCACCTAAAGTTCAAACTGTTATTTTAATTTTTCTGATACACGCATTCAATAGTCTTGTAAGTTTTTTCACATTATCAAATTAATATCCATGTTTAATAAATTCTACGCTATTTAATTACATTTTAGGAAGTCGATCTCATTAGAGAGCAAATACAGCGAGTCGTTAAACTATCTATTTGGAAGAATTTACAAGAAGTAAGATTTTATTATTAATCGAGAAATTTGTTATTTATAAAATTATTTTAGAATCGCCTTGAAGAAATTTTTGAACAACACGCAGTTTATAAAAAACATTGGAATGCGATTCAGAAAAAGGATGCTAAATTGGATGAAAAAGAAAAGAAAAACGTTGACTTTGACAGATCCTTTCTTTTTAATCATGTTGAGAAGTTCCTAAACATTCTTAATAGTTTTCCTAAGAAAGGTAGCATATGATACTTATATTCGTTCATGTATCATTTACTTATTATGTTTTTTTAAATGAATAGGAGAAATTGATTTGGATAAATTACACTATTGCGAAAGATTCCTAGAATTTCTGATTGATCTTGAATCCCAGTTACCAACAAGAAGATTTTTTAATACTTTATTGAACGACAATCACTTTGTTACAAAATGTAATTTATCCCGATTAGTTAGGTGTGAAGAGGGGAAGCTATTTACTCAATTATTAGATATGTTGACGTTTTACGTGTCGTTTGAAATTAATGATCACACTGGTGAAGCATTAAAGGAGAGTGAAATGATTGATATACACTATAACAGAGTTGTGCGGTTACAGGTACTGTATTTCTTTGAAATGGTATTCTTTAATGAATTTATTTCTTCTCTGTTAGAAAGCAGCCTTTAAACACTTTCAAGAACTACGCGATTTTTCGATGTGTAATGTATCTCAAGTTCACGACAGAGAAAATCTGTTAAGCCATTTGAAACCATTATCGTAAGTTCATTGTGTTACAGTTTTATTTGGAATGAAATTTTCATATTATTTTAGTGCCTTTTTTCTCATTTTAATCTATTTATACAGAAATAAGAAATTACACGAAATAGCTTCTTTCTTAAACTTAATTCCTCCTCCCAAAGAAGAAGAAGAAGAAAAAGAGCAATTTAAAACAAAAATACTACTGGAAATTCTTGTTAGTTAAACATTCATATTATTTTTTTTATACAATAAGTTTTTCTTTTTTATATTTTCAAGGTTTCTTATCATGAAAGAAGAAGATCTCAATTGGATATGCTTAACGAACTACCACTTTATCCTACTGAACAGATAATTTGGGACGAAAATATTGTTCCTATGCAATATTATAATGGCGATGGTTTGTTTAAGTTTATAAAATTTTGACATGTTTTTATGGAAGCAATCCTTACAGCTTGCCTAGCTTTACCAAAGTTGAATTTACAATTTTTGACTCTACATGACTATTTGCTCAGAAATTTTCATCTATTCCGATTGGAGTCAACTTATGAAATTCGACAAGATATTGAATCGGCTGTCAGCCGTATGAAACCTTGGAAATCCGAGGATGGCAGCGCCCATTTCGGAGGATGGTCAAGGATGGCGCTTCCCTTGGAGTCGTTTGTTGTAGTCGAGGTTGCTAAGCCAAATATTGGAGAAAATCATCCATCAAGAGTTCGAGCTGACATAACAGTCAATCTTGCTCTTAAACAGGATGTTAAAAGCGAATGGGAAAGTAAGAAAATATACTTTTTAGTTTAAAAAAACTCTAATCTTGAATCTCTTTATAAAAGAATTGAGGAAGCACGACGTTGCACTTTTGCTAACAATAAGACCTACCCAACCAATTGGTACCCAATACGATTTCAAAGCACCGTTTATACCTCAAGTTGGTCTTGTTTACGTGAGAGGTTGTGAAGTTGAAGGTCTTCTTGATGAAAATGGTCGTATTCTTGAAGAAGGATTAGACAGCAAACCTAACTATACTGATTCGAAGAGATCATTTCGGGTGAAATTAGACCCTAATCAGTACCAGCAGGATATAACAGCAACCCTTGAAGAGGGAGCCGATGATGTTTATGAATCATTTAATGTAATTTTGAGAAGAAAGCCAAAGGAAAATAATTTTAAAGCTGTTCTTGAAACAATTCGAAGTTTAATGAATACTGAATGCGTTGTACCAGACTGGTTGCATGATATAATTTTGGGATATGGGGATCCTGGATCAGCACACTATTCAAAGTATATTTTGTAAATTAAATATTTTATTTTAATCTAATTGCTATGTTTCAATTTGCAGATTATCAGACTTCATAGAAAAACTGGATTGGAAAGACACTTTTTTAAGTTTCGATCACTTAAAAGCATCTTTTCCGGATCATAAAATTACCTTCAAAGACGATGCATCAGAAAATGATATAAGTCCTCCTTTCAAGTTTGTATTTTGTTAGAAAATAAAACTAAAAAAAAGCTATTTCTTTGCTTTCCAATAGATTAACTTTTCCGAGACGTGACCCTTCAGCTGAAAGACCTGCTAAAAGATCAAAAAGAAAGACTAACACTAATGACGATGATATAAAAGAACTTGTTGTTGAGCCATATACACCTCTTAATCAAGGACCATATCCGTACAATAAACCAAAGAGGTACATCACTTTCTCAAATATCAATCTATTGTGATAATTAATGAATTCTCATAACAGTAACCAGGTTCGGTTTACACCGACTCAAGTAGAAGCTATCAAATCTGGAATGCAACCTGGGTTAACTATCGTTGTTGGTCCACCTGGTACAGGTAAAACCGATGTTGCTGTACAAATCATCTCAAATATCTATCATAATTGCCCAAATCAACGGACACTAATAGTTACTCATTCTAATCAGGTATGGAATAATATACTTAGACATTAATTACATGAGTATTGAATTTTCTGCCTGTTTGCGCTTTAGGCTCTGAATCAACTCTTTGAGAAAATTATGGCATTAGATATTGATGAACGCCATCTCTTACGTTTAGGTCATGGTGAAGAGTCTTTAGAAACTGATAAGGACTTTAGTCGCTACGGGCGAGTTAACTATGTATTGGCAAAACGAATTGAACTGTTAGAGGAAGTTGAAAGATTACAAAAAAGCTTGGAAGTTCCCGGAGATGTTGCGTACACTTGCGAGACTGCTGGTCATTTTTACCTCTACCATGTCTACTCTCGATGGGAGGTGTTTTTAGATAAGATTAGGAAAGCTCAAGTAAATTGAATTTTTTTATTAACGAAATTGAATTCGTTTTATTGATATTTTTTATTTTAATAGGAAAAAACCCCAGAAAAAATAATAGAATATTTCCCTTATCACAAATATTTCTCTAACGCTCCCCAACCACTCTTTAAAGGTGTGAACTTTGAAGATGATATGAATATTGCAGAGGGTTGTTTTAGGCATATCCGTAAACTATTTCAGCAGTTAGAGGTAGTACTTAATATTTTTTTATATCACAATGACAAGGTTGATAATCGTTTTTTTTTAAATAGGAGTTCCAAGCTTTTGAATTATTACGAACAGGCACAGAAAGAGCAAGATATTTATTAATAAAAGAAGCAAAAATAATTGCTATGACTTGCACTCATGCCGCCTTAAAACGATTTGACTTAACAAAAGCTGGATTTCAATTTGATAATATACTTATGGAAGAAGCTGCTCAGATTTTGGAAATCGAAACATTTATTCCTCTCTTATTACAAGTAGGGAAATTATTTACATTTACATAATGATGCATTAATAAATTCTTTCCATTCAAGAACCCTGAACACGGTCATAATAGACTGAAAAGATGGATAATGATCGGGGATCATCATCAGTTGCCACCTGTTATTAAAAATATGGCTTTTCAAAAATTTTCCAATATGGAGCAGTCACTTTTCTCAAGATTAGTTCGTTTAGGTGTTCCAACTGTGGATCTTGATGCTCAAGGCAGAGCTCGCTCATCGTAAGTATCCCAAATTATATATACTGTATATATATATATATATATATATCTATTCTAAACATGTCTATTTCCAGAATATCGTCCCTATATAAGTGGAGATACAAAAAATTATCCGATCTTCCTCATGTTCATCAGCACCCAGAATTTTCCCTCGCGAATTCTGGTTTCTGTTTTGATTATCAAGTAATAAACGTAGAAGATTTTCAAGATGTCGGTGAAACAGAGCCGAACCCCTTCTTTTATCAAAATTTGGGTGAAGCGGAATATCTTGTTGCATTATATATGTATATGCGATTACAAGGATATCCAGCAGAAAAAATCACCATTTTGACAACTTACAATGGTCAAAAGCATTTAATCCGTGATGTAATAAAACAGCGTTGTGAAGGAAATCCTCTATTTGGCTTACCATCTAAGGTGACAACAGTGGATAGATATCAGGGACAACAGAATGATTATATTCTATTATCTTTGGTTAAAACTAGGAATGTTGGTCATATAAGGTGAAATTGTTTTTTAAATTTGTTGATATTGTTAAAGCTTGTTTACTATCTTTAACAGAGACGTTCGCCGTTTAGTTGTGGCAATGTCGAGAGCTAGACTGGGTTTATATATATTTGCTCGTGTTGGACTCTTTCAAAACTGTTTTGAACTAACTCCAGCATTTAATATTGTAAGTAAAAAACTATAACAAGTCTTTATTTATTAAATTGAAATTGAATTTTAATGTCTTATTATAAAGCTTTTGAAAAGACCAACTCAGTTACATCTCGCTCCATCTGAAAAATATCCATCAGATCGAAAGAATAACGAAAAACCACCTGGAGATATATTTGTTGTTCAAGATCTTACCCAATTGGCTAATTACGTTGTCGAACTATATAAACATAGAGTTAGAGAGCATAGTATTCAAATGGTTAGTGTATTTGGTAATTAAAGTAAAACTTGAATTATTTTTACATGCTTCTTTCTTTCAAAATAAAGCAATCCCAACGGCAAGTGCAAAATACGAATGTCGCTGAAGTTCAGAAGATTGATGAAGAAGAGACGAAAAAAGAAGACAATCCAACAACTGAAACGACGATAGACAACGATGCCGACCGACACGACAAATGAATAATTCAAGTATAAAGTATTCTTAAGTAAATTCACATTTTCGTCTTGTAAATTAATATAGTACTGTTTTTCCATTCTATCATTTTCTTATTTGTGGAACTTTCTATTGTTTGTACATAACTCTGCAACTATATATTCAGTTTACAAATATATTTACAGATCTAATAAAATATCGCATTCTTCATTTCTATATGTAGGCTTTTACAAAACTGTACCATTATTGAAAATATAACAGGGATTTCAGAAATTTTTAAAGTATACGATATTTTTAATTTTAATAAGAATTTTCTTTATTTAGGAAAGTTTTCTTTTTCAAAATAGTTTCAGTAGTTCTATATTGAGTATATTTTAACACAACCGTGTTGATTATAAAGCATGGCGACCTTCACAAATATTTTAAAATTCTCTTCTAATATCTTTAAGGTAAAATTTAATAGACTTTTCTATTATTGTTTGATTTATGTATTTATAATTTATTTTAATTGTCTTATATATAATGTTTAACAATATTTAGTTATCTAAATAAATTTGTTTTATTGTGTTTATACTTGTTTTATCGCTCATTATCAAAACATGTTTCTTTTAACTTTAGAATGCTACTTTACCTTATCAATATTGCGGTCGACGATTTCTCAGAAGGTAATAATTGTTTAATTAATGTTAGCTTTTAGTATAAAAATCTATGATGTTTCGACATAGGCCGAGGGATAGAAAACCACCCGCTGTCACAGCATGGGCAAAACCACTCATAGAATTTAAAAAAGAAAGAGAGTTATCTAAAGAAAATCAAGAAGAACCTGCAAAATTGCATGTTGTCTATCGAGTTAAGCCGCTAAGACATAGGCCATGGTGGGAAAAAAGAATAATTGAAAAGTTTAATTTAAAGGAGAAAGTAAGTAAAATGTAGATCGTCTCCAGTATACTCTAACAACTTTAAATATTTTTACACTTACAGTGCAATAAACCTGTTGTCGTTATGAATACGCCCGAAAATAATAAACTATTAAAAGAAGTTAAGCATCTATTAGTTATTCAGCCTTTAAAACTTCCACAAGGTTTACCAGAGGACGATAACTTACTTTCTCAAATGACCTTAAAGTCAAATGGGGAATTAATATATATGCCTCGGCCTGAGGCAGGTAATTCACTATCAGAAGATTCTCAGAAAAAGAGAATAACAGGACACTTCTTGAAGACCTATCACCGCCGACTAATGGACATGAAACTAGTGCATAAAGACTATTTTCCAGCCGTATACGATTTTCCCATGAAAGTTGATAAAGTATCGGAATTGGAGAGGAAGCGACAGAAGGAAATTCTTAGTTGGTGGCAGTGAAATTATCTTGATAGAGGCGTACCGAAGTGAAGGGCGTGGCTCAAGTGGTTGTTAAAACCTCTTTCTTTTTCTGTACATTTGCTGATTGAAGATGACGAAATACAGAATTTTTGAGTGCAACATAGATGTAACAGATATACATTGTTTGTTTTATAGATAGAGCATAAGTAATCACAATCCATCTAAATTCATAATTAGATGTTTATTAGAAAACTTCAATCTATACTTGATGTTTTCGAAACTAATGCGTAGAAATTCTTCTACTCCATCTAATATGCTATTGACGGATAAGAGTCGGATGTCTATTATAATCATATCGACCAAAAGAAATTCTATTAAGTGAATATAAGTAAATTACCTATTATAGTACTCTTTTAAAACTGAAGATTTATCTTTATCCGTTTACATATAATATAACATATACTATATATAAAGATATGTTTATATACACTCTTCCTTTTTATATATACATGCCACTATATAATATCACGTATGTGTGCCATTCTGTATGCACAGTTTACTGTGTACATATATGGTATTAATTAAAATATAGTGTGACTTTAAGCCTAAAGAATGAGAGAAATACAGAAAAAGAGATAAAAGCAATTGCTAAAAATTGATGGAGAGAAAAAAACAGGTACTCTGATTTAATTTAAGAAATTCATCAGCCATTTCTATTGGCATTGTTTATGCCTTTATTAACTTGGGAAACACATATGGAAAGCGTGTAAAATTTCAAAAGTACATCAGTTTCATTAGCGTTTTTATCAAGGTTACTATCGGTCAAAGGCATTAAAACTGTTTGAATGTTTCATTTCTTGTCTCTAATTTCTCCGTCAAATTAGACTAAGCAGTTTAAATAGTTTATTACACGCCTTTGATATACTTTTGTCCTGATTTCCCTTTCAATTGCGAGCTCACTACGTGGGAAAGGACAGGCGAGGAATTTTCATAGATGGCGCCATGCCGGCAGGTTGATGGTGAAAACTTCATAGGTTGAGAAATGACGAACAAGACTACTTTTAGCTCAAATGGCACAAATTTCTTGGAAGAATTATCATCGGCATATAGGATACTAATTACAGCATTTTTATTCCTAATTGCTGTTGTGTCTATCTTTACGAACAGTTTAGTTATTTTGGCAATAGTTACACTAAAACGATTACGCAATATTACATCGGTTTTTCTCATAAATTTGGCAATTGGAGATTTATTAACGGGGATTGTCGCCGTACCAATTTCTTTATCAATTGTAATAAAGCAACATAATTTTTCACAGGTAAATTTTAAAATATCTAGAAAAAAACTAAAAATACTATAAATTGCAAAAGGAGAAAGGAAAAAAAAAAGAAATAAAAGTATAATTAATTCAATATTTCAACTAAAATATCATAATTAAACCCGAAAATCTATAAAAATAGCTTTTTAGTATATAACTAATTATTAGAATAATTATTTAATAATTGAGAAAAGGATTTATTATATTCAAATAAAACTGTATGTTCTCTCTCTCTCTCTTTTTTTTTTATTTTACTTACTCTGCATTGCACTAAAATACTGTAGATAGCCTAAAAATAACTTTTAAAAACAAAATAGCAAGTATATCCTCTTACTAATTAAACAGTGTTTATCTAAAATTAATTAACTTATCTTAACACATATTTCCTTAATATTATTATTAGTCTTAATATTGTTAATTTGTTAATTTTATTTCAATGTTTCTTTGTTTTTAATATTGTTTCTATGCTCAATTTATTGGACATATTCTGCCAATTTAGCTACTAGTAGTATTTTAACAAAAGACACTGTATATTAGATATATGGACTTTAAGCTTCTACTATTCACATCTTTACACTTTTTTCCTTGTGTAGATTAGGGTTTAACAAATGTTTTTGTTATTTGTCCAAAATTCAGCCTACACGGGTTCATTGTCTGCTAATAATATTAATCATAGGTGAGGAGAATGATTTATTAAGAAGGGTTTAAATGAGATAACGCGTTCCATAATTCTGGGTTAGTAGCTTAATTAACGAAGAAGTAATTATTATACAAAAAATACAGCACCTTAATATTATAGGGAATATTATTAAAGACACTGTAAAGATGGATTATTATATAAAATAAGTAAAGTATTTTTATTATATTTAAATTATAGGTAGGAAAACCAAACGTTTACCTAATTAACCACATAAAAAATTCACCATTGCACTCCGCCTCCCTTCCCGAATTCCATCCTTTGTTTATTATCCTGAAAGGATTCTATCTAAAGCTAAAAAAATTTCTTTTTTTATCCTTTATCCTCAGTCATTTTCTGTCTCACATCCCTCTGTCTATCTCTCTCTTTTTTCTCTCTCTCTCTCGCTCTTGTATCTTTGCCCTTCTATACACTAATATGAATATTTTCTTTTAACTATTCCTAGAAATAAATGAACTGGATGTCTATGTTAATTTTCTATATAAAAACATTTTAGTAAATTATGATTTAAAGGTGTTATTCTACATATTTTGACAATGGACTGTCAAAGGTGTAATCTAAACTTACTAAGTGCACATATTTCAACTTTCCCTATGAGATACTTGGTAATCTTTTCAATAGGCAACAATAAAAATTGTGTTACTCTTCCTGTAGAGGATGCAGCAGTTCATTCTATGTGCAACAACAAATTCCTATTAAGGAGGAGAGTATAGAATATATGTATGATATCTATACATTCAGAGTATAGTTCTTTTCTTATTGTAAACTTTTATAATAGACTTATTCCATTTTCTTCCAGTTTTCGATTTCTCTGTTTTATCAACTATCATCTATATAGATTTTTTTGTTAAGCTCTATATTAGCAGGGTTTATCCTTCAAGTGATTAAAACATCTTAAGAATACCTATAAAAGCTAAAAAACCGCTTTTTAAGTTCTCTTGTTAATAATGTCTTAAGAGCTAACAAGTGACTTTTCAGGAAAAAAAATACATGACAAACGCTAATAGAAACGTTTCAAATTTCATCTAAAGCGTAAAAAGAGATGTTGTCTGAAGCCCGATTTTTCTAATTTGACTTTTTTTTTTGCACACAATACAACCAGATAAAAGTAAAAAAATAAAATAAAACAACCTTTCGACATCGTCCATACAATCCATAATTTTTGCTAGGAATAGATAAGGAAAAAAAAACACGGTATATGGGATCGCTTTGAAAATAAAGCATAAAAAAAAAACAGAAAAGAAAGAGCGCACTATACATTAAATGAGGATGACAGGATAAAAGATAGTTTCTTTGTTATACTTCTTTCTCTTTCTATTTTTGTTTTCTTTTTTGAGAAAGAGGGAGGGAATGAAATTCGACATCTTCCGCACCTGTCTATGTCACATTGCTTTTTTTCTTTTTTAATCATGTACCATAATTAATTATTTAATTATTTAAATAGTGTTTTTTTGCTGTTTTCTTTTCTGTTTATCGAAAATTACTAATTATAAGGAAAAAATTTTATAATTTTTATAATAATAGTTAAAAAGTTATTAATTAACCTAATTTAAAAAAATTAAAAGTTATTAATTTGGAAATTGAATTGATTATGATAATAGAATAATCTTTGAGGGAAAGGGCGCAGACAACAAAGGAAACTCCTTAATTCAATTGACACTTAATACTAATATTTTGACCTTTAATATTTCGATTAATTAATTAAAATTAGCTTATAATGTATCCAATTATATATATAGTAATAAGCTGAAAGTGGTGTATCCATTTAAATGACGTTAACCTCCATTTTATGTCATGTATTAGTTTTTACAGTATACTGTATATACTATATACAGATTCTTTTCTCTATTAGAATGCCTGTACTTTCGTCTTCCTTCTAACGAATCTGCCGGAACTATCAAGTCTTTTGTGGTTAGCCTGCATTTCATTCGATAGATATCATGCGGTCATTCACTGTTTCGAACACTCCAGTCAATCAAATTCTCGCTACGCTCTTAAGCTGATTGTTTGGACATGGGGTCAAGCTTTCTTAGTAACTATTGTACCACTATTTGGCTGGGCTGATATCGAAATGGTCGACTGGAGATTAGGATGTGATGTTGTATGGAAAAAGAGTAAATCCTATTCAATTTTTTATTTCGCTTCTTGTTATATGCTACCTCTTTCTATGATGATTTATTGTTATATAAGAATAATAGTAATTGCTAGAAATCACGCAAGAAGAATTGGAGATGTGAATACGAGAATACTTGTAACTGCGCCAACAAATAACGAAAGTAAAGTTGATGGCGAAAATTTATCCAGTATTTCTGGTGTTTCTCATTCCTATCAAAATATCAAGGGGAAATCTACCACTACTGTTAGACTTGTAGGATTATTAGTAGCATTTCTGTTACTATGGACACCGTCTTTTTACTCTAAGTTAGACGAAAGTCTTTCCGAAAGTGAAATTAGTAGGATTACCAAGATTATTGGCTGTTTTGCAAAAATGATAACTCTTTTGTCAGCTAGTGTAAATCCATTGATTTACGCTTTAGGTTCGAGGAAATTTCGCCGAACTTTACGCCAAAAATTCCGCAAAAAGAAGCTTGCAAAGAGAGGCAAATCAAATATGAACTTATCAATTATTTATACAGAACAATTGGAGAGGAGAGGTGAATTAATGAGAAAAGAAAAATTAGCCTTGGATGAAAGGTTGCCAATGCATATTATTGAAAATCAAGAACTGCAGATAGATAGCATGAAAGATATTAGGACTCTTGGATCTTTGACTTCCACATCCGGCAAGAGAAGTGGAACAACAGAAACTGCATTATAGCTTGAAGAAGAGAAAAAAGGTTATTAGCAAAAGCTTTTTCTCTTCACGAAGAAGATACTCTTGAAAAAGAAGCAAAGAAACGTTAAATATTTTCTCTTGAAAGAACAAAGTAAACTGCAAAACAAAACTGGAAAACAAACAAAAAAAAGACAGATTTCTTATTCAATCTGCTAATTCTTAATTCATTTAAATATTTCAATTAGGTAAATCTTCACAAATATAGAATATAGTATTATCTTTACAAATAATCTATAAGATGTATCAGCATGTCTATCTATTAACACACGTTACTTTTCTAATGGAGCTGTAACTTATACCCTTTCTTATTACTGACCAAATAAGTCAAAACAAATACTAGATGGCGTTGATTTAATGATATAAATTCGAAAAACCTGAAGTTAAAACAGAGAAAAAAGTATATTTAAGAAAATTCTTTACATTTTATATATATCAATTATAGTTTCAAGGCAACTTCTCAAATCATAGTCATAAGTTCCAATGTCAAATTTACCAACTTTTTTGAAATAATTCAAACCTCTGCCAATTTTAATTTTCCATCCATTGTTAAGTCTATTAATAAACATAAAATAAAATGCAAGATTAAGGCAATGCTGTATATTTAAGAGTGTTTGTATATACTAACGTTATTTCTCGATCATGTAAAGTTTCCGAAAAGCTTATCTCTAATTCAATAGAATACTTTTTCAAATTTTCCTTAATTAAGCCTAACTTTTTTTGTTGATCTTCCTTAATATTACTATCATTCTATTTAAAACATATATATGCAAATAAGATTAACATACAACGAAATTAAACGTTGATGCTAATGGAATATTAACCTGATCATAGCTTGTTATCAATTTTATTACTTTAACTTTTGCTTCCGATTTTATGATTGTTTCGCAGAATCTCAAAAAATTTAGGATCTAAAAATAGAATAAAAGAAATTTTTTAGTAAGAATAATTTGGTTAAATGATACAAAGAAAAAAAAAAGGATGAGAATTTTTTTTTTTAACCTTTTAAAAAAAAATATCTATATAAAAACAAGTTTTTCTCTTTTTCAAGTTCTTTTTTCTTTAAAAAAAAAACTATATATTTATAAAAAAAACGCTTGGTGTTCTTTTTTTTTTGTCTATGTATTTCTCTTTTTACTTTGTATACTCTTCCTCTCCTATTTTTATTGTTTTCTAAAATTATATCATTCTTAGTCGGTTCTCTCTTTCATTTGTTCCTTCCTTCATTCCCTTTCTCCTTTCCAGTGTAAATACAAATAGACTTATGAGGGAAATGAAATTGAAGAAACACGTCTGAATGAAAATTGTGGGTGTGGAAAATTATCTCTAGTTTACCTGGTGATGATTCCTTATATATGGATCTTCTACGATTACCTCTGTTACCGACATTGTTAAATATTTACCAAATATCTTTTCGTATCCAAAGCCAGTATCATCGTCTTTTATATAAATGTGCGTGACTTCATCTATATTTGCTTTTGTATGAAATATCATCTTTGTAAAAAAAGAAAACAACAAACTATTTTTTAATGATTCTTCTTGTTTAATTACTTCTTTTAATTTTTCGGCTCTCGCCATATAATTTGATATTTTTTCTCTATAGTATTGTTTCTTTTTTTCTTCATTTACGACTGAAAATATAAAGTTCTCTAGTTGGTACTGTCAATCTGTTTAACAACTTGATTCTTACTTTTCATGACTTGCAATAGAAGATCTAAACCTTCTTGATAGCATACAAGGGCATCTGAATATCTTTTATCATTGTCAAGTTCAACAGCTCTTTTTAAAACTGAGGCAGCTGATGACTGGACTCCAGAAAGTTTATCAGCCATTGTTACTGCGATTATAATGATCCAAGCGTAATTTTATATATTTTTAATCTAGTACTTTTTTGCTTAATATTCATAAGAAAGAAACTTGATAAGATAAGCTCTAATTTTTTAAAATTGTAACAGTCAATTTTATCGAGAGAAGAAATTTCTAAAATGCCCAGTGTTTGCCTATTCACTATTATTAAATAGCATTTTTCAGCTTGAATAGGTCTTATATCACGTGGTAAAAAAAAACCATGTCACATGATCAATCACATGACAAATATATGCGGGGATTATGAAAAGAGGAGAAAAGTATAAAATTCTTCTCATATTTCAAGAAATAAACAATCATCTTATTTCTTCATAAAGAAAATTATTTAATAGCTTCTACTGATAAGAACTCTCCACAATTGATTTAGAGAATACCTATTTCAAAACTATTAAATGAGGAGAGCATAAGAAAATGACCCTATGCAGAAAGTTTTAAAATTAGTTGAGGGATATAAATAATAGTCCCACCAGGTGGAAGGGAAGTGATGGAATGAGGATCGAGGGATGAAGGAAGGTAGAAAAAATGTTTTAAAGGTAGTTAGTTATTGGAATATGAGAATTAATTGAATATAACTGACATAGAAACAATATATCATCTTTGACATATCATTTTAAAGATTAACTATGTTCTTTAAATATTCGTATAAAAAGCCTTGTCTTCGGCCTATTATTAAAGTTATTTAAACTCTTAAAGTAATCGATTAAAAAGAAAGTAAGTCAATAAAATGATGAAATATAAAACAAACAAAACAATACATATAGTCTCTCTCTTTTATCTTTCTTTAATCTAATTACAAATGATATAATTAACGAATTATTCAGTTTTTCAATCAAATATTTACTTAATTATTCCTTTTTATTACGGAAGAATAGCTTTTAGGTTTCTTTATATCCTTTTAAAATGAAATAGTAAAATTTGAATATGTCTTTTATTCTCTCTTTCTACTATTTAAAGAATTGAAAATGTTCTTGCACTGATAGCAAAATAAGAGAAAGAGAATATAATATGGGAAAGGAAAATGGAAGACAATCAACGACTGGAAAAAGGGTTTAAAATGAATTCAATTTGAAATATATTCATATTATATACAGTAAATCCTTTCTTAATTTTAATAGGCACGTTTTTATCAATATTTAACAAAATTCTGCAGTTTTAATAAACCGCAATACACCTAATGAACAATTTTTCAGTTAGGTGAAAGTTTTAAGAAATTGAGAACGTTTGCTTATAAACTATTAAAATATAGTTAGTCTGCATTTTCTCTAGTTTCATCTTCTTCTCCCTCGTCTACTGTATCTACAGGCTTCTTCTTTTTTCTTCTCCTTTTCTTTTCCTGTAAACATAACTCAGAATTATATTGAAAATCTCTAACAGTAGTAGGGGGAGTACTTACTGGATTGGCTGCTGGTAATGGAGGTAGAGCTCCTGGTTTTGTATACGATGGAGGTAAATGATAACCTTTTCCTGTTGAAGTAAGACCGTCTTCGTTATCTCTCTCTTCTTGTTCATTTACAGTTTCTGTTTTAATAATCGGATTTTTCATTGGTTCATTTGCAGGATCTCTTTTCGAGATTTCAACCGACTTCTCAGCAGGACATATTGCAGGTAATTTACAACAAGTACAACATTCGGGGCATTCACCCTTAATGCACAATACCACAATCAAAATAACTATTCCTGCCACTAACAAAACGCTCCCAAGAACTATAAGAAGGATAATCCACCATTTAAGACCACTGTCATCCTCCGAAGGTGCTTCCTTTAGATTGAGAATCTGAATAACCTTTTTAATAGTCTGTCCAATCTCAGCAACACACTCATATTTTCCAAAGTCTGCCTTAGAAAGTTTGTCAATAACGTAGGTCGTTGAGTTGATTGTCTTATTTGTAACAATCGACGCTTTAGTTGGTTCAGGAGTAGTGACATTTCCACCAGCATCTTGAGCTTCAGCAGAAAATCTCCAAAAGAGAAGAGGAGTTGGACTGCCCTCACCAGTACATTTTAATTCAACTTTATCACCTATTTTTTTCTCTATATTTTTCTTTTCCGTAGTGTTTGGATGAATGGTATAGTAGGTGGAAACTCTAATGTGTGACTTTGATATACATTCATCAGTTTTAACATTACAATAGTAATGTTTTGCAGTCAAGAAATTAGCTTGAATCGCAAAAACTGAATCAGTACTTAATTCCTTGTCAGCTTCATCTTTCCACGAATCTAAAAGTGATAGAACAAAAAGAAAATCATTTAAATAATTGCATTGTAATGCAGGGATGAGAAATTCTATTTTTAGTTACATTTTCCATCAGTAGAATTCTTTACGCATGTTAAATTGAGTTTTGTTCCATAAAGAACTCGAGTATCAGAGTCAATAGATTTAATATTTCCACACGCTTTTGTAAAAGGATAACAGTTTTAATAGATAATCAATTAAAATTTAACGAAGTATTTACTTACGTTTGTCGCAGAGTGGTCCTTTGTAGTTAACATTACAGGTGCATTTATAGGCATCGCATAAATTTTCGCAAGTTGATTTGGACGGACAAGGATTACTTGCGCATTCATCAATTTTATCTAAATAGCGAAGAATAGTAGAGAATTTTCCAATTTAGAGAGAATAAATTTATATGTTTAAGAAAAATCAATTAAATATAATGATTAATTTTTTACCAATCTCGCAAGTATTCCCTCCATAGCAAGAAGGGCATTGACACGTAAAATTCTTAAACTGATCGACGCAAGTGGCGCCATTCTTGCAAGGACTTGTTGAACATTCGTTCAAAGCTGAAAACAGAGGGAAAATAATAACTTTGATTCTACTCCTTAATTATAAGTAGCCTATACTTACGATCTCCCCTTAATTTAGCGCATGTAATTTTAGTTGTATTATCCGGTAAATGAAACTCACAAGTAACTTCGATAATTTCGTTCCTTTTTGTAACTATCACATTCTTTTGGGCTGTTGTTACAATACCATTCGTTGCGTTATACTTATCAATTTCTAGAGGTTGAGAATCGGTTGTCTTTGAAAAAGTTTGTTCTGTCTTATTACTAGTCCAAGTTATTGAAGTTTCACCAATAGTTTGAGGAGATTTACAACTAACAGTAATTACTTTGGATAGTTCAACATCGATTGTAGAACAGGACGATGACGTTACTATTTCATCCAAGAAGCTTATTGTATTTCCGCCTTTTCCAACATCTTTTTTTATGAAAAGAAAAAAAATAACCAATTCAGAATTATATAAATCAATTAATAATTAGTCATATAGATAATGTCAATATCGTATTTTTTTGGAATTCCCCTCCCTTGTCCAATCCTGCAAACCTTCATTCTCTTCTGACGATACTGAGTTCAATTAATATTACTCATATTAGTGTTTTTACTACTATTATCCTATAGGACACAGTTATATTTTAATATTGAATTTGAAATTGATTGAAAAGTGGATTATTTATTTCTTACTCAATAAGAGACAATCTTAATTTGTTAAGGACAACAGAGAGCTTCATGCCTATGTAATTGTTTATACTTGTCCTATATGCTAATATATATATATATATATATATATATATATATATATATATATGTTATGTAATTATCGCCTACTGTATACATTTATTAACAATTTAATATAGTATGTTTCATTAACCATAATCGAACATTTTTATTATTATATCTTTAGTATTTCATAAAGAACATTGTTTCGAAAGAGAGAGAAGAGATTTCCTCTTTTCAATAATTGAAAAGCTGTCTTATTTTCATGTTACTTGTGACAATTAAAAATATCCTAATATAATCTATAACTGTATAGTCGGAAAATAGAGCATTAACAAAAACTCATAAATTCTACATAAGCTACTTGAAAAAGTTAAAAAAATTAACTTTACGAATATTGTATGTCTACCAATATTACGAAGGATATCGATATAATTTTTCTCATTACGCTTCTATCTATTGATTCATTTTGTTATGACTATAGATATAAGTAAAAAAAATACAAGGTACGCAAATTTTTCGATTAAGTAAGCATAAATAAAAGCGGCGTTGAGAGCGGGAAAGCAGAAACTAACGCTACCATTTGTTTAGCGAAAGTTTCGGAAAAAAGTCTATAAAAATTTATCTTACATTTAACATCCATATTTGCATCTGTAGTTTCAGTTCCATTTAATACAGTTTCAACTCGACAGCTATATAAATCATTATCGCTGAAAGTTGCCTTTTCCATAGTTATCGTTGAAATATCACTTTTAATAATTACAGGTTTTATCCTTCCAACATAATCTCCAAAACTATAATCACCAGTAGCATTTTTTATGTGAATTGAAGTGTTTTTTTTTAAAAATTCAATAGTTTTTATATTAGAAACTCCGTGGATTGCTAAGTTTGAATAATCACATTCGAAATCGGCATCATTTTCCAACACCACTATTCCCACTCTTAAATTGAGAATGAATTGAGTAGAAACTGTAAAAGAGAAAAGATTGAATAATTAGACGGTTTAATTAAATTAAATGCAATTTTTTCCCTCATTTTTATTTAAAATCATTAAGCATTGATAAATCTTACCTCTGTTCAGCGTTAGTATTCCTATTAGAAAAGTACACCAATTCATTTTGAATTTTAAACTTTTTTAAAATAAGAGATAAAGCTTGTAGGGTGAAGTAGCTAGTTCTACCCTGTCGTATCTTGCCCTGATTTGATCTGAACAACGAGGTAAACAGACACTGTGTCGATTTATCCTGACAACGGCCTAATCGATTTACACTCTGCTTATGAAAGTCTAATAAAAGAAACTTTTTTAATTACATTAATTAATAAATTACGTTGTTCGAAAGAGTTAAAGACGTCTGCCTCATCTTCGTTCTTCTTCAATTAAAATACTATTTTAATAACTTTAGATACAAGCGTAAAAATTTCTACGCTTTAAAGGCCTACTTATTAGTTACTTATAACGCTTTGTAGGCTTATAACATTTATCGTGGCAACGGTTGCAATTTGATTTCTGTCTTGTCTAATAGTAGGAGTGGCCAAATATTAACTGCTTTTGGATTAAGTATCATATTTTCAATTGTTTTCTCGTCAAATTGGCCTTTTTTAATTCAAGTAACCTTATAAATATTCATAAACCCATATTATGTCCCTAAAGAAACAATTAGGACCCCTGAAACAGGCTATTTGCCTCATCAAATGTGCCCAATCTATTACAAAATTAATTAAAGGCTAAATTTGACAGTTAATACTTGCTGAATCCCACAAGATAATCTAAATATAAAGACAAGGTCATGTCGTGAATTGTCATTGACTTATTCATTAGAGAATGTCAGACATCTAGTGGCGGGTTGGTTAACTTTTTTTTTCGAATCGTTTCTGGTTAGCCGAAGAATAACTGCCAATATATTCTCAGAACTTGGTTTATTCTGCCTAAAAAATTCTTAACTTGTTTCAAGTTAAATACCTGATTTGTGCATGCAAAAATATAATATTAAAAAAGAAACAACACATTTAAAGGAAATCTAGAAATTTGTATTTATCGCCTCTAGACGACAAAACACAACTCTCACCCACACCCATAACGAACACCACACCAGTACACAAGCGAAGCGTACAAAAGACTCCGATAACATTTATTCCTTATATGTATTCAAAACGAAATTCGATTTTTTTACTGAAATTTTGCTCTTTTTTTAGACTTTTTAAATTACCTTAAACATAAAAACTCAAAAAAACAAAGAATCGCCACTGCGTCTTGAAATTCTTAGCGAGCTGTTTGGGCAGGTTCTCCGGATGCTGCTCCTCCTGCATCCTGAGATCTATGTGCCTGCAGTACGGCTACTGCTTCGTCAACTTTCGATCTTAGTGATTCTCTAGACTCCAACATATGCAGCAATTCAGCGTTGTCAATTTCCAACAACATTCCAGTAATCTTACCAGCCATGTCTGGATGCATCTGGTGGATTAGCGGGAACAGACGTTCACCCAGCAATTGTTTTTGTTCTTGAGGAGGGGCTGCAGCCAACATAGATGATGTCAAAGGTTCTTGACCTTGTACTACTACGGCACCGGATTCTACTTGTCCAGATCCAGCTTGAACATTCGGTCTCTGTTGATTTGGGATATTCGAATTCATGCCGGCTGGCATGGAAGCTCCTGCGGCATACTTGAATGGAGGGCGTTGTGTGGGTCTTGTGGGATTTGCAGTTGGAGCTCTTTGAACCTAAAGCGAAAGAATTTTATTAGGATGCTTAAGTCTAAAGGAAAATTCTTGCTAACCTGTTGTTGTGGAACAGTCGAGCTCATTGGTCTGGCAGAATTTTGGCGTACGTTCTGATTTTGTTGAGCTCCCTGTTGGGGTCTTATTGACTGTCCAGATGGATTTGCCAAGTTTTGGTACATCGGTGAGGCTCTGACTTGAGCTTGTAGAGGGCCTCCTGGGTTTCCCCATCTCGGTGAAGTATGTCTGGCACCAGGGGCAGTTATATGCGGTGTTGTAAAGTAACCGCCCGGTCGTTGGGCCTGCGCGATTGCTGGAACGAAGTAGCCTCCGCTTCCTGGTTGGAAAACATTGCCTACTTGTTGTCCTTGGATTCCTCGCATTCCAGTTATTCTTTGCATGTATTGTGAGGCTAAATGAGCCTTTCTATCTTCTTTTCTTTGGGCCAAAGCAACATATAACGGTTTAGAAACGACAATTCTACCATTCATTTCGGTTACCGCCTTTGTAGCTTCTTCAGGCGAACTGAAACAGACAAATCCAAATCCACGAGAACGCCCACCTTCCATCATAACCTAAAAAAAAACAGAGAAAACCTTATTGTACCGATAAAATCAAAATAACGAAAAAACACTGCTACATCGTTAACTGTTTAACTTTTTCGATTGTTTTGCCAGTTTTAAAGGAGGAAGAACATTTTAATGAAATGCTATCCAGGGTGAACTGGGTACTAAGTGCAAGAATGGCCTAATTTTGATATCTATTCTAAACAATTTCCCTAAACTAATTTTTTTCAACTAATCTAAAAAGGAATTATTTTCTTATTTTTAAATGCATACCTTTGCGCTAGTAATGGTACCAAATTGACTAAATTCTTTTCTTAAGCGTTCATCATCGATGTTGTCATCCAAATTCTTAACGTACAAGTTAACTCCTTGATATCTATTTATTCGATCTAACTTTTGTCTTTCGAATCTATCTTTCAATTCAGCTTGTCTTTCAGATTTTTTCTGTGCTCTACCAACATATACTTTTTGTCCAGCATCACCTAATTCTTGACCATTCATTTCATCAACAGCTCTACCAGCACTTTCAGGATGCTCAAAACACACAAATCCAAATCCTCTTGATTTTCCGTCCATGTTAGACATTACCTGTTAGGAAAATGTTGCGTAATCATAATGGATGCAACAATGAAATTTAATTTACCTTAGCTGAAACTATTTTCCCGTATGGTTTGAAAATATCCATTAATTTAGTATCATTTAAATCTTCTCCAAAATTCTTGATGTAAACATTAGTAAATTTGTTTGCTTTATCTCCTAGAGCTTCTCTCCTTTCGCGACGATTCATAAAACGACCAACGAATACCTTCTTATTGTTCAGCAACATTCCATTGACCTTTTCAATAGCTGCGTTTGCAGCTTCTTCAGTTTCGAAATGTACAAATCCGTAACCTTTCGAACCATTTTCATCAGATGCAATCTTGCAAGACAAGATGTTTCCAAAAGCACTGAAAGTATCGTATAAGGCCTTATTGTCGATACTTTTGTCAAGATTCTTAATGAAGATGTTGCCAACTCCTGATTTTCTAAGTGAAGGGTCTCTTTGCGACCACATAATACGAATAGGTCTTCCTTTGATGGTATCGAAATTCATCGTATCAAGGGCACGTTCGGCTGAAATGAAATGATAGTTTTTATGTAAATTAATGTAATAATTCTTCGGAATGTTACTTAATTTGTAAATCTCGACGACTATTATAATATACATTGTTTACGTTAAAAAAATAACGTGGTATAAAAGACTTTCGAAATTTCAAATGTTCTACGCACTTTCTAGACCTATAAAATGAACTTGAATGGGGGACGGACATATTTTTCTAAACTAAATTATTTACTGCAAATAGTATATCTATTATCTGATAATTATAGTAAATTGTCGTAGCTAATAGAGGTTTGAGAGAAAAAATAAACTACGCATGTGAGTGAGTCACGAGATAACATTTCACAACAGTCTCATTCCACGTGTTTCAAAATGGCGGACGACTTTCGAAAGTCTCCCTAAACGGGCCATTTAAAAAAGTTAAAAATCTTTGCTTACCATCTGCTGGTTGTTGGAAGTTGACATAGGCATAGCCAAGTGATTTTCTGGTTATCATGTCGCGACAAACGCGAATAGATAAGACCGGTCCGGCAGTCGAAAATTTTTCGAATAGCATAGCTTCTGTAACATCCGGATGAAGGTCGCCAACATATAGCGAAGCCATAGGATAAGAAGAAGGTTGAGTAGCAGCGGCATTCATTTTGATATTTTCTTTTCAAAACTTGCTTATTTTTTCAATTTTGCAAAAAACGGTCCCAAGACAAAATGGCGGCGACAAGTACAAACCTTTCTCGATTCCCTTCCTTTTATTACGACTTTTTTTAAAGCGATTTTCGGGAGGTTTTGTAGATTTTTTTTGGGTTTTTGAAAATATTTTAAATTTTCTTAAACAATAGAAAAGTTGAGTGAAAAACGGATTTTTTCACACAACCTGACTCGCTCCTAACTAGTGAAGGCAGATTTCCGGCGCAGTACGTTTTTATACTATTGATGACGTCACGTATTCCGACGCCGAATTAATTTCTGTATCAGTTCTTTTAGCACTGGTAATAAGTTACTTTAAAGTTAATTGTTTAAATTAACATTATTATATTTCAAATTAGTAGGCTTTATTCAGGAAAATTTGAAAAATAGAGAGTTTTATGTGGGGACTACTTTCATTTAAAACTTTGCAGACGATAGATGGCGCGTTTTACTAGTTATATATTTAAATCTTTTATCGACTCTACTTTCATCTTTTTTAAGTATGAAGCGATTTTTTAATGTTTTTTTATACAATAGTCTGGAACAGTATCTTTTAAATAGTTCATTAAAAAATTGTGTATCTTTTAACTGCTAAAAGAGTTGCTTTAGCAACTAAAAACCTGTTCAGACTTTAGTCATCAAGTTGACTGTGATTAACTTTCACCTCAATAACAACTATACTTACTCCAACTGGTATTTAGAAAAAAAACAAATAATGTATTAATTTAGTCCACTTTTAATGACCAGCTCCCTCCACCTGCCCAATCAGACTACTAAATTTTTAATCAAGTGCTAATTGTGTCAAGGAGAGGAGAATTTTATAATGGGTTAAATTGTAGTAAACAAATAGCAAAATTGACAAATGTATTAGTAGAAAAATGAAAAAGTCACATCCAAAACTTATCCTTGTGAGTTTTTATCGTCAAAATGTACATTTATTTAATAAATTCGACATATTTAATTGAGGTTTTCTTCAATAGGCACGGAGGTGTTTATGTAATAACGAAAATGTAATATCGTTATGATATCGTGTGATGAAAGTCGGTAAAAAGTAGGATATTGTAGATATTTAATCATTATATTTTGAGTAAGAGGCTATTCCCGCCAGCGGAAGTGACGACGTAGACGACAACGTGATAGCTAAGGAGATAAATATTATGAAAAAGCTGATTTTTTAGTGATAGTTTATTTGAATTTTGTTAACGCAGACAGAAAATACGAAAAGAAAGTCCGCTAAAGGAACTTTTACGACCTCGACCTTGAAAGCACATGAACTCTGGCGAAATGCCGCAGACTCTACCAAAGCGACTATCTTTCCTATATGAAAATGACACCGAACCGGCTCCCATTTTATTAGATAATTTCGAAAACCCAATACCCAATGTTGCAGTACCCAGGTCAGAAATTAGGTCAATCCTGGAAAAGGAGTCTGGCATGCAACGCTTAAAATCAATGTACAATATCTTAGGCCGTGACAAAATATCTGAAGATTTACGATTTTGCAGTTCAGTTCCTCTATACGCCGCTGCAGTTACCTTCGGTTTTACTGCGGGAATTGGTGCCAAGCAGGGGCGAGATCGCTTTATTGAAAGAAACAAAGCAACAAAATTCGATACCCAATTTAGAGCTTCAAGAGCCAGTTTGGATCAGACATTCGTAGCAGGCCTAAGAACCGGCTTTCGATGGTTTGCAAAGACTGCAATATTTTCAGGAATATTTCTCTTTACCTCTTCATCTATTGCCGTATATAGAAATGAGTCATCCCTTAGAGAGTATGTCGCAGGTGGTTCACTAACTGCGGCAATACTCAGATCAAACTTAGGATTGAGAGGAGTTATTGCTGGTGGTACTATCGGAGGATTCTTAGGTCTAATTGGTGGTTCATGCATTCTACTGGCACTGAAAGCCAGTGACTATACACAAGAAGTGAGACATTACATGGAAGTTTATTATGATAGAGCTAAAGTGAAGGAAGGACAAATTTTACAAAATTTAGGAAATAAACAAATTGAATCAAACTAAATATTTATGTGTTTTTTAAGTCAAAAATTAAAGCTATTGCGTCATCTCTCATAAAAAATAACACAAAGAAGCGATAGATGTCTCTACTTTACCATTGTACGATTCTCTATCCTCTCAACTTGGAACAGCTGAGAAGCGATACAGCATGAAAGAAAGTTACGCAAGATTTGTAGAAAACTTTGCAGATTACATCACATATACTATATGTGCAAATATGCTTGTTTATACATTTACAAAAAAAGAAAAATGACTGTTCCGATTAGGTTTTGATTGATAAAATCGCCTTTAAAAGTATATAAGTAGATTCGATAATGTTTACTTTCTATTTAAAAACCCTTTTTCAATAGAACGAGAGAAAAGTAAATTACCTTATTTTTTACACGTGCCTATCATTTTGGACGTCTATAAGTAAAGTATTTTAGTTACATTAGAGCTATTGGGTCAAGGCTTTCTAGCATTCCGTTCCCTCTTTATGATGCTTGCATTACACCATCTGCTGAATTATGTCTAAAATATAATTAATATATAAAACAATATGTAAATGTTCAGGCAGTGTTACCAATACAATATCAAATAAATAGTATAATGTACGGATATAAAATTGAATTATGACTCACAGATTTTAATAGATTGTTACTGAGGCAAGAATTGCAGCGTGTTGTATTTTCACTTTTAATTTACTTTTTTAAAGAGATAATTTACCTAAAAGGACAATGTTTCTTTTCTTTCTTCTATCGAAAATAGAATGTAGATCGATTATATATATATATGTATATATATATATATATATTTATATTTATATCTAGTTCTTCTATCAAATGTATAATTTCTTCTAGAAAAGCAATTTTTTCCAAGTGAATTATTCATATATTTGTATATTATCTGATACGAATAAATCTTATTTCGACGACGTTTTTATAAAAAGTTTATGCTTATGAGATGACGCATATCCGATTACAGATTTCATCGGCAAAACGTTTGATGTATTTCTGTATATTTCAATTCTTTATTACAGATGAATTTTTATTCATTATTTTTTTTTTTAAAAACAAATAACAAATAAATTTTAACCATTTCGAATATGCTACAACATTTAACATCCTGTATTAAAGACTGTTAAAACAGGAAACAATAGCTAAGAGAATGTATAATATATTAATTTATATATAGTTCCAAAATTAGGCCCAATTATCTTTACAACTTTCATATCAATATAATCGAATATAGGTTAAGTAATATAAGTTTTATATGTTAAATTACTTTCGATTTGACTTTTACTTCACCTAAAAGAAACTGTTAGAATGATTGACAATAATTTATCGGCATTTGAATAGATGAAAGTTATAGTGAAAAGGTTTATATTTTAAAAGTTAAATCGTTCGGAGGGAGTGTCTTTTTCAGGTTTTTTCATCAAGATCTTTACAATCCTAATACATTAAGTATATAAATTTATATATGAGTATTAATTATCACAGAAGTTAAGCAGATTATCTTGAAAATGTAACGTTTTTTTTATTTTCATATTGGATAATGAAATTCTCATAGACGATATTATTTGTTCATGTGAATATAACAAATTCTTTCCTTGTATACAAAAAAGTGTACTTGATATTTAAGGTGAAGGAATCGTAGATGGCCTCTTTGAGAACATTTCTAGAAGCTGAGAACGTGATTAGATAAGTTTGTTTACAGTTTATTAAAACTTCTCATCTGTCGTCCGTTAATAGATTTTTTTAACTATTCAATTCCTATTTCTCTTCTGAAAGTTAACTCGAAAATTTATACAATCGTTCAATAAATAGAAGAAACGAATATGTGATATTTAGAAATAAATGCAATCTTATATGGAGTTAAGAGTGTTGAAATGATAGGGATAATCCATAATAATATACATATATTGTACGAATATCAATAAAATATATATACTATCTATCTATATATTGTTGTGTTTCTTCTCTAAAGATCACGAATAGTTAACCCTTATCATATAGAGTTAGCATTCTCTTTCCATGATGTTGACATTTCCAATAATTTCATCACTAAAAATACCATTCTATTTTAATAATGAATAGTAGTATTATGATTTCATTTAGTTAGAATTTTAGCTCCTTAACAATATCTAGTTTATGAAAAAAGATGAAAGTTTGATATATCGGGAAATATGTTTAAATACTTGAAACTATAAATCTCTTATTTAAATGAAATCATAGAAGGAAATATAAGTTGTTATAGGTTAGCGGAAGACATACTGTATATTCCTCTATTTTTTGTCCTAGATATGAATAATATACAAAGTTATTTTAATGTATTTTACATGCAATATATATATATATTTAATAGATATATTAAATATATATTTTGACCCTTTTTTTGAGGTTTCATTTCAAAGAACCAATCAATAATTATTGATTTACCGCCTTTGTTTCCAAAAACTGATTATTAGTTTTCTCTTTAGCAAAGCGTCTCTTTTGAAAATCAAATTTTGTAAATATGATAATTCTGTACGCAAGGAGGCAGAAAATGGCGAAGAAGATAAGGAAGAGAATCTGTTCTGCATGAAAAGTAGATGAAATCTACAATATATATATACTATTTCAGTTTTTTTGTTAGCTTTTGAGAGTGTATCATTCGTGATGAAATGAAAAATCTTAACGATTAAAGGTCTATTAACAATAAGAATTTTTCTATGATTATTAGAGAGTCATGAATAGTCTTACATACTTATATAGAAGACTATTTACAATATAAAGGTATATATATAGCCTCAATAGTGTATACGATACTCTGTATACATTGTGAAAGTTTTGCTACAAAGTTATTATTACAACTAAAGATCAGCAATCAGCAAGTGTGGTTTGTTATTACTATAATTCTTATGAATCAATCACTATTCCCTCTCTTCCCCTCTTCTGTCTCTCTCTCTCTGCATAAGTTTATTAACGAGTTGTTAAAAAGTTACGCCCATAAAAACTTTTTCCTATAGATTGGATCTTTTTTCTATAGCGTTTATTTTTGGAAGAAATATATTGCATAGTTCGAAATCAACAGAATATTAAAGAAACATATAAAAAAAGGAAATAAATTAATAACAGATGGAATCTAATAACTAAAGAAAAATGTAAAAAATTTCCTTCTTTATGTAAACATTTTCGATAAATAATTCAACGATAATGAAATTTTAATATTATTCTAATCTTTTCAAGCTTCAGCACCTTTTTGTTTCAAATAGAAAAGAAAAAGCTAGCTGGCTAAGGGAAACTTAGTAAAAAAAAATTCTTGACCTTTAATCGACCAACGAATTGTTTTAAAGGTCTTTAGAAATTTGTACTTGACTTAAGACTTTTGCATCGTAAAAACAAACAGCTTCGCACTTAACCACCCGTTGTGAAATGTTAAATAAATAGGAAAAAACACTAAATTTGCGTTTTCTCACCCGAGGTCGCTATATATATTTTTTTTCAATAGTTTTACTATATCAAGAAACAGTTTTGGAAATAAAGATAAAGATTTCAAAATATTACGTAATACTGATATATTTTTAAAGTTACATATACAAATAATGATATTAAAAATATTTACAATGGTACTATTCTTTGGTTTGTAAAGATTAGGAATGATCACTTCCAATCACCTTTATGAAAGTTTACAAAAGAATAAATAAAGAATAGAATTGATTAAAAGGAAGCCAAAGTGCTGAATTTGCTACTGGGAAAAAGGAACGCTGCCATTCTGGAGGAGTAAAAAAATTGCGGCTGTCATGTGAAAAGGGGTTGGACGACAGCAAATTCCTCAACTCACATGACGTTGATTAGGAATAAGTAGGCGGAAAATCTTGTAACGGGTAGTGGGAGAATTTATATTATACTAATAATGAAAATTTAATAAATTATGTAAAATATCCTCTTTTTTTAAATATTGCTTTTCAAATTTCATCTAAATGGGAAAAATCAGATGAAATAGAATATAAATTATTGTATTATTGACTTTTCAACCTTTTCTTTTCCTTTCTTTTTCTTTTTTTTTAGATTTAAACTCAGATTAATGGAATTAGTCATTTTTAGGAAACAAGATCTTACTTACAACCTTTTTATAATAAATAATTGATATCTATACAGTATATACTATATATACCGTATATATATATATATATTCCGCCGATCTATCACGATAACTAATCATTCTTTAAATAAATTAGCCTAACTGAGAGAATTTATTTAATTATAAATTGATTTAAACGCTATGATTGACTCTTTTACCGACGCCTATTTGACAGCGAATATTTTGTAGCCGTACGTGAAATGGTAATGGTTGAGACGCCATTAAACCTCGACCACCAGTTCTACTACCTCTATTCCTACATCTTAACGCCCTCTTAAAGGCCAGACGAAAGTGCCTAGATAATAGAGCGTACAGCACGGGATTAATTGCCGAATTGGCGTAAGATATAACGTGACTACATTGACGTAAGACAAATATTGTGGTTGTAAAACGGAAGGGACGCGAAGATAATAAGTTTCTCAAGTTAACATATAAGGAGAACAAATGGGTAGGTAGCCAACAAGTGGCAAACGCTAAGACAACTGAAATAATTAGACGAGTGACCTTCTTTTTTGCAGTATTACCATTCTGCGTCTTCGGCACGCTCCATAAACTTCTTACGAGTAGATACGAAAATACGGCTATAGCTGCAAGAGGTATAACATAACCAAATATGAAAAGTAAAATAAATGTTGAGGCTCTCTTCTCTATTGAATCAAAAGCGTCACTGCAAACTTCAGCTCCTTCGTAACTTCTTACAGTATAAACTATTGGCCACGGAATAGCAAAGAGTAAAGCTGCTATCCAAATAGCAACACTAATTAGTAAAGCTATTTTCGCTTTCTATTATGTAAAGCACGTGTTCAAGAGTGTTTACGCAATAGTAAGGATATACAATATAAGCCATTTTGTAACTTTTGTCTTTACATAAACTATTAAATAAAATGTTAGAATAGTTTGTATAGAAGAGAAAAAAAGAGAAGACAACTAAACAAGAAAGTAAGAAGAGAAGTTTTTCTCTTGGAATAATTAGATCTAGTATTAAAGAGTTTTTGGGAGTTTGTAATTCTAACCAGAGAATGTTATTCATCTAAGTTTAGTTCATTTATCTTTATCAGTTCTAGAATGGTATATATTAACCCTTCCTACTGGAGTTTCATATAATTAAAATCACTTAAAAGTATAAACTATACAAGTGTACTATTGCTCTTCTTCATAGGAGAAATAATAGTAATTTGAAGTGAGAAAAATTCATCTCTCTTCCTCTCTCTCTCTCTCTCTCTCTCTCTCCTACATACACTCTTTTGCATTTTCTTTTAAAGTACATAACAAAGGAAGGGTGAAAAGAAAAAAAAGTGGAATTTTTTTCAAGAATTCTTGGGAAATCTGTATAGCCTCTTGTTCTAAGTGGAGTACGTTGGCTAATAGTAGAGAAAAGCTTTTCATTATTTTATTATTAGTTCGTAACTATTTGGGATCTGTTCGGCTCATAATTCATATTGATAAGTGCTAAGCACGTATTTATATTGCTTTTTCTTTCGGAAATGATCACATTAATTAACCAGTTCTAATGCATAATGCTCAATGGAATGAAAGCAAAATTATGAATAAATCTATCGGTTCTATCTTGAAAAATATACACACAAATATCATAAAAATGAGAAAAAAATCGTATCTAAAAATAGATTTTTTTTTCTTTTATGAAAAAATAAGCTAATACTTTTTCTTAGAGAAAAAATATTGGGTCTCTTATAGTTATAGCTAATTCTTAACCTAGTTTAATCTTATTACAATGAATAAATAGGGAATTAGGTTAAGGGATTTTCTCTTTACAGGAAATTAAAAACTCATATTATAGCTGTAAATCTACTAGCACTTCCTGTAGATTTAAAGGAAAACGAAAAAAACGCTTCCTATTAGGTTGTTAATTCAAAAATTCTCTTTAGAATTCGAGTGAAAAGTAGAGAAAAAAAATTAGATAGAAAGAAACTTTTGATCATTAAAACTTATCAAATAGAAGAAAAGTTTTTACTTCTTTCAGTAATGAGACAATTAAGAGTTAATTGATAAAGGATGCGGCGTTAGAACGGCTAATATCGTATATCACTTTAAAACGTTTCATCAATGAGAAATATCTATCTGCTGACATTGCCACCAATGTCCAAGCACTGGCAAGCATGGAAGAGTATTGGAGTAAATGGACCAATTTACAAGCAATTTCGCCAAAGAACCACGCCTGGTCCGTATAGATGACTGCATGAAAAGGTGCACAGAATAAGAGGAAAAGCAGATCAGCAACTGCTAAATTAACAATAAAAAAGTTGGTCGTGGTTCTAAGGGCTCTCTTCCACACCGCAACAAATACGAGAACATTACCAATTGCTCCAATTAATACAATTAATCCAAACACTATGGGAATGACAAAAATTTTCGAATTCCAAACAGGATTTTCATTTTCGTTTCCGGTTGTTTCCTCTTCAATTACCGAAGAATTACGGCAGCTCTTAACAAAGTTCTGTTCGAAGAGGTTCAGAAGAGATAAATTAGCGAGTTGGCCCCGTCGAGTTAGCAGCACACCTAGGGCTTTACACAACAACTTTTCCATGGTTAGGCTACCGCAATAGATGCTGACAAATTGCGGAACGGCTTTGGAATGTTTATTTATTTACGTTGGCGCTCGCCAACATCTCGAAGCGCCTCTTATCGAATAAATCGGATTTTCGCTGATTAGCGCCTCAATGAAGAAAGCGTCAGCGCTCTTCTCCCTCTTTATTATATAAAATATACAAGAAATATATCTCTGCGCCATCTGTATTTCAAATAAACAAAATAAATATACAATTTACTTGAAAGTAAAACAAGACAAGAAATGAAAATCTACAAATCAAAGGCAAAACGAAAGAGAAAAGAAATTGAAAATCGAAACATAAAAATCAAAAAATTAAAAAACAAACAGATCACAATCGTAATTATCATTGTACTTTCGTTTATAATTGAAATATACAAATAAACAAGCGAACGACATGAAAAAAATGACCCATAGAGTTTTATGGGAAAGCATTAAAAATCAAATCATGGAATACAATTAGAACAAAAAAAAACTAAGCAAGTTAAAGAAGTAATTAATGCAGATTACAAATTTTTTCTGCCTTATTCTAGTTAAGATTTCCATTCGGAAATATCATTACCTAGGTATATAGTATGTGAGGAGGAGGAGGAAGAGGACGAAAAAAAAGGAAGTATATATTTTCGTACTCTGTCCTCCTTTTAAAGGTTACGAGTTTTATAGTTTATATATATATATATATATATATTATATATATTCTACTTTTATATTAATATGCAAATAGCTTTGATAAATAATCAATTATTTACATACTAATGAGTGATCATCTCTATATATTTGACAGTTCTTTTTCTTTAACAACTAGCGTAAGTTTTTAATCCAGGATTTTTCCTATATAATCAATTTTTCGATTTTCCCTGATTCGATTAGTTTACTTTATTATGTGTTAACATTTTTGTTTTCGTTGCAAAGAGATACAATTCAGATAGAGAGAATGACAGAGAGATAGAGAGAAAGAAAGAAAAAAAGGAAAACTCACATGTATGTACATAATTCTTTTGGCACTATTCATACGCCTATTTTGTCGAGTATAAATACTTCATAATAAGACAAATATTAAATATAAATATCATCTAAATACACATAGAAGTGTGTTATATGGATATGTGTTATATACTACAAATATATATAATTTGATAATAAGTAAATTTTTGAACATATCATTTTAACTCTTATACAAAGTGAGTGCTTCTTAATTTTCAATTGTTTTTAAGTCTGCAGTGAATATGTGTTTTTTTTTTCCATTTTTTTAAACATGTTTTTTGATTATAAAACCCCATTTTTATACTTTTTACTTGTCATATCTGATTTTAATTCCTTTTTAGCAAATAACAGCGTTGTTTTCTCGGAAGGATGAAAAGATGAATGAAATGATAGATGGATTGATGATGGAGATACCGAAGGGGCTTTAAGATTTTCCTTTCTTTTTATCAACTGATTTTGTTGATGTAAAAGGCTAAAGTATTTTAAAAAAAAGAAGAAAAAACAGAATATTAAGGTTATATTTTCGGTTGTATTTCTTACCGGAATTATACGAAACGAGCATGTTAAGTCTTCGTCGACAACCATTGCGGCTCCTGCATTATCAAACTCCCCGCAGTAATTAGGAGCGGAAAAGAGCGTTACAAGCTTAAGGGAAGGTTAGAAAAGCCATTAAATGTAATATCTTATTGTTAAAAAAATTTACACAGTAGATGGCTCTGCTTCTACTGCGTGACAACAAACTATCTTTTTTTAATTTTATAATTACCTTCCTCTTTTGAAAGAATTGATATCCATCCTCAACAACTTGATGAGCTCTAACTATCAGCGAACATTCTTGCTTCTTTAGAAATGATCTAACAACGTCTCCACCAAATGTATAGGAAACGCCTCGATCGTTTTCTCCCCAACCTGTAATGTCTTCATCCGGATCTGACCAGAGTAAGTCGCAAACTAGTCCATGATCGGGAACGTCAAGAGGACGATTTATACTATTTAATTGAGTTAATTCGAAGAGATCTGGAGAAAGGCCACCATGGCAGCAGAATATAGCACCCTCAATGAGAGCGGCTATGGGTAAAGCATTGAAGCAGTCAGTAAAAGTCTTCCATAACTTAATATTGTAACGTCTCTTGCACTCGTCGTAAAAACCATAAATTCTGAGTGGTAAATTAAATAGGATTAGTTGTATGAAAACAGTTTAAAGTTACTCGAAAGTGTATGTTTAGGACAAATCAAATTCCGTAAAGCTTCTCGTTAGCTTCTACAACTGTAACTGATAGAAAATCAAGTTCTATATTAGACAATTCTCCACTAGACAAGATAATGGAAATGGATCATTTGCACCAGACGCCACTTGTCATAAAAACTAAATATCTTTTGGAAGATCTTTAATTCTTTTTAAATCGATTAAAAAGTACTCTATTCCCTTCTCCTCTCCTTTATCGGGAGAGTGTTTTTTATTGTTATTCTACGGACGTTAAACGCAATAGAGAAATATGTGAAAGGTTTTTTTTTCCATTAAAAAGTAAAGAGAGAATATAACCTACATCGTCTTAATATTTGCATATGCAAAAGTAATATTTCAAATTTAATGTACCTGTTAATACTTGCACATTCGTGATTGCCTCGCAGCAGGAAGAAATTGTCGGGATATTTGATTTTATAGGCTAAGACTAGACAAATCGTTTCTAGCGAACGTTTACCTCTGTAAAATATAAAAATATGTATTAAGAGAGATATTCGAAACCAACTAAATCGATTGTTATGATTAAACCGGAAAATAAAAATTGAAATATATGCATATTTTTTTCAATTCCATTGTCTATCTACGCACGTAATCTATAGTAAAAGCTGTTGTCAAAAATACCATCACGTGACTATGTTTACTTCGTTTACCCTATGACGTCAAAATAGCAATTATCGTCTATAAAATTTACCTGAATTGGATACAATTTTCCTGCACAAAACTTAATTTTATATGACAAGGAAAAGAAAACGATCCAATTTCAATCTTTGATGGATTAATTAAACGCTCATTCAGGTTTCGTTTACCTGAATTAATATTCCCTTAATGAAAAACATCTATTTTCTCTTCACTACAATGGAATTTCTCTTAGAAAGAAAAGGATTTTTTTATATTAATTAAAAAAATCCCATCTTTCATGGTATTTTATCTTTAATATGTCAAATTATAAAATAAGCTATGAATAGATCAGCTCAAATTTAATGGTTGATTAATGTAAATTAGCCTTATTACTAAAGTGTTTGGACTGCACTCTATGAACGTAGTTCAATAAGAGAGAAAACAATACCGGCTGCTTTTCTCTTCTCCCTCTCTGTCTTCATCTGCTTCCCTTTTTTTCCCTTACTAATTCCTATCTTAACAACGAACCAAGCTGTAAAGCTTTAACTATTCATATATTAGGTATATGTTATCTTTCGCCTATAGGCCTAATTATCTTTTTGAAGAGTTTTCATACTTTTTTTTATCGATAAAGATTGTATAAGAAAAAAAAGAGAAAGAAAATAAAGGAAATAGATTTTTGGGACAAGTAAAGAAGTTGTATGGTTGATATTTAGAAGAGTAATCAAAAGTTGTACATACCTGTCAACGTAATCGCCTAGAAAAAGGTAATTAGTTTTGGGCGGATAACCACACTTATCAAAGTGCTTAATTAAATCATCATACTGTCCATGGATATCTCCACAAATAACTATAGGAACGGATAGGTCCAAAAGCATTGGCTGACTTAAAAATATTTCTCTGGAGGCAGAACATAACCATCTTATATGAGTTTCGGGTAACTGAACCTAGATTTAAGATTGATATAAATTTTTATGAATGTTACTGATTAATGAATTAGAAAAAAATCAATTTATTTCCGGTCGCACCTGTTTTCCCGGGCTTTCTTTCACTGATAACAATTGATCGATTATAGCCCCAACGTCCGGTTCAATTTGATGATTCGTCATAATTATAATCCTTAATTAGCTCTCTATTGCGGATTAATACTATTGTCCAAGCTAAACTTTCATACTAACTATCCTTCTTTGTGTATATGGACTTTAATGATGTCGTCGGAAAAATGTATAATGCATCCCTGTCGCCTGGCAACGAGGTTTCGCGTCATCTGTTGACGGTGAGCTTTTTATTCTATTTTTTTTCTCTCAGTGCGCCATCTATGATCCAGGTAGAGACACTATTTATATAGTGCCGACCTAGTCCATTTAGCTAACGCAAAGCTGTATTTTTAACACAATTTCGGATGACGTTGATACTATTTGTACAATTTAATGATTTATAACGTTCAATCAAAATAGCTCCTCCCCTTAGACCACCCCCCCTCTCGTTACGCCACCTTTTCCAGAGTATAAGCCTATTTGCAAATCAATAAATCACCGCTTGAAAATAAGAATTAATAATAATAGGAAGTAAACATTTTCAAAGAATTCTTTTTCTTCAGTTGGACAACATTAAAAATGACACGCTATAAAGAAATCTTTTAAAAGTAATTCCTTCCTGGCAGAGCCATATTGCAACAGTCTTAATTAGCGAAACCAAAAATATGTTCACGCAGCCTACTCATTGATTAACTATCAAAGTAGTTTCTATGTGGGAGGAAAACAGTTGAATAGTACAAAAGAAAAACAAGATGTAAATGTAACAAGATCTTATCTTATTTCGACACGGAATGTACGATTATTTCCTTCTTTAATCTCGTATCTTTTTGCCTTCTATCTTCTTTTTCTCTTAAGCAACTGTGTAAAATTTTGTCTATATGTAAACAAGTATGTTTAGATTATTAAGTAACATAAATTGACTTGTGTAATTTAATAAATGTACTGAAAGAGTCACTCTGCAGTTCGCAAAGTCGCTGGAATACAAAATAGTATTACAAAAAAGAAAGCAAGACGCATAAAACTTTTTAAGTTCTCTCTCTTTTTTGCTTAGGTAACAGAAATTTCAAAGTACATACTATGTCTTTATTTCTAGAGGTTGAAAGAATAAGGAATTTACCCTTGCTCTTTCCTCTCTCTTTCTTTTCAGCTTTCATCCTTATTTTCCGTAACTTAATTATAGTTTTTCGTTCGATAAATGTTTATACATTTAATTACTACTGTATCTATGTGGGTAGAGAAAAAAAGAAAGATATAACAGAAATATATAGATCTATAGAGATTTCTTTCGCACTAGATAACAAATTGGATTTTTACCTTCGTATACAAATACCTTAGTCATTTTAGTTGAAAATTAATTACTAAGTATTTTCTACACAAATAACAAAGGAAATATCCAAATTCAAAGTGTTGCTGATTATATGAAGTGTATCAGTCTATTGAAGTTAATTATACGTATAATTCGCTCTGTTCTTCAATCTCAATCAACTTTTATGTTCTCTTTAATGAAATCACCATGAAGCTAATTTGAAATGGTCATTTTTTTGTACCTAAACGTAGGGATTAAAGAAAATCTTTCTATATCAATTCTATTTTTATAAATATAGAAAATAATAAACACCATCAAAGAAATGAGGAGAGAAGGTGGGCATTAAACATTACTAGTATTCAATAAAGATGAGTATTATATATTTTAAAATTCTAATACTGTATGTACTGTATATTGGAGTATATATACTGTAGTTCTACAAATGATTTGTTATTTAGCAGACACAGTCATAAACAAATTGTTCATAAAATATTGAATTGACAATTAAGTGAATATTTAAAAATTTGTATTTTGTGTATATTCCCATTCATTTTTTTCCCAATAGTTGTGTTTTAAGCCACATATTTTGACGGACAATAATTTTATTTATATTGTTTTCATGAATAAATTTATTCACATTGGTTTTCATATACAGATTTTTTAAAAGCAAACATATTTGAATTATTAGGACTAATTTCCGAAAGTACCGATATTTTGTTCCCAAAGAAAATCGAAGAAATTAAGTATGATTGGTTGAGTACACCTTCAGCAGTCCTCTGGGTTTGTCAACCTGTTGAAATAAAATTAACAAACTGATTAATTATATTTCAAGAATTTTGTGTGTATTGTTTATGAATGTTATTCTCTTTAATCTAAAAGTAATTAAATCAACTAATAATCTATTTAACGCCATCTAGTGCTCGTTCATTTACAATGAAGCAAAGTATTCCATGCATTTCTGCCTGGCGTATTAGAATCATGTAAATAATGTTGAATATGTAATGAGTAATTATTTTGTGATAAGAGTAGAAACAGTGTTAAAAATATTATTGTTAAAGGCATTCAAAATCTTAGTTCAAATTAAACTGACCTAAGAATATTTCATTGAACTGTCACAGATTTAGCCAAATTACGAGGGCAGTCAACCTTTGAAGAAGCAAACAGGACAATTAGATTGAGGTAATGCACAATATGCATAGAATGAAACACTAATAAGAGCGATTTAAAAGGGGAGAGGAAGTTTCCATACTTAAAAAAATACTTACATCACAATTTTTAAGCTTTGCAACGTGAAGAGAAAGAAGTTGCATAGGAATAACTGTCAATACCCCTTGTAGACAGTCAACAGTCTCAGGTATAATTAAAGTTTGGTTGGTATTACGCATAGCTTTGCCATCCTCTTCATTACATATCAATATTGGTTTTCCCTTACGAGCTTTCACTTGTTCAAGAGCATTTAAACTTTGCTATTTAAGATGGAGATATTAAGTATCAGTTTATTATTGAGAAACTATTCAATGAATTAAATATATCAACTTTACCTTGTAGATAGGATCCCTTGTTAAGACCATAATGATAGGTTGTTTTTCGTCAATTAGAGCTAAAGGCCCGTGTTTTAACTCTCCAGCTAGAATGGCTTCGGCGTGTAGATACGTTAATTCTTTAACTTTCTGTAAAAGACATATAAATTTATATTTTTTTTATTTCATATCACAGACTGAGGTTAAAATTCCTAAAAAATCACTAAAACCCTCACCAGAGCACCTTCTAGACAAGTTGCGAAATTAAATCCTCTACCAAGTATTATAAGAGACTGTTTTTCAAAAACATCCCTTGCAATCTTCTCTACTTCACTATCCAATTCAAGAACTTGCTTTATTTGCTCAGGAAGCTTTTTTAAACCTTTAATTATCTCGGCTCTTCTACCTTGCATTGATATTTTATCTTCACACATCATCAAACCGAACATAACTAATGAAATAAATTGGGATGTGTACGCCTTAGTGCTAGCAACTCCTATTTCTGGTCCAGCATTTATGTGAATACCGCAATGGGATTCGCGACAGATCGAAGAACCAACTGTATTTGTTATGCCTACGATTAATGCACCTCTCTGTTTACAGTATCTCAAGGCCATTAAGGTATCAGCGGTTTCACCAGATTGGGATATAAAAAAGCACACATCGTCTCTGAAAACTGGAGTTTGCCTATCTAGAAAATCACTGGAGATGTCAACCATAACTGGCAATTCAGTAAGCTCTTCAAGTAATTGACGAGTCTTGGAAAATAAAATGGTTGATTATAGTGGTAATACAATATAAAAAGTACAATAACTTACGGCAATGGCACTGTGGTAGCTAGTTCCGCAAGCAATGAATAGCAATCTTCTACATCTATTTATTTCTTTGAGGTAAGATAAAATTCCGCCACATTGAACGGTATTAGTATCGAAATTCACTCGTCCCCTCATTGTATTCGTAACGGATTCGGGCTGCTCAAAAATTTCTTTTTGCATAAATGTCTGATAACTTCCCTTCATAATTTCCTGAAGTTCCATCTTAAGGGTTGTTATATTTCTGTGAGCCAGATCATCAACTCCCCTCTTGAGTCTATGAATAGACAATTGACCATTAGACACAGCCGCAACATCATCATCCTCCAGAAAGATGACTTTGTCAGTATGTTCGATGATTGCACTGTTGAAAAGAGATGATGTCACTCTTTAAATTAATTTATTAGATGTATTATTTACCTTGCATCCGAAGCAAAAAAATATTCGATCACTTGTTCATTACTATTAGTCATCAGGGTTGACATTTCTTCGTGATTTGCAGATGGCGTGGGTATATAACCGCTTCCTCTATGATCTATTGGAAAATTATGAAATACTATTAATATAAGACAATTTTTCACAGGCAAAACAAAAAGAAAGTTCACTTTGTCTAAAAAATGAAGAAAAAAATCTATTTCAAAGGGAGAAACTATATATAGATATATATATATATACTGTGTATATTTTATATTTAATAATATTAAACAGATTTTCTTCCTCAATTTGAAATTTTCAAAGAAAATAATAGTGGAATTATTGAATAGTATTTTAAATCAATAATTCATGTTCAGTTTAATTAAAACAAAATTATGAAGTAATCATAAAGATAGTGGAAGACAAATGAAAATAAATGATTAAACTATTATAAAAAAATATTTCGAAAAAGTGACTAGTTCAAGCTTCTTAGTTATATTAGCAAATTTCTTATTATCAAATATATCACACTATTTTCTGCCTTATATTAATTTTTAAATTATTTTGTCTTAATAAAAATAACAAATAGATTTTTATATATTGAAACGTTATAATAAGTAATAATCTTAGCTTAGCTAATCAAACTAAAAAGCGTTTTTTTTAAAAAAAAAAAAAGAAGAGAAAAGAAAAATAGACAGGCTATTTATTGTCTTTTCTTTTCTGTTTTTTTTTTAATAGTACCAAGCCGGGTAACGTCTCCATCTGTTATTATAAACAAAAAAGCATATAATATATATACACATACATAGTAGTATATATATATTTATGAAATCTTTTTTTCTCAAAATATGTGTTTTTCCTTTTGTGACTTTTTGCAAGGAAACTTAGAAAGAGTGTCAAAGTATGAACCACTTAAGAAAAGTGTGCTTAAAATATAAAACTAAATATAGCAAAACAAAATAAGTTGGCAAATAAATAAAGTTAAATTTGATAGACGTCAAGCAAAGAAATCTTTTTTTAATTTGTCTTTTTCAATGTTTGTAATTACCAGTTTGATGAGTTATATCACCTAAAAAGTATGTTTATACCACAATGAATATAATATAGCTAAATCATGAATTTTATAATAAAAGCAACTATGATGTAGAGAAAAAAAGGTCACAAATAAATTCGTCAAATCAAATTGCAAATTATTATAAGGATTACTTCTTTTAACCAGATGATTATCCAAAAGGAAAAGAATAGACAAACTAAATGTTAAAAAGTCCCTTCCTTTTCATTAGTTTTTGTTTTAGGGATCTCTTTCAAAGATTAGTGAATAGTCTCCTTAATGTAAATGTTATTCTTTTGGGTTATATTTTTAAAAATTACTATTGAGGAAACTTCATTTTCATAAGTGAACAAAATATGGCAAAAAATTTGGGCCTCTACCGCTGATCCTTACCATAATCTGCGTCTAAAAATCAACCCGAAGTTTAGATTTAAGCAAAAAGAAAATTACTAAGCTGTACTCTTGAGCTTTTGCTTTTTGTTTCAAATAATATAATATTAACCTTTCCCAAAAACGACTGGAAATCTATCAGTTGTCAATTTCATAGGACTTTTGACACCAATAACCAAAGGACTACCTCTTCTTGCAACGACAATTTCGCCTGGAAAATGGGTACTCTTAAATGCTAGAGCAAATGCGCCTTCTAATTCTTGGACTGTTTTTTCAACTAGTTCGCGGAAAGAAAGTTCTCCTTTATGAATTTCGTAAATGTGATGAAGAAGTTTTGCAATAGTTTCAGTATCAGTTTCGGATTCAAATTCATATCCTTTATTAATCTGTAAAAAGACAGATTTCGATATGTTTAAATTATAAATTAGAATAGTAAAGAAGGAAATTTTTTGAGTAAAGTACTAACAAGTAAAGCTTTTATGTCTTTGTAGTTTGTCAAGATGCCATTATGGATAACAACAAATTCTGAAGGATGGAAAGAAAACATACATATACAGTTTACATGTATAATTATATATATTAAAATAAATTAAAGTACATTAGTTATTTCAGATTTCAGAAAGAAGTCTGTTATTTTAATAAGATGTTTAAAGTTATAGTAAATATTAGTTCGTAAGAGAATAAATAAATCAATAGCAAACAGACTGATAAAATCATTAGAAATATACAAATATATATAAATATTTTGTTAACTCTATATAAAATACTACGTACGACTTTCAGCATCTGATCTTTGCGGATGTGTATTCACCCAATTGGGTTCACCATGTGTAGCCCAACGTGTATGAGCAATTCCACAATGTGTTTTAAACTCGAGATTGAAGTTTAATTGTTGCTTAGATTTTTCTATTTCATCAACTAAATTCTGCACCTAAAAAAAAGGAATAACGAAAGTAAAAAAAAAATAAAACTAAAATATTTTTCTTAATGAAAAACAAAAATATCAATAACTCAATAAAAAAGAATATAAATATTAATACTATTGTTTTGTTTCTTAACTGATTACAAGTAGTAAGAGTACTTGAAAACTTATTTGTAAACATTTAATTTGTAAGTTCTTATTGTACGCCTAAACAAAAATATATTATTTCTATAGAAATGTTAAAATAAATCTATTTACTTTTCCAGACATCTTAATTAGATTAATTGGATAACTGGGAATTCCACCGTCATTTCCTCCATCAATAGCCACCCCAGCTGAGTCATAACCACGATATTCGAGTCTTTTCAAACCAGTAATGAGGATGTCGAGGATTTCTTGTCTACTTTTTGGTGTCAGACAGTTCAAATAGGCAAAAATACCTGAAAATACAAATGTTAGTCTGTGTGTAATAAAAAACTACTTGAAGTACATTCTATTTTTATTCGTAGAAAATTAACAATAAAGTGTATAATTCCATCTTATTGCCTAAATGTTCTATCTTAAGTAACAAATCAGATGTCAAGGTCTATTGATTATCAATATGCCTTTGAAATTTAAAAATTAGTAAACAAGACGATTGAACATAAGATTTAAAAGGAGGAAGTGAATTTTAGTAAAAATCGTTCACTTTATAGAAATGACTAGTAGAAGAAACCATTCAGTTAAGTGGCTATTTAAATATATGAAATTCCCTTCCCAAGCGTTTTCCTATTAAGAGCCTTATTTTTTTACCTTCCTTCTATAGTAAGCTTTGATCTAGATACATATATTCATAAATATATATTAATACAGGATATGTACAAATTAACAAGTTTTGAAAATACTAACAAAAAATTCAATATAATTATACATGTGCTCCTAAAACTTATTTCCCAGATGTCTTTAAAGAAATTGATTTTATACGTTTGGCAAAAAACTATTCATTTTAATTTTTTACATCATTAACTTATATGAACTAAACTTATAATGAAAGCATTATATAAAAAAGAAAATACAAATAGAAATTCTGGTTTTATTGCCTGCCGAATGTATATTATTTGTAGAAAAAGGAAAATCTAAACGCATCTATTGCAAACCTCCTTTGTGAAAAGTATAATATACTGGCTGCAGTAATCTATCACATAATTCCTCTTTCCAATCAATGCTAGGCACATCATCATCAGAGACTTCAGAAGTTGACACGCCACTATCTGATAATTCAAACTTCTCAGATATACTTGACATGGCCATAGTTCGACAGTGAATGCAAATCTCTTGGATCATTTTTAAACATTAAATATATAGGAAATAAACTTCCCTGATAAATTGAAAAGATTGCATGAAAAAAAAAATTTTCTTTACTTAATCAGAATACTAAGCCTATATTTAATCTACTTCTCTTTCAAAGAAATTTTATCGGCACTAAGCCTTCCGTAGATTGAAAATTAATAAAACAAAAATTCGAAATACTATTATCTAGTTTAACTAGCAATTTGAACTGTTAACTTTTAAATGACACGAATTGGTGTTTAAAACTTAAATATACATATTTTATAAGCAATGCCAACTTCCCATTACCTGTGTACTATTAATAATATGCAATTTAATTGAAAATTTGGTTGAAAACTAAGAAAATGTGGTAGAATTTCACTAAACGCAAACTCCTTGAAAATAAAGATTCAAGACGAAAATAAGCAGACTAAAAGAATTATTTTTATTCGAAAATATAATTATTTAATTTAATATTACTATGCATCATAATATATTAATATTAGTTAGCGGGAATTTTATTAAAATTAGATACTAGTTTTTTGCTAATTAACTTAGATAAAGATAATAGATTAGTTTCATTTTTGATAATAAAAAAAGAAAAAGCCTAGTATTCTAAAGAACATTGTTTATTTAAGTAAATAACAAAACATACCACACATATTTCAAGCAATGTAGTTCGATGCGAAAGAGAAAATAAATATAAGTAGTTGGTGAAGATTGGACTTATATATTGAGCGATTTGCCACGTTATTATTCACGATGTGTAATCTATTTCGTGGATTTCTTCAAGCAACCGGTTGATCACCGGTTTATATCAGTCGAAGAAAAAAAACTTCTTTACCACGCCCAAAAATTGCCACTCTTCATCTAATCAGTAAAAAATGTTGAATTTTACTAGCAATATATAAATTTTATTTTAATAGAGGCAAAAACAAATTCTTTGAGAAGTACCAGAATTCATTTTTTAGAAGAAATCAAACTAATTTGTTATCAGATTAATATTTAAATTTAAATGAAATTAATTATGCATAGATTAAAGCCATTCCATTATTTCTCTTAATTTTCGTACTCTAATCTAGTTGAAGAAAGCGAAAATTGAGCTAATGGATGTTCTGTATATTATTTCAAATATTATTCTTATTTTGCACATGCTTATTTTTTTTTATTTTTATTATGCTCAAGATATGGTTTATACAGGTCAAAAGCTATTAAGCATTAAAACAAAAAATATATATAGGAGTTTTTCAACTCACATTAGAACATGCCAAATTTGACCGGTTTTTAGACTATAAAATTCTCTCGATGCGCATGCGTACTTCACTCCAAGATGGCAGTAGGTGAGGGGAATTTACAAAAGAAATTTTGTGAATTAAATGCTTCTGAGCTAAATTTGGTTCTAAAAAATCGGAATTTAAGCACTAAAGGAACAATAGATGATCTTAAAAGACGGTTGCGAGAGGTAAATAAAAACTATTTCCAAATGATTATTACAATAATAATTGCACCCCGAAGCAAAGCCCTTTGTTTTAATTTTCAGCTTTTTCTTTTTATATTCCCTTAATATATTTTACAATATTCGATAAATACGTCATTAAAAAACAAACAATTATCTGCATATTGTATTAATTCCTTATTTTTATACAGGATGTAGAAAAGAAAGGACAAACGATTGACGAAGTTGTTTTTAAACTAGCCAACAAAGAAGGTAAATAATAAGATAACAAGGCTGATCGATTAGTAGAGTGTTGCAAAAATAATTCCTTTGTCATAACCAATAATCCAAAGAAAAGCATGGTCCATAGAAAAGAAATATTCACCATATTTTATAAAATCACAATTCAAGAGCTCGAATATTTATATAATCCATTATTGCTGTCCCAACTTTAGAAATTTTTATAGCTATCTTAGATATCTATATAAAGAGGACCTTAACCATATTGACACGACTCAGTTATTCATATGTCAATAGCAGCATTCAAGTTGTCATCTAATTATGAACAACCAAAATATGAGAATATATGGAATTATTGAATATTTTTAGTTTAGGGGTTTTTTACTAGAACAGAAAATATAGTTATAATATATTAAAACCATTTTAAACATAAATGAATATTTTAATTTATCCAAAATAGATAAAGATTCAGAAGAAGATACTATTACCATTACTCTGGATGAAGAAGATGAAAGCATTTTAGATGTTAGTTTAATTAAATCTTGTCTATTCTAATATAATTTATGTACTTTCATTCTTTCAAGGAAGAAAATAAGGATGAATCAAATGAAAATGGTAAGTGCAATTAAATATGCAAGATTGTTTTTTTTTTCGTGTTTGTACGTCTGTGTTTCGTGTTACGTTTCGTAAAAGAGTCAACAGCAGCATTTAACTTTGGATGACCAAAAGACAATATACCTTTTGAAGATAAATTAAAGATCTACCATTAGTTTTTTGGAAAAGTCTTTTCGTGCTATATTTTTTCTACATAGGCCACAGTTCACCCTATGTAAAAAAATATAAAACAGCAGCATCAAAGTATATTTATCCGTTATAAAAATCTATCATCTTTTCAAAATTGAACAGTTTCTGGGGATGAGGCTGAAAAAGCAGTTAAAAAAGTTGAATCAGTTGAAGAAGGAAAAGAAGAGACGTTTATTGTGAATGTGGATGACGCTTCCCAGAATGCCTTAGATGCTGATCTACCAACAGTTGACAGCATTGATCATGAAGAAAAGCAACGGGAAATTGAAGGCCATAAAGTTCAAGAAACTCTAACCAATAAAGAAGTTAGGGATGATCATAAAACAAGGGGTGAGGACAATTCTGAAAAAGAAGGAAAAGAAAAAGATAGCAAGAAAGATGAAGTTTGTGAGCAGAGGATGCAGGAAAAGAGGTTTGTTTGTATAGGAGATGTATGGTATTAATATTTTTGTACACCTATACAAATTACAACATAGAGATGGAAATCCCATATATTTTATCATAGCGATTCATTTTTTTCATTTATTACTTGATCGCTTGAACTTGAGATATTGTGATGACATAGTTAAGCCGTCTTTAAATAGCAAATGTAGGTTGAAAGATTATCCGAGTTTTACTTCCGCAAATATTAAAGTAAGGTGCAAAGATCCAGAATTCGAAAAGACTAGCTGAAAGAAAACAACTAAGCAATAATGCTATTATTATTTAAAGTCAAATGGATCCGAAACAAAAACTCCTTCTATACTTTTTCCAAAACATTCAATTGAAGCAATTTTGAATGTCCTGTCGCGTCCTCTTTATGATTAACATCACTTTTTGCTTAACTAGGTTTAACTTTCTATCTGAAGTTCATATCATTAACAAAGCAACTTTCCAATAGTTGCCAAAAATATAAAAACAGAAATGTGTCTAAATAAGAAAAACATCAGCTTATACTTTCTTTATCATCGAACAACAGGGAAGACAGAAGTCTTTGGGTCAGTAATTTACCAACGCATGCAAGAGCTGCCGATCTCAAAACACTTTTTACCAGTTACGGTACGGTGATAGTTGCAAAAGTTGTTATGAAGAAGGACAAAGAAAGTTCAAAAGTCTTCGGATTGATTATTATGTCCAAGAAGGAAGAAGCGGAAAGAGCTATGAATGAACTACATGATACAGAATTTGAAGAAAAAATTCTCTCTATAACAAAACCAGATCCAAAAATTCTAGAACTTGCCCAATCACAGAAACCAAAGGCAAATTCACCATCTAAAAGGTTTAAATTTCATATTAATCAAAGATTAAATATTATCTCAACGTTTCTAAATATTTATTCTTTCAAAGTTTTCAACAAGCTTTCAATTTTTTTTTTAAAAGAAATTGAACGAAAGAATTAAAAGGAACTTAAATTTAAAGTGAATGAAGAATATTCTTACTGTTCAGCTCTATTTTTTGTTAATATCTATAAGATTTCATCGAATAGTTATTTTATTTTTTTTCATTTAAAAACCAACTGAGCTCGTTTTTGGTCATATTTTGTGAACTTGTTGACTTATTATTTTATGTAATGTTTAGGGAATCGGGAGAGCGAAATACTAGATTGGAAACTGAACGAGAGCAAGAGAGAAGAGAAGAAGAGAAGAGGCGAATCAAAAAACGTCGTGAAGACATGGAAAGACGAAAGGAGAGAATACGTCGCCAAAGAATACGTGAAGATCATGAGCGACTGGCTCGCATGGAAAGATTAGAGCAAAGAAAGAGAATCGAATTACAGAAACAGAGGGATAGGCAAAGACAAATAGAACAATTACAGCGTGAAGAATCTGCGAAATTGGAAAGAGAGCGTGAAAGGCTAAGAATGGAAAGAGAGAGATTTGAAAGAGAAAAATTAGAAATGCAAAGATTAGAAAGAGAGAGAATTCGAATGGAGAGAGAGAGGATAGAAAGGGAACGCCAATTAGAAAGAGATAAAGAACAGCTAAGGAATTTTCAAAGACAATTAGAAGAACAAAAAAGATCTCAGAAAAGACCATATGATAATAATAGAGGCAGGGAAGATTGGGACAGTAAAAGAAGAATGGACGTGCGCGAATCATCCGATAATAGAAGAAATAGGCGAACGCCGCCAAGCAGCAGTGGGCGAAGGCACGATAATAATTGGTGGCCAGAACAAGAGAAAGGTTTGTAGTTTTACTATCTCTTAATATACGGTTCTTTGATTGATACCATAAAACTATTATCTGATTTTTTTTTCGATAGGAGGTAATAGAAATACTAATGGTGGGGGCAATAACAATCAAACGTGGCTTCCAAACACCAATGTAGCGACTCTTCTAATGGGTTTAGCCGCTCAACATAATAAACAGCAGCCCCAACAGCCACACAGCACCACCTCAGACTCCAGATATGATTATAAATCGACAAATCAGCGAAGATATTAAAGTCCTGGTGGTTGCTTTGTATATTTGCTACTTTAAATGTCTTTTATGTATAAAAATCATGTTTTATACAATACTGCTTATATTTATAGCTTATAATTTAACACTTGATGTTTATATGAATAAGAGGTGAAATAAGTTAACAATTGTTTACAAAAGTATTCAGAAATGATTTATTTATGTCTTGAACAAGAGACTAAAACTATTTCGACCAACTGTAATAATGCTTTATTTAAAAAACAAAAAAGACCTTTTTTTTCATCAAATAATTAGAATATAACCCAGCATGTGTGATTCTATATTGTGAATTGATCATAATAAAAATATATACAAAGTATATAACGATTAAAACTTATACGTATCAAACAATTACTTATTCGATTGGATATTCAAGAAAATATTTGTCCTCATTGTTTAATAGTATTATATAAACAATATCATATTTATACATGTTTACGCCTAGGAATCTCAGTAATTTGTCATTTTTAGAAGAAATACGAAACGTAGTCTAAATAATATTTATTTCATTTCAAATGTTCACTTTCACTATGTTGTTGAATTTATAAAATTAATAATGTACATAAGAACAAAAATAGTGAATTTTAGTAAAAATTAAAGGGATTTTGAAGGACTGAAGCAAAGAATATTAACATATCTTACTGATTGACTTCTTTTTTAAAAAGGAAAAGAAGGAATATAGGATCATCTACTATAATTAAGAACAACGAAGTATTTGCATTTCTGCAGTTACACCGCCAACTGATAATCCTCCAATGACGTAGAGCCGATCCTATAGATAAGAGATAGTATAATTCACGTGAAAACTTGATATAAAATGTTTACTTGTATAGTGTAATATGAACAAGAGCAATGGGGTATTGCCATGCTAGATAATTGTTCCCATTTATTAATTTCCGGATCGTAGACTTCAGCTTCGCATAGAGGTTTTCCCTGTTTACCTTGAAATGAAATAGTAAAGATAAATATTTTTTTATTAGACGTATACAATAAGATATACCTAAGCCTCCTGCAACAATAAGTTTATCCTTTATATATCCAATAGCAAAATCTGCTCTAGCATTTAACATTTTCTGTTCAGTCCAAGTTTCTATGGAAGATAATCTTTCTTAAAATAAATAAATCCGTCGGAAATAACATTACCTGTTTCTATATCAAATATATCAAAGTTGTCCACAAATTCCTTAGGATGATCTTTTAAACCTCCACACCTATCATAATAATTATTAAACAAATAAATATATACAGCATATATATATATGTATTAATAAAGAGAATTATATATAATAGCATGAAGGTAAAGTTATGTTTGTACAACTTACGAATATATGTATTTATTAGAAGCAGTATACAAAGCAAATACTCTAGCTGATGGTATGTTAGGTAGTTTCCTCCAACTTTTTTCACTAAAACTATAAACTTCTATATCAGTTCTTGGTAGTTTTCCCTGACGACCGCCTAAGGACGGAGAGTATATATCTTTTTAACATATCGAAAATGAATATGATTCTGTTTTAATTACCCATATTGTATAATTTATCGTTTATTAGAAATGAGAATGTTGCATATCTCTCAGTTGGCATTTTCGGTAGTGCTCGCCAGGTATCATCTTCTATATTATATGCTGAAAATTGATCACTTGGATTCCCATTTAATTGCATTCCTCCAACAACATAGATTTCATTATCTAAAAGTTATAAAAGTAAACAATAAATAATACTTTTCTTTCTTTTAGAGTTAAATTCTCACCTTTAACTATTCCTGATAAACCTAAAATTGGCTCTATTAGAGAACTACCCTTCGACCAAGTAGTTTTCTCGATATCATAAATTTCTACAGCATCAACTGGTTCTTGATTATTTCCCACTCCTCCAAGTACCACAATCTTCTTTCCGACACTGAGAGTTAATGCTCCTGCTCTTGGCGTAGGCATTTGAGCTAATCGAGTCCACTTTCCATTTGATGTATTGTATACTTCGAATGTATCAATGGGTTTGCCCACATGATCACAACCTCCAATAACATATAGTTTCCTATCGATTTCAATAGGAGACGCGTAAACCTTCTTTGTTGGCATAATACGTTTTTTATCGGGTTTATCCCATTTGTATTTAGTTTCTACCGCAGTAGCCATGGTCTAAACAAACGATCGAATTAAAGAACGAAACGAAAAGTCGCCATATGCCGGATACTTAAAAATTTAGTGTATGCCAATTGTAGCCTCCTAATCCTATTTCATTTACAGAATAGATAAAAAAAAACAACTTTAGTGATAGGATTAAAAAATATTAAAGTGACTGAGCTTATTAAAAATATTTAAATCTTTTTAACTACGAAAACAATTTAATTCGTTGCCAAACCAGTGCTAAAATTTTATCACGTGGGTTAATGTTAGTTTAACTACTTAATACTAGGAAGGTTTTAGGTCATCTTTAGTTATACGAGTGGAATATTTTTTCAGTAATGAAAGTAATGATTTAACTATGTAATCACTGTGATACTTAGATCGCTTACTCGCTCCCTCCCTCCTCTTACTATATATATATACTGTATATAGTATATTCTATCACTGAATATGCTATTAATCCAAATCGATGCCAAATATAACTCATATATATATAACATAATATAATCTTTATTGCGGAAATAAATGTTACATGCATCAAATCTACAAGAATAATTGAGTTATTTTACAAACCTTAACTTTTTATTTCGGGAATAGACGCTATAGTATTAATCATATCAACCAACGCCATCTATACTTACATTACGAATGTTTTGGGTATCTATTTTCGTAGAGATCTTTGTTTGCGTTCTGGAGAAATTCCATCATTGAAAGATGAGAAAATGCTAGAGAACGATCAAAGCGAAGATGAACGTATTGGAAAACTTACAATATATTATTGTAAACAGTGTAATTTGAAATCGGATAATAAAAGTACAATTAAGGAACATATAAAAACATGCTTCAAAAACGATTTAATTACCGTCACAATTGAAGAAACTGATATAAACCCAATAAAACGACGTAAATTTAAAAAACCACCTGATTTCATAGGGAAAAAGGATCTAGATTCAATGCTAATTTGCTTAGAATGTCCCCAATCGAAATTCTACAATTCTTACGAATTGGAAATTCATCACAAATGTCACTCAAACATTATAGGATCTGGTCAAGATATTATTTTAAGTTGTTTTCATTGCGACTATGGATTAGGAGAGAAAGCCGATTGGAGTCGTTTACGAATTCATCTTTATCAAATGCATAAAATAGATTTTACAATTGAATGCAAGTACTGCCAAAATATATATCCAGTAGCAACCGAATATCAAAAGCATTTAAAAGAAGTTCACTACATTTGCTGTTCAAAATGTAGCTTTAAAACAGAATATCAACAAAATTTTGAAGCTCATTCAAAGTGCCATATAAGAAATAGCAAACATTTTAGATGTTTCATTTGTGGTTATTCATATAATAAACTACCTAGTCGATGGAGTCTTATGGCTAAGCATATAATTTTGCATCATCCGCAAACAGTTATACCGCCATATCAGGTATATATAGAAGCTTATATATACTTTACAATTATTATCAATAAATATCTCATTTTCCAGTGTCCAAATTGTCAAGAAGGCTGCGCCGAATTGCCATTATACTATAAGCATTTAAAACATTGCCTAAAGAAGAGGGAGAACAGTAGTTATAAAATTCCAAATAGATCTGGGAAGATTAAAAGATTAGCTTACGAAGCGACAAATAGTAGCTATACAATTCCCGATGTTTCACAGTTAATTTGTATTGAAGAGGATATTAATGCAGAAACTGGAAAAAACTGCACATATTATTGCGATGAACATGACTTTCTTACTGATAGTTTATATACAATTTTACATCATCATGGTCTATTTCACTCTTTACAAAATGAAGATAATCTGTCAACTCGTAAGTGATAGTTTATATATTAGAATACTGAAAAATTAATTCTTCTATTAATCTGTACTAGGTGAAGATTTACTTAAACTCTTAGATGATATGAATACTAAACACGCTAATGAGCCCATTATATCTGAATCAGATACACCAAGGTGCTGTTATTGTAAGAGGACATTCTCTTCTAGAGAAGCTTTCATTTTTCACTGGAGAAAATCTCATAGCGCCTTAGACGCTTACAAGTTCGTTTATTTTTATTATTTCTAAATAGTTTAATAGTATCTATTGCAAAAATTTATTTGCATTAAAATCTCATAAACAGACGATTCAAGTGTCAATATTGCGAGAAAATATTCAGATCACAAGGTAGTCAACAAACACATATATCACAATTTCATCGTCCAAAGAGCAAATCCAAACTTGAATGTTCAAAAAAATCAAAAATTGTTTATGTATGCGAAGAATGTGGTTATACAACTCCGGTAAAGAAGCGTTTATCTAATCATCGTTTATCTGTACACGAAGGAGTCAAACCGTATAATGTAAGTTGTGTATTATAAATGCGTAGGTTATCCGTAATACCCGTTTTCCGTTTCAGTGTTCAAAGTGCACATTCAAGACCAACGAAGTTTCCGATTTGAAAAGACATTTGAATAAACACGATGGTTTACAAAAGTTCAAATGTCAACTTTGTCCGTACGCCTCCTATCAGAGATTCTTATTGGTGAATCATTGTTCAAGAACTCATAATATTCAATTACCCAGAGCTTCAAGAAATACTTTGGGCAACAATCGTAATATACGTTTTAGTAATCGTGTAAAGAATTCTTCAACTTTTGAAGATAACGTTTAAATTAATAAACGCAGCTCATTGCAAATATTATTAAAAGCTTGTTTCAACTTATTAATAGCGTATGAGCTTCAATTGTTAGCATTTCCTTCTTACATCAATAATAACGTCACAATTTAAAACTTAAAATTTAAATTCTTCTATTAAATCATTAAAGTCCGAGGAATCAAACGATAAAGATGTCGAGCCCTGTTGCAGCTGAATTGAATAATGCTATCGAACCCGAGATCAATGAAAATAATAATAACGAAGCAACTGTCGTTGCGCCTATGGAACCGATGAAAAGACGATCGATGAGGGTAAAGAGAAAGAGAGCTTCGAGATCACGCTCAAAGAGTCCAAAGAAGGCTAGACGGGCTAGACGTAGATCATCAAAACGCAGATCTGGTATGAGAAAATCTTCAAGAAAATCAAGAGGACGCAAATCTAGAGGACGTAAACCAAAAGGAATGGGCTCGAAAAGAAAATCCAGAGGCCGAAAGAGTAAAGCTATGAATGATATGATGGGAGCCTAAAAAATTTGAGAATGGAACAAGGACTCGGACTGCTGAAATATTGAAAGGACAAAGATAAATGGCACTAAACAAACTTTTTTATCCCATAGAAACTAAACAAAAAAAAGACAAAATAATATTAATCGAATTTTTTTTAAATTTCAAAAATTGAAAAAACGAAACGTAAAATTAATTTTTTAATTATTATTTCTTTTAATAAAATAAAATATTAAAATTCTAAAAATTTCGTCTCATTTGTTTTTTAAGTTTAATTAAACAGAACTAATAAAAGAATCCCCAAATAAAAGTGGTAATAACCATAAGAATCATAGCGTTCCAACCGCAAACTTTCTTCCAGAATGGATCTTCGGACAAAGATTCATACTTTTTCTAAAATAAAAAATAAATAAATATTTTTAAATATTTAAAAATAAAATAAACAAATCGATTGTTTACTTGAATAGAAGCCTGTTCTTCAGGGCTTAAGGCGGGTTCATTTTGTTTTTCAATGCCGCATATCCAATTGAACGCTTTCTTATACCAAGGCAGACTATCGTCTAATAAATTATTTTCGCAAATTATTCGTAACAAACATAAGATATGCAGTATAAGAGATTCTTACAATCCTCTTCTGTTTCCTCGTATACTGAATCCTTTTCTCTTTGGCTTTCTGTGCCTTCATCATCGGTCTTCTCCAATTCGGACAAATCTACTCTTTCCTCTATACTATGTCTTGTCCAGAACGTTAATCGGAAAAGCTGTTTTATTATTATTATTATGAAAAGCACATATAATACACAAAACAAAAAGAGATTTGTATACTTAGTTGGGCTTGCGTAAAAACTTACGTGAATATCATCAATAGGCTGGGTGACAAGGCTAACTACAGTCGTAACAATGCATACTATAACAAAAAGAATAATTCCAAAATGCAGATAGTGAACGTCCTGTATAATGCAAACAAAACAATGATATTCTGTATAAATATATCACTAATTTGTGGTAACATAATTTACTTTGATTATAGCAGGTCTGGAATCTTCTTCCCCACAAGCAGGTCTTTTGTAGGAGTACTCCCATGCAAATCTTGCAATACCAATGAGGAGTCCTATGACTAAACCACTGAACGCTCCTTTTTCGTTAATTCTTTTCCATACAATTGCGAGAACATAAACAGCACACACAGGTGGAGATAAATAACTTGTAATACTTTGTATATAGTGAAACAATTCAGCGAAATTTTTAACTATAGGAATCCAAACAATCCCCACGGCAACCATAAACAAAACAAAAACTCTGCCAACAATCATCAATTCTGTATCAGTGGCATTTTTGCGAAATTTTCTCCAAATATCCAGCGTAAAGAGTGTAGAAGAAGAATTAAATATTGATGTTAAACTAGACATAAGAGCCGCCATCATAACGGCCAACATCATACCTCTAGCACCAACGGGCATTAACTGTAGCCATTAAGAAAAAGGTAAGGTAGAAACATCTTTTAAGTAAATTATTCTCTATTAAAAATTTCTTAACCTTTAGAACTAAAAGAGGATAAGCGATATTTGTACATCCTTGTTTTTGTCCACAAGCCTCTTCACATGTAACTGGATCAGCACATCCAACAGTATTCGGAAACAAAATTCTAGCAACCATTCCAGGAACAACTAATAGCCACATGGGCAACAACTTTATGTAGCCAGCCAGAATCGTCCCAGCTTTAGCATGTGTTAGATTTTTGGATGCCAAAGCCCTTTGAACGATAACCTGTTGATATTGTTTTAAATTAAAATACTTTAAAGGCAGTGTTAAGACGAATTTAAAATAAAATGAAATTGTTAAGAAAGAAAGGTGCATTAGTGAGGAAATTTTATGAAAATTGAGTTAAATTTAAACCTGATCGGAACACCAATACCAGACACCTGAAACGGTTGCACCGAAAACGACGCCTGGCCAAGGATAGTTTCCATCTTTATGACTACGAAATAAGTGCAAAGAATTCGATGGAGGAAGTCCACAATCAGGCTTTGTTAGGTTATTTCTCAAAAACTTATGCCAAGTATTATTTGATATGGCATTAAAAAATCTATATTTAATATTTTCCCAACCGCCAACTTCTGTTATACCTTTATTGCGAAAGAAGAGTTATAAAAGTTGTTATTGAGCTAAATATAATCTTCTAACAAATTTATCACTCAATCAAATGTACGATAAAGAAAATGCGACTACTATGAAGATATTATTACTATTCTAAGAAGCTTTTTTTATGTCAGTAAATCAGGTGTAACCAGAATAGAAATCTAAAAACGTAAAGAGAGATAGAAAGATGATAAATAGAGTGTTCAACAAAAAGAAATTAAAATTAATTAACAATATGTAGGTTATCTCAACCTGATCGGAACACCAATACCAAATTGAAGATATTGTTAAACCGATAAACACCCCAGGCCAAGGCAATTGAGAATCATTGGCTGCTCTGAAAAGATGGAGAGAATTTTCGGGAGGAAATCCACAATTTATATAAGGATTTGAACGATTCCCATCCGGATGATACAAATTAAAAATTGTTGAATTAGGAAGGCTTTCCATAAAGCGTTGTGAAATCGTTGAAAAATTACCAACCTTGGCCATGCCTGAATTATTTTTATAATTTTTTTACGATCATATGATAATCAGAGTTTTGTTTAAAAAAGTTGATAGACACCACTTACTTATTATCATCAATGCGGCTGCTCCGATAAGCATAATGATTGTTTGAATAAAATCAGTCCATATTACTGCAGTTAAACCGCCGGATATAGTAAATAAGGCAGCAATACCCAACAAAAGGGTTACTGCAAAATATAAATTCCAACCAAGTGATTGTTCAATGAATATAGCTCCGGCGTATAAGTCAGCCTACATAAAGATTTTTAACTTTGTAAGTAAACATATACAGTATATATATATATATTAATCTTATATCCATTAGAATACCTACTGCAACTTTTGTGAAAATGGATAAAATTAAAGCCATAATAGCCAAATAGACTCGAATTCTTTGGCCTCCGAAACGTTTCCGTAAGTATTCGGGCATTGTAAAAACCTATCTCATAAAAAGTTTAAACAATATCAAAAGATGGAACAGAATCGAACTTACACCTGCAGCCATATATACTGGAACAAAAACCCAGCCTAATAGCATTAATATAAATATGGCCTAAATGTTGTTTTGAAAATTAATATTATTATTCAAGTAATAAATTGAAAATTCGCCTTCAACGTACACTTAACTCAAAAACCGAAATTCCTATTCCACTAGACGCTCCGGATCCTGCTAATCCAATAAAATGTCCGCTTCCGATATTACTAGCGAAGAGAGAAGCCCCTACAGGTATCCAGTGCATAGATCTGCCAGCCAGGAAATATCCTCCAACACTACCTCTATTTCTTAACGATGACTATTAAAAACGAATTTATATGATATTATAAAAGTAATGCTGAGTTGAAAGAATATGAGAGTTTCCCTATAAACTTGGAAAAATTATTTATTATAGCGATATTACATATTAATTAGAATCAACGATAGAACGTATGCATTCTGTTTAAATTTAATCTGTAGGTTTTTGTGAATAAATTAAAGTCTTTATTCAAAACCTTAGACAGTTTAACGAATTAATTTTTTGCGCTAAAAAAAATTCAGAATGACTTTATTTTGTTGATGCAGATATATCCTATAAAGATAAGTATAACATGTTAATACTAGTTGAAATATTGCTTTATTTTAGAGCTTGTTCCGAAAAATATCTAATAGTAATAGTGTGCAAAATGTCGTCTTTATTTAAAGAATATAGAAGACATTCTAATAAAAATGATTTACGCAATGAGGAAATTATTTAATGAATGCATTAAAATTTCCAAAGTGAAGAATAAAGCAAACTTTAAATAAAGTATGTAAACATAGTTAGGTTCGCTTTGCATATTGCACATGCTACAATATGCTATACTTGTTGAGAAAATCAGATAGTCTTTCCAACATATCAGTAGATGAAATTTTTATATGACTAGATAACAAAATTAAGTTGAGTTAGTCAAGTTTCAAATCGCTTACCCACAAACCAAATCCTAAAACTATAACGAAATATGCAACTATTACTCCAATATCTCCTGCCTCTAACTTGGTTCCACCTAATAGGTCTTTTTCTTCGTCATTAATCATCCTGTTAATTAACGGGGACCAAGACTCTAACGGACGAAATAAAGCACACCTTTATCTTTATATGTAGATAGATGGCGCTATGTTTCCCAATTGAACAGGTAAAGAGGTCCCAGTTCAGTTTTCAGTTGTTAAGGACAACTATTATGGCGGGCTGAGATGTCGAACGGCAATGTTTGCGGGCCGTTATGCCCTCATCCCTCCTGTTGGAAGGTCCAAAGGTCTTCTAAACCTCCAAAGACAGCAGAAAATACAAGAGAATCTGCTGATTCCAGTTACGAGCCTCTTCCAACTCAGTCCGTAGTGAATTTATTTGAGAATGTTCTTCCACCTAGTGAAAGGCGTATATTTTATGAGCCAACGGAACGTCTGCCTACAAGAACGACAGGCAGTCGAATTCCAGCCCCTCAGGCTACGCCAGCCGTCGGAGATGACATCACATTGACAAGCCTTGAAACAAAACGTGCCAATCAAATTATTGTCCATGAAGTTTTTGAATTATCTGATCTGCGGAGTAGTGTAGGCGAAACATTTATGCCAACTTCTTATTTAGTCTGGCACCCTTCTAAGGAAAAACCTAAAAAGCCGAAAACTCGTAAAATAATACAAAATCCGTTAGATGTTCTTCCACCGGCTCCTCCTCCACATACTGCTGCTAGTTCTCGTCAGCCAACTAGAGTAACAAGATTTAGAAAGTCTCCCTCAGCTGGGTATAGAGGTTTAGATGATCTACTGGATTTGCCCAGAGATATTTTGCACCAAGTCGTTGGTAGTCTATCTCCTAATGATTTAAGAGATAGAAAACGTCTTACATCAAAGTTATTGACTCTGGTTCCCCAACTAGAACGACACAGTTCAGCAGTTGCTTTGGCAGCTAGTAGAGTTTTAACCCAACACAAGATGAGAATTGCTGAACTACAAACCTCTCTTTCTGAAACTTTCTCCCGCTCACAGACAAAACCAACTGTTAAATTACATAGAAGTGACAGTGCTGGATCATCTGATCCAGATAGAACAACAATTCCAGTAGCTGATGTAGCGAAGATGTTACATAAACAAAAAGACGTTGGACGTATTGTTTTAGATTCTAATGTATTGGAACTCGCTCCCAAAACTGAAAAAGATGAAGTCCCAGAACGACATATAGTCCTATTAAAAAAGACACCAGATCTAGATACGAATACAGAAAGTTCCTTGCATGTTTTCACTCCAGAGACTATTGAGGCTGAATCCACAGAAGAGGTAGAATTAACGGCACGAGAAGAGTTAATGGAAAAGATACAATGGGCTGGAGAGACGGCTAAAGTTGCCGACGAAGATCCATCACCAGTTCCGCCCCCTCCGTCTCCCAATGCACTTCAAACAAGTGCACCTTCGACAGCCAATAATAACGCAGCCTATATTTTTGATTCCGATTCTGAGCATTTTACGATTAGTGCTCGCCCACCAACTGACTTAGACGACATATCAAGATTACAGACGCCGAAAACCCCTTCAAAAAAGGATTTGCCGGCGCCATCTAATGATCAGTCAATATCTGTCAGTAACATTATGAAAAATGCTGTTTTTGCCTTGAATGTGCCTCTAGATCAAGTTGACGTTATTGCCGAGGAAGATGAAGAAGGATTAAAGAATAGATTTGCTCCTGTTTGAAGCTTGCTTGTTCTTTCTAACTTACACTAACTATTTATTCTCCTGTGATAGAAAAATATGTTTTGTAATGAGCTTGTTTTTTTGGGTTATTTATTAAACTGTGCCAAATACAAACCTGCTGAGGTCTACTTTCAATATCGATTACAACATGATCGATTCTCGGACCATAGGATTTAACTTTATGTATGAATTGTACGGTTATATGCCAATTCTTATCAGTTAGCTTAGCCAGAATGTCACCAATTTTGTACTTCAACTTATTTGCATACTTTTCGGTTGCATTAGAGTCATCAAATAAATTTATATTTTCATGAACATGCATAATTCCACCAGTTTCCAAGTTCAAACATTCGCATGCAGTTTGGAGAAATGGTTCGGATGAGGGCAGAATACCTAAATTGATTCGATCACCCACATTTTTTGGACTTTCCTATAAATAAAAAAAATAGGTAATCTTACATTATTAATTAGATTTATAATTACCATTCTATTATCCCCAACATAGATTTTACATCTGTCTTGAACCTTATTTGCTTGTAGATTTCTCTGTAATGCTTCAATAGCAGCAGGATTCCATTCACATGCATGAACAAACTTCGCCTTAGAATGAACAAGATAAACAAGAGAAAAATAGCCTATACCAGCAAATAGGTCAACAATGATTTCATTAGAACAGTCCAGTTTAGCAAGACGTTCTTTTTCCGTTATATTTCCTTTACAAAACATACTCCTTTCAATGTTGTAGTGAATGCTAGAAATGTAAAGAAAAGTATCGTTCTAAATTGATTCATTTTTTACAATGTGATTATTTACGTAAGTCCTAATTCTTTTTGCATAACCCACGGGTCTTTACAGTCGAATGGAAATAGAAACTGGACTTTTGGTGTTCGAAAATTATCATCGTTTATAGTAGACTTTACAGCTATTCTCTCAGATTTATATATGTGACATATTTCTTCCATATATTCTGTAAAAACAATTGGATTTTCTAATATATATAAAAAATGTGCCACTTTTTTTGATGTTTTTTTGGAAAATTAACGTACCCTTCCAAATTTCAGAAGAAAACGAAGTTTCGGGGAAAAGAGTCAAATTTCCAATTTTCTCATATTTTTTAGGAATTTCTACTAACAAATTATTTAAATATTCCTCTTTAATTTTATCTTTAATCAAAAGAATAACTTTTTCGTAAGGGTTTCTCGAAACCTTCGTTTTTTTTCCAGCACATGTTGCCATTTCTGAGCGATATTATAGGGTTCGGCTTATTAAAAAATAAGATCACGTGACCAAAAAATTCCCTCTTAGACCGCCAAAAAAGTTTCTCCTTAACAGAAATTCCTCTATTCTATAAAAAAAGTTTCATTTTCTAAACTTAAGAAGATCTATAGTATTTCATGTTAATAAGAACGGATAAACTGCTCTTAATTCGCCAGAATCAAGCAATAAGGTAAGTCAATCACGTTGTTTTAAGATTTCATATAACAGTCGCATTTGAAAGTTTAAGGTTTAGGTATTTTCTTGAAAAATTACATATGTTACCACAAAATATTAATCAAGGTAAAACGAACATCTGTAGCAATACAATAATGAAGGTATTATTTAACCACATTCTGTTGTTTAACAGCCTGCACTTTTTCATTATAACAAAAAAAAACAAAATTTACCAAAATTTGGGCATAAAAAACTTTAATATTGTTGATTATTTAAATATAAATTATATTAAAATATTAATTATATAATCTTCATTTCGCTACAAAATAAAAACAAATGGGTGTAATACATTTCTCTTCATGATTCTCATTAGCGATAGTTATTTTTGAAAAACGTCAACAGCTTTTATCGCATTCGTTTGATCAAGTATCTGAATAGTGTATGCAAATAGATGTTGCATTTGTAATTTTTAATTATTAGGTCTGTAAATCGATCACTTTCAATCGAAAGAGTGCTATGGAGCAGTATACAATGATGCACGAGATGTACGATAGGATGAGCCTTGAAGATTCAACCGATCAATCTGCCAGATATCGTAAACGTATTTCTACACAGGATATTATTATAAAGAATACTGATGTAAATTTTTCTTCAAGGCCAATATGGGTTTGTATTCAAATGTTTAAACAACTTTACTCGGTGCTGTTTACTTGGTTTACACTTAACTTTTTGTTTCTTCCATTTCATGTTGTGTTTAGGAGGAAATTTTACCTGAAGCCAGCCCAGCTGATCGTTTAGAAGCAATAGTATCTTCTCTATGAAAAAAAAACGTCAAAATAATCAAATTATATTAATGACTTCAGTGAAGTAAAAAGGATAACACTTTGAGAAACTTAATAAAGGAAAACGTATTATTTAATATACGACTGTTAAGAGAAAAATCTTGTATCTTTTTTAATATTTATTCTTTATTCGTGTACAGAAATTAATAAAAAATATGGTTTTTTTTTGATGGCATTGTCAGGTTTTTACTGTTTTTTTTTGTTCGAACAAAGAATACAGAGTTGTTTATATTGATAACTTTATTCTTCTAAAATTACACTCATGAAGATGGCGCTAACTGCTTAGAAAAGAAACTAGCGAGTTTATGCTTTCCTATCTCCATTAGCAACCAGGTAGCGGCGTCTGCTAATAATTCACCTTTACCAAATCGATAGAGTTTTAGCATCTGTAAGCATGGATAAATCAAAATTGGTTCAAAGATATTTAGAAAGACATCGAATCGGGCCATTATTCGAGGTATTCAAAATTTGTGTAGGTTATATAAGAAGGCTATATTCTGCCATTATAAAAATTCTCTTGATAACAATGGCATATTTGAAGAATTTAACAGAAAAATTCTGCTATTATTATATAAATATATATGATTATTATTGTTCAATAGGAATTAATGGGTAGGATTGTGAATGACAAGCCTGAGGAGCCCCTTCCTTACTTAATAAGGCTTATACAGAAAAGACAAGATAGGTCTAGTACAGCGGCAATGCTGAGAAAGAGTACAAGCGATTTGCATCATATTAAAAGAGAAACAACTGCCTCGAAGGTTGGAAAATCTTTGACTTTATCGAAAAGTACAAACTTTCATCCTAAACCTAAAAGTCCTACGACTAGGCAACAAAAGCCAGATTGGGACAATTCAACGAAAGTAAAATCTTTGGATGATTTATGGGGCAGTCCTGATGAAAGAAAAGAAAATGGTTTTACACCGGATGAGGATCTTTACATAAGCAGAGGCTATGCTGGTCCAGTTGTAAAGGATGATGAAGATTCTCTAGAGGCTGAACTGAACATACTTAAATATAGAAAAACTAAGGAGAAGACAACTGCACAGAAGCAACCTGTAGTATCCTACGCTCCAACAACAGCTAAGGGTCGGCTTGCTTTGCAAGAAAAGAGAAGGAGAAAGATCGAAAGCTTAAGAAAAAAAGACGAGAAAGATTCTGGATACGAAGACAATAAAGATTTAACAATTAATGACGACGCCTTGGAGTTATATGGTAATTAAAATTTTCCAAATGTTTTATCTCATGATTATGACGGAATCATATTCTTCTTTCAGAAAATGCTGATGATCTCCGCTCGGAAGGTATAAAAGTAAAAGGAAGTCGTGGAGTAAAAATCGCTCCAACTTCTATACCGAGAAACGAAAGTCAAGTTCGAGTTAGCGTTTGCGCAAGATGCGCTAGGTAAACTGACAATATCTAATCATGAACACTATTATGCTCTAGAATAATAATTTAAATTTGCAGAGTCATGACCGGTGAACCAAGTGAAGATGTCTGTAAAGGAGGTTTCGAGAGATACACTTCTGATACCGACCTAGATAGTCGGGTAGATACACCCGCAAAATTTACAACTGACTTTGAACAAGAAGAAGAGGAAGAAGAGGAAGAAGAATTTGAGAGTGTCTCTCAAGTAACTGGACCCGTATGTTGATCATTTTGTAACAAAATAAAATACTAAATACTCTATCTATTTGAAGAGAAAACCTGTCTGGACGGATGATGAAGATAAAAGTGCTAGAAGAAGTAAAACTATGCTAAGAACTACCATTCCTCATAAGGGTAAACCCATGTATTTTAATGAAGAAATTGCTAGTGCTAGAAGTACACCTAGAAAATCGGAAAGATCTACTAAAAGCAAAATGAGGCAAACATGGGCGCCAGGTGTTCAAAACACTGATTCTGATGAAGAGGAAAATCAAAGAGGCTGGAGAGTGGTTGATAACGACTCGGATGCTAGTATAACTACTAGTAGATCAACAAGAAGTTTGTATTTTTCATTTTTATTTTGCGTTTGTTTTATTTCCAAAATTTCATATTTAGATAAGCCTACAAGATCATCGTTTCCAAGAAATCGTGACAAAACAGGTTTGCTTATTTAGAGATTATGGTTTAAATAAAAAGATTATATTATTTCTTTTTTTTTAGTTTACTAGAAAGTTCAATGAAGAATGGAATATTATGAGCTTGACTCATCAACCATTCGATTGAGTACTTAGTTTAGATATATCTTTAATCTCTATATCACGATGTTGTTTTCTTCTTATTTTATATTATACACTAATCAACTATGAAAGTAGAAACACTTGCGTAATAAATAAACTAATTAATAAACTCTTATCGCAGATAAGTTAGCTTCTCAAATGAAGTTCTAGATCTTTTAACTGTTAATTGTTTGAATTACATGGGGAAAAGATTAAAGTTCAAGAGAGTAAAATATAAAAAAGAAATATAAGGAATTATAAAATTGCGCAATATGTTTACTTTATTGTTGTTCACATACAAAAACTATATAAGAGAGAACGTCTTTCTACAGAGAGATTAGAACGTTCACAAAGAGTCTATTCTGATGTTAGTCCAGAAATGAGAACAAACTTGTTGCAGGTTATTTTATGCGACGTAAATATAGAACAATAATTCAAGTGGAGAAAAAAACCGGAGTATAAAAACTGGTAGTATTATGCGTATTTTCGTATATATTAGTAAACCATCAGCAGAATCACGAATAATCAAAATTTGTATTTATAAAAATTATTAAATATTAATTATATGTTCGTAAAGACAAAATATTCCAGGGGAAAAAGGTTATTTTGGAGATGAAAAATTGAAAAATTCCATTCAAGTTCGAAAGATTTTTTCTATATTTAAGTCATATTAAATTATAAAAAAATATTAGATATCAAATTTTATCGAGTTAAGATCTTATAAAACAATAGATTAGCAAAAATAATATTTTTTCCTTTGAATTCTCCTTCTCTACAACAGAATCAAGACTATGTTAAGGAAATTAGCAACTGGAAGCGCTCTAATAGCTACTGGAGGTGGGCTTATATATATAAAAAAACGTGAAAATGTAGCCAGTGCAGCCGAAACTCCATATCATCATCAACATCAGGTATTTAAGAGTCGAAAGGATCATATTCATGATCTAAAGACAGGAGAATATGATGTTATTGTTGTTGGTGGTGGAGTAACGGGAGCTGGTGTTGCATTAGATGCTCAAACTCGTGGACTGAAGACTGCTATTTTAGAAAAAGACGATTTTTCATGTGGAACTAGTAGCAGATCAACAAAGTTGCTACACGGCGGAGTAAGGTATTTACAAAAGGCAGTTTTTAATTTGGATTATGAACAATATCGTATGGTAAAAGAAGCCTTAGCAGAAAGAGCTAATCTTATTAAAATAGCTCCTCATTTGGCACAACCACTTCCTATTATGTTACCAGTATACCAATGGTGGCAACTACCATACTTTTGGGCAGGCCTGAAGATGTACGATCTTGTAGCAGGTTCTCAAAGGTTAAAAAATTCGTATTTTATGTGGAAAAATCAAGCAATTGAAAACTTTCCTATGTTGAAATCTGACAAACTTGTTGGAGCTTTGGTATACTACGATGGTCAGCACGATGACGCCAGAATGAATCTGCAAATTGTTCTCACGGCAATGAAGTATGGAGCAACCATCCTAAATCATGCATCTGTTATTAATCTTTATAAAGGCGAAAATGGCAAGCTTAATGGGGCAAAAATACGCGATGAAGAGACAGGAGAAGAATTTGTTGTAAAAGCGAAATCTTTCGTTAATGCCGCAGGGCCATTTACGGATTCCATTAGGAAACTGGACAATGAAAACATTAGAGAAATTTGTCAGCCATCGCTAGGAGTGCACGTTGTATTACCAGATTACTATTCTCCTGCAAAAATGGGTCTTCTTGATCCGGCAACATCTGACGGACGTGTTATTTTCTTTCTTCCATGGCATGGTACAACTCTTGCCGGTACCACAGATGCACCTTGCAACCTCACTAGCGAACCTGCTCCTACAGAAGCTGACATTGAATTTATTCTACGTGAAATCAAAGAATACCTTTCAGATGATATCAATGTCAGAAGAGGAGATGTTCAGGCAGCTTGGGCGGGTATTAGACCCTTAGTTCTTGATCCTAATGCATCAAGTACTCAGAGCATAGCCAGAAATCATATTATTGAAGTTTCCGAAAGCGGTCTGATAACGATTGCAGGCGGTAAGTGGACAACTTATAGGCATATGGCCGAGGAGACCGTTGATAGACTGGTTGAAGTTCACAACTTCTCCTCTGCTAGCAGTTGTCAGACTAGAGGTCTGATGCTTGACGGCGCTGATCACTGGACACCAACCTATTTTATTCGCTTAATTCAAGATTTTGGTCTTGATCACGAGGTTGCCGTTCACTTGTCTCATCTGTATGGTGACAAGGCGTACAAGGTAGCTAGAATGGCAAGTTTAACAGGAGCCAAATGGCCAGTTGTGGGGCTTAGATTGCATACCCAATATCCATACATTGAAGCGGAAGTCAGATATGCGTGTCGTAGAGAGTACGCCTTAAGTGTAGTTGATTATATTTCGAGACGATCTCGCTTGGCTTTCATAAATGTTCAGGCGGCACGGGAAGCTTTACCAAAAATCTGTGCAATAATGGCCGAAGAACTCGGTTGGAGTAAACAAAGAATAAAAATTGAACATGAAAATGCTTTGAAATTTTTGAAACTCCAAATGGGTTTGGGAATGAAAGAAAGGTTTATAGTTTCTTCAATATCATTTACAGATCATAGTCTCTTCTACATACATCATAATATTTTTCAGATCTTTAAGGAATATCCCAATCAATTTATCATATGAAGAAATTAGAGAAATGCAAAAGAGATTCAAATCTATTGACACAAGCAACAAAGTAAAGATGTTTATATACCCTATATAAAGTGTCTGTTAATAATTGGTTTTTTTTCAGGGTTTTATTACAGTAAATGATCTTCGAAGGCACTTTCATAAAAGAGGAGAGAAAATTAGTGAAGAACAATTGCACGAAATATTAGAAGAGGTTGATTGCTCCAACAACGCTCAAATTGATCTTTCAGAATTCTTACAGGTAAATGAAATATTCTCTTTTATCAATATGAAACTAAATAATTTTTAATTGTTCTTTAAAAACAGTTAATGAGCGCTCTAAGAACTGGAGCAGTATCGCAAAGCCGTTTCGCAAAAGTAGCAGAAATTGCCGCAGAGAAAAAACCAATTCCAGTCAACCGTAGTGGGGGTGGAGTATAAGTCTCTCTAGAAAACATTGGATAAAAGTGAGATTCGGATTCTAAATGGAATCTAATTTCATATATACTTGTATTAAAAAAATCCACCTATTGCAATTAGTTTGTTGATGACAAACTTTAGAAAATTTTAAATGTGTAGTGGACAGCTTCTATTTTTTGACTTTAATTGCCATTTCTTCCCCCTCCCCCTCTCTCTCCCTTGTTTTAAAACATATATTTGTGCAGTTTTTAGCTAAAAAATAGTAAATACAGGTTTGTTGTTTGGAGAAAATTTTAATGAATAAAAATGTCTTTATCATCTTAAAATCTCTTTTTTAAAAGAATAATTTATTCAAGTCAGTTTGAATGATATGAATAAAAAATGGAATTCAAACGAAATTATAGTTTTCAGAAAGTACTCACGAATTAATAGGAAAAAATTATTTACTTGGATTATTTGTAATCTTAAAATCACTGACACAATCACCACATATCCATTCTACTTTCATTTTTGGCCATGCATTTACCACTTGAGCCGTAAGAGGGCGCTTCACATACTTTCTGTTAAATTGAATTCAATTAATTAATCTATATAAAGTAGGAGAGCTTATAGTAAACTTACTTTCCAACAAATGGTTGATATATGCCATTTTTGGTTGCTATAAGTAGAAGAAAATCAATGAATTTGGATACTTAATGGGCTATTTTTTATATAAAAATTACTAGTTCTCGGGCTTAATGCTTCTAATCGTCGATTTACACTCGAAATTGATAAACTGTAAAGAATGTGTTTAATCGATATCTATGCTGAATGTTAATAGAAATTTACCTAGAATCCGGTCTAGACGATAAATAACCGGGAACATGTTCCTTAGCAATTTCCTTCTGCGATATATCTCTTCCAGCGGCCAGCCATTTTGATGCATGAGCCACCGATAAAAAGCCTCGTTTATCCCATAAGCAATCATCATTTCTTCTACTGCTGTCACATTTTGTATCCAAAACGATGGAAGCTGTGGGTACTGTTTAAGCAAATTCTCAAATTTATTAGGATAATGCGTATACCATGATTAGTTGACACAACCTCTTAATACTTCTTTATTAGTCCAAGATTCGGCCGTCATCTGTTGATAGAGAGAAACATCGTCGGAAACATCCGTTTTTACATCAATTTCTATAGGTTTTCTAGGAGTTTGAGGAGTTAGCGGAGGGCCAACATCTGACAATTTTTTGCCTTGAACTAAAAGCGTTTCACTTTCTTTTCTAAATAAGTATTTTTTGTTTATAGAGACGTTTTTTATGTTAAAGTTAGATTCAGTCATAATTCTTACTCATTATCGATTTTAGTGGAAGTTTTAGGCCATTTTGAAGATGCTGTTGAAGGTCTAAAAATAGAAAAAATTAATAGTTACATATATGTGCAGTAATTAACTTTGTCTAACCTTGAACATTTCGAGGATCTTGCGCTAAGTCTTGGAGTTCTAGCTGACTATAGAAATTGATATCGAATTGACGAATAAATATAAAAAAGAAACTGTATAAAATCATTAGCTGAGCAATACCTTTGTGCTAGTGGGAAATCGGTGGGGTGAAATGGATATATGTGTTGATTGATTTTCATCAGTTAATTCAGTTTTTTCTTCCTCTTCATTACTGCCTAATATATATTTCTCAATATGACTTACATCTTGTAATTTATTATTTTCATATGGTTCTAAAAGAGTATCGAAATTACTGTAAAAACCAATTTTTTCTTCAACTAAATAATTCCAAGTATGTATATAATTATCTTTTAAAATATTATCTTTTTCCACTGATTCTGAAATATCGGATTTCTTTTTTATTATGCAATAATCTATTTTATCTCCAAGACTATTCGCCTTTCTCCAAACCATTAGATCGTTGTCGAATTTGTAATTATTCATGTTAATAGTTATGCAATAATCATCGGAATCCTTCGGTTTAGTTATTCCTCCGCTAGCTGCCAAAACAGTATCTCTTTGGGCAATAGCCCTAAAAGGTTCGGGTAGTGCCAAAATTACCCCAAGTTGCTGAGCAGCTAGCATTATCTTATCACCAATGGCTAGACGAGTTAGCGGAAATTTACGTTAGTTGATTAGGATCATTTAAAATGTATTATAATTTTAAGGAACCTGGAAATTTTCTGCAATATTTTTCAACATTAAGACATACTTCGTTGTCTGGCTTTTCTGGAAAACTAAGACCAGATTCGTGATAATTTGACTTTTGAATAGCTTCAATCAATCTTTTCTTTGATTTAATAATTCCATTCTACGAATCAAAATAGGAAAAAAAGGAAATGGCTATTAAATATTATTCGTAATCTTTATGTTAAATATACCGTGCATACACCAAATTATGAATTTCTACAAAGTACAACGTACTATACTATTATATACACTGTGTATTTTTGGACTAAGTACTCCTAAGGGGCGCGTTGTTGTAAATTTATTTCGTAAAGAGGTAGTACTACTAAAGGTTGAACTTTAAAATGTCTCTTTTGCAAAAAGAGACGCCTTATTGAATTTTTATTGTTACTATTTAAATAGATATTGAATCGTCTCTATGTAAAAATTCATACTTTGGTGTGTGCAAATATACAATAGTATAAATGATATATACATTAATTGATTTTGGTTGTATATCCTTTAAAGATAAATCAGATATGATTTTTAAACATATTTGACATATTGCCAATCCTGTTTGATGTAAGATTGAGATTATCTCATGCTCTTCAACCTAAATATTGAAGGAAGGGCAAAATTTAGTTTATATAAAAAAGAAAAAAAGAAGAAGACTCTTATTCTATATCAATATCCAACCTTTTGACGAATTGATTGAATAAGTTTTTCAATTCGATTAGTCGCCAAAGTCCCAAGAGCGGAAGATACAAGGGCTTGAATACCTGTAAAGACGATATCTCTTAAACACAAACTTATAAGAGAGTACACAACATTGAAGATATTTACCTTTACTCTCCTCAATTTGGTTTAAGCAGACCGAACTGTTGGTGAATAAAGGCAAAAATTCAATAGCAAGAGATTTCTTAATCCTCTCAACTCTGAAATATTTTCTATTAAATATCTTATACACTTCTATATTTATTCAAAAACAAAATTTACATAATCATATCCTCCTTGTTCAAGCACTTTTTTGCTTTATTATACAGTTTAAATTGAATAAGACTAGAATAGAATAAAGTTGTATAAAGCCTATCGTTTACATCCATCTTCTAATAAAAAAACATATTAAAAACACTATTGATTATAATTGCGTGAATGGAGTTGATTAACTAACCTGGCCGGAGTCTCTCTTAATTTTCACTAAATTGAAGAGAAAAACACCTATTAATACTCTGATCTCTTTAGGATATTTAAATATGGTATTGAAATCCAAATCACTAAAATATGGCAAATAATTCATTAATTAAAATATACTACTCAATCAATAAAGCTAATTATTGTTACCTATCATTTAAGTGTAACATTGTAAAGATATTGTCATAGCAGACCAATGGAATATTGAACCATAGCGATATCTATGAAATAGTAGAAAGAATTTATAAATTTTGTATATCATTAGTTATTATATTACATGAATAGTAGTTATTAACAATGTCCAATACTTTGGGGTTGTTATCATTAATTCAAAGAAATTATCCATATATTCAGGTAGTTCGTTGATAGAAAATTCCGCCAATGTTCCAGTTCTATAATAAAAACAATTGAATGTAGAGAGAAATGAAAACAGGGCTATTTATTAATTATAGGCAAAAAGTAAAAACCTGGCTTTTGTTACGAAATACTGTGCTGTATCATTGATCATATATTTTAGTTTTTTAATATCTATAACTATTATATTGAAGAAGAAAACGAAAAGCATTAGGATTATGTAATATTAATAAATAGTAATGAAATGTATACACACTATGATTATGGCACATATCCTTAGGTGGAAAATTCTTAAAATATTCATTTGCCAATATCCCATGATTTAAATTTGATTGATGGGTTGATGAGAAAGTTTTCAATTTCCATGGTAACAGTTTATGTCTCTAGAATAGAAATAGATTGTTTATTCTATTTATTTAATAAAGTAAAGGTATTAAAGATATCTTATTACAATTGGTTTTTTAGATAATGCCGACTTTTCAAAGAAATTGAAAACGTATTCTCTTTCAGCAGCTGTTTGTTAAGTAAGATTAATTAAAATATTACCTGTCAATAATAGCCTATATATTTTAAATACCTGTAATAAATATTCCATCCAACATCCATAGATACGGGAAACAATCTATCACGTGTTTTCTATCTGATAAAGAATAATATATAATATTACATAATATAGTATATTAATAGCAAAATTTTTAATTCTTACAATGAGGATCCTTTTCTAAAGGATTAGCTTGAAGTGTTAAGCTTATTATATGGCAACCTCTTATTTTTTCCAAATTTTTCCAGTTTAACCTATTATTATTTAGTTTTAAACAACCAAAAGCAACAAAATCCGATAGAGAATCAACGTTTCTTATCTTTTTGCAATAAGATTAACATTATTTTTTTTCTCTATTAATTAATTATCATAAAGTATACCTACCTGATTGCAGGAAAGGTCCAAATGCCACAATTCGGTACAAGACTCTAAGTTTGTTACAATATCAATACTATTCCCTTTAACATCTAGATATTTCAAATTTGAACAAAAATCCAATTCATCAATATAAGCTTTTGGTTTTTAATATCATTTTGACAAAAGATAATAGAAATTATTAATATATAATCAAAATATACAATTTTTTAAAACAATTAGGCCTACCTATTCCTGCTGATGTTAAATCGAGATATTCAATAATATCCAATTCTCCTGTTGATCTCTCCTTTAATAACTAAAGAAACCAATTTAATTATTAGGATTAGTTAATAAAAATTTAGTTAAATTGATTACTTTATAAGTTACGGGCATTTTTTCTTTATCAAAGCATGTCAAGTGTTTTTCTGTATATAGTTACGAATAACAATCAAAGATACTGAACTATCGAAATTCACTTCTAGAAAAATTCGTAATTATAGTATGGTATCTTGATCGCTAAAATTTTGGTCTCCTTGAAAATTTATAGAGAACTTTTCATATTTACAATATAATTTACTACTTTTTCATCATGGGAAATTGGAGATTAGAAGCTTTAAAGGTTACTAATATTTCATTTCAAAAAATAGTTGTATGCTTTTCCAACATCACTAATATTATTGAACAATTTTCCTAATTTCGATTGGATCATTAATTGCGTTGCACACTTTTTCTTGCGTACAGATGAGTATATATATGGCATTCCCAATTACCGTTTTTTGGTTATATAATCAACCCGAATTCTTCGAAGAATGGACTGTTAAAAAAAGGGTACGTTTGTAACAAATGAAATATGCGAAAAAGCAAAAAAAGGCTACATTTTCTTGTTTCTTTTTATTTCTTGTCACAGAAAGAATTATATCCTCCAGATAGTGCTGAAAATGTAAGCAATCGAATGAATTTTGTTAATAGTTTATAAAATATCTATCGGTTTATGCATTAAATTGCAAATGTTATCCCAACAGTTAAAAGCAATAAAGGATACAATAATGTTTTTGGAAGACAAAAGGCAAAAACAATTAGAAGACCAATTTAAAGGAAAATAAATAAAGTTTAGCAAAACGTAAGAAGAAAATATAAACTTTTTATTGTTATGAAACTCTTAAAAAAGTATCATCCATTGATATTTTCTTCATATTTGTTTTTTTATTTAAAAAAAAACAGCATTAAGAATGAAAAAGATGTATATATTTTTTATTTAATACATCAAATATGCTTTTCAAGGTTAGACCAGACTATAAAGTCGTTTAAATATAATTTTACAACCTCAACTCTTCCTCTTTATATGACTTTGACGCAACAAACGAATATAAAGAATAATAAAAATAGACGAAGAATGAGTAAAGAGGAATGCAATTTTCTTATTATTTTTTTTAGAATATCATTAATAGTTTTACTTTTATTACTTTCAAAATATTTAGACTAAAGGAAGAATATTTCTACAAATATAAAGAAATAAGGAAGGGAGGGGAGGGAGAAGAACAGAGCTTTAGGTTGTTTTCTTTGGATATAGAAAGTTGAATGACCGATATACCCTATCTAAGATAGAAGTAAAATAATCATATATATTTTAGCAGATAGTATCTTTTACATTTAGTTTTACAGCAAATTGGAATACTTTTATATTTAAAAGAAACAACACTTATGATGAAAAGTGAAAAGTGTCAATCAAAACTTATCACGTTTTTTCAGGCTATGATTAAATGTCTGTATGTTGTAAGCTTTACATTGGATTTCCTCTTTTAAGTTTATTTGCTAGACTTTTTTTATTAAGATTCTCAAACAAACGGTAAAAAGTGCCATTCTTTCTCAGTTTGTCGTTTACAAACAATGGTAGATGATTTATTGAATTATTACAGGGGTATTTATAATAAAATAGTTGTTTTTAATTTGATCACTTTTATGGGTCTGTTTAATTTCAATTTAATAATAAATTGACCATAAATTCTATGAAATTATGTGGCATTTCTACTGTAATTCTTTTAGTTGACTTTTTGTTACTAAACAGTTACAGTTTCGCCTCGCTTTTTGATTCGAAATAGAAAGCTTATTAATAGAAGATGCACACTTTTCGATAGTATAGAAGAGAGAAGAGGGTGTATCTGGATAATTTAGCTTTACCGATGATATTTATTAAATTGTTACGTCCATTAAAGAAGTAGGTCAATATCAAATAGATCTAAAAAAAGAAAAGTGGAGCAATATATTATGAAAAATAAAACCAAAAATTTCCGTTACGAATCAGCTGACTTATTAGGGAAACAATAAAGATAATTTCATTGTTTCAAGTTGCTGTTCAGTAAAAAAAAACGGGAGAATGCGATGTCTTCAATTGGAATCATATTCGATTTTTATTTTCATCCTTAGTGTCATTCTGAAAAGATTATAAAAAAAGACCTGAACGATTTGCTATTAGTCATTTAAAATTTTTCTTAGATCATATAGTTAGGGATATATTCATGGTTTTATAAGGTATTCTTTTTGTATATTGGTTGTTATCATTATAGAATGTAGAATTGAGCGATATAGTAAAATTCAATTGTCAGTGGATTATGTTACATTTAAAGTAAAACAGTTCCCACATGAAATGGTAGATAACATCTATTATTATTATTTTATCAAGAATGTTTCGTCTACTTCGGAAATGCTTAACGACAACACGACGCTTTTGCACAGATACATCCTCTTTTATGGTTAGAGAACCAAAGATATGCACAGTTGTTCAATCGTTAAATGAAAACCCTCCTACAGAAGACGTTGTTGTTAGGGTTAGTATGAAATACGAAGACTGACTTCTCAAGAGATTGAGTCATTTTGTTTTTGCTTTCTTAGGGATGGATCTCTTCAATAAGAAAGCACAAGAATGTCACCTTTCTCCATTTACAAGATGGAACAACAACCGATGACCTGCAGATAGTCGCCTTAGACGATCTTCCGATTCCGTTAGTTTTATACTATCTAGAATTTCTAGCTTATTGCCATCGGTAGCACTTAATCGTTATGAAATTTATCTTTATTAGCAACTTAACGTATGGAAGTAGTGTTGAGGCAAAAGGTCGTTTAGTTAGGAGTCCTTATGACAAGCAAGAGGTTGAATTAAGCGTTGAAGAAGTAAAAGTTTTGGGTTCTTGCGATCCAGAGGTAGCTTATTACTACATAATATTTGTTATTTGCAATAAAAATATATCATTTTCCTTTTTCACAAACAATAGGCCTATCCATTCAAATCAAAGAAAATGCATGATATTGAATATAGAAGGCAATTTCAACACTTAAGACCTAGAAATAAATTTGATGGTACTGTTCTGAGACTTCGCCACGAAGCTAGTCGAGATTTAAGATCCTATTTAACGGTATCTGAAAGAAGTGACCTTGAAATAGGCGTAACTAAGTTTGTTAACTATTAATTTATCAATAAAGGATGAGGGATTTTACGAAGTGCATACACCAATTATGACAACGAATGATTGCGAAGGTGCTGGATATGTTTTTAAAGCTGTAGCTCATGAAAATAAAGAATTTTTTGATAAGCCGTCATTTTTAACCGTATCTGCCCAATTTCACCTTGAAGCTCTTTCGCAGTAAGTACACTTTTTTCATGTTAAAAGTTTACTGTAACTTATAATAGAATATTAATATGATTCTTAACTTAATTCTATATTTCTAATTTAGCGCTATACCAAAAGTTTTTACTTTTGGTCCTATTTTAAGAGCGGACCATAGTAAGACTCGCCATCACTTGTCAGAGTTTTATATGCTCGAAATTGAGATGGCATTTTGTGATGACCTTCACGAAGTAACAGATCTTGTGGACGCCTTACTAAGCGAAACGGTTGATAACTTGATTGATAAGCATGAAAAGGATTTGAAATATTTATGGAAACATAGCGAAGTCGAGGATTTAATGAAAACTGTCGATGCAATTGCAAAAGAGAGCTATCAGGGGTAAGATGACTGTTTTTTCTATTCTAAGTGCCTGGCTTGTAGTTGATAATCATATATTCTCCATGGAATAGCATGACGTATACAGAAGCTGTCGAAATCTTACAGAAGCATAGAAAACAGTTTGATTACGTCCCAAAATGGGGAGAAGATTTTGGAAAGGAACACGAAAGGTTCCTAGTAAGCCATTGTAATCAATGTCCCGTATTTGTTGAAGAATATCCTATCGCTTTGAAACCATTCTACATGAAAAGAAACGTCGATGGTAAGACCGTAAAGAATGTTGATCTTCTTTATCCGCATGTGGGTGAAGTATGTGGCGGAAGCGTTAGAGAAGATAACATTGATAATTTAAAGAGAAACATGGAAGAAAGTGGTATTAAGAATATTGAAGCCTTTGAATGGTACTTGGATCTGCGAAGATTCGGTTCAGTTCCACATTGTGGATTGGGAATAGGTTTCGATCGTTTCCTGCAAGCCCTAACTGGAATAAAGAATATAAAAGATATTGTGCCATTTCCCAGATCTTATGACAATAGTATAACTATGTAGGTATATAAAATACATATATATATAAATGTATACAGTATATATATATATATATAATGTATATATATATAGCATATATAGCATATAAAAATAATATCACGTATTAAGTACAAACGATAATGACATTCTAAATAGTCAAGAAATAGAATAGAAAAGAAAACTATAATTTAAATATTTAATACACTATAAACAAGGAGTCTATTTCCGATAGATTAATCAGTATTGTAGGCGTTTGAAATGAAATATATTTTCGGGGAGTTGAAAGGATGCGTTTTTAAGCTGTGAATTATATAACAAAGCGACTAGACCTCCCTCTAAGCTACTTCCTAGTAATCAATCAATCTAAAGGAAAATTAACCTTACTATATCAAGGTTATTTATTTGTTTTTTTCCCGAAGAAATGCACTTTTGAAACAGGTGCTATGTCTCATTCCTTCTTCTTTTTTATGTTGTTGTTTTTGATGTTTAAATAAAAGGGCATCGACTGCTTTACTAGGCATGTGCATTCCTCCTTTCAGAATGCTGTTTTACCCCTGTACATCTGTCAGCCGTTTTTATCATTGGTAAAGAATGTTCTTAATCATCTCAATCGCATACCTCTAAATACGAAAATGGGCGTCATTTACGCTTCTTTCATTTGAAAAAAGGACGTTTCGTTACATTCTTAAGACGTAAGCAATTTTCATTCCTCTTCTATCTTGTCTATTTTGAAGAAACAACAGTATGAAAAGAAAATAATGATAACGTCACTGAGAGGTGAAGAGGGAAAATAACCTTGAATTGGTATCATTAATAGACATCTAAATCACTTTTTGAAAAGCGGAAAGGTGACTAAAATCTTATGTTAACACATGTGAGTCATTCGAATGAATCTTATATCAAATAGATTACTAAGCAACAAATGCTACCGTGTTTAGCTTAGTATTTTGGTGGTTTTTAGCGGTAGGCCTAGTCGATGAGAGATGGAAGCACTAGTACGCTGGCAGCGTATTCGACTGCGCATGCGCGCCTAAGAAGAAGAATCGGCGCCTTACAATCGATTCGGCGGCGGCCGCGTTCGTTGAACAATATAAATTGTATTCCATTAAAAATTCATTGAAATCGAACGTTCTACCTCTTGTAAATAGCTATCGGGTAAAAGAGATAAATTTTTAAACTCTTTCAACCTAAACACATCGTTAAGAAGACCGAGAAGAGAAATAAAAACTTTACTTAGTAGTCATTTTTATTCAACTTCCCATCTATACAAAAAAAGATACTTTGATTCAAAATGATGACTTGTGTAATCGGAAGTTATTCAACTTATAAACTCACTAAAACATGCGATAAAAGTAATATTGAAATAGGAAGAAGAACAAGGATAGTTGGTGAGTAAACTAATTACCATATTTTGTATATATTACATTTTATCTATATACATAAAATACTAAATTATCCTTCCTTTCTTTTTCATTATTTCTTTCTCTCTCTCTCTCTCTCTCTCTCTCTTCAATTCTTCCTCCTTCTCTTCAAACTTTCCCTTACTGTTTGTAACGTGAACAGATGTAACATAAGTAACGGTAGTCTGTTCCCTTTACTATACTTGAAATATAATAAGTTTATCAACAGAATACCGTTTTTTAAGTAATTATTCAACCACAGCCTATATTTAGAAGTATACATATATATACAAATTGTACTATTAATGACGAGCTGTTACGATATGTGTCGGATGTAAATAAGGCCTGATTATGAATATAATTAAATCGAATTGAATCCCTCATCAACCTTAATTATTATACAAAATAAATTGAAATTAGTAATTGGGTTACATATATTCCATTCTTTTCTCTTTTTGCTTATATTATTAATAAACTTACAATTTGTAAATTATCTTATAAATACTGTACACGTATTTATTTATGTGTATAATACTATAATTTACTGTGATTTGTACTTTATTTCTCACTAACCACTGCCCTAATAAGCTTCCTTCTAAAGCAGTTTCCCACATCTACGTCATACTTTATCAATATTAAACTAGTGTTTATAAAAATCATTTAGGCATATTATTATACCCAATTACACGCTACCCGTATATAGTTTTACAGTGCGAATGAGTGAGTACAACTTATCGCTTTTCCTGCAATAGCTGGTCTACAGAACCAAATGGATTTTTCAGACATCCCATAAATTCTTTTTAGGCTGGCGTCTATTTGAAAATACGCACATTTCTATTATACATTGTACGCACATGTAGCTATCGTATACCTTCGATAGTAGGGACGAAGAATAAAGAATAATGATGAATTGTGTCGAGTAGCATATTTATTTACTATGGTTCAGTATCTTAACGACGTATCTTATGCGTGTTTTATCTTAAGTTAAGGGAGTGGGAAAAAATTATTGCAATCACCTTGTATATATTCTTTCCTTTGTTTTCTTCTTTATGTTTCTCCCAGCTCTTTCACCTCTCCACTCGACTTCGTGTCTTATTAATTTGTTTATTCAAAGTCTTGATAGTTCCATAGTAATACGTACAACTTGTAAAGACTCGTTTTCTGGTAAGATAAACACGTGAAAAGAGTATGCGGTTTCTTCAGAAATTCTTTTTGGAATGCTGACTATTCCGTCGTCACTGAATGTACGCTATAAAAGTGTAAAAATTGAATGACCTACTTAAATATTTTTTTTTACCGTTTAATTAACCTTCTTCAAAACCTATAGAGATTTTTCGCTTGGTTCTAAGGGGATTGGAATTGGTTCTTCTCTATATATTCCTTTTTCCTTTTTCCTTTGAAACAGGGATTATATTTAGTTTTGCGGTTAAGGCAATTGTCACCATAGGGAAGAGGTTGACATACATTTCCGTTTTATGATTGATCAGGTTCTTTTTTAATCTCTATTCAAGACGCTATACACATAAGTATGATGTAGAAAGGCCTACGTGGGAAATATAGCGTATGTTATCTATAACTATCGTAACAGCCGAGTCACGTGACTAAATTTGATTATATATTTGTTGAGTCTATATAGGTAGGTGTAAACTATCCCTTAGTACGGTATTATATATTGGTCATATTACTATACACAATATGCGTAAACAATGTATGACTTTTATACTCTGATTATTATAAGTATGTAGAGTGGAAGTCACGTGCTTCATATTTCTCTATTCCCGATAAGTTTCATCTAATCTAAAAATAGTATTTGTTTTTAAAGAATACTGATAAAATTGACCCTAAACGAAATTCTATATATCAAAGAGAATCAGTTTCAAACCTATTAATACTGTATTATTGTTATTACTATTATTACTATGATTATTATATTAGTAAGACTTTTAAGTATTAGTAGAATTATCGATTCAAATTAGCAATAGTCCAAACTATATACCAGTTTTTTCTAATATAATATCTATTTAACAATATATAAAAGAATAAATTGACCGAAATAATCTCCAAAATTTTCCTTTACAACTTACAAATACTCTCTACTAGTAAACTAAGAATTTTTATTTTAACGCTTCTCCTTCACTTTTCTCTCTCTCTCTCTATCTTCGTTCATCCACTCTCCTTTTTACACCTTCTAAACTCTTGATTTAGGCGACTGTGTTTACAAATACGATAAAAATACGCTTTAAGTATACCCTATTTATATATAAAAAAGAAAGGTAAAATTGTCTTTTCCGTCCCTTATTGTTAGGTAGAACGATGATGGACGGCCTTTATACGTCGAATATTGATCCCTTCAAACTCTTCTTTTTATAGGCTTTAATATGTCCCGCATTTCCCGTCAGTTAGGCTCTTTTCCATAACAACTTTTCCCGCCTATTCCGTCCCCCTGTTACTTGCATATATATAAATTTATATATATTGTAGCACTCCCACCTATCCCCCCCTCCTCCGTCTTTTACAACACTCCCATTTTCCCTCCCCTTTTTTTTCACCCCCACCACCTAACGTTTTTTTTTTCAAATCTATTTACCGGCTATAGGCCTAATATTTATTTTTCCATTTAACCGAAAATTTTTACACTAAATACCGAATAAATTGTTATATTATGTTTATTCTCATGCAATCCACTAATGGACGTATTGCATAAGAGAAAAAATTTGTAATGAACAATTAAAATATTGACGTGAATAGAGATAGAGATAGAGATAGAAAGACAGAGAGAGAGAGAGAGAGAGAGAGAGAGAGAGAAAAAAGCCAAATTCATATTTATTATCTCAAAGAGACTTTCTCTCCCGGAAGTTCAACTTCCTTTGTTTGTTTTTATTATTGAAATGTTTACGACAACTTCTTTTTTAAATTTTAAAAGTTTGTCGTTAGTTGTTTAAATTTGTTTCGTATGTTGTTTCTTTTTCATCAATTAAACTTTTCTCCTTCTTTTAGAATCCATTTTGAAACAAACGAAAAAAAGGGAACTAAAGTCTATTCTCGTGTCCGATAATACGAACGTTGAAACGGCAGTCGGTGACGTCATTCGAATAAAAAATGTCAACATAATAGTATACTCTAAGTAAGTATGAAAAAAAAAGAAAGAAATGTTAGAATGTAAGATAGAAGAATAAAAGTATTGAATATAGATAGACGACTGAAAATTGTAAGAATTGAATGACTGAATGACTGAATGAATAAATAAATAAATAACGCAGTAATATATTTATATAGATAATTGATAAATAGTTTTAAAAATATTGGAGAATGAAGGTGAAAAAAACATAAAAAAGGGAAGCTTTAAAACGTCAATAGTGAATGATTTATTGAATAGTAGAAAAATATTTTTTTCTTTATGACCTTGCAACTGTTATCAAAAGGACCCGATGGGGTGATAATCTTTACAAGTATTATTTACCCAATTGGTATTTCATTACACTTTTAGAAACATTTCTACAATAAATGCCTTGTTCCTAAGCAATTCCTTTTCTTTCGTTTTCAGCTTCCAATCCAATTTGCATATAAGTCTGTCGCAAATTTGTGGATATCGAAAGTTAATCAGTCGCATTCAGGATGTTAGAAAAACCCCTTATTGTAGTGAAGATAGTGAACATGAAAGACAATTAAAATGCCTCTGGCACCTACTCAGACCAGAAGAAGTTTTAGATAGCAGGTTTACTAAACAATGGAAAAAATTAGGTTTTCAGGGTACGGATCCAAAGAGTGATTTTAGAGGTATGGGAATACTTGGTCTGCAGAATTTACTCTATTTCGCTCGGCATTATAACTCCAAAGCAAGGCAAATTCTTAGTGAATCGGAACAAGAATATTCATTCGCTATCGTTGGAATCAATTTAACGGCTTTAGTTTGCCAATTACTACAAGAAAACTACTTGAAAAATCACTTCTATAATACAGTTCCAGGGGAAGCCCAAATAGAAGATTTCCATAAAGTATATACCATCATATTTTGTGACTTTCATAAACAATGGATGAACGATAAACCAGGAATAATGAACTTTAATCCGTATAAAGATAAATATTATAAAAGATTAGCTAAAAAATTAAAAAGGAGAGACGCAAATCTGCTTTTATGTTAATGAATATATATACTGTATATATATTGTATAAATGTTGTATTCTCAGTTGTCTAATCTTAATATAAATACATAAAAAATGGCTAGTTTTTATAGAAAACCATCAGTTTGTTTCCTTCCTCCAGCTATCTCCTTCTCTCTATGTTTTGAGGATAACAATATATACTTAAAATTGCTGTTTATTTAGCCAAGAGACTTTATTTAGTCAATATTGTAAGCAATGCGGCGTTACGATATAAGTAATTTCTATAGTTTCGATCTCGATCTGTATACTCCGTATCACTCTCCTGTTTTTATGTCTAGATGATTTCACCCATTCATAGTCCTATGCAATTGTTATGGTCGAGTGATAAAGATGAATTTATCAATATAGTTAAAAAACACTCCATTTTTCCTTTGTCCCATAACTCCGACCTCCTTCCTCCCCCTGCCCTTGTAAATGATATACATTAATTTTTTATAGCCCTTTTTGTTATTTTCTATACAATAAAATGTAGCGTGTTACTCTTTTTTTACTGCGGAGAAAGTAGACTTTGAATTAGCGGGGATAAGTGATAAAAAAAAATGCCTCAAACTTAACCGACCTTTCTCTGATAAACTTACCGCAAAGGGATTACTGAATATAAAAAGAGAAGCGTATGCGTATCAACACCTGCAAGGATTTGGTTTCGGCTTGTTCCAGCTTCTCGTTTTACTTGATAACAGTCTTAATGGTGTCTTAATTATGGGTATACGCAACAGATGTCGCTTTATTGATAAACCAAAGATTTTTAAATACAGTAACAGATACAGGGTATCTTTTTAAGTAAAATGCTCACGTCACGCTTAATTTACATGTATGCTTCTCTATAGATTCTTCGTCAGATTAAACAGATGCCGCTAAAGTAAAGTATATGTTAAGAAAAAATTCTTTCAAAGTGGCTTAGATAGATTTGAACATCTGTCAGAATGATTCAAACTTAATACTTTTAAGTATTTTTCCAATATGGGATAAACTTTCGGTTTTGGTAGGCGGGGGAAAAATTAATAATCAGTCTGGTGATGGTGTCAACACCAATATTCATCTCTCAATCTCTATGTATCTATCTGTTTGGCTTTCCCCTTTTTCCGCTGTCCAATACTATTAATGACAATAATAATGGAACAAGTCTAGATACATCAAATATGCAATTATTTATATAAATATAAGAGATTCGTCATTTCACATGATCAACAAAAAACATCTAGGACTAGATAGAGATATATATATATATATACTGCATATATATATATATATATATATCTCCATCTCTCTCTTCCCTTCGCTTATCTATCTAACTCGCAGTCACTATATCTGTATCTTTGTCTCAAAATCTTAATCATACAATTTATAGATTAATACTTGTAATAAATACGAATTAGATGATTAAAATCCTGAATATAGAGCAGAATAGAAATGCTTGTTTATTACTTTTCTACGAAAGGAAAACCTATAAGAGGGGAAAAAAGGAAGAGAGAGAGAGAGAGAGAGAGAGAGAGAAAATGTTAATGTTAAAACTATTAGAGTGAAAGATTTTTGTAATATTGTTAGCTTAAAAACGAATAAATGATTTATACTTGTATTGTTCGTATAAAAGAAACGGACAAGCTAAAAACAGACTAACATTTACTTTCCTTCTTCTTCCCTTCTTGTTCTTCTTTCTTGTTTTCTCCTTCATCTCATATTTCTCTTATATTTTGTTTCTTCGAAGGGAAATAGTATTTGTCTACTTTCCATTGATAATATGGAATTTAAAGAGAGATTGTCTATATTTATTTCAATACTAGCTATGTGTTTTATAGCTACTATTGTCATTGTTACAAGACGATATAACGTTCCTAAGAATGATTTTAATTATGAAGAATTAAAGAAAACTCATCTTCCCAATGACCTTGAACCTTTGGATTACGATCTGTTCATCTTTCCCTACCCTTTAGAGAATTATTATTTGGGCAACGTTTCTATAAATATCTTGGTGGTGAATCGTACGAAACGAGTTGTTTTAAATGCTAAAGGTTCATTAAATATCAGTGAATTTCAGGTAATTTACGTCTAAATAAATATCAATAATGAGTAATTTATAAAATGATTCTTTGTACAGATTATAAAAAATTCTGTTCGAATGGGAATAGAGCGTTATTTTTCCATACCGGAATATGATATAATAGGAGTTACTCTAACTGAAAATTTACTTGTCGGAGAGAAAGTTCAGCTGGTTTCCTCTTTTTCAAATGAAATAAATGAGAATCAAAATGGTCTTTTTAAATTAATTTATCACGATTATTCTACAAATTCATCGCAGTTGGTTCTAATACTACTTTTTTTGTTTAACCAAAAATTACATCCTTCCTTATTAATAGTTGGCTATTGACAACTTATTTCCAACCAATATCCTCTAGGAGAGTTTATCCGTGCTTTGATGAACCTAAATTTAAATCTACCTTCACCTTGACCATAGTACATCCCAATGACTATTTCGCATTGGGTAACACACCAATAAAGGTTATTCTTTCAATTGTCAATTAGTAAATATTAGATTTATATACATTTAATTCATTTAGAAAACGTTACAAATCGATAAGAACTGGACAAAAACAAACTTTTTACAAACACCAAAAATGAGCACATACTTGTTATGTTTTACAATATGTAACTTTTCTTATAAAGAATCCTTTTTATATAATGGAAAACCAGTTTGTATAAATAATTCACTATTTATAGACATCTATTTACGTTTTTTCCATATAAATTTTAAGGATAACTTTTTAAATTGTATTTATTTATTAATTAATATCTATTTAAATAGCTGAGAATCTATTCGAGGCCGGAAATTGTGTCAAAATTTGATTTTGCTGTTGAAATAACCAAAGACTTGATGAAATTTATGGAAAAGGAATTCAATTTTACCTATGAATTGTCAAAATTAGGTTATAATTCTATTTATTCGCTATAAATATAGCTGAGACCATGTTAGAGATAGAAGACTTAGTGAGAGTATGTGTCTCTGTACAGAAAAATTACGCTTTATCTTTTAACTAATAACACCTGATTAGTTAATTAATCTATTTAACTAACAATTTAAACTAACAAATAAGAGAAATTTAATTTTCGTTGCTGACTTTTTTAAAAAAGATCTCCAAGCTTTACCTGGCTTTTCACACGGTGGAATGGAGCATTGGGGCCTAGTATCATTCGGAGAAATGAATATATTATACGATAACTATACAATAGAAAGTAAAAAACAACGGATAGCCTCAATTATTTCGCACGAACTATCTCATAACGTTAATTCAATCTTTACTTCTCCTAAGCTAAGTCTTTTAATCGTTATTTTCATTCATATATATAGTTTTTTGGTAATTTAATCACTTGCAAATCGTACGAAGAATTCTGGATTAATGAAGGATTAGCGTCATTCTATCAAAGGGAAGCTTTGAATAGTATAAGAAAATCATGGATATTTGTAAGGAAGAGAGAATAATTTCTCATCTAAAAATATAAAAGAGGGTAATAATAAAAGATAATTTTCAAGTAGAATGGAATGTTTTGGTTCTATTATATACAACCTTTAATGGAAAAGGAACCGTATGATATGGATTCTTCAACTGTACTCCAACAATTTCCATCAATCGATAGTTTTAAAACAGTGTTTAGCCCATATACATATTGGAAGGTGTGCTTTTCTTTCATAATATTAATAGTAATTCGTATTTTTAAATATGCAAAATGAAAGGGATCATCCATTTTGAAAATGCTCGAAGATGTTGTCGGTACTAGAGAATTTAGGATTAGTATAAGAGTAATCATATCAAATATTTCGATTTTTAAACTATTATACACTAATATACTATATATATTTTTAATTATTTCTAGAAAATTTTACAACTGTACAGTCACGAATACGTTACAATTGATAAACTAATTAATACATTTCAAGAGGTTCTTAGACTCTTAAAATTAACTATACAACAGAATTAATTAGCTAAATAATTGTGATTAATTGTGTAATTTTTTTTTTTAAAAAAACAAAAGGTCTCTCAATCTAAAGTAGATGTTGAAAAATTTTTATATCCTTGGCTAAAAAATCCTGGATTTCCGATAATAAGTTTATTGGAGGAGAATGAAAAGTTAATATTTACTCAGACAGCATGCGGAAAGTATAAAACTAATAAAAGAGATTATATATGGCCAGTGAGACTATCTTTTAAGACTGATCAGAATAAGACAGGATTAATATGGTTAAATCAAGAGAGAGAGTGTACAGTATTCTCAGTAAAGTATTCTTTTAGTTAATTATTACAACCCAAATTCGAATAGATATTACAAATGATGCACTATTAAAGTCGAAATGGATAAATTTTGATTTAAACGAAGGGAGTTACTATCTCATTAACTATTCGAAAGAAAAATGGAGAAATCTTATAAACCAAATGAAAATGAATAATAAAGTAAATATTAATTACAAAATATGAAATGAATGATTGATATCATGAATATAATTGAATTTTCTTTAAAAATAGGTTCTAAGTGAAATGAATAGAGTTCGTCTAATATCAAATATATTTCAACTTGGAGAATTAAAATATATATCTTATGATCTTGTATTTAGTTTATTATCCTATTTAAAAGGCGAAAATGAAAGTTTGCCTTGGTTGTTAAGTACTAATAAACTATTAAATATAAATAGATTTATTAAAGAAGGGAATACGTTAAAGAAATGGAGAGCATTTGTGAAATATATCACTAATGGTATAATGCTAAAGATAGGCTTTGAAGATGTTGGAAGTCCAATTGATAAGTTGTTATCTACAATTCCCTAAATTATATTTTAACGGTCAAGTCTCTTTTCTCATTTTCTCTTCAAAAGGATTCTTAGGCCGAAACTTATCGAGTTAATCTGCTACGTTGATAAGAGACGCTGTTTTAATCCTATAAAAGTAACTTTTGATGAATGGATTTCAAGGGGAAGGTTTAAAAGAAATTTCTTTCCTTACCGCCCCTTTTAAAATAACGTTTAATTAAAATCTTATCTACAATAGAAACTTATCACCAAATTTGAAACCTCTTATCTTTGCTTTTGGAATGAAATTTGCTGAGAATGAAAGCGTAATTTCTCAAGTCTATAATCAAATGCTTAGCAGACAATCGACAAGTCTTCCCTTTGAAATAAAAGATTTATTAACATCTATAGGATCATATGATAAATTTTCAAAATACGAAAAGAAAGTTTTGTCTTAATATTATAATTAATTAATTAATTAATTAATTAAACAGAAATAATGAGTTATTAACATTAATATTCGATAAATATTTACAATATTTCAACAATTTTATATCCTATATGGAAGAAGATAGCATGGAATTTATATGGAAATGGATAAAGGAGAATTATAAATTCATATCAAGAAATAATAGTCATAAATTAATTAATAAATCAATTCGTGATCTATTATCGAAATTTACAGAGGAAAGGATTTATAGAAATGTATATGGTTTATTCAAATTTATTAATTAACCTTATTAATTAACTAGTATAAATAATAAAAATAGGTTCAAGAAGATGCGAATAATATGGACTTGGATAAGAAACTATTAAGTCAGCTAAAGAAGAATATTTTGTGGAAGAAGGATAATTTGAATGTAATAAGTAATTGGTTAAATGATAATTATTAAGATAATAAAATAATTAAATGATAACCCTGATTACCTATTATCCAAAAAGGAATAGATAACAATTATATTACGTAGTTGTTGTCCTGAAGTTGGATACAATTTCTCCTTAGACAGACTTTCGTCACTGTCTTTAGTATTCAATTCAAATCTATTTATCTATCCATCTGCCCATTTAAAATGATTTATCGACAGATTTTAAAACGTCCTTTCATCTTTTCCAAAAAGGAAAACCAATAGATGTCGATAGCATAGCCGCTTTACCCGCCTATTTTACTCTATTTTAAAGACGTACACATTCCCAAAGGTATTCCGTGTAAATGTAAAATGGAAATGACACTTTTCAAACGGATTATAAGAAAGACTTAGATTATAAAGCGCTCATATAGTAGAACGCGTAAATCGAAATTTAATTAGTCCTATTCACTAATTTAAGCATCGCATGACTGAATTATAAATTAAAAAAAATTCAGAGAGAAGTATCCTTGCATTGATTCATTTAATTGTGTAAATCTTTGAGAGAAGGAACGTCTTAATACCTGAGCAATTAATCTCTTTCATTCCTTCTCTTTTTGTGTTCTTCTTATGAGAATTCTTTAGTTTTTATCAAAGCTAAAAAGTTGATGGTAAGCTGACTTTTTATTATTATTTTTTTTTCAATTCTTAAATGAAAGTGAAAATTGATATTCGAAACTTTTTGTCACTTTAAATAGAATTGTATGTTAAGGGAACCACTGCTACAACCTTTACCAAAAGTACCAAACTCCAGTCCAAATTCCATTGACTGCGATGATAAATCCTCATCATTTTCCTGGAATTATACATTCAATTATAAAAAATCTGTTAAAACTGAAAAGCGATTTATCGATTCGAAATTAAATATTTTTAATATCAATAAACCGGATGACGAAATTGAATTGTTTGTTTTAAATCGTTGGCAAAAGTTAATTAATGAAAAACATGGACGTAAAGAATTAATTAGATGTTTAAATGATTTGAAACGGAATCGAGTCCCGGAAGCTAAAAAGAGATGTGAAAAATTGTTAAAGAGATCAATAGAATTAGGATTGACTGAGTATGTAACATATATTTTACTTGAAATTTTGCGATAATTAGCCAAGTCAATTTGATAAATAATTTGATAATTAACAGTCAAATGAGGTTGTTGAGTTTGTCTCTCTTATCGAAATGTAATTATCAATTGGATAATCCGGAGGAAGCTCTGGAAAACCAACAAGAGTTTTTAAGATCCGTTGAAGAATTTAATGACTATCAGGAGCTTGTTAGAATGGAAAGTTTGGAGGAAATTGGCAAGATTCTCGTTAAGCTTGGTCGCTTGGGAGAGGCCGTTTCTATTTTGGAATATAGACTGTCCTTGACACCTCCTCCCGCTCAAAAGAGAATAATTTGGTTGCGAAATTTATTGTCTATATGTTTATTCGAGACGAACAAAGAAAAATCCAAGTATTACGCAGAAGAAAACTTGAAAGAATCTGAAAAGTTAGGAGGATTATGGATTGGTATTTGTAGCGCCATCTCTGGCTTTGCTGAAGTTAATTGCGGCAACTTGCAAATTGGTATAGAATATTTAAATAAAGCCCTAGATTTATGGCAGGTTGAAGGAAGTATTAAAAGAATTAATGAAATAAAGCAAGAGATTTTTCGAGTCAACGATCTAATTGTTAAAGATCTAAAATCAAAGAATTCTACAACGAACTAAAAGAGAAAATATACGAAACGTAATATAGTAAACGCGGCGCTATTTATATTAATCAAGGGAAAAAGAATACACTTTATTATACTCTTTGTTTTATTAGACGCTCTTCTTTCATAATTATTCAAATGAATGCTTTTCATTTTATTAAATTAATAACTCTGCTCGTCTACAAGTATTGTCTACTAAATCATCCATAAATCTTTTTATAAGATGTCATTAATAAATAAGAAACGTAGCTTTTAATTTTGTTCCTCTCTACTCTTTTCATAGTATTTAATAACTTGCTTCTGAAAGGAATCAACAATGGCCTGCCGAAATACAGACTGCTTAAACAGAAATGCACCAATATGTCCGGAGTTCACGTATCGGACTTCAACTCCTGGCCAAAGTTCATCTAAACCCAATACCGACCTCCTGGGTACGTAAGCGTCGTCCGTGGCGGCTACAATAATAATCAATTCTGGATCAATCGGAATGCTAAAATTCGCTAAATGGGTACACTCATCCATAACTCCTATCATAAAATCACGTGCAACCGATTGTGAATGTTTTAAATCGGAGCTTTGATTGTTTTTCGCTACAGGACTGGCAGAATTTTCGATTATCGATGGGAAAGTTTTTGCAAAGTGACGTCCAAAATTGAAAGCTTCAGATTTTTCACTATTTTCATTTTGCATCTTTTGAAATTCCAACTTGGATGTTATCTCTTGAGCATAAACATTATCTGAATCGTATTGGTGTTTAAGTAATTTCCAATCTATGGCACCTTGCATAACTCCCTGAGAAAATATTCAGTCATATGATTGGCCTCTCATATAATCAATATATACAGAATATATTAGCAGTATCTAATACTGCTTTTTTCAATTTTTCTCTATTTACCTGAGTAAAAACAGAAGATGCCGTAGACCATGATAGGCAAGGGATTAGTGATAATGGTTTATGCCAATTGGTTGCCGCTAAAGAAGCCATCTACATAAAAGTTAAAAAACAACTAGTTAATTAAAGAAAACTAAAAGATTCTTATTATTTTTTTCTTTCATTACTCATTTACAATATCTTAGCTTTGATCTTGAATAGATTGCTCTTTGTACTTACATGACCGCCCATTGATATTCCCGTAAGTCCTAAAGGTCCCCAGCCATTTTTTTCGCACCAATGTAGAAGAACTAAACTTTCTAATATTAAGGCACCTCCCATTACGAATAAATCAGATACATTGTGAAGAGCTGAACGACTGAAAGACATTTTAAAATGTAACGATACATATAACTCTCGCGTAATGATGTATGAAGCATTACGTTTGTTGTTTCGGCTTTCTAATGCCATAATATGGATTCTCTAATAATATGCTAGCAATACCGAACTCTTTTAATAAAGGTTTTCCAAGTAACATTCGACGCCTATAGAAATACTATAAGGAAAAACAAGAAAAACATAATAATCAACAAAGACTTTATAGACGCGTCTTATTGAGAGAAAGAAAGAGAGAGAGAGATAGAGAAAAAAACACCAACATGATCCCCAGTTCCCGCCAAATGTATGCATACAGGTTTTAGCATAGTATTCCAATTCTTTGGTAAAATCATTTGAAAGCTGTTACGAAATAGAGAAAATCAATATGAAATACTTTTTTTTAATTTATCCAAAATGCAAAAAAAAGTAAGAAATATGGCAAACTAACTGAGCAGTTTTTACTTCTGTTGGCATAATTCCAGGCATATATTTGTCAAATGGCGATTTAAATCGACCTTCAATAATTCTTGTTTCTTTTTGCACATAGTCCTAATAACATACAAACAAAAATATATCAAATATACTGTATAATATTAAATATGCTATTAAAAGTCTCTCTTTGTGACTTTTATACAAGTCTATAAACACTGAAGAAATCCTCACTTTATCAATATTTATTGGATAGTCATCCGACACTAATTCTTTACAAAGATCACGATTTGATATAATTTTACGAAATTCAAATATTCTGTAAGTAAGTAATTATTAATTAAATATATTGTGCGTTTCAAAGATGCAATATAATTTGAGAAAATGTTTTTATTACTGCTTTAAATTTTCCGGTTTTCCCCAGCCTTTTGTAAAAAATTTGCTTAGGATCAACGATCTATATATTTGGTCAAAACGGCTCATGTCGAAATAGAGTTTTAAGGAAAATACTATATAATTGAAGATGCAAAAATGATGAAAATTCTACAGAAAAAAAGAGTTATAATTGTTTTAAAGAATAACTATATTACTTTTTATTAATAGACTTACTCTTTATATAATTTCATAAATAGTACTAATTTCTAATTGGTAAAATAGACAGAGCTATTCTCTTAAAAACCTTTTGTTAACGTCAACTTCACATTGTTAATACATTGAAATAAGTTCAAGGTTATATAAAAGTCGTCTGCTGAACTGAGGTAGCCTAACCGTTTCCTGACCGGTATACGAAACAAGTTGAGAAACTATGGCAACTGAGAAATCACAAAAAACCCCACCAAATCAAGAAGCAGCCTCAATATCAACTCTCTACTTAGTTGTATATAATGTCGTCCAATTCTTCGGGTAAGAAAAGTATCTGTTGAACTGTATAGTTGCGTCTAATTTTGCATTAACCTTGAGCGATATTTAACTAATTATAGATGGTTTATGATATTCTATGGACTGATAAACGCCGGTAGTACAAAGTCTGTTTTCAAAATTTGCTCCACTTTACTTTACATTTTCCAAACTGCCGCAATACTAGAGGTAAAATATAAAAGAAGCAAATGAAGCATTTTTTCAGTATTATAATTTATTAAAATCTTAGGTTGTTCACGCCGCACTCGGTTTGGTAAAGTCCAATGTCTTTTTAACTTTCTTTCAAGTACTTTCTAGAGTATTTGTTGTATGGGGAATATCCTACAGTGTTCCTGAAGTATGTAAACTAATTTATATATATATACAGTATATAAATTTATAACTATTTTCTTGGAACTCTCTAGACAAGAGCCACCAATGGAACGACAATGTACTTGGCGGCATGGAGTATAACAGAGATAGTTAGATATGCTTATTATGCAATCAATTTGTTATCTGATGTACCTTACTTTATCGTATGGGCAAGGTAAAGAACTTCAATAATGAAAACTATAAATAAATCTTTCTATACACTCTAAAATAACTCATTTCAACTTCAGATACACTTTTTTCATTGTCCTTTATCCAATTGGTGTTACGGTAAGTCCTATTCAAACAAAACGCAGAAAATAATCTACTAAATAAATCTATTAAAATATATATAGAATATGAACAGAATCTTTCTTGAAATAATCACTAGCAGACTCTAAATCAATACATTACATTTACAGGGTGAATTATTAGTCTTCTACAACGCTTTGCCATCAGTCAAGAAGTCTGGCTTATACAGTTTTCATTTACCCAACAAATACAACTTTAGTTTTGACTATTATACATTATTAATTATTGGAATGTTAACTTATATTCCAAGTAAGATATATTTTTATATTGTATATTTCACTACATTTACTTTAACGAATCAATCTTCTTCATTTCAACAGTTTTCCCACAATTGTATATGCACATGTTTAAGCAAAGAGGAAAATTTGTTTCAACACCCAAAGATAAGGAAGAGGCGAAGAAGACAAAATAAAGAATTTTTTTTTTATTTGAAAAATTTCTAACCCTTTCGCTGACTAATTTTAAAACAATAAAAACTAATTAGCTTAATATTCTGTTATAATAAAAGCGTTTATGAGCAAGTAGTAATAAAAAAAAAAAGTAATTTAATATTTTCAAACGTGCTTGGTATAATATGTATTTCATACTTGGGTAGTACAGTCGAATCTAAGTGTCTCAGAAAAAATAAACAAAAACGAACGATTCACCATTGGTTTTAAATAAACAAATAATGAAAAATAAACAGCATGCTCTATATGATAATTTTAGATTGCATCACGGAAAAATCTTCGAATTATGTAAATATCATATTTTTTAAAAAGCGACGAAAAAAAAAATGGCGTTGCATTATCAGCAGCACAGAATGAGCTAGAAAAAAACACAGTAAATGAAAATAAAGACTAGTTAAACGCTACAACAAACGTTAAATATTTCCCTCGATTCTTTTTAAATATTTTTCCCGACCGTTTACAACAAAACGACTAGTTGACGACAGACAAGCTCTAAACAAAAGAATATTTAGTGCGCACTCTCGAAACGGTACAAAAATAACACGTTACTAGCAAACGATACAAGAATAAACATTTTCACAGCCAGTTAATTAGAGATAGAGAAGAGATATGACTAAGCGAACGTTTTTTTTTCGTATTTATTTTTGAGTAAAAGAAATGATCCTCTTGCGGCGCGAACAAGAGAAAAACTTTATTATAAAACTACTTCCTTGGACTTGATTTCTTATTGGTTTCTTCATAAGTTACATGGGTTCAGTTTAGTATTATTTTATAAAATGAAATTCATTAATGCTTTTATCATTCTCTGGTATTTTTCCAAAACGATATTGAATAAACATTCTATTTTATGTAATGTAAGAGTCCCAATTGTAATACGGAAAAATTAGGCATCGCGCCCACCTCACAATCGCCTTGTCATTTAGATACATGAATATGTATATATATATGTATGTAAATATAAGTTTTTATATATATATGCTTATCTATATATATATAAGCGAAATACACACATATACATATATATATATCAATAATTCGTATGCTTTAAGCTGTAGACCTTCGGTGAAAGAAGCTTAAGCGAAATACATGACATTCGTTGATTGCTGATGAACCTGAATGGCTCGCATCAACGAAGACAAATTATGCTCATCACTATTTCCACTTACATTACTAGAACCCTCGCCACTATCATGCTCTTTCTCAACGAGATGGTATCGCGCCCTAAATGCCACAAGATGAGCATAGTACGCTGGTGCTGGGATTGAGACGCTCCTAGTGCACCTTACGTAAGTGTGACAAAGCTGATAAGTGAGCATCTGCAGATCGTCGGCATTGAAGCGATTGTCATCCCATAGCACATGGTAGTGAGATGGTCTAGACGTGCCTTGTATACCAGCGTGAGAGCAGAGATAGAAGTCAAACTCTGTTGGATGAACTATAGAATTATCAACGGTAGTACCAGCAGGCACATTCGACGATCTTCCAATCTGATCCTTTTTGTCGGCGCAGAATAGACGAGTATGATGTCGTTTCTGAACGACAACAAAAGTTATTCCCGGTTGATAATTTTGTTCTAGAGCAATGCAGGCCTTTCTTATATCCTTGAGCTCGTTCTGTAATATCTGTTGGAATTGGCCCTCACTAACGCCGTCACGGTAAAAAATAATACGATTTGGCTTAAAGTGGGTACTTCTGTAAAATTGAACGAGTAAATCTTTAACCATAGCCGATAAATCTTGAATCGTTTCCGATCTATGTTGTTGAACCCGTACTGTTGCTGCATAGCGGCTTGGATGAGCATCCATAGAACCTACAATAGCTGCTATAGATGGCTTCGTTCTATCTGAAGCTGGTGGATGCGTAACATCAGCCCCCATAAATATGACTGGCTCCCGGAAGACATTAGGTCTGACACTCGGCATCAAAATGTTGTTTATGCCGCCTAGCTTGACGTTTATTTTCAAGCAGAGGTTGGAGAGCGTTTGGGGGGAAGTTTTGTTCACATTCTTTGCTTGCACACACTGCGTAGCCATACCGAATATAACATCGCCAACTCTCTTTACTTCAGCATAAACCGGAGTTTTACCCGGAAGAACTACGACAATCAACTGAAGTCCAGGATAAGTGTTTTTTAAATAGCGAAACATAGGTTCAACATGATCGGGACCATTCGCGTATTTACAGAAGCTCGGCTGTCCGGTAATAGGCATTCCGGCGTCGTTTGAAATCTTTTGCAACTGATTAGTGAACGATCTCAAAGCTTCTTCCCCAACTGTTCTTTGAGGAGCAAAGCAAGCAATAGCCCAAACTCGTATCTGTATTCCCTGGTATAATTGCTTTCCTCTCATATCCCATACACCTTGATTAGGAACAACTTGGACTTTGGTCTGTAAACAATGGAGATATAGTATTACTATAAACAAAGATACACCCGTCATTTTAAACTTACCCGTCCACCATATTGCAATTTAGGAGCAGGCAAGACGCGGCCCTGAACTTCCGTCATACTCTTATCTATCGTCAAGTTAAACGTTTTCATGTATTGGTCGTTCTGAAAGTCAGCCTCCTCAACTAAATTCTTAATTTCCTTCTCCCTCTCAGGTGCAGATCTTGCAGTGGCCTAGAAAGAAAATAATGTTATTTATAAATAATATATTAATACTGCCAATTTTTCCAAATAGTTACCTTTATCATAGTTGAAGTTTGCATATCCGTCAGCTTTTTGATGCAGCGTTGTCCTCCTACAATATTGCAAACTTCCAGAGGCAGATAAGTGTGCTTTTGCTCCTGACCAACTTGCAGGCAAGGTAAATGAGGAAAATTTAATCGAACTTGGTATCGGTCGTTGAAGTACTTGGCTACAGTACACTCAACTGTCTGTCCGCTCTCCAATTGCAAGGGGAACGATTGAGTTTGAGCAGGTCGCCTAGTTACGTTGCATACCCGATATTTTCTCTTCATTTCACCGCAATGGGTTATTTCAACTTTCAAACCGCGTATTTCCTTTGTAAATTTCACTCGTTGGGCATCCGTCAAGGGTCGTTTTTGATCACGTGGATCATGCATTTCTAAAACTTCCGCCATGAAGTCGATAACTGGTTGAGCTTTGTAAAAGGCAGTCGCCGACGCTAATTAAAGAGAGAAGGATAAGCATGTATAGAGAAAGACCTAAACCTAATCAATAAGACACTCAGAAGTGCAATTAATTTTACTTAATAAGCTTACCTCTAATAAAGTAAAAAATAAATTATTTTTGGTTAGTCTAGTTTCAGTCCTACCTATTTTACATGTTTTGTCATTTGCAATACTAGAGCTAAATTAGACTTAATGGCAAAAAGCCACAGTAATGACACACAACTCAGGAGTCGACAGCACTCACTGGTTTTCAGATAAAAATATGAAAAGATTTTAAGCGGGAAAATGACTCACCATCAATATTCATCATCATTTTCCAGTGACAGGGTCTTACAGACTGATGGAAGCCGAACCACACTTCTCTGCCACCTCCCAACGGGTGTTCATACTGCTGAGAAGGTTGGAAAAACGAGCGCCCCACTGGGGTATATCTGAAAAGTAAACAGAAAAGTATAAAGAGAAGCAAATGGAAGAAATGTGAATCTCTTACTTCATACTGGGAAGATGACGCATAACGACGTCCAAAGCAGAAATAGCATCTTGTGGCATATTGGGTTGTTTACCTTGAAGAGCTTCTTCCAGGTTGTATAGGGATATATTAGCGACCCACTTTATTGTCACCTTAAAGGTCCTGTCTTTGCCATCCCCTGGTAAAGTTACTTCCAACTCCATTTTATCCCTTCCAATAGGTAGAGGATCCTTAGAGTATAAATTCTTGCGACCATCGAAAACGGGTTTCTGACCATTGAAAATCTTTTGTGAATATGCCTTAACCATTGTCTCGACGATTTCGCGATTTACGCGGCGTGGGCATTTTTCTGGTGAAATCCCTATATCATAGTGATTTATTGAACCCCTCGGAATCGTGACAGCAAAATGATTTGCCCTTAACGATATCGGACGACCTTCGCAGCCAATGTTTGGTCTTGGAGGACATCGAAACTCGCCATATTGACCAGAACCACCGCCTGGTGGAGGCTGAGGAGGGGGTCCTCCTCCCGGTGGTCCCAAAGGATGAGCCGGGGGGCCTGTTAATAATCCCGAATTAATAACTTGAAGTTAAATTAACTTGACTTACTACCTGCTGGTAATCCTGGAGGATAACTGCCTGGTGGCGGACCTATCGGCGGGTTATGGGGACCTGGTGGTCCTAGTGGTCTTTGAATAGGCGCTGGGGGACCATGGGGTAAGGCACCAAGACCATTATTGATACCAGGAGCAGCAAGAGGAGCTCCAGAGCCGAAAAACTTTGATTGTTTAATTGAATCGGCGAGTTCGGTTGTGTAAGGAGGTAGAGCAGCTGCTATATGCAAGTCTTTGAAATCGTCATTTAAAACGGCCGAATGATCTGAAGAAAGAAAATATAAAATATAAAATGGAAAACTGCTTATGGGCCAAAATAGGCCAGATTAGAATAGCTTTTGTTAGCATTATTCTCAATAATTAGCACCGCTCTCCTCAAGTCGAGTGTTATTCTAGTATGTTTTCTGGTTTTTTTCCCGTATCATATACCAGGATTTTATTATATTTCATATTACTACTTTTTACCTTTTATACAAATACAATATTAAATACTTGTACTTTCTTATCCATATGAACTTATATTACAGTTCCCCTTTGGTGTAAATATATCACAGTATAGTTAGAGAAAACAATAACTGAGAATACTTCTTTTACAGTATTTAAACATACAATTATTCTATTGTTGCTAGACACTATCACAAAATAATAAAATTATAACGTTTAAAAAGCATATTTTGTTCCAGTTATAAATAGAAAACCACCCATATATTAATTATGCTAATACCTTCAAACATATCGTACTGCGCTTTCAAAGTAAACGGGTCAACTGTTGTTAAATAGCTAAGAGCCAGTGTACTGGTTTGAGAATCACTCAAACCATAGGCTACAGGCGTAACAGGACTTCTATCCTCTAAATTATTTCTCTGAGGAGGAATATAACTTATCCATTGTTCGTTATTCATATTTATATCCCTATTCAGCTGACAACAATCGTATCAGATTGTTTCAATTTTTTAACAACACGTGTTCACAAAATTCTCAGCGTTTTAAATCAGCTATCCGTTAGTTTTTTAAAGAAATTAGCCAAATGCTAAAACTTCAGTCAGTAGTTACGGTTATATCCACGTTTATAACTCTACTTGAGTTATTGAGTAAACACAAAGAGCATGTCGTCTGAACGCGTAAAAATCACTCATAAACGATCAAACAATATCTTACATCCACAGATCCCGAACACTAAATGAATAGTTCGGAATGACTCGATTAATGAGAGTAGTAAGCGTGTGACTAAGAAAAAATGACTAATTAAGACGGGCCCGTTAAACCTGCACGAGACTGCTAGTTTGCGTTTTCTTTAATTTACGAGCAATCGGGCACGATCTGAACACGTTAAAAAAAGGTAAATTATAAATCGAAGGATGTCTACTTACTCATAGGATACATTTCGGCAGTTGCATTCTACGCTAGCGAATAAATTGAAATAATTAGGCATGCATAACGATATGGCGGTGCTTGAGCAAAAACAAAATGGCTGCGGAGATAATAATTGTTTACGCCAGAACAGGTTATATTTGTTGTAACATGGTTGTCGTTTACGCCGTTTTGTCTACTGATTATAAAGCAACGCGAGACTTTGCGAGATCATCTCATCGTTTGCTTTATGGCATTTCACGGTAAAAATTTATTTTACTTTAAATTTACATTAAAATTTTAATTAAATGCTGGAATTTGTGTCCATCGTAAGTGAAATTATATCTTAATTATTCGTGGGCGCTGCGAAACGTGCTTGTTTTACATTACCAAGGTTCAATGCGCATGCGCATGTGGGCTTGCCCAATCGATTTATTCGTTGCCGTCGTCAAGATGGCGGGGTGATAGGTGCATTTACGTCGCATAATTCGTTTTTTCTCGCCGAAAACACATTTCGTGATAGGTAAGTTTCTCAAACTAACATTGTGGGATATAGATGTACATAAATACTTATGGAACGTTACTAGTTTACTGTGTACTGTGCATGATTAATGAAAAATCGAAAATTTATTCGAAGTACCCGCCCATAGAGAATTGGCGTTAGACAAAGAACGTTGATTTTTGTCTAGTTTGTTAAAGACATAACAACTAGAATCGTTAACAAGCCAAATGGAAAAAGATTTTTCTTTGGATTTCTTGTGTTTTTCTGAATGTGAATGATTATAATTGCTCTTTCGTGCAGTCTGCCTACTAGGTCATCTATTTTCAGGACTGCTGTTGCTATGCACGTACAAGATAGCGTTGTTTGTGTACATTAAAAAACTGCAATAATTATTCGTAACCACCGAGTGACTCTGAAAAGTCGTAAATGAGCCGTTAAGAACGATATTGAACAGTATCAGCTGTTTTTGCTCTCCGTATAACAAAACTACTGCAGATCATGAATAATTTAGCAGAATGATTCATACATGACGTCTTGTTCAAAACCATCTAGCTGGTGTTTTTTTCAACATAAGTTGTTACGTATCTAGGCGGGTGTATCTTTATGACTAATTGGAGGGTAGCGCATAATAAAAAATTTTGTAACAAAAAAAGTGGACTTTTAAACAGCGTATAATTACATTTGAGTTCAGTCCATGTCAAGACACTCTTAATTGAGTGATTACAGATGAAAGAAGAACAATTGTGCAAAAAGAATAGTGTATCTGTGCAGCAACCTCGACGAAAGTTAAACCTCCAATTTAAAACGTACGTTCTTACTGTTCTTTTTTTTATTTTTAAATATTTAATTCAACCTTTGATTTGTTGCAAAGCGAGAGCCTACTAACCTTTGTAGAAACTTACAATTTTATCTTTATAATTCAGATATGAATAATTGATTATTGGCTTGTGGCGTAAAGCGACAGTTTTTATAGGACTAGCCAATTTATATTTTATTACATTTTATAACGTTTTTACTTAATTTTTACTTAAATTAATTGCATTATTGTTCGCCTTGATTTCTTGTTTTTTCTTCATACAATTCATACCTGTTTTTGTAGATGCTGTTTTATCATGCATAAGGTACTTTATTGATTTAAACGAACAAGCATATTAGCACGTAACGGCCATTGTGTCTTGATTATGTGACAAAATTTAGAACATTGCTAATTTCCAAATGTATAACGTCTTGACTGCAACTAATAACGATAATGGAAAGAGTAAGATTCTGTTTGAATAACTGTGCAAGTGCAAATAATTATTTTAGTTCAGTTTTTATGTCATTGCCATTAGGAAGGTGTTGGTAAGTCGATTTTTAAGTCATTTAGCTTGCACTTTCCTTATTTAGGTATTAGATTTAGGTAATTTGTTTACAAAGCAGCAAACTAGTTGTTGTTAATTTAACAAATTCTGTTTACTTAGTATACCTGGATTCATAACAGTTAGTGATCACTGTCACACAAAAAACTACTTTTAGGACAATCGGGTATGTTATAAGGTGTTAGGTTGTTACTCAAGGTGTTATTAACATATTACCACCTGACATTAAAGGGAATAGTCAAAATATTTATTCACTTCAAGTCTTCTCCAAGCATTTGAGGATATTCCCGGTATATTACTTTATATCCTAGGCATGTTTGTTATACATATATATATATTTGTATTAAAAATTTACCCGAAATGTCAACGCTCGAAACATCTACTAAGGCATTTCGTCGAATTTTTGAGTACTAAGTAAAATAAATGTGCAGCTGTACGAAGAGTGTTATTCTGGTTTACAAAAGAGTACCCATTGTATTCCATTTTTTTCTTTTCTCTTAAGATTTTGTAAGAGTATTCGACCTCTAATAAATAATAATTACTGTCTCTGAGGTAAGAGAATCCTTCACAAGTCAGGAAGCTGCTGCTGTCAAAAGGCTTGTTCTATTTTGGTTTATTCATAGGATACGTTGAGCTATTATCTCCTAATTCTTGATAATTTTGCATTAGTGACATTATATGTTTATTTCAGGAAAAATGACGTCACCAACCCCTTCTCAGACAGAAAACAATACGACGACCTCCTGCGACATGAGTTCAACAAGCAGTTCATCGGGTTGCGAAGCAACAGTGCCGGCTAAATGTTCCATCTGCCATGAACTCTTTCAACAACCTCGAGTGCTTCCGTGTCTTCATACGTTCTGCTTGAAATGCATCGAAAAAACAGCGGATGGTTCAACTCGTCTCTGCTGTCCGGACTGTGGGGAGGAATGTCACCTGCCTAACGGAGCTAGTGCCCTACTTCCAGATGTCTCGATTGGATTTTCTGATGATTCAAATTCGTCGTTGTTGGGAGGAGTTCTGCATTGTACAGGCTGTAAAAATCCGGAGACGAACGCCATAGCGCGATGCATAGACTGTTCGAGTACTTTGTGCAGTCAGTGCGTCAACGCGCACAGAATAATGCATTGTTTCGATGGACATCGCATTAGCAGCTTGGAACCTGTCGCTGCTAGTTCTCCAACTAGCTCGAACGAGTCGTCATGTGAAATTCATCCGACTGAATCACTTTCGTTTTTCTGCCGTCAGTGCTCACAAGCGGTTTGTGACGAATGTGTGAAATTCGAGCATAGGCTACACGATTATGATTATCTGACAACGGACGCTAGGACAGAATTGGACGTGTTACAATCGCTAGCTCAACAGGCCAAAGCTAAAGCGACCGACCTACGTAGCGATGTCAAAAGCGTCGAACACAGCCTGACAAAATTGAATAATCAATACAAAAAGGCCCAAGCCGATATAAACGAGACTTATAACTTTTACCGGTCGATTCTGGATGGACGGCGAGAAGAAGCATTAAGAGAATTGGACGCGGCTAATACTCAGAAACAAGGCGCATTGAATGCTGCCACGGAACGAATGACAGAAATAACTGAGAAACTTTACCAGGCTGCTGAGTTTATCGAGCGACTTACTAGGTGTGCAAATATGGTGGAGGTAAGAGAATTTTTCTGTTTTCAATTGTTCTTTTCAGGTTTTTCTATTCAAAAATCATGTCTATACATTAAAATGTAGTATAAAAAATAACGAACTGATTTTATCACGCTTACCCTTGACGCCATATTGTAATATCAAGGGCGTCTTTCATCCACTGCCGATATATTTCCATTTTCTTGACGTCCAGATTAATCAGTAAGGTTCGATTTTCTGTAACATAATATGAAGTGAAAAGAGAAGTTGGAAATTCGTTACTTTACATTCAACTGCTAATTTGTAAACTGTGATTGATTGATTGGATATTATTGTATAAACTAATTGAACTTCTATCTTATCAAACCCGATCTGTATAGCCGAAAAGCAAGATCTGTAGGAAATATATAAAGTATATAAATAGCCATATATTTCGTTTCTTGACACGACTCTTTACTAATTAGCTATTCTTTTCCGTAATAGACATTCTTAGAGAAAAATCTGGAATCATTTATAGACATTATAACACCTTAATTTTAACAGAAGTCTTCATGTTTATTATGGAAAATGTAATCATGTTTTAATCATTCACAGGTATTGATGTTTAAAAAACTCTTGGATGTACGACTGCAGAACTTAATACAGTATACGCCGGAAGTGACAAACAACGTGTCTGATTTGGAATTTGTATCGAATTACCAAGCCATACAGGTAACAGCTGTTATATATAACTAGAATAAAAATACCAACTTTATCTGCCCTACTAACCACCCGGTCTTTTTTTTTAGGTCGGCGTTCGTAACACGTTCGGCTATATAAGACAGACTGCTACTGACCCAATGCAACGCCACCCTTTCCCACCGCAACCGCCTATCAGCAAGCCTGTGTCCAGGGTTATTGCTCCACCCAATCCGGTAAATCCACAGCATCCGTTCATGTCAAATGGGAATACTCTTCCTCCGACTATCGACAACTCGCTAGGCTTATCTAGTAACAGATTTCCTTCAACGCATTCTTTGGGCTCGCTATCGAATTCAACCGATTCTCACCTATCAAATGGAATTGCTAACGGCTTAAATCAGCTACACGAATCTCTAGATAATCAGAACAGTGCTAGGCCATATGAAAAATGGAGCTCCGGTAACGATTTACCCTATTCAAGTGCATCGGCTACAGTACCAACCCCTGTTCTTACTGACCCGATGATGGATTTGACAGCAAAATTGATAACTGCGAATATCTATCCACCAAGGTCGCAGATTAAACGGCATAAGATGATATATCATTGCAAGTTTGGAGAATTTGGAGTAATGGATGGACAGTTTACGGAACCTAGTGGCGTCGCTGTTAACGCTCAGAACGATATTGTGGTCGCCGATACGAATAATCACCGAATTCAAATTTTTGATAGAGAGGGTAGATTTAAATTTCAATTTGGAGAATGTGGTAAAAGAGATGGTCAGCTGCTATATCCAAATCGAGTAGCTGTAGTTAAATCATCTGGAGATATTGTTGTTACGGAACGAAGCCCAACCCACCAAATCCAGATTTACAACCAGTATGGGCAATTTATGAGAAAATTTGGAGCATCAGTATTGCAACATCCAAGAGGTGTCACCGTTGATAGTAAAGGAAGAATAGTTATTGTCGAATGTAAAGTGATGAGGGTGATTATTTTCGATCTGACTGGAAATGTTTTAAGAAAGTTTAGGTAAGATATCTTTATTGAATTTTTGTTGTAACATTAGTTAGCAAGCATATTTTACTCTTAAAAGCTTAAAATATCACAAATTACATATGATAATCAATAATGAACTTAATAATTAGTAAATAACATAAGGATATAAAATAGGCTTGGCCGGCTTGTATTCATGAAGGAGCTAATTATTCACGCTGTTCTTTTAGAAATTTTACATAAACGATAAATGAGTTTAGATTATACCTAATCCTAAATTAATGATAGAAGTTGATTTTTTTTGCAATACAACATATATAAGTTAAGTTAGGCGAATAAGTGTTAATATTGCAAGCATACAGTATAGCAAGTTGCATACATTGTTTAGTCTTCTGTACTTGGAAACGTCTGTAGAAATTATTTTCTTTCTAACCCACTCTTCATTTTTTATTTGCAACAGCTGCTCTAAATATTTGGAGTTTCCAAATGGCGTGGTAGTAAATGACCAGGACGAGATATTCATATCCGATAACCGTGCACATTGCGTTAAAGTTTTCGACTATAACGGCATGTATTTAAGGCAAGTGGGAGGAGAAGGTGTCACGAATTACCCAATCGGAGTTGGAATAAATTCAGCTGGAGAAATTCTTATTGCTGATAACCACAACAACTTCAACATAACTATTTTCAGCCAGGACGGAACGCTTTTGAACGCTTTAGAATCTAAAGTAAAACATGCGCAGTGCTTCGATGTCGCTCTAATGGATGATGGTTCGGTTGTTTTAGCCAGCAAGGATTATCGGTTGTATATCTACAGATACGCGCAAGTACCGTCTCTCGCTTAAAAAAAACGTTTGCAGTTTATTTTTTCTTTTTCGGTAGTCGTTGTAATATTTGGGCGCGGAAAAAAGTTTATTCTCTATTTATAAAAATGCGCATATAATTATATTGCTAGTCAAGCCCAAAATTTGTTGAATTGTGTTTGACAATTTTAGATATTTTTTGCAAGTTGTTGTGTTTCAAATATTTAAAACAAATCGATTAATTTATACCGAGAGTTTTTCTTTGCAAATTTGTTTTTCATTTTTTTTTTTCATTGTTGTACTGAATGTTGGATATTTTACTGAAAAATTTGTTAGGCTGTTGATGCAACGCGTAGTATAACGTCGACTTATAAGAAAATTTTCAATAGGCATTGACGGGCTTTTTAGTCGTTTTGTTCGTCATATCTGAAAATTATGAAAACAAAGACTTTCAGAACGTTAAAAAATTTTTTGTTCCGAATCTCGCGGTCATTGTCATGCAGTGTGTTTTTTTGTGCTTTTTTTTAATGCCCGTCAATTTAAAAGAATCGCCAGTTGCAAGGCGCCAAAAATAGACAAAAAATAGCTTGTAATTTTTTTTTCCAGTCTTGCCACGTCGTGTGTTACAAAAGAAAAAAATATCAGCTCGCCCGGCTGGGTTTCGTCGTTTTACTATTTTCTTTTTTTTTTTGACAACTAATAATTTAATAGCGAATTGTGGTATAATTCCTTGATCGTCTTTCATATTTTTATCGTGTTGACAAGTGTTTGTTTCTATATTTTATGCAGCTGCAATATTTTATACGTGACCCAGAAGGGATGAGACGTGTCAGCTTTTTTCGCCAAAGAATGCTACAGCCGTTTCGTAATAATATTACACTAGTTATTGGTCACGTGATTTTCGTATTTTTTAACTCTTCAAGAGCTGTTGTTTTAAGCGGAAGCGCATGCTTGGAACCCTGTAATAGGTGTGTTGTTTTTTAAAGACTTAATATGACTACTTACAGTGTTTCAGGCGAGAGTTTCCGTTGTCTTTTGACAAGTTTTAAATTAAAAAAAAATAAAATCTACATCGAAGTGTTGGCTGAATTAAGAAATACTTCGGCTTTAATTACAATATTAATACTATTGTTTATTGATGTTGGATGACACTGATTTTGATATGTTAATAATATCACGTGATCAAGGCTAAAAGGGCGTAAAATAAGTTCACTATATTCCAAATAGTAATAAACAAGAATATAACATTTACATCAGTATTCTTTGGTTCTAACCGATACAACCCGTGTGTGCCTTTGCAACGTTAATTTTCAAAGGATTAAGGCTTGCTTGATCTCTTTTACACTTGTTTATAAAATATCACATTGAGGAAAAAATTAAGTTCTTTTTGCCACTTGTTCGACGTAGATTCTAATATATGCATTACAAAAATTGAACATTATTATTATATTATCGAAAAAAATTATTACGAAACGTTTGTTTTTTTTTTAATCTTTTTCCACTTTTTTGTTGCTAAGTTGAATTGTAAAATTATGCAGTTCAATACATTATTTTGTTGCTTTAATCGGCTATTAAAAGAAAACGGTGGCTTATTGTTTTAATCCATTCATTTAATATGGCGGCAGTATGAAATATATCACCTAACTATTATCACTGCAATAAATTATATATTGTTTCGCAAAATAAGTAAGTTTTTTTGGCTAAGCATGATGATACGAAGCTTCAAAGCTACTGCTTTTTCTCAACAACTAAAATAACAATGTCGTCACACGAGTAGACTTTATCTTGTTCGCTGATGGGGATCGTATAGAATTTAAAATCTTTTCCCAGAGCCTAAAAACATTTATTAAAGACATGTTTTAGCACTAAAATTTTAACAACTTAAGCTTTTGAAACAAACCTTAAAAAATTCTTTCTCTAATCTTTTCTTATGTTCGGTATCCCTTCTTTCGAAACTGCAGAATATTTTTGTATCTCTACTACATAACTGATTTAAAGTTGTAAGTAACGGTTCTAATGACTGAATATATACAATTATTATTATTATTCTATTTTTTTGAATAAATTCATTACAAACTTTAATACCTCATCATAATAAATGCAATCGGACATAAGGATACATTGGAACTCGTCTTTTTTAAATAATTCTAAATCTTTTCCCCATTCTAATACCTGAAATTTCGCTTTCCCTTTGATCAAGTGTTTATTTTCGTTAATATTCTTGTTGATAAGATTTTGAAATTGAGGTAAATCGGTTATTGTAGTTTGAGCTCTAAAAAATTCCAAAATATTAAATGTAGTTTAAGTGTATTTTTACTGTTGTTTTTCTTTTTATTGAATAAAGATATAAACTCTCTAACCCGAGACATGATGATACTATTCCACATAGGCCAGTACCTGCTCCAATTTCTAAGATATTCGAACCATCCAGCGTCAATATATTTTTGAACGATTGGCTTTCAATATATTTGCTAAGAACAATAGCAGCATCCCAAACAACACACCCAACATCTCCAATTTCATTCTGATTAATTTTTAAAATTTGACCATCGTTCAGTTCATATTCCCTTACAAAATATCGACATTCTGAATTGGCTTGCATGCCTTTCTTTTTTATATTTGTAATAGCAGACGATAAAGAACATAGCTAGCTCTTTTTTTAATAGATGTCGCTTTTAACCTTCCACAGAAAAAAAGATAGAGAGAATGAGGAAAAAGTAGAATAGAATATCAACAATGACTGTTAGTTAGATTGTTATTATTACTATTATTTTTATGGAGATGTTTCTTTTGCAGTTTTTAATAATTGAGCTATTTACTTGCTAAAAAGGCCTTAATGAAAACATTAATCCATATTTGGTGTTGAGGTTTCTATTATCAATAGACGAAGTATAAAATAAATTAAAAGGGAAAAACCTTGCTTATAGCGATTATGCGAAGGTAAATGGAGTATGGATTAGTAATGAGATTCATGCGAGGCTAAATTAGATAGTTTCAAACATTGTATTTTCAACGCTCTTTATAAATAGTTTATCTAGGTAATAGAATATGTTTTAAAAGCGAGCCTGTTCGCAAACTCGCCTTTAAACTTAATGCTATACAATTCCATATCCTATATATATATGTATCATCAATCTATATACGAGTATAAAAAAGAATGATGACTCTCCTTTTGTATTGTTATAAGAAGAATCTATCATCATTTTACGAAAATATCTTTTAGGGGCAATTACGTACAATTTTATTAAATACTTTCCTCTCTATTATCAACCCATGCTGTACAAGACCATTTTTTACAATATATATATATTGTATAATGAAAAATTTCTCTTTAATATTTCAAGACAAACAGGCGTGGAAGTTGCTTTTTATGTTACTTAGTGTCTCTATTATTTGATTGAATTTCATACTAGATGGATATTTAATATTGCAGTACATATTATAGGCTCGAATTAATTCTTATTTAATGCGATATTATAATATTTATAATATAATATTTCTCTAAGTTTACTAGAACAATAAAAAAAATCTTGAATAAAATGGAAAATACATATTGTAAACTTAAGTAATACAATTTTATTTACCTTTTTGTCAACTAGGTGGAGTTATTATATAAACAGGAAGTTCCGGTATTTTCGTCCTATAGAAAAAAAATTGCTTGTCAAATTGTCGCTAAAAATCACTATTAGGATGAAGTAAGTAACTATTTGCTATGTCTAGAAATATCTTATAATATTATTTCAATAATTATTGCTTCTATAAAGCGCTTTATGCATTTTAAATAGTAGTATATTTTAAAGGTATTTAATTGTATACATTTTTCAAATTTCTTTTGCCTTTTAGTAAGAAAGTCTCCAGATTCGACCACCAAAACTTGAGACATTCGATATATAATAGCATCTTAAACTTAGCTAAAGAAACATTACCAAATTTTAAAGAATATGAAATTGAGGGTATGATAGCTGTAACTCTAGACGATAGTGTTATGGTTCTTAACTTGACAAATAAAATGTTACATGAAAACGATGCCAGCGCAGCTAAGTATGAAGGAACTAGGCTAAGGACTCGGCGTCCTTCTCGTTTAGCTGCCGAAAAGGTAGAAATTAAGGAAGATACAGAAGAAATAATAATAGATAAAAAAATAGATCAAAATAATGAGGAAGAGGAGCCATATTCCTCAAGAGGGAAAATAAAAACATCATCAACTGATTATGACGATGAATTGGAAGCTGGTAGTACATTACCTCTTAAGAGCTCAGGAAAAAGAAAAAGAGGTAGAGGTAGGGGAATGAGATCAATCTCATCTTCAAGACAAGGGCGAAGGAACAGAAATTCCATGGATTATTCGGTATGCTTTTTTTTTATGCTCTAATATATATCTATAAACCATATAATACTCTTCTTATCTATAGGAAGGCGATACAGAAGCAGGAGATGGGAATAATTCAAATGATGAGATTGACTCTCCTTTGAAAAAGAAAGGCCGAAGAATATCTAAAAGAGGAGGAAGATCGAGTCGTAAAAAGACTAGAGAGGAAGAAATACGTGCATATACAAATGATCAAGATGTTATAGACTTGAGTGTTGATAATACTCCTCTAGATGCTAGTATTGTTGATCAATTTGAAGATCTACCTCTCCTTCCTGAACCAGAGAATAAATTTGGTTTAAGTCATAAACCGAAACCGTCTAACTTGCCTGTAAGAATAATTTCGCAAAATCTGAAATAACGATTCACCGTATTTTATTTTTTTAGCGAAAGTATATTTGTGACTTCTGTGAAAGCGGATTCAAAAGTAGTTCTCACTTGGAAGAGCATAGGCGTCTTCATACTGGAGAAAAACCGTACAAGTGTCCAGTTTGTCCATTTGAAGCTTCTCACGGATCCAACTACAGGTTACATTTAAGGGACAATCACCCGGAAATAGATCCGTATCCGTGTCCACATTGTGACAGGGCTTTCAAACAGAAGAAAGATTATAGAAATCACGTGAAAGAGCATCCAAAAACTAATTAATAACAACGTTTTATCTATGAATTTATTAAGAATATTTTCTTTTAGACAATGTTTATAAAAATATTCTGGATTACAGACATGTAGAAATTTTATTCAATCTTTACAATCTGTAGCTAACATCTTACGGTACTAAAAACAATTTGAAAGAAAAGCAATGAAAACCTCTGTCCTGAAAATTGTTTTAAAACTATGCTGAAAGTAATAGTTTGATATTAAAATTTTGAACAATAAATTAAAATAATATATCAAATACACAATTCAATTTTGCAGTCAAACATTTTTGAATTTTTGGCGCGAAAAAATTAGGTAAAATATTCGTAAGACGAAAATTTTCCAACGTTTCGACTGCTATCTGAATAATAATGTCTGTATCATTGTTTCATTTAATTTAGTTAGATGAATACTTTTTAACAAGAATTTTCTATCAGGTCGAAAGTTACGTTCAAGGTGACGCTAACGTCAGATCCAAAACTGCCTTTTAAAGTGTGAGTTGTAATGAACATATTGTCTGCTAAAGCTAATACACCTATTATCACTCACTACAGCCTAAGCGTACCTGAGAGTACACCCTTTACAGCAGTTTTGAAATTTGCTGCTGAAGAGGTACATCAATAAAATAAGATAGTTGTGTTTGAATATATAATAACAATTAAATCTGTTTTTATAATTGAAATTATCAGTTTAAAGTACCTCCAGCAACTAGTGCTATTATTACAAACGATGGTATAGGTATCAATCCATCCCAAACTGCTGGTAAGTTGGAGTAAAATAGATTAAAATTTTTAAATAGTTATTATTATGTTTTACAATAGGAAACGTTTTCTTGAAACATGGAACTGAACTCCGACTCATTCCTCGTGATCGTGTGGGAGGGCCAGCTTTTTGAGTTGAAAAAAATTTTAGCATATTATTCATAAATGTTAACATTTTCTTTGAATTTTTTTGCTTAAAAATGGAAATTACATTCAATATAATTTAATAAGGCATAATAATATATTCTATAGTTTATCATAGACCTGAAGAAGAAATAACTAACAAATCAAGCTAATAAATATTCATCAAGAGAAAAGTTTATTAAAATGAACAAATAGATCAATTATATTCAAGGAAATATTACAAGATATACAGTATATATATACGAAAATTATGCGTTCATATAGAAAATTATGGCACACAGAAGTATTACTAGATGGCGTTGTTTTAGTAATATTTGTTAATATATATCAATATGATTAAAGCGGGGGTTGAAAGGGAAGGGAAGATTGTTTATTTAAATTTTATGGTTGAAATTTAATTCTTTTATAAATTCAGCGTTTTGAATGGATTAAGCAAACCCTTGACAAGATTTTTACAAGTATTATAAATATCTAGAAGCGTTTAATTAAACGAAATATGACATATGACACTATTAAAATATTTAATTAAGAAGTTCTAATTTGTTTTGGTAGTTTGTTAACGAACCAACTAAAAAAGAGCTTTTCTCTCTCTCTCTCTCTCTCTCTAGCAATGACTAATATTGGTTGCTAGGTATAGTTTCATTCAAAATCATCGGTCAATTTAGTGTTATCAACATATTTAAATGTTAAATTTCTAACTTTCTGAGTTTTCATTAAAGTATCTGTACTACCCGTATTGTAATTTAAAGGATTTATATCCAAATTTATACGTACGACTCCCTTCATTCTTGAACTATAGTAATCAGTCTTAGAAGGTATTAGTAAGGGTTCAACAGTTTTGTAGAATTTCTCAGCCCTTGATCGAAAATCGACAGTTCGCTTTAAATCAGATTTTGCTGAGGTACACGTTGGAAATGGAACACTTACAGATCTTGGTCTGTTGTCCAGTGAACTACGTAATCGACCCGCTCCAATTTGATGACAACTTAGTGTTCCTAGATATCCGTCAGCTGTTTTTGGTGGTAATCCGTGACTTTTTGATTTTGCTTCCTTCTTAAATAAAGGATAATTGGTTGTAATCGGTCTCGCTAACCGATCAGGACTTTTAATTTGTTCAAAACAGTTTTGTTCAAATTGAAAAGAAGCATTTCTTATCCTATCTCTCTCTTCTCTTCTCGTCGAAGATCTAGCAACAATGTCGTCTAACAATTTTGAATCCTGCCAACTTCCCCTGTTATTCATAAACCCTTCTAATTGAGCTCTAATAGCTCTTTCCAGCTTTTTATCGTTCGTTAACCTGGCTTCATTTAATTTTGTAGTGAGATAAGTTCTCTCAAATCTCCGTAATACCATTTGTTGGTTGGACCGTATCCTTGCCGAAATAGTCCTCTGAGCCTTATTATACTCTTCAACAGCACGTTGAAAGGCGGCGTCGAATTTCTCGTTAGCAGATTGAACTTGATGAGAATTTTCAGAAGCTAACGCCATAATTACAGACGATAAGCCGTTTATTGCTGACTTTTTTTTTCTACAAGTGGCTATAAAGTAAATATTCGAATTCGAGTAGTTTTGGATTTTCAACTTCTTCAAATGGCCTTTTCACCATGTGTATAATTTACATAACGCTCAACTCTATTGACTCTATCACTTTTTGCGAATCGTGTTCCGTTCAAGAAAGCAAAGCTTTTTAAAATGAAAAAAAAAATCAATTTCAAAGTATATATATCTATATATATAAAACGGGAAAAAAACAGAAAATCGAACAAAATTCAGGTCGAGATGTGCTTAATTCGGTTTTAATCACTTCATTGAGAGAAATTAAGTTAAAAGGTTGCACTTTCATTGAAATCAAGCCTACCGTCTAATTTGCTAAAGTTTAGCAATCATTAGTAAAAGTGATTACTAGTGTTTATACAGGCCTACAATTAAGGAGAGGTTTTGAGGGGAGATAGAGCGAAGGAGGGAAAGGGATGGGTTGAAAAGTAATTGTTGAATTTTATAGGTTCTCCTATTTAAAAAGAAAAATATAGGATAATATTATAACTAAACAAAGTCCGCTTATTTTATTCTCTTTTTTATCTCGGCATATATAATGTTATATATATCTATACTGTATCTTACATATTAATATATATAAATTTATATATACAGTATATAGATATATAATATTTATTAAAAAACAGATGCATAAAATGATAAACTTTTTTAATGTAAGCACCAAAAAAATGTAAGTTTCGTATAAAAAACAAGAAACCTGCCAAAACAATAAAAATAATCATAAAAAAAACATAAATAAATTGTTAGAAAAAAGATAATAACTATTTAAAAATGGTGAAATCAACTATTAAACTAATCTGTAAAGAATCAAGTATAATAAAAAAAAGAATGGGAAAGAGTATATTGAGTAGGAAGTACACGATAGTATTCATTGTAATAGATAGATATAGATAAATAGATTGATAGGTTGGTAGGACAGATAAGAAGTATTTAGCTCTAAATTGGGAGAAAACCAATCTTCCTTTACTCTTTCATGCTAATTATATATATATATATATATATGGATTGCAGTTATATATTTCAGATCTCTATGAACATTTCTAACTACTTCTTCTCAAAGAAAATTGGTGAATGCTACAAAGAAAGCCATTTCCATCTACTTTTATCAAAAATATCTACAATGAAACATACTAGAGGGCGATAGCAACTGTAATTATTATGATTATGATCTGTATATATATATATATATATTTATAATTCACTAGATACAGTATATACTGCAAATCAATTAAATTATATAAATTGAAAAGCTGTTGTTTTCTGTTATTTACTTGAAGATAATTTTGTAATTAAAATCTATTTGAATTCATTAGTTTAATTTTGCTGTTATAATGTCAAATATCGCCAGGAAATAGTCTATATTGCACAATTTTTTTTTGACTTTAACTTGGCAGAAAGATTTTTTTAAGATTGATAATTATTAATAGAAATTAATAAAAGACTATATTTTTTATAGTTTTGTTTATAACTATATTGAATTATAAGAAAGAGCTTTTTTATGATAAGAATCACTATTATTTTTTTATACCCTTTTCTTTGTTTGTGTGCTTTTTTTGCCTTTTTGCATATGATAATAAATTTCTTCTCTAAAAAAAGTCTATTTTCTGTATCTCTTTTTCGTAATCGATGAAAAATCGTAATAAATTACAATATATATATATACAGTATATATATATATATACTTATATATATATATAATTTCTGCCTACATGTTGACAACTCTCACGGATGCTGGTCCAGGGCTCTTAGCCCTTTGTAAATTCACAGCTTGAACTGGCTGTGAATACAAACTTGGCATTGAACCGGCTCGCTGCATTCCGTTTCCAACTTGCAGAACGGACACGTGACCTCCATTACCTGGCTGACCAATCTGTCCCACTAGAGGCTGACCTCCACCTAATTGAATTGGTTGGAGGACGTATGCAGTTTGAAGTCCAGCCTGGTTTTGCGCCAAGTAAATTGGTTGCTGCTGCTGCTGCTGCTGCTGCTGAACTAGAAGATTACTGGCACTGTGAGCCTTCTGTAGGTATACTACTGGCTGCTGACGAGGTAATGTCGATTGATAATCGTTGGGTTTAAGGCGTCTAACTATGCGCGGCATTGTCGTCACTGTTTGTTGCGGGCCCGTATGTTGAAAATTTTGATTCTGTAAACCAGAATATTGAAAATTCTGATGCTGTAAGCCAGATTGTTGAAAGTTTTGATTTTGATAGCCTGAATTTTGAAAATTCGGTTGTTGTTGTTGTTGCTGCTGCTGATGATGATGATTGGCCTTTTGATATCGTCTGAGTGTGCTATGATCTTCATCCTTCGATACAGTTAGAGATATTTCGCTCTTATTTCTTGAAAATAGACAAGAAATTCTGGATAAAGTTAAATATTGAATAAATTTTAATAATATATTTACCCATTAAGGTTACGTTCTACAACTCCTTCGGGTCTTTTTACTTCTGTATCAATAGCTGTTTGAATTCCTTCCTCTCTTGTTTCAATCTTACCACCTCTAGCAGCTTTATTCTTATACATTTTCCTATCGACTGAACTATATAGTTCTTGGACATCAACAACATCCTCTGATCTTGTTATACTCTCAAGAATTTCTCTTTCGATCTTTTCCGATTGTTCCTCAAATTTTCTACTTTTCATTGTACCAAAAGTAACATCATTGTTATCTTCGTCAACTCTAACTTTTTCACTTTCTACAGTCAGTATTGCCATTTCATTGGTGGCCTCATCTAAAGAATGGACTACAGCTGATCCATTTGTATTGTAGGAGTTGAACATCTTTTGGGATCCATTGGTAATTCCCGACTGAGTTTGTTCACTGAATATTGTTGTGGTCGATTCGTTGTCGGAGAAATCGTAATTTAAATGCTTTGGCAAAGATGTCATATCGGGAATAAGAATATCTATTTAACAGAAAATGTCTATTAAAAAAGCTATACTTCTCGAATCAGCATTAAGCTAATGAATCAATTATTTACCCATGGTTCCATCATCCGTAAAAAAATTACTTCTAAGCGATCTACTAATTTGCCTTCTAGCATATTCCTGAAATTCTTTCCATTTAAGTCCGCTCTCGTCTCCCAAAAAGCCCTCAGCAACCCTCAACTTTAGGTTGCAAGTTGTAGGTATAGCTATTGGTCTTCTATCGGTGATGACGAAATATTCTAAAAATAATAGAAATATTTATTATGTGCACATATTTATATATATATTGAGATTTTACAGTACAACAGCAACAATTACAATTACTTAAATAACAATAAACGTTAACATTTATTATTCATGATTTTTCTAACAAAAATAAACTTTTGAATAGTAATAAAAAAAAAATTTAACAAATAACAGAAAGTATAAATAGTCCTCTTCTCAAAAGCAAAATAAAGAGTTAGAGGCTTTGAAGAACTACTTTTTCGATTCAACAATCAAGTATTAAACGTGCTTTATATATTTTAAAATGCTCTAGATTTAAACTAAGAATTTTACCTCGAGTCAGGAAATGTCCTTTTAGAAAGTGTTCGGTTATCTTTGGACTAACTGGTCCCCATGATGTATTAATCGTCTCTAAAAATATTGAACCAAATTCTCTACTATTAGTTATTTCACTTCCAATTTTAAATTTCCATGGATCAGTATACTCAAAATCCAATAAAAGGGGTTGTATTCCATTAAAATATTGACGTATTATATATTTTAACTTAGCACCTTTAAATTGCTTCAAAGCTGTTGAAAAACAAAAAAGAATAGCAAAGCTTTTTATTATTCATACAATTCACGTGATCTGATTTTATATTGAGATATTCGATAAGGTTAGTAGTGTTAATTTCAGGATAAAGGAGGGTATTTAGATCGAATAAGGCCGATCAAATATTGCTAATCCATATTGAACATAAACATTAACTAATATCTCTATTTTCTTGACTTTCTTATAGCCGTTGAAAAAGATTTTTTTGTTGTCTGTACTGTTACACAGATTGCCATCAGGCCTATAAAGAAATTCGCAATAGGCTTATTATAAGTGTAAATAAGGGATTTCAGGTTGATTTCTTGAAAACGTGGAGTACAAAAAGAAAAAATTTGAGAATGATTGGATTTTTTTTTAAAAAAAAATTTATATACATAATAATAAAAAAATCTATCTAAAGAAAAAGCTGGCATTTATAGTCTTCGCTTAAAAAGAAAGTTGACGATTCATAGCAATTTTAACATATTTAACTAAAGAAGGGAAATACCATTATCAAAATTTCGTTAATATCTAAAGAATAATTAAAAAACAAGAAAAGTGGAAGCGAGAAAAAGGAAGTGACAAAGCGTTAATGACTTACAATATGAGAATAATAATATATTGTAAACCATTTTGGTATGAACGAGAAAGATATGGAATGAAATATAGGATTAAAAAAACTAAGAGACTTACTTTTCTTCTTCTTACTGTTTAGAGTATGAGAATTTTTTACCACGAATTTCATCGGAAAATTCCTCGGTACAGTTAGATGTCTACTACGTTGGTCCTTAATTAATATCCTCTTTTGCTTGTCATATTTTTCTAAACGTATTACCTATATATAGGTGAATATACAAAAATGAATCATATCGGTTGTAATACTAAGGAATGTATCAGTTTAACCTGATTAGGTTTCAAGTTTAAGTTTTCATCACTGCCGCTCTCAATTTTGACAAATAGAGGAAAAATTTGACTGACGATATCATGTGGACTATATAGTGTTGAACTCCATACTATTTGTCTTACGTCGTCCACGCTAAACTGCATTCTTACTTCTTGTTCCTGACGTTGATAAACAATTAGATTATATTCATAAGCAAATTTATATTAAAACAAAAACTAGCTAATAGTGAAAAAATAGTAATGGCAGTAGGCTCAAATTACTTCCATAATGAAATCCAGTGGAGGAATGAATCTGCTCGTGGGCAGTGCCACGTTTATTTTACCCTCTCTGTTTGCCTAGCTACTTTGAATGGAGCGTATATTATATTAGAAGAAGAAGATATTTTTCTCAAATCTAGGCACGTTTTCGGCATTAAATATTGTTTGATCGTTGTTATAGATTTAGATTTTTATAGAGAAAATTTGGAAAAAACTTTTTTTTTTGACTTACCAAAGTAGAAGGATTAAATAGAAATCGTTGCGTTTTGAAACACAACACGCCCAATTCTGACTGCGTATATATTGAAGTCGCCAAAAGAATTCATGCGTGACAGTCTTGAATGGGAAACGATCAATAGTGGTCTCATTCCTGTGTGAAATATTTAAAGCCTATAGTAAGCAGGATATTTTCATTATTTCAAAACCCAAGTATAAAATTCTATCATCTCTTCCACTGCCTGTCTCCCCTCTATACGTTTACCTTAATTCATAAAACAATGAGTTAAATTAATGAACCGGTTCAACGATGGAAATACTTATTGGACTAAGTACTATATATAATCATGACGTTTTTTAACTATAACACTGCTACAGTCCATCATCCAAATAGAGGAATTTTTACTGTCTCTTAATCCTTCCACCATTCTAAATAATCTAAAAAAACATAGTCATATCTCATTCTATATTTATTCAATGAAAGATTATTTACTATCTTTCAACTCCTATTTACAGTTTGTTTTACTTTTTAAAGAAGACTGCCTAATACACTCGTGATAGCCTACGAAAAAAAGTATCAAGTATCGGCGTAATGGTAAACGAATAACAAACGTTCTATTGTCACTTTTTGCATTCCTCTTCTTTTTTTTATTAATAGATTTATCATTCCTTTTTCGTTTTTTCTATCTACATCACTTATACTCTCTTTTTTCGGTTATCACTGCTATCTTTGTTCTTTCATTTACATATTTGTTCTTGGAGAGAACAAACTTTATTTTACCTTATGGGAGGGGTATCACGTGATTTCTCTTTTTTAAAAATAGATTCATATAATTAGTTTTTGTCCACTGAAAAACAACTGTATTCTTTGTTTGGAGAGTTTTTAACGCTTTCATCAAATAGTCCTATTGGTCGAACATTTTAATTGATTATGATTAAATTTTATGCGTGTGTAGGAAGTTCTTTTTGCCGCCCTTTCTAAGAAAATAGTACTACTACCAGTTTTTTTTTGATTGAAAAAAGAAGAATAATGCATCACTTGAGAATAATTTTGGCAATTCTGCTCTCCTTAATTAGTCCAATACACTTAACTGTTAAGTTTAATAAAAATTTGAAAAGTTTCTCTCATAGTGTTAAAAAAGCAGTTTTATACGGCCATAACATTGAAAATGTAATGTTTAGATATGAAAAAGGACCCGGAGTAATTACCGAACAATTTATTTCTGGGAATAATGGCTGTGCCGATCCTACTTTACACATAAACATTTACATTGACGGTGAAAAAACACCTAGCTTAGATTATAATATGTTCTTTGCTCACGCAGTTAATATGACGAATGACGTAGAAGATAAATTCTCTCCCTGGGCAACAAGTAGGTTTGGACATACAGCTCACCGTGGAGGAGGTTATTTTAATACCTATCGAATACCTTTTGGGAAGAATATTAAAATTACATTTCAAAGGCCAGGACCAGAGTGTGCAATATGGTATATTGTTAGAGGCGTCGAAAATCTACCAATTGTCGTTGGAGATTTCGAATTGCCTCCTTCAGCCAGGTTGAAAGTTTACAAAACGGAAGGTAAGCAAATATTTAATAGATATCAAGTTCTTACCGATATTTGATAATTGTTATTTTTAATAGATTTTCTTGCACCAGAAGAATATGTTAACATATTAAAGATTCAAAAGAAGTCAGGGATTGTTTTTCAAATGACCATTTCGGCTAATAGTAAAGATTTACAATTTCTAGAAAGTTGTTATAGATTACTAATCGATTCGGATAATTGGGAAAATATGCAACTATTATCATCAGGAACAGAAGATTTATACTTATCAGCATTATACTTTAATGCTGGAGTGAATCATTTCGAAAATGCAGGAGTTACTTTTATTAACCGGTTACATGGATCAGTAGTAGCCTATAAATTTTTTGAAAGAGATCCTGTAATATTCCACGAGAATATTACGCTTGTATGGAGATGTGGAGAAAATGTCGACTATGGTTGTTACTATAAACCACCTCAAAAAGACTGTTGGTTAGATGGAAATAGAAAGTACTGCTTTCCTAAACAAGCACCACAAGAACAAATAGAAAAAGAAAAAAAAGGATTTGATTTAAGCGAAACATTCTTTAAAACATATGTATGGGTATATGAATGGTAAACAGAAAGAAGAAAAGATAAATTGGTGATCAAACTAAAGGCTAGGGAAGAACTAAACATGAAATTAAATTTTAATTATGAACAATTGGTTCAAAGTCTATATAAAGATATTTTTTTATAGCAGCTATTGTTAAAATGTCAGTAATAATTAACTGATAATAAAGTGAATACAATAATTGAATGTTTATAATCTAAAACTATATCTGTTGACCACTCTCTCATCTGCTATATTATACTAATTTATAGACTGAAAATGGTTGCTTTAAGCATATTTACGAAAGATCAAAGTTCTCCAAGTCTTGAGCTGCATTGTGACAAATTGATAAACACAAGTGTATTGAAGATATAAGTATTTTAGTAGACATCCACCTGGATCTTTCTGTATTGCAGCAGCAATGGAGCAACAAATGAAAAATATATTTTCCCTTTTATTTTTTATACTTAGCATCGCTATTGCTAAAGTCCAGGTAAACGAAAAAATGAAAACCTTTGGTACCAGCACAAAAGAGGCATACATCAGAGGGAATTGGGTTGAAAATGTCATGTTTGAGTACAACAAAGGACCCGGTGTTATAACTGAACAATCTTATATCGCAGGTTTACATTGTACGGATGAAAACATGTTTGTCAATGTGTATATTGATGGAGAAACGGAGCCGAGTTTAGATTTTAACATGTTTTTCGCCCATGGAATAAATACGACTGCAGCTGTCGAAGACAAATTTGCCCCATGGGCCACTAGTTTATTTGGTCATGCAGCTCATAATGGAGGTGCCTTCTTTAACACCTATAGAATTCCTTTTGGTAGAAGTATTAAAATTACAGTAAGAATTCCTGGACCGGCCAGTTGTATTATGTGGTATATAGTTAAGGGTGTTGAAAATTACCCGGTTGTCATTGGAGATCTTATATTACCCGCCAATACACGACTTAAACTTTACAAAACAGACGGTATTGTTATTTTTAAATTGTCTTATCACGTGACATTTGGATGGACTTCTGTTTAAAACTTGTTATGTTTTTCAGGATTGCTAAATCCCCATGATTATGTCACCATAGCTAAGGTAAATAATAAATCTGGAATAGTCTTTCAAGTAGCTTTCGCCGGTCGCAGTAAAGATCTAGAATATTTAGAAGCTTGTTACCGAGTATTGTTAGATTCCGATGACTGGAGTAATGTACAACTATTGTCTTCCGGAACAGAAGATTTCTATCTTTCATCCTATTATTTCAATGCCGGAGTCAATCACTTTGAAAACGCTGGAGTAACTTATATAGATCACAGCGGAATAGCGGTAGCTTATAAATTCTTCGAAAAGGATCCAATTATCTTTCAAAACAATATGACTTTCCTATGGAGATGCGGGGAAGACAGAGCGAATGGATGCTATTATAAACCACCAAAATCAGATTGTTGGTACGTCGGTGGAAGAAGATTTTGTTATCCCGAAATGGCTCCTTCGTCTGATAGAGATGTTAAACTTAGCGTAACCTTATTTAAAACCTATGTATGGGTTTATGAATGGTAGATGAACGTATTGTATGTTTATTTATGATCAACTTTATCTGCATTAATTGCTAAGAAATAAAAAAAAACAGTGCAAAAAATATAAACAAAAGAAAGCTGGTAAAGTATGAGAGTGAACAAAGAAAGACTTTATTATATATGTATATATTAGTATTTATATTAATATATACACATGGTATTTTTATTCACTTCATTATATAATATAAGTAGCGGAAAAGAAATCAAATGACTAGTAAACAAAAAACGTCTCCATGCTTGTTCTATGCGCCGAGAAATAAACGGAATCCATTGGAATCTTTACAAACGTAACATAAAAGAAACAAAAGTTAAAAAAAATCAGCTTTTTGTTCTTTTTTTCAGATATTATTTTATCTTAATCAAATTAATTCTTTATATGGTGAAGGAAATCAAGAGCCATATCTTCTGCCCATCTATTTTTAGGTTAAAGTAAAGGAATGAAAATTGTATGCAACTATTAATTAGTTTACTTAATACTCTACCTTTTCATTTCACTTCCGTGGAAGAAAGCGCAATGACCTCCTCTCTTAGTTGCGCATAATAGAGAATGTGGATTACTGTAGAAGTAGTCGAATTTTACAACTTCTCCAACGCAAACAGGATCATCCATGGAGCTGATACACATAACGGGTATTTTAATGTGTTTTAGAGCCATTATTGGATTATTCTCCTTCCAATAATCTTTAATATCATTATATCCATTAGGTGCACCGTAGACTACTTGTTCAAATTCCTCAAAACAGCTTGTTGAAACGGCCCTTCTCATGTTCACAGCTTTTTTCAAAACTTTTCTGTAATGGAAATAATAAAAAAAACGAAAGTTATAGTTACCTATTCTATTTAATTAATAATAATAATAATAATAAGGTCATTACCGGTGCTGCCAAATCATAAATTTCAATTTCATTAGCATGAGAAAAGCGTAAAAGTTCGGTAGTATCTTAAGTAAATGTTCAGCGTCGTAGCCAGGAGAGACTGCAACTGCTCCATCTATAATTGGATCGTCTGGAAAATATCCCAAGTAGGATACTAATAACCCAGAGCCTGCACTAAATCCGATAGCGTGAATTTTACGCTCTCTAAATCGTTTTCTGAAATTTTCTAAAACGAAACGTACATCGTAAGGATATCCAAAGCTCTGCAATTTTGCGGTTGTCAATTCTAGTCCGCCATGGCCTCTTTTGTTAAATACAACAACTCTGTAGTTTCTTTGTAAACCTAACTTAACAATTGATCTATAATCTATAGCTGCTCCAGTTAAACCAGGAAGAACTAGTAAAATATCATCACCCTCTAGATGAGGATTATCTATAACATGGCCCCAATCCAAAGCTAATTGTCCACCGTCTGAAAGAGATATAGCTATTAATTTAAAAAAGAGATAAATAGAAAATAAATTTAACCAGGTAATTTAATTATTTCTCGTTTAAAAGAAATATCCGTAGGTTTATTCACGTTTAAAGCAGTTAGTAGAGTTTGAACATGACCGTTCCTAGCCCACCAAACAGGGCTAAACGTTTTTGACAAGAATCCGTTTTTTATAATATTCTGAATAACTGGTACAGGTTCATCGGAGTGATAAAATATTGGCTTTTCAGAGAAATCCTTACGAAACAGGCTATAAAAGAATAAAAAAGGGAATGTTATCAAGATATTTTTATGTTTAGATAAGACTTTACCCTCTCTCTCTATTATTTATCTTTTTTTTAAAATTAGAATCATTTTTATCCAAAAAAAACACTCAATAAGGAATTATATGCTGTTCTATTTTTATTTGTCTATAGAATCAAAATCCGATAGATAACCTATTTAGTAACTGATAGCATACATTGGACTGTATGATAATGAGAGTTTTAAACATTACGTCTTTTTTCTAGTTATTTTTTTTTTTTACAAGTGTTTGTATAAAAGTAAATCAAATTTATAGCAAATTACCAACAGAGTCTAACTGACAGGTCTTGTATGCTATATACAGCATCTTTATTACCACAATCCTCTCTCCGTCTGTCAATTAGTAAGTGGAAAAGAGAGAGAGAGAGAGTGGGAGAAAGACAGAGAGGGAGAGGTTAAGCTTGGGATTAATTGTGAGAAAGAAAAGCATATAGTACATATGGTGTATAGGTTATATTCTATATAACACTGTATAGAGAGTACGATAAAGGAAGACAGGCCAAATGAAGTTGTAAAATAGCAAGACAGAGAAGAAGAGATGCAAATGTTAGTAATTTTTTACAGCTGAAAACGAATGTGTAAATCAGAGGTTCTAGTTTTCTAAATACGACTGTAATACTCTATTCAAACCAATTTATTTTTAAAAAATCAATGAAATTAATCAATATGGGTTAACATTACGCATTAGCAATATATATGTATTTATATATATATACGATTTATAAGATACGAACCTTTCATATATACCCAGAAGAATGCCTGTTATTGCAAGGCATATTTTGTAGAAAAATCTTGCAAACGTTTCAATCATTATTCAGTTAGACATAAATATGAATTGTCATTACTACAAATTACAGCATATAAGCTGTTTTTATAATTCGAACTGAGTCATAATTTCTGCTATCTGAGAGCAAACCATTACCTAGGAGTGTCAGCTTTTCTCTCTCATAAATTCGTTTTATCTCGTGGCGCCATCTCTTTTCCCTTAATCGATTACTTTCTACTTGTATAAAAAGTTTAGTTTACTCTTCTTAATTTGTATTAAGTACATTAAAAAACTTCTTATGTCGTCGCATTAACTACGAAAATTTGGCCTATATGATTAATGTACATTAAAGTAACGACGCTTGCCACCTAGTTGCTATGTTGTATAATTGCTGACTAATTAAGATAGGTTTTCCTAGATAAAATGTTCAAAAGTCAAGGAATAAGATATAGATTAAAAGACAACACGAAGAACTGACACTGAAAACGGGGACACTTTTTTTCGATAAAAAAAAGGAATTGAAGAGATTTTAGGTTTTATTTGTGCGATGTTTATTCGATATTGTAAAATAGTCATTTAATCTTTCCATTCGACTCCTTGTAGAACCAACGATAGGAAAGAATAGACGTTAACCAATTCTTCAATGATTTTTCCAGTTGGCTTACCACCTCCGTGGCCAGCTTTGGTATCGATTAAAGCTATTAGTGGTTTATTGTTTTTCTTCGAATTACCACCTTGAACATGTTGAAGTTCAGCTGTGAATTTTAAACTGTGAAGTGGTACAACTCTGTCGTCATGGTCAGCAGTTAAGATTAGAGTTGATGGATATCTACTACAGGCAGTAGTGGACGGAATTGAGTGAAGTGGTGAAAATTCTTTTATATACTTGAAATCTTCCTCAATATCCGCGCAACCATAATCAGTTGTCCAGGCGTGACCAATGGTGAATTTATGAAATCTGTATCATTTTTTTCATGTTATTACATAATACATAAACATGATTTTATTTTAATTTACTTGAGCATATCTAAAACTCCAACTTGAGAGATAACAGCCGCGAAATCGCTAGGATATCTATTTGCTGTGGCGCATACGACTAAACCACCGTTCGATCCTCCTTGAATTGCAATTCTATCACTAGAACTATAACCATTATTTGAAAGATACTTCGTAGCATAGGCCGTATCGTCGAAACAGTTAAATTTCTTTTCTTTCGTTCCTAAATGATGCCAGTCTTCGCCGTATTCGCCTCCACCACGAATATTTGCCACAGCTAAAATACCACCGCATTTCAACATCCAAACAATTCTGGACACGCTAAAACTCGGCATGATCGATATGTTAAAACCACCGTAAACGTAAACTAGAGCCGGGGCTTTTCCATCTTTTTTCACGTTCTTATGCTTGACGATGAACATGGGAATTTTCGCCTTATCTTTAGATTCGTAAAATACTTGTTCTGTTTCGAACTCGTCAGATTTTAAATTAGGAACTACGATTTGTTTCCATCTTGTTGGAATCCATTCGCTTTGGGGCTTCGTAAAATCAACTTGATAAATAATACCTGGTTCCAGAAAAGAAGTAAATCCATAGAACATATGACTCTGCTCTTTTCTTCCTTCGAATGATGTTATGGACCCAATTGGTAATGGTAAATCTTTAAGTAGTTTACCGGTCTTTACATCCCTTACTTCCAACACGTTTTTAACGTCACGGATATAGCAAAGAATTAACAAATCATCTCTTACACATGCACTCCACTCTAGAACATCTTTTTCGTGTTGAGGAACGAGATCTTTTAAAGACGATATGCCTTTAGAAATATCAATAGTGACTAATTTAGATCTTGGAGAATCCTTATTTGTTCTAAAAACAAACATGGTCCCATTATTTGTGATATATTCCCATTCAGCATCAAAATTATCAACAATTATAGTATATGGCAAGACTTTGCCAAACTCTTTAATCGACTTGTCACCGAGATCTTTTAAATCAACGAAATAAAGTCGATTAACGTGTTCGCATCCTTCCGCAATCGAAAGAACAACGTAACGTCCGTCGTCTGTTACTTCTGCGCCGATCATCCATTTTGGATTATCAGGAAATTCGGCAACAAGAACATCTTGAGACTGATCATCTCCCACAAAGTGATAATACAGCTTATGATTAAGATTCATATCAGTCTCTGTTCCATCAGCTTTACCTTCAGACTTTGGGTATCTATTATAAAAAAACCCTTTATGATCGTGCGTCCAAGAAAGACTGGTAAATTTCACATTTTTAAGTAAATCATCTTTATCAATTCTAGTAGCAACATCTTTAACTTTTATCGTTAGCCAGTCTGAACCTTGTTCACTTAAACCAAATGCATAGTGCTTATTATCTTTCGAGAATGCCGTTGAACTGAGAGCAACGGTTCCATCAGTTGATAGAGTATTTGGATCAAAGAAAACTTCTGCTTCGCTATCCAAAGTCTTTTGACAGTAGATAACACTGAAATATTAAAAAGAGATACAATATTACTTTTTCCTGTTTTTTCCATATTAGGTATGCGAGTTTTTGTTGAGTACCTCTGATTCTGTAAACCAGTATTGTAAGAATAGTAATAATTATCTCCTCTCTTTCTAGGACATCCATATTTAGGATAATCCCACATTTTCTTAATCCTATATAAATTTATAGTGAATTATTGTATACTAATGCCTTATGTATAGAATATTATTCTTACGTATCGTGTAATTGTTTTCTAAATGGATAAGCTTGAATAAAAGGTTCTGAAATTTTATTTTGATTTTCTACAAAGGTCTTTGTATCGCTACTATCAGGATCTTCAAGCCATCTATACGGATCTGCTATCTAAATAAAAATAGACAAACATAATAAATATGATGTTCGTGTTCCTGTCAATTGGTAGTTTATTCATATTTGAAAGAATTTTGCATAAAATCTCATGCAACCGCTTATTATCTCTTTGCTTATCGTTCAGATTAAGTTTGTAATAGCATTCCTAATTAGAGTTTTGTACCAGCTCTCAGCGACAAAGATTAGTAGAGATTGCACGAAAATCAACAAGACAATAATGCACCTTTTGACCATGATACTCGTCAAATGCTTTCTCATTGCGACAGACTAGTGGATAATCGAAATTCATCTTCTTCGTTGCTATAATATACTCTCTTTGAATCAACTTTCCAAATATAACTGCTCGATATTGATTCACTTTGCGTGACAAAACTCGAAGTGCGTAACCAGGGCCGAACATTTCCGTTTCCGGTAGAAAAAAAATTATATCACATGTTTCAAACTTTATAACATAATAACTATATATACTCTAACACAAAGAATAATAAATAACTATAATTAATATATTTAGACCTTTCAAGTTGACATCTACCATGTGTAGGAAAAATAATTATTCATTTAAGGCAGTCCCAAACGGTATAAAGTTATTTGAATTAGGATGAAAAATCTATAAAACACTTTTAAATAAAAACAAAAGTTTTAATTAATTTGAAATAATAAATATTAATGATCTTGGTAGAAAACAAAAGTATGATCTGTTTATATACAAGAAAAGAAAAAAATCTATATTGGATGATAATACTCACAAGTACTTTTTATCTAAGCTGATAAACACCAACCATTTTAAGTATATAAAGCTCATCTTAGTACAAGATATGTCACTGTCACAGCATGGCAGCTCTAATAAGAAAATGTGTGACTACAAAATCTCTAAATCGAGTCCTTGGGGTTAAATTCATTCGTCATAGAACGTTTTATAATGATGCACTTTTGCCTGAAACGCATAGAATATTTAAAAATTCCCTTCGTGAATTAGTAAATGAGGAAATTGCTCCTCTGGCTGCCAAAGCTGATGAAGAGGGTAAATTTCCTATGGAGAATATGAGGAAACTAGCAGATCTTGGAGTTTTCGGGCTAGTAGTACCTGAAGAATATGGTGGTTCAAATATTGGAACCTTGGCATATGCAATAGCTATGGAAGAAATTTCAAGGGGTTGCGCTACTACTGGAACAGCAGTTACTGGACAGACATCTTTATTTATAAAACCACTTTTAAATTTTGGTACGCGCGAACAAATAGAAGAATACATAACACATTATGTCAAAGGTGATAGAATTGGCTCATTTTGTCTTAGCGAATCGGATAACGGCAGTGACGCGGGAGCAGCTAAAACAAAGGCCACTTTGAAAGATGATCATTGGATTTTAGAGGGTACCAAGACATTCGTGTCTCATGGAACATTACCAGGTGATATGATTGTAATGGCAACCAGCGATAAAAAATTGAAACATAAAGGAATAAGCGCTTTCATTGTTTCGAAGCAACATGAAAGTTGTATCATTGGTAAGCTTGAAAAAAAGCTAGGAATAAGGGGTAATCCTACTGTTCAAATAAAATTTGAAGAGACCAAAATCCCCAAAGACAGAATATTAGGAAGACAAGGATACGGATTTAAAATAGCTATGACTACATTAGATGGTGGAAGAATAGGAGTTGCCGGGTTAGCGTTAGGAATAGCTCAAGCTTCACTAGACTGTGCTATAAAATATTCAACAGAACGTAAGGCATTTGGAATAGTACTATCGAACCTTCAAGCTATTCAACTAAAATTGGCAGATATGCAAAGTAAGATCGAAGCTTCTAGACTGTTAACGTGGAATGCAGCCATGCTATTTGATAAGGGAGAAAATATCACAAAGGAAGCAGCTATAGCTAAATTAACGGCATCTGAAACTGCCACGTTTTGTTCACACCAAGCAATTCAAATCTTGGGTGGAATAGGTTATCTGCAAGACATGCCAGCAGAACGTTATTATAGAGATTCGAGAATAACTGAAATATATGAAGGTACGTCCGAAATCCAAAGATTAGTCATAGCTGCCAACATGATGAGTACATACAACGTATAAAACGTACTAATCCATCACAAAACTATTTTTATAGATTATAAAAGATAGCGCCTAAAAAATTATAATAATTTTAGATAATGTAAATAGAAGAGTTCATTGCCTTTGTAAAATTGAATACGAAGATTAAAACAATTTCATAATGTTTAAATACTACAGTACCGATACCCTATTTTTGGCCACCATTGTTTTTTTGAAAATTAAATTTTTTTTCAACTTTCGCCTAAGCAAGATGTTTTTACCAGAAATTAAAATGAAGACAAATTATCTATCCTTACTTGAGAATTATAAAAGCTGTATTTAATACAAACTTGATAAGAAATATATCTTTTCATCAATGAGGTGTTAAAATCGATTTTTCTATATTTTTTAAAATAAGAATAATGAAGTTGCGAATGGTAAAAATGAAAGTCATTTTGTAACAGTATTAGATAATTTGTGAAAATTATTCTTGAATATTTATCACTTACTACTTTTACTTAATTAACCAATTTAGTTAATGTTTGCATAAATCAATAATTTTCTTATTTCTATTGTGATAAACAAAGATTTTATAAATCTCACTTAAAGATAGGTGAGTTGTCCTTATTTTAACTTCTCTTTAAAACATCTTGTTTAGGCCAAAAAAAAGAAAAATTCATTTTTGGAAAAAAAAAAAACAAGTGGCTAAAAATAGGGTACTTGTACTGTATTATTACATTTCATAACAATAGTCGTACTGTTAATAAAATGATTTTTCCACCTCTCCTCAAATATTAACGAAAACGTTTTTCGCCTTATCCTTATTCTTCTTTTTAAATACTTGCTGGCACGCACTTGATGTGAATTGAACAGCGGAATCCGTAAAGAAAAATAGACTTTACGTTAATCTTCTAGAATATCCCAAGGGCACTTGTAACTTGCGTCTATCATAAATTCGAATACCCGACATTTTCGACAAGTATGAATACCGCAACGATATACTACACTATTCCCAAGTTCGTCTTGACCCTTACACATTTTTAATGAACACGGATACCAAAAATTACAAATATCTAATCGGCATTTACAAGCTTCTTTCACTTTCGCGTCTCTACATCTTATATTACTAGAGACAGGAGCATATGTTCCTTCCATTAACTTTGTAAAGTCTTTTTTGGTTGAAGAAGCTATATATTTTAAATCGCTTTCGCCTATAAAAGTAGATTTTTGAGCAACTTTACATTTCATTTTAAGTATAGGTGATAAAAATTCGGACTTGGAGAGATCTATGCCAAATGTCATTTCATGTAATTGCCAACCCTTATCTTCTTCAGCTACACGGATTGTCTGGGGGTTTTTTTGCCTTAGTTTAGAAATAGCATCCGATGAGATAAATTCATTTTTAATCTCTCGAGTAACAAAACAGAATGTTGATTGGTAGGGATAGCCTAGATCGATTTCTCCGGGTTGAAATATTCTAAATATTTGTAATTGCTGAAAAATAAAACAAAACACTGATAAAGCATAGTTTTAAGATATTTAATAAAAAATGTTCGATATATATAGTTCGATTTATCAGTTTTTATTCCTATACTTACGTAACAACTAGGATTCTGTTATAAATATATATATATATATATATATATATATATATTAAGAGTTCTAGCACTCTTAAAGACGGGTGATATAGGTACACTTACATTTTTGAAATCGATGATGTGATCAATTAATGCTCCATCCGTTCTTTCGTAAGAGGTTGTCACAACATCTTCAGTAGAATTGGATCTTATCCTCTGTTGCATTATTTCGTCTCCACTATTTTTAACATTAACAACTAGGTCCGACGAAGATAGCGATAAGAGCAGAAGTAGGCAGTTTATATGTTGAATTATGTCCATCTTTTCCATAATACTGTTGATATTAATTTAAAATATTTACACAAAATGTAATTTTAAATGCTATTAACAGTCTCAAGTATTAATTTGAAGATTTTCCTTGAGTAATAGCCATTCGATAGCTTTTCTTACATGGTCATCATACTCCTATTTACATGATACTGTACTGCTTCCGGGTTACGTATTCCGCATTCGTTAGCTCAGAAATATAAATCGTCGGATGTGTGAGCCTTATCTGAAGATTTTGATAGATATCAAAACGTGTGTGAAACATTGGATTAATTAGTTGGCCTAACAGCAGATAATCCGTTTTTCTATAAATGAGCTCAGAAATTTACGTTAATTTTTTATCATAATTTTGCACCAGTAAACTTATACATGTTATACGAGATGCAATCTTTGCCCTTTGTAACTTTTTATCCTTAGGAAAACAATGTTAAATTCGTGTAAACAAGTCGTTTTTTCCCCTAAACATACTAATAAAATACACAATTTCCTTGATAAAATTTGAAATTTTCCCGTTTTTAGTTGTATTATGCAATGGTAAATTTCATATTTTGATAGTTTGTGTAAAAAATCTTCTTCAACACTCATTTACAATATTTTTCTTAAGAATCGGGTTCTCTTCCAAAGTGTTTGATGTTTTCGTAAATTATACTTATTTTTTAATGAAAATTTCATTTAAAAATTGTATTTATAAAAAAATCAATTAAAGACTTTTAGTGCGTTCATAGACTAAACCCTTCTTTCACGTGACCTTAGTAGCCAATGAGCTATTTTGGCGCAAAAGGTAACTGTCGTAGCGGCTCATTTGGGTGAGATACCTCGTGCTACCAACGTTTTTACAAGACTGATTTTAATAAACTTCAAAATATGGACGCAACTGAACCACCAAAATTCGTTATTAAAAGAGGTAAATAATTATTTGTAACCTTCATAGGGCCAAAAAAAGCATACCGTGTTAATGTAATTTGGCGGGAATGGGACAACGTATTATTGTTAGCCATTTTTTTTTAATGTAAAATTGCTTTATTTCCCATAGATGGAAGGATGGAAGATGTTATGTTTGACAAAATTACTTCAAGAATAGTTAAGTTATCGTATGGACTTAATCGTAATTTTGTCCATCCGGTAAGTTAAATATGCTTTTTATCGCTCTGTCTATCAAGTATTTTTCTTGTATAGATTGTAATTACGAGAAAAGTTATTGAGAGTATGAAAGATAAAATGACAACTGTTGAGTTAGATGATCACGCAGCTGAAACCGCCGCTCAAATGGCTGTAAATCATCCAGATTATGCAATACTTGCTGCAAGAATAGCAATTTCAAACTTACATAAGGAGACCAAGAAGGTTTTTAGCGGTAAATTTAAAATTTAAATCATTATTGTTATTTAATGACAATTTTTCATTTTAATTTATCAGAGGTTATGACGGATTTATACAAGTATGTTCATCCGAAAAATAAGACTTGGTGTCCTATGATTTCAAAAGAATGCTATGAAATTATAAAGGAGAATGCAGACACTTTGAATTCGGCAATTATATACGATCGGGACTATCAATATACATATTTTGGATTCAAGGTGAAATTTTTGGGCTAGTAAACCTATTTCTAATTACTCATTTCATTCAATAGACTCTAGAACGTTCCTATTTGTTAAGAATTAATGGAAAAGTAGCCGAAAGACCTCAACATCTTTTGATGAGAGTTGCAGTTGGAATACACAAAAATGATGTCAAGTCCATAATCGAAACTTATAACCTTCTGTCCGAAAAATGGTTCACTCATGCCACTCCTACTCTATTCAATGCTGCAACGAATCGACCTCAGCTATCAAGTTGTTTCCTGTTAACTATGCACAGGTAGACAAGTCAAACTGATAAATTTATTCAAATATTCAATTTATCTGATTTATTTTGCTTTTTTATATAGTGATAGTATCGATGGAATTTATAAAACACTTCACCAATGTGCCCTTATTTCACAATCGGCTGGTGGAATCGGGTTAAACGTTCATTGCATACGTGCAACTGGAAGTAGAATTGCTGGGGTGAATTATGAATTCATTTCATAATTACTAAATGATATTTACACTATCTTTATTTACTTATACAGACAAATGGAATTTCGAATGGTCTAGTAAGAATGTTGAGAGTTTATAATGAAACAGCAGCCTATGTTGATCAAGGCGGAAATAAACGTCCTGGAGCTTTCGCAATCTATGTTGAACCGTGGCATGCTGATATTTTTAGCTTTTTGGATTTGAAAAAAAATAGAGGAATTGAGCAAGAAAGGGCTAGAGATCTTTTCTATGCTCTTTGGATTCCTGATCTTTTCATGAAAAGAATAAAGGCTAATGGCGATTGGACTTTAATGTGCCCAAACGAGTGCCCAGGACTGGAAGATGTTTGGGGAGAGGAATTTGAAAAGCTGTACGAGTATTATGAAAGCGAAGGACGAGGAAGAAAATCTTTACCAGCACGCAAAGTTTGGCAAGCCATTATCACCTCTCAAATTGAGACTGGCACACCTTACATGCTCTACAAGGATGCATGCAATGGAAAGTCGAATCAACAAAATTTGGGTACCATAAAATGTAGTAACTTGTGCACTGAGATCATTGAATATAGTGATGCTAATGAGACAGCTGTTTGTAATTTAGCATCTTTAGCATTACCAATGTACGTTAAGGAAGATAAAACTTTTGATTATGACAAGTTAATCTATGTCACGGAAGTTGTTGTCAGAAATCTTAATAAGATTATAGAAGTGAATTATTATCCTGTGCCGGAGGTAAATTTCTTGGTAGTTTCTATGAAAAAGACTTATATTGTATATTTATATAGGCTGAAAGATCTAATAAACGCCATAGACCAATTGGGATTGGAGTTCAAGGTTTAGCAGATGCATTTATCAAGATGAGACTTCCATACGCCAGTGAAGAAGCACAAGAAGTTAATAAATTGATCTTCGAGACTATTTATTATGCGGCTGTTAAGACTAGCTGTAAACTAGCTAAAGAACAGGAGCCATACGAAACATTTGCAGGTTCTCCAATGAGTAAAGGGGTTGGTATTACTTAATTAATATACAACTAAGCATAAGAATGAAATGAATAAAATATGTATAAATAGATATTTCAATTTGATATGTGGAACGTTAAACCATCTGATCGTTACGACTGGAATGCTCTAAAAGATGATGTCAAAAAGTACGTAAAAGTTAAATGTGAACGTTGGAAGCCTAACCTATTTTTACTTTAACTAGATACGGCGTAAGAAACTCTCTATTAGTTGCTCCAATGCCGACAGCGTCTACCAGTCAAATATTAGGAAATAACGAATCCTTTGAAGCATATACAAGCAACATTTACACTCGTCGTGTTTTATCTGGAGAATTTCAAGTGGTCAATCATCATCTTTTGAAGGATCTAACTGAGTTAGGTTTATGGAATCCAAGTGTTCGAGAGCAAATGATTGCTAATGGAGGTTCAATTCAAAACATACCATCTATATCTGATGAGCTCAAGGAAATATACAAAACTGTATGGGAAATACCCCAAAGCGTTATACTACGAATGGCAGCTGATAGAGGAGCATTTATCGATCAAAGTCAATCATTAAATATTCATATTGCTGCTCCTAATTACGCAACGATGACCAGTATGCACTTCAAAGGATGGGAACTGGGATTGAAGACTGGAATGTATTATTTGAGATCTCGACCAGCTGCAAGTGCCGTTCAAGTGACAGTCGATAGAAGTAAAATTCGTAGGTCTGTTTCTTTATCTGAAGAAGGCAAGGAGAAAAAAGAGGAAACTGCTGCCGATCGAGAAGAACAAGCGATTTTGTGTTCATTGGAAAATAAGGAAAATTGTGTTATGTGCAGTGGCTAAGACAATATTTTTATTGATTTTATCCGTCTACACAAGTTTTAGATAGAAGCTTTTACCTTCGTAAGCGAATAAATGCTTTTTATATTTTCTATACCTTTCATTCGTCAACAATACATTTGACAAGAGAGTATTTTTTGTTTCTTGCTATTTTAATAAGAACCGCTCTTTTATGGACATCGTAAGTTGGAATAGGTTTTTAACTTACGAAGAGTTTTCGGTTTTCTTGCGAATTGATAACTTGAATAATAATAGATTATTTTACTTTGGAATTTACATTGATAGGTGATATATTTTCCAGTTTATAATAAATACAAAAATATATTCTTATATATCAATGATTTGTTTAATATTGTTTCCTGTTTTGCTTATAGAGAGGATAATATGAGCGATGTTATGTTAATCACACTCTTACCCACGTTTTTTTTTCAGATAGGCAATGTCGTCAGAAGATGAAACTATTCAGGAAAAAAAGAGTAAAAAGCTTAAGAAAGCTAAAAAGAAGAAGATAGTTGAAGAGGAACACGAAGAAGAAATAGTTGAGAAGAAGAAGAAGAAGAAAAAGAAACAAAAAGCAGAAGAGGCTGAAGAGGCTCCTGAGGTTAAAAAGAGGCGAGTAGAGGAGTCTGATGAAGAGGAGAAAAAGAAAAAGAAAAAAAAAAAGAAGAAACAAAAGGTGAAAGAAGAAATTGAAAGTGACGATCATGAAGAAGTGGAGAAGGAGCGTAAGAAAAAGAAAACCAGAGATCGCGATTCAAAGTTAAAGAAATCAAAGGATGATAATACAAGTCAGGAAGTGACTGAAAAACAAGGTCATAAGAAATCGAAGAAGGGTGAAAAGGAAACTGTCAAGAAAGAAGAAAATAATTCGGAAAGTGACGATAGTAAGTTGGAAACAACAGGCCAATGGTCAACAGTTAACTTCTCAGGAGATGGAGATCGGCAAAAGAAATTCTTTAGATTAATGGGAGGTATGAAGAGCAAAGCAAAATCAGATGAGAAGGAATGTGCGATAAAAGCTTTGGATTCTTCAAAGGAAAAAAGTTTAAATGAAGGCTTAGAGGAGCAATACAATAAAGCTATGGCATTTAGATTATCGGGAACTAAAGGCCAAGGTTTAGGATTTTCGCAAGTTACCTATGAAAATGCTCATAAGCTATTTGATATCTAAATCTCCATAGGTGTATATAATAATTGTTTTGTTAAGTTAACGTTCCCAGGCTTGTTTTTTTGTCAAAAGTTTACATCAAGTAAATTTTCATATAGTTAATAGAAGTTCGTAAGATAATAAAAGAAATTTAAAGCTGGCTAATTTACAATTTTAAGAAAGAAGTGTCATTACCTTCTTCAATTATTTTCTTAAGAATGACGAAATCACGTGACTTTTATTTTTGGCGGGATGATTGCTGTTGTACCTTAAGTTGGCTAGTTTTTGTTGGGATTGTTTTTCCTTTAAATATTCAACCAATTTTAGTTGATTCTTAGAGTAGATGAGAATTTCATGATTAAATAGGGTATATCTTTTCAAGCATTTAAGTGAGTAGAAATGGATATGAGCGATAATGGAGCGAAACTAAATCAGCTGGAATATAAACTTCTTTGCAGCTGTTCTCATCGTATGTATAATGTGGATGAGAAATCATGTAAAAGTATATCCAAGGTGGAGGTAAAACAACAGTCGTATCAATATGATAGAAACTCGCCTTATAGTGTTAAACGTATTTTAATATAGCTTAATAATAATTTCTATGATATTTGGCTTCAATCAAACTTTCCTGAAATGAAGACTTTATCACCGAAATGCTTATCAGACTTTGTAATACAGGTAACAATCATTAAGATGAAGCTAATAAATTCAGTCTATAATGACTTTACAATATACAGATGATGATTATAAATCCATGGACATCATTAGATGTATTAACAAGCCTCACAAAGGATACTGAAGTAAAATATATTTTGCATTTTAAACCTTAAAAAATAGCAGCTAATATTTATAAAAGTTGTTCTATTTACGTAGATCTGTAGAAAGTTTGTAGAACTAATTGAGAATCGAGTATATCAAAGAGTATTAATAAAATGCGGAAATGTTGACATTGATGATATTGGAACACTGTATAGAATAGCTGAAATTTTATTATATACCCTAAATCAAAGGTATTTTATTCTGAAATTTGTTGAATGTTAAAAGCAAGAAAAGTTTAAATATTTATAAATCCAATACAGAAAAAATGAATTTGAAGAATGTCTGCATGAATTTTTTCAAGAATGTTCAAATTTGGTAAATAACCTTTTTTTCTATATACTAATATATTAATATTTATGTTGTGCTGCTGAGTGTCAGCTTTGCTATACACTTAAGAACTTTAACACTACCGCTCCTACTCGAACCTTTACACAACATGCTTAAATTAAATTGTAGTTTATTAGAAAGTATGTTACAAGTTCGATAGCAGAATATTCGAGAAGTGGATTAGATAGTTTGTAACAGCACTGGTTGCTAATTGACAAAGTAACAGCCAATGAGGAAAAGAAAAAGTTCTCTAGGTTAAGTGGGTAGCTTGAGAGGTCGTTTTGTTCCTGAGCAATCTCTGATTATTCTGGATAAACTTGTTTAGTTAAATACTCTTTGGCCAATTACCTATTTCCAATTATCACTTTGAAGTTGTTGAAGAGTCTGGTAGATGTTTTTCTTCAGCAACAGAATGTACAGAGTCTGAAAGGCCAATGTTCAATTTTGATGGGAAATAATTCACACACGACAGGCGGTTGTTACATGTCTTGATTTAAATTGTATTTCTAACGTAATATGCAAAGCTCAAGCGTATTTTGATAAAAACAATTGTACAAAATCTAATATTTTCTCGAAATAGGAAGTTATTTTGGCGAGTACATTGATAGTAACAGATAAATTAAGTGCTGATGAGCAGGATTCGACAAATATAAAGATTGTGAGATGGTTAATTAAACAGAAAAAGTTTGTTATTCGTTTTTTTAAACAATTAATTACAAAAATACATTAGTATATTTACATATATTTATATTTGCAGACATAATCTCTTTCAAATAAGGCCTGCAATAGCAATCAAATTAATTTCATCAAGCGAAACCTTTGCAAATAGATTTTTTTACATACTGGAAAAAATAAGTCATTCTTTTATATTCAATCCTGAAAAGCATATATGGTAAGCTATTTTTAGGTTTGGCTCTGAATGAGAATTCAGAGAATCGTGGTAAAACATTTTTGGTAGAATATGAATAAAAGATTTATAGATTTCTACTGTGCAATTTTCTTTTATTATTAATAATGTAAAAAAACTAACAGGGAAAATTCTAATGGACTTCGAGATTATATTCTGTTAATAAAACATCTTATTACAATGATTAATAATGGTAACCCTGAAATTACTCTTTCCGTAAGAAGATTTATATTTGATTTATCTCATGCCGGTAATATTTGGTTTTCTATCAAAAGAATGCTTTTCATCTGACCGTACTAGAAACTGTTGAAAAAAGTGAAATCTATTATTGCGAAATCGAATAGTACCCAATTTTTTAAAAGTGATTTATATATATTGTATATATATTCTATATTATTATAGTATCTATATGGCTATATTCTATGCAATGTGAAGGTTTAAATATTTTATGTCATCTATTCCATATTTTTAATCAATAAACTGATTCTTGAAAAGAGTGACTGACTGTGAGTAATCCATCGAGGTCTTTAAATTCGCGCAGTAATACAAGAACCTTATTGATATAACACTTTTTGTGTTTGTTTGCTACATTTCATTGTATATACGACATTTATAAAACTGTTAAATTCTATTATATATTAATCTTTTTTCGAATCCATTCATCTACAATTAATTAAAGTCTTATTATTGTAGTCGTGCAACCCTAATAAGAACTAGCTTGTTTTGGGTGCGCAGCAATATCCGACAGTCATTTAAATATGGCGGCGAAGATTGCAAAACTATTAAGTGGATTTTTTATTTTAGCAAATTTTAGTGTAGTCGCCATAAGATATGGATCTTTATCAGAAACCCTGCATACATCAGACCCTTCTTTTGAGGAATGGTGGGGACAAAAGGTTAAAAAAATTGAAAGACCTCCGAATTTAGAGGTTAATAATCTGCATTCAAGATTTAAGAGGTCGGCGACGGATAAAAAATCAAAATCTAAGCTAACTCATTGGGTAAGTCATTATTTTCAAGACATATACTGCATTCGGAACAACATAAGCTTTCTATATTATGTAGTAATATACATCATTCACATTATTTAACCGAATTGCATACATTTTTTTTGAAAAGGGTTCGTATTACTCTATTCACTAATTAGAAATCATATGAAATTACACTGCGAATAATGTTTCAAATAAGGTGAAACATTAAATATATATTATGACAATCAATAAAATAAGATTGTTAGTCTTTTTGGCTGCATTGAGGTTAAAAAAATTATGGTTTTATATGATCACAAAATTATTCGTCTCTGAAAAGGATATGAGGAAAAAGATAAACACATAAACTCTCTAGAGACAGATATAATAAAAAGAATAGATAAATTATTTATTACTACTTTCACCTTTTTTATCATTTAGCTACTGAACAAGCAATTCTTTTTTTTATTAAATTTAGTATCTTTTAATGATCCTAAAAAAAGATGATATTTTGTTACATTTCAATTTATTACATTGAAAATAGAAAAGACAAATAGAAATTAAACATTTTTTCCCTATCTCTTCTTGCAAAGTATGTCAAATTGTATTTTTGCTCAAAATGACCTTCTAAACTATTAAATCTAATCTATAAACACAATTTGGGAGGAAGATTCTCTTACAGAAAACCTGTTTCAAATATAGGCAATATGTGAACATTAGATAACAGCAGATGTAATTGACAATGTGAACTATATTTTATTAAAAAATTAGATATTAAGATTATTAAAGCAAATTACATTTGTATATATTGTATTTCTCGAATAATCTTCGTTTTTTGCAATAGAAAGTCATCAATTTTCTTTTTATCATTGTATCGAATAGACTAATGGGAAATATAGTGGATTATTCAACCATTCGTCTATGAATATTATTACATGCCTTTGTTGTAAAATATATACAAACAATATAATTATTATAAGAAGAGTTGATACATGCGTTATACGCCCTAAGTTTACTAAAGGTGAAAATCTTGATGAATTTCATTAATGATGGAACAACAATCGTTCTATTGTAAGCAAGTATGTAATGTTAATTAACTTACACACATTTATATAGATTAATTCTGGGAATTTTAAGAGTAATTTGGATTCAAACTTGTTACAAGACATATTTGTTAGACGTTGACATTATTTACTTTATAAAACTGACGTCTTGTAAAGTTCATATAGTTTTTAGGCAATATGCTGTATATGTAAGATAAGGAAACAATAATTGGCCATTACAGATATTTAGAAGGTGATGGAATTTCCACTTGATATTCTATTTTTACAGCATACAATTTTAATTAGACTTTCTTTAAAATTCTTGTTTGTGACGGCGTATATAATACTGTTCCAGCAACAATTGAGATACATTAATAATAGTATTGCAACTTCGACAACTTGTAAATTAGGACTTGGACCCCCAGCTGATATAACCAAAAGTCTTGCTGCCATCGGTGTCCATGAAATATAAAAGGAAGCAACAAGTAGAAAAGCTGTCTTTATATACTTCCTATTGTTACTAGAGATACACTTTTTACGGCTTATATAACCTAGATGTATATATATAATTAAGAGAGCAGATGAGGCAAAGCCATAAGTTATGATAATAACAAACAACCATAATATCTGACTAGATTTTACACCAATATTACAAATATATGTTAGTTCGTGAAAAAAAATTTTAGGATCAGAGAATATTGCTGCCAGATTAATAGAAATTATAATAAACCAACAAACTAGTAGAATTGGTGTTAATTTTCTTTTCGTTACAAGAGTATCATACTTTAATGGGAATATAATTGCTAAATACCTATCTGTATTTATTAATAAAATTGTCCAAAGTGAAAGAGCTCCAAATAGTTGAGTTAAAAATGAAGCTATAAGGCATTGTATATGATTTATTTCGTTATTCAATAGCATTATATCCGAACCGATTATTAAAGTTGAACCAAAAAGTATATCGACAACTGATAAATGAGTCATCAGAGCTCCAGATATTGTATGTAGTTTCTGACTAGAATAAATAACAAATATACTCATCGAGTTGACAATTAAAATTGACATTAAAACAATATGATAGACAACTGCCACAAACGTAGTAATCTCAATTGTAATAGTTGAATTAAACGTAACCATTTTGTCTTAACTATGATAGGCGCAAGTATGAAATGTAGGCGGAGTATGCTGTATATATATACTGTATATTCAGCTACTTATGGATTATGCGTAAATAATTTCATTAAATAATTACTTTCATTGCACAATTATTCTGTTTTTCCTCAATAGTTTGATTTCAATGACCATAATTCTCAAATGTTTGTACATTGGGCTGGTGAGAACAGCGATGTTGTTATCGCATTAACAAAACCACTTGAATCTCAAGGAAAAAAATTTAAAAGTATTTTATATGTGTCTCGGTTAGTATGCCTCTGACATTACCGATAATTAATAAGATGACATGTGTAATTATCTATTGTTTATTATACACAGAAATTACGGAAAAACGTTTGAAAAACAAAAGCTAGTAAGCAATTTCAACTATTATCATACACTGATTTACAATCCATATATACTTTCTTATTTTAGGGCAACGAGACTATCAACATTGATAGATTTTATTATTCACCTCTTAAGAGCAGCAACGTAAGTACTGTAAACCCACTCCTTCACATATATATTCTATTGAGAAACGTTGTGCTATACAATAAAATTAATCTATATTTAGTTTATTGTTACGGACATAAAAAACAAATACATATGGACGAGCGAAACCTACTTAAAACGTACAACCAAGCACAAACTTAAATTTGTCCCAAGAAAAATAAGCTTTCATCCGAATAAAGTTCATACGATATTTGGTTTTGATGATGAGAATTTTTTAACTCGTTTATGGGTATCTGAAGATTATGGATACAAATGGAAAATTGTTTCCTATGGCGTAAAAGAGTTTTTTTTGTTAGTGTTAAATTTTTTTCAATTATATTCGTTTACACTCTCTTTAATTTATGAATTTTACAAAAATAGGACTGAAAACACTCTCTACGTTCAAAGGACTGGATTCGTTGACACAAATATTAACGTTTATAAAAATAATAATTATATTAGGTTCGATAAAGTTCTTAGTGGAGTAGTAGATTTTCAAGTAAAGGACGAGTATATGTTTGCAACTAAACGAGCAGTAAATATTTCAATTAATAGAATATATGGAAATATATTAGTATAATCATTCTAACATATTTTCTATAAATACAGAAGAAAACTGGACTTGAATTATGGGTTGCGAAAATTCATGAAAAGTTCCAAAAAACAACATTTCCAGCATTAACTCAACCATCGGTAAAATATAAATTTTAACTTATCTATATTTATTAAATATTACTTCTGACAGAATAACGATCCCAGTGAAGCAAATAACATTGAACCTATTGTTGTAAGTGTTTCTTATTCACGATAAAAAAACTAGTTAGTGCAAATAATACCGTCTATTTTAAAAACGCATTTGTAGGAATTCTACGTTATTGATGCAAGTGAAGGTATGGTTATGATTGTTGGTTCTCATAAAAGGAGTGATGGACAATTAGAGAATAACCTATATACAAGCGATGGAACTGGACTTATATATTCTTTATCTTTAAGAAATGTTGTCTATTTCAATCCAAAATCTAATGTTTCAAGTTGGCTGAGGTTAGCTAATATTTTTTTGTTGGCTCCATATTTAAACCTATTTATTATTTTCCATAGGGAATATGTGACCAGACCTTTCGCAGACGTGCATAAAGTAGAAGGTCTTAGAGGATATTTTATAGCCTCCGTAGTTAATATGACAAACATCACTGCAACTAATCAACAATCATATATAACTATGAATAAAGGAGGAAACTGGTATTATATATATGCCCCAAGAATTCGAAGAAATGGAAGTAGGTCTAGTTGCTACTACGTAAGTCTTGAAAAAAACATAATATGAAAATATTAAATATTGTTATACTCCAAATTAGTCCTGGAAGTGTTATCTGCATCTGTCTCAAAACTACCACAGTTTACATCCCAAATCTAGGAGTGTTCCTATTCTCTCTAAAGCATCTGCACCTGGGTATGTTATGGCAACTGGTACTTTAGGAAAGTACATGGACCATACTTCTGGTCGAGATGTTAATGTCTACTTTAGTAGCGATGGCGGCTATATTTGGAGAGAGGTTAACATTAATTTAATTGGCTATGCTCTTTTTGTTTACCTATTCTTTGTAACATAGACACTAAGCGGTTCTCATTTCTTTGAATTTGGTGATCATGGAGGCATTATTGTTGCTGCTGAACAGTGGGAGCCGACCAATAAGATTCTGTAAGCAATCTTTAAAGAAATTACGATTAAACACATATTTACAATCATTATCTACATATCTAGATATTCAACTGATGAAGGGGAAAGTTGGTATCCTCACTACTTTAGCAATGAAGAAAAACTTCAAATATATGGTATCCTTACTGAACCTGGCAGTAATACGACAACATTCTCGGTATTTGGATCGCTCTATAATAAACGCCATAGTTGGGTTCTAGTAAAAGTTGTTTTAAACACTCTGTTTAGTAAGTTCAAAAAGCTATGAATATATAAATAATGATAAAAAAGATTAAATGTAAAATAACTTTTTATAGATAGAACGTGTGTTAAAAGTGACTATAAGGTTTGGAATCCCAAATCTTCTAGGGCTTCCCATTGTCTATTGGGTAGAATGCTGAGTTTTAAGCGTAGAATAGCTAACTCCAATTGCTATAATGGGAAGACATACAACGATGAAAAAGTCTTGAAAAATTGTTCTTGTCGATCATCAGATTTTGAATGGTAGTACATTAACTGAATAATTATTGACCAATTAATTTTTATGATATATATACATAATATAAAATAAAAACTGACAGTGATTTCGGATATAAAAAGGATTATTTATGGCAATCTACATGCAGTAGAGATCCAAGAATATCAGAGAGTGAGCTAATTAGTCATAGACCACAAAAATGTCCAATTGGATCTTATTACTATAGAACTAAAGGGTAATTCTTTATATATATTATACAAAAAGTACCTCTAGATCATAATTAATGAATTTGCATTTCGTATAGTTATCGTCGTGTTGCTGGAAATACTTGCCATGGTGGTTTAGCCTTCGAATACGAGCCTGAAAAGATAATGTGCAGGTTAGCTTGCTAAAATAATTAGGAAACAGGTTTAGCGTTAATCTTCTGCCTTGAATTATTAAGATCAAGTAGACTGAGGGAATTTATGCTTTATTCGACAAAATCATCTATATACCGTTATGAATTTGGAGTTAATAAAACAACGAAAGTAATCAGTGGATTAAAAAATATTGCCGCTGTTGAATACGATTATAATGAAAATTGTTTGTACTGGGCAGATACTATTTTTGATATAATTCAAGTTTGTTTTAAAATATAAATATCTATAAATATCTTTAATTATTTCGTTTTCTTTCTTTAAATAATAGAGACTATGCTTGAACAAAGATTCTAAAACCGAAACCCTTATTAAACAAGGATTGGACAACGTAGAAAGCTTAGCTTTGGACTATCTTGGCGGTAATTTGTATTGGATTGATTCTGGAAATAAAAGAATTGAAATGATAAATACTAGAGGAAAGTTCAGACGAGTTGTTGTTCAAAATACTAAAAAGAATCCGAAGCTATTGGAAAAGCCTAGAAGTATTGCTCTTGCTCCTAAACACGGGTGAGTAAGAGCATGCATGCTCTATTACATTAAAAAAAGAAAAGATTATTACATGAAAAGTTTTTAATAAAATAGATTACTGTTTTGGAGTGATTGGTCGGCCAATGCTCGTATAATGATTAGTGATATGAATGGTCAGAATGTAAAAATATTTGTCCAAACCGGTAGTATTAAATGGCCCAATGGATTGGCTGTAGACGAATCGACAAAAGTATGTTTTTTTATCATCCTTATAAAGTTTTTTGAAATTTCTTAATTAATTAATGTATTATAATTCATTCTTTTATCTACAGAGACTCTATTGGGTTGATGGTTTTACGAAAAATATTAAATTTTCGACATATCCTTCGGGACATACCGTTCCCGTAAAATTTAAAGCCTCTCCTCATCCATACGCTATTAGTGTTTTCAAAACCGAAGTGTATTGGACTGATTGGACAACGAATAGTATTTACGTTACTGATAAGATGTCGGCTTTCCGCTATCTATCCGCTAAAAATCGTGTATTCTTAGCTAACATTACTAATATTATGGATATCAAATTATTCTCTGAATCCTCACAAGCTGGAAATGCGTCGTGTTCCTGTAAATATCTGTGCGGAAGAGTTCCTATTAGGAATTCTTTAAGAAAGTATCCACCAGCACCAATTAATGGCTCGGCAGAAAAATGTCTCTGTCCAGATACTTTCACGAAAAAGGTATTGTAATTGAAAGACTTAAATACAGTTAATAGTAAACGTAAATTATTTGAAATAAACAGACTGTGAAAGACAACAATGAAATATGCCAATGCGAAAAAGGAGAAACACCTACTAAAGACGGTTGTGAGGCTGGTAAGGGAGACTGCCCGAAAAATTTCTTTAAATGTGACAATAAGAAATGTATATTTGATTCTTGGAAATGCGATCGCCAAGATGATTGCGGAGATGGTAGCGACGAGAGAAATTGTCCAAAGGTATGTACAGCACAGCAATTTCAATGCGACGGCGGTTCAACTTGTATACCTTTGGATTGGAAATGTAACAATGTAACAGAATGTCTGGATAAATCTGACGAAAAAAATTGTGCTAAAAGTAAGATAAGATATTTTATAATATTAATAATTTATTTAAATATCTATTTAATAGAAATCTGCAAAAGTACACAATTTACCTGCGGTAATTCGGAATGTATATCAATGAGTTATGTGTGCGATGGAGACATGGATTGTGAAGATGGTTCTGATGAAGTTAATTGTCCAACTTTCAATTTTACGTCTGCAAAACCACCTTCAGTATGTAAAGCCTTCCAATGTAATAGTACCAAAGACTGTATACCTAATTCATGGCGCTGCGACAATTATAAGGACTGCCCTGATAACTCTGATGAGATTGGCTGTAAGAATAAATGTAGCAGTACTGAGTTCTCTTGCAAAACAACTAAGATTTGTATTAGTAAATCGCTTAAATGTAATGGTTATGACGATTGCTGGGATGGATCTGACGAAGAAAATTGTCCAAAGATAACAACCACTGTTAAACCACATAACATGTGCAACTATACATCATTTCATTGTAGAAATCATCGGTGCATACCATATTCGTACGTCTGCGATTCAATCAATGATTGTCACGATGGCGGAATTGGTAGTGACGAAGAAAGTTGTTCTCAAAATGCGACAGAAGCAGTGATAACTACTAGAGATCCAAGTGTTTGTCCAAAATTTACTTTCCATTGTTTAACTGGCAGTATTAAATGTTTGCCATCGAGTTGGGTGTGTGACGGAGCCAAAGATTGCGACGACAACAGCGATGAATTCGATTGTCCTACAGACAGCTGTGTAGCGCCAAAATTCTTTAGATGTTCATCATGCATTCTTCAAAAACAAGTTTGCGACGGCAAAGTAGACTGCGCTGATGGAGCGGATGAGAGAGGCTGTTCCAACTCAACAGCAAGAACTTGTAAATTCGACGAATATAACTGTATAGGTTCATCATTATGTATACTAAGAAGTGAAATTTGCAATATGTTTCCCGAATGTCCTAGCAACGAAGATGAAAAATGCTATAGCGGTATATTTTCAATTATTATCCTAAAATTTAAATTAGTAATTTCTTTCTTTTGTGTTGTTAATCAATTTTCATCAGGTTCCTTTCACATATCTTCATTAACATCCTTTAAAAAGACCGTTAAATTTGATATTGCTATAAAGGATACTAAAGAGGATATGAAAGTTTTTATGGAAATTATTGATATGGGGAATCCGTAAGTAAAAGATAATAAAATGCCAATATAAAATCGAATAATTCAATCCTTTCTAACAGAGCATCAAGATTAAATAAAACAATTGTTTACAAAGCAAAAGAAGCTAGCCATAAAGTTATCATCCCTAATTTAATACCACATGTAAAATACATTGTAAGTATTATCTATTAATATTTTGTATGTTAATTTATTAATATTAAATAATTGAATTTTTTTTCTACATCTAGCTATACGCAAATCTAATAATCAACAATACAAAATATTTTGTTAGCGATGCAACATATCGCTTTCAAACTACATACGAAAAAGTTATTCAACAATTTAGCGTTCAAGGAGGTGATTCCAAAGCTATATTAAGTTGGAAAAAGCCTGATTTTAAAGTTAACTACTACGAAGTTAGTAAATTTTTTTCTTTTTATTAATAAAACTTGCCTTATTCTTTCTATTATATTAATCTTATTATTTCATAATTGATTTATCAAAGGTTTACATTTCAAATGTGCAAATGCCTGAATTAAGCGAAACAGAACAACTGGAAATAACTGAAGATGATATTTTTGGCAATATAATACGAAAAACAATTGATTTAGCAAAGGGGCAATATCTTATACACGTAAGATATTTTTATATATTTTGGGAAAAGTTGACGAAAAATTATTAAATAATCATCATATTATTTTCTTTTTCGATATAGATTTTACCTTTTACCGATCAAGGACAAGGAAAATTTTCCCCTGCAGTTCAAGTAAAAATTAAACAATGCCCTACAGTTAAATTAATTCATCTAATGAAATCACTTCCCCAAATATTGGTATAGAAAAACAAATATATCCTTTTAATAGTTTTAATTTAGGCTTTGTGTTTATTTTCCTTATTTAGTTTTCGGATGCAAATGATGTTAATAAACTTGACGTTAAACTTATACCAGATGATTTGGATATATTTGCAAGGAATTTGGAGATAAAGTCCCTGAAAAATACATATCATCGTAATAATATTTATTAATATAATTTTATTAAATAATTGACGTTTTCTTGTTGTTCTTCTTTAATAGTTAAAGATCTTAGTCCTGGAATGAAATATACTATTGAATTTATATTCCACTTTAAAGGAAGCTCCGATCAATGCTCGACCAGAAAGCATTTCAAAACTGCAGGTATTGTTTTCTTTTCTTTATAGAATAATTATTACTATTATAGAATTATCTATTTTATCTATTAGGAGAGGCGATTAAAGCTCCTACTAATATAGAAATTGAGTGGATATTGAAAAGCGATTACGAAATTTCTTTTCAAGCTTTTGATAAGAAATACGTCTGTACTTTTTTAAATTAATATACAGAAAATAACACCGTTAAATAACAATACTATTGATTTATTTGTATAGACTTACACCTTTTATTGGACGTCGGAATATAAATTATTAGATAATTTGGATTTTAATCATCGTGACGTTGAAAAAATATCATTAAAAGATGTCAAAACTGAAAATGAGACAATTACTATTGGGAAATTGAAATTGCCATCTTGTCTCAGAATATTTTATATGTTGCAAGTAACAGGCCCACACAATGTGATTGGTGAACTATCTCCTATTCAGACATTCTCTACGAGAGAAGGTTGATAAATTAAGAAAATTTGCTTCATTTATTAATTATAAATAATATTTGTAGATTATAATTCACCGCCAAGTTCCCTTCGCGTTGGAAATTTTAAAAATTCATCATTATTACAATATTCGGCCGATTTCTCTTGGAAATGGAATTGTCTATTGGAAAAGGCACCAAAAGTAATATAGTATTTATATATATTGTTCTTTATCTATTTTATCGCGATGTTTTTCTTACGATATAGTCGTATACGATGGTTATTGGTAAAGACGATTCGGGTGATCATTATTCCATTGAAGTTGCCCAAGGAAAAGGACAGTTTACTAAAAAAACAATAAAAAATCTTATTTCTGGCGCAAAGTATCACTGGAAAGTAAAAATATCAGGACAAAGCTCATTCTCAGAGCCAAAGTCGTTCTCATACAATGTAATCCAAGCTCCTCCGGGATTCAAAGTTTTCGAAAAAGGAAACACTATCCGATTTATCTGGAATAAACCTGAATACCTTACTGAAATAGAATCATATGTACGTTTCATTTAATATTGTTTACTTTTTTTATCAAGTTAAGTATTTAATTACTGTTTTTTCTTTTATATCTAGAATTATATTATCTACAAATGTAAAAACCAAGATGAACATACTTGCAACAAATTAACTTCTATTCCACGTGGTCAACTTGATAAAGAAATCAAGGTTTGAATTAATTTGGCCTCGTTTTAAAAATTAATCTTGTCTCGTTTCTGTTATATAAATAGATTAGAAGCAATCATTATAGATGCTATAGAATACGTATAAAGTTGTATGAAAGTAACTACCCAGGGGAATTTTCTAATCCAATATGCCGTATTGGACAAGTTGGAGAACACTCTGATAAATCTAAATCCTCTAGTAATTTGGCAATTCCTATCGCTATCGTTGCTGTCATAGTAATAATCGTCCTAGTAGCAATTTTGGTATTTTTTGTTATGAGACACAGAAGATTACAAAGAAGTTTACTTGGTTACGCAAATTCAATTTATCATAGCAGTAGCGGTACAACAGTTATATCAACTGATAATAACTTGGGTAAACTATTTTTTCGACCCATTCAAGTGTATTTTGTTATTCTGAAAACATTTTAATTAACATTTACAGATGCTGATGACGCTCCTATAATCAGAGGATTTTCCGATGATGAACCCCTTGTTGTCGCTTGAAAGAATAAACAAAAAATCGATTACAAAGTCGAAGAATTCCATTAAACAATCTAATCTAAAAAAAAAGACATTATTTTTACCTTAATTTTAACGGACCAGTTCGAAGATAAACTTATATTTTATTCATTTAAAACACCTGAAAACATTCTGTGTATTGTCTACCTAAAGGGTATTTTATAGTATTATGTATAAATAAATGAATAATTTATATGTATACGTATGTAAAAAAAATAATATAAAATATTTTAAATACTATCTGTGTTACTGTGATAAAAAATGAACTAAAAATAAGAATAGTTGATAGATCATTTCTTCTTGTTTTTTTATTATATACATATCAATTATATATATATATATTATTTTAAAAAATATTCTCATCATATATCGACTCTGTTTTCTTTTATCTCATAGAAATAGACATATTTGAGGTATTAAAAAAAAAGAGTATCTGTTTCTATTAGACATAAGCTTTAGAATGAGAAATAAGTCTCTAATTTCACTCGTGTTGTTTTTTATTGAATATTTTCTATTTTAGCTTCTTTAGCCATGGTATAAAACATTGATGATTTGTTGGCTAACAAATGGCTCGGTTTGTCGAATTCAGCAATTTTTCCTTGATCGAGAACTAATACTCTGTAAATTTGAAAATAAGCATTTTATAGTACATTAAATGCGAACTAAAGGTGATTTGTTTCATTTGTCTTACTTGTCATAACTGATCACTGTATGGAGCCTATGGGCAATAGTAATTACTGTCGAATCGTTAAATTCTTCGTTAATGGTTTTTTGAATGAGACAGTCTGTAGCTAGGTCAACAGCTGCGGTTGCTTCGTCTAATAGTAAAATTTTACTTTTCCTTAATAAGGCTCTGGCCAAGCAAATAAGCTGTCGCTGGCCAACGGATAGATTCTCTCCACCTTCATCGCAATCAAAGTTCAGCTTTTCTTTTAAGTTAATGACTGTAGAACTTAAGTGGGCTTTTTCTAGAGCATTCCAGATTTCTGGATCTGATGCCTTTTCCGAAGGATCTAAATTCCACCTCAAACTACCCGTAAATACTACAGGGTCTTGTGGTATTATAGTTAATTTTTTTCGAAGCTCGTGTAAACCAATACTGCTTATGTCGATATTATCTATAAAAATTGATCCGCTTTCTGCTTCAATTAAACGTAACAGGCCTAAAAGAAAGGAACTTTTCCCAGCTCCGGTTCGTCCAACAATTCCAATTTTTTCTCCGCTCTTTCGAATGAAAATAGATATATACTCATAAAAATAATTTATATAATTATTAGAATGTTACCTTTATGGATAAATTAATATTTTCTAATACGAGTGGCAAAGACTTATCGTATCTTAAGCTGAAATTGTTTATATCTATTTCGCCATTTTCAGGCCAATCTTTTCTATTCTTTAGATTGTTACTTTCCCAAGATGCTTCACTTGGTAAATCGCTATATTCTTTAATCCTCTCAACAGCTACAATATTGGTTTCTAATTCGCTACTCATTCTCACCAACCAGTTTAGTACTTGCGTTATCTACAAAAAATGTTTTCACTTTATTTCTAAGTAGGAAGATAAGTGTTTTATTAACTTACATTTAAGGCATACGTAATTGATAAACCGACTAATCCAGCGTTTAAATCAGATTTTCTATAAACGGCTAGAACAGAGGTAATCAAGACTAAGAGATTACCAATAAATTCCAATCGAAGAGCTAACCACCTGCGGTAATTCGTGACGGAATTAGATTTATCTTGTAAGACTGATTAATTTAATAAATTTGAATATGTTACCTATTTGCAATAATCCCAGCATACGATGCATTTTGACTCTTATCCAAGAGAAGGGCGAATTTGCTAATGAAGCTGTTTAAAAAGATTTTATAAATCTTAATTAGAATATTAAATATTATAATATTAATTAACAGGGATTAATTATTAAATATTATAGGTAAATATTCTATAAATTGTTTAGATGTTTTTAATAATGAAAGCTTGTTAAAAAAAATTTCCTGAAAATTTAATAAAAGCTTTAAACAAAGACAACATAACGAATATGCAAACTTAATTAGGCCAATACATTTTCGTACCCTTCCCCTCTTCCCTTAGGAATTAAGCAATTATGTAAAAAAAATTTTTGTCATATACTGGAACATTTTCCCACCAATTTTAACATTTTTTTTGATTAAAGGTAACGACATTTAAAAACTAAACGAAAGGAAGGAGAAGCAAAGAAATTTTTTCTTAGTTATTAAATGAAAGGGTTAATAAGAATATATGTTTTCGCTTAATACTTGTCCGGTTCTTTTATCTTAAATTATATCCTATAAATAAAAATATCTAATTAATAATCTGCTATGAAATGCCTAAGGACCTTTGTCAATATTGTATACTTTCGTGAATATATCTAAATATGATCCAACTATTGAGAAATGTATAAAATTTATCACCACAAAGTTTACATAGTCATTCAATATCGGAATATATATGACGAAAATAATCAAATAAAACTCACTTTTTCTCATCATTGTACGCTTGAATAATTGCTGATCCAGCAAATGTTTCGCTAAAATTTGAATATAAAGGAGATTTTGATGCAGATTCTATGCGTTTCAATTGTCTTGAACAAGATATATAGTATCTCTGAAAAACAAATGAATTATAAAAACAAAAAGGCAAAAATAATATAAAAGCTTAAATCAAGTGTAAGGAAATAGCTAAACACTACAGGAAAAAAACAGTTCTCTTTGAAAGGCTTAGGTGGAATTGCAATGGCTTTTGGGGGGAATTGTAAAATATTAACAGCATTGTTAATCATTAGTCACAGTGCTGCAAAATAAAACTTCAGAATAAGGTCTAAACTCTCAACTTCGAGAAATTGCCAACTCAAGACGTGTCCCAACGATATATTAGTAAACACGGAAGTCTATTTACGTTTTAAAAATCTAATGGCTTCTTTATTAATAATTATTATTTCCATTTTTCGCACAAAACTCCTACTGAAGAAGTTTTCGCTAAATTTCATTTGAAAACTCTCTGATATAAATATTTCTTGTTAGTTTAAGAGAAAGAAGTATTAAAGGTATAAGGTGTAAATCAGATGACAATGTATTAGGATTAGTTTCTTTCTCGCTATTTATTTATCTTTTTATCGGTAAGTTAATAGGGAAATAGTAGCCGGGCGAACGACAGGAAAATACCTGAGTATAATAAAAGAAGAGACTAGATATAATTATATAGGTGATTGATTCGGGTGAAATCATAGCAAGGATAAAGCAAGTTGTCAAGCAACGCATAAAGCTGGCTAAAGCTGATTTTAAAGTTTCGACAAAGCAGCTTTCAACTCCATTTAAATCCGATGAAAATCTTGACAAGAATTTCCCTAGTGGTATTCTCTCTGATATTGTGATTCTGGTATTTAATAAGGATCCAAGAAGTTTATCATGGAGCTTAAGAGACCACTTATAGCAAGTAATTGAGATTAGAAGGTTAGCCAAAAATATAAAAATACCTGAGAAGCGACAAAATTCAAAGAAAATAGTAATAATAAAATGATAATGTAAAAATAATGTTAAAAAAGAAAATACAAAAAAGCGAGGTTCAAGAGACAACATTCAAAGCGATTGGTAATATAGGAAGCGACGAAATGTTGGCTACCTGAACAAAGTAATAGAATATAGCAGCTAAAAAGTAGTAAATACTCAAAAAATAAGCCGTTAAACTGGTCACTGTGATGATTATCAGCGTCTGGAAAAGACAAAATCAATTTTTTTTCTATTTATGTCTTCCATCTCGTGCTTAATAAAAGTGTCGCCCTAAAAAATATTGCACCTGTAATAAGATATTGATGCACGAACGCAAGGTGAAATGAATAACCAGATCTACAGTATTCATATCGGAGGAGAATCTATTCAAAAATAACGCTGAAGGCGTCTTCTCAAACTTGGAAATACGAGATTTTATAGTTGATTCAAGAAGACATTGATGAATATATTTAGAAGCCCTTACACCGCTAATCGCTATAGAAAAGGAGGCTAGCATCTCCAATAGACCTGCATATAAATCAGTGATAACTCTTAAATTCTAAGCATATACTATAAGATAAAAGTGCTAAAAAAAAAACGCTTAGTGTTGATATTCTCTTGCGATCAAAAGATATAAATCATTCTCATAGAAACGCTTACTCACCTTGCCCAATTCCTAGGGCGCCGTAAATTCCTAATCTAGCTTCTCTAGAATATTGCGTTGTTTGATTTTTTTTCGCCAATTGTTCGTCTTCACTCCATGCACTTAGCCAATAATTAGCGCCAAGGGAACAGAAATTATTTAAGATAAACAAAAGTCCAACTAGAAAGCATAGATGATATCCAGCTGCTTTTATGTAGTTTAAAAATACACTTATTTTAACCTAGGAATGAGAATATGCAGATAATATATTGCTCATTAAACGTTGCATGATGGTGTCTACCTTTCCAACTGCTATATTTTCTTCTCCCATAATCATTTTTCTTGCCGCCTCTTCCTTATTGACTTTTTCAATATTATTCTTCTCGACAGAACTTTCCTCTTCCAGTTCTTTTGTTAGATTATTAATGCTCGGAGCAGGAACATTATCAAATTCGTTTTCTACACAAAGTGAATATTTTATGATTGATGAGTGTTTTTAACGCATTTAGTTGAATTACCTATAAACGTAAGAGATGAATCTAGTAGGGTCGTTAGACTGATCGAATTTTTTGCTTTATTTGTCTTTGACGATATATTAGATTCGGATTTCCATGGTCGATTTCGATCACTTATTAAAGAAATAAATAGGCATTTTATGTATATGCTGTATATATATATAATTTATTTATAAGTTATTAAAACTTCTTACGTGCAAGCTCTCTTTTTTCGGTTTTGTAAATTTTCTACTTTGTTCTTTTTCTCTTTAAGAGAAAGAAAGAAACTTTCATTTTTAATATTTTCATAATTTCCTCTTAGTATGATTCTTCCTTCTTCAATAACGTAGATAAAGTCTGTGTCTTCCAAATATTCCAAAGAATTTGTAACCAAGATCTTCGTCTATTTTTTTTATTCAATGTTTTCTCTAAAATTTTTATTTATAAGCAAAGTGTATACCTTTCCTCCTAGGAGACCTGTTTTTCCAATTACATTCTCGAATAGATGTTTCCCAACATGAACATCAACAGCTGCTAATGGATCGTCTAATAGATAAACGTCCTGATCAGCATACACCGCTCTTGCAAGTGCAATGCGTTGTTTTTGACCTCCAGAAAGGTTAATACCCTGCAAAATGTCAATAATTTATTGAATAAAATTTTTCTTGTTTAATCAAAATTAACCTTTTCTCCGATATTACTTAAATCTCCACTAGGAAACATATCGAAATCGAGTTTCAAAGCGCACGCTTCAATGACTTTATCGTACAAATCTTGATCGAAGCCCTTGCCAAATTTTGTAATATTCGATTTTATACTGGCATTCTGAATCCAGGCTTGTTGAGAAACGTAAGCTACCTTACCCTAGTTAATTTAAATTAATTCCAATTAATTCCTCTTAGAAAGAATAGGGAAATATAAGAATTACCATAATATCGACAGTTCCTGAAATTTTCTCCATATTTCCTAAAATTGCTGATAAAAGGGAAGACTTGCCACTAGCGACAGCTCCAATTACAGCAACAAAACTACTTTGTGGAATTTCTAAATTAATGCTTGAAAATTAAAAAGAAATTAATAGTTAATTAATTTTCATTACTAATTAGCAGGAAAGGAATTTTACTCATGAAGTATCGGTCCTATTCGAAGATCTCTTGCATTAACCGCAATAGTTTCTTTCACATTCTCTTTGATTTTCTCTAAATTATCAGTTGACTGAACAGGATCATCGTCCCTTATCCAGGCGAAAGAAGCTTCTCTGACTGTTATTGCGTTACTGCAGTTTAAATTATATTGAGCTCTTGTAACTCCCGTTTCATCTATTTCATCTAAGAGCAGGTATTTCCATATTCGCTTCATGGATATTCGTGTCTTAATATTAAGAAATTAAAATAAATAAATAAATATGTATGAGTAGATAAATAAAGAACAATGTATTTACCTGGACAATATTACTGATTAGAGTGGGAAATATGACGAGAGGAAGTCGCATAATGTTGAAAAGCGACAAGGAGACGAAAGCCTTTTCAGCATCCATTTTATTTTCTTTGTTAATTAAAACAAATAAACTGAAAGTTGCTAAAGAAACCTAATTAAAGTAAAGAGAGTTAAAGAATTATGACCTGACAAGTATTTTAAATTACCATTATGGGAGCACAAGTCCATACAAATGTGCCAAATGAATTTAGATAGGCGGCTCTCTTCAGTACATCTAATTCATTTGATCGTTTTTCCGCAATTTTTTCTTCAAACAGCTTTTCCCAAGCATATAATTTTAATACTTTGATTCCGTTCAACATTTGATTGACTAGCTTTATCCTAGAATCGGTGAATTTCAGTTGCTCCGTCTATAAAAATATTTGTTTGTTTTTTCGTTTTTGTTGTTTTTAAATATCACAAGTGTTTTTAAAGAGCAGAAATAATTTTTAAGAGAATTTTAGATAATAACCTGAAACTTCTTTTGATACTTAATAATAACTGCATTTATTGGTAGTATTACAACAAGAAAGGCTGTTCCAGCTAGAACAGACGGCCCAACTAATTGCCATAGCATATACAAACATATACTAATCTATATAAAAGACATTGCATTAACAGGTTGTCGTGTAAACTAGAATAAATGGAAATTTGTAAATTTTTTTACCTGAAATGGCGAAGACCATATCATATTCAAATGTGGAACGAGCTCATAAATTTTACTGCAATCTATTGACAATAAATTGACAACCTCCCCAACCGTGTATGAACTTTTTGAAACGTTATTCAATTTTAATGTCTATATTTATATAAAAGAGATGAAAATAATGTAAAAATATCTATATGAGTCTAACAAAAGGATAAATAATATAGCTCACTTTTGCGTAGATTGCTGCACTCAGAGTAGATTTTATATTGAGACCAATCGTAAAACATAGAGTATAATAGTGTTGAAGAAGAATACTATGCGCTTGTATAGCAAGGAACATTGCAATAGCGCATAGATATCCATTTAATTTTGGAGCATCAGAATCATTTATGAACCTCAATAACTTCCTAAACGAGTAATTTGTGTGAAAATACCATTTTATAAAACATAATATGAAATATGCAAATAGAAAATATCGCACTTTAGTAAAATAGGGGATACGAAAAGTAAGCAGTCGCATATGAATTTAATAGGGATTGATGGAAAAAAACGCCAAAAGAACTGTTTGAAAATAATCCAACTCAGGGAAGGCCTCTTTGTTTTACCTGGAAAGAGTGAAGAATAAAAAGCATCTATATGATTCTTTTACTTATTAATAGCTAAAAATATTTGTACGAACGTATAGCTCGATTAATTAATGTTTCCCTTTCGTCGGGCGAAGAGGTAGAAGAGTCATCGTACTTGGATATGGGAGATTGTTGAATTTCTTCATCATCATTAACGGCAGTAACAACAATTTGTATCCCAGACTTTTTTGTAACTTTTTGTACAATGTTTTCTTCAATCTTATTTCTTAAATACCCAAATAAGATATATTTTCTTTAAAAAGTTAACATTTATAAAACTTACTCGGAAAATACATTAGAATCGATTGATTTTTTATCTCCTAAAGCTTTTTTCCACCCTTTTAGAAACTTATGACCAACGTATGGAGTTCGTTGGGTTTTCTTTAAATCCCACAAATCATTAGTAGTCAAATTGTTTTTATAACCTTTACGGACAATTCTGTTGATATGATGAAATATTTATATAGTAACATATATACATATATATGGAACATTAGTTGTTCTTTATGTTAAGAAAAAGATGTGAGAATAATATAATAGAGGTGATAAAAAAAGAGAACTAACGAATTAAACCACCAATATGTTATTTTCGAGAGAATATTAGAAAAGTATTCAGGAGATTCTGGCTATTTAGAACGATCAATATAATTATTTCTGGTAAAGAAAGATATATAGAAAAAGCATACAATATCAGTTGAAGTAAATGTCTTTCTATCATATTCCTTTTGATCTTCTTCATTCGTTAAATCAGGAAAGTGAAAGAATAAATAAATGACCATATGGCAAAATTCTAAGCTGGCTATTAATCCAAGTATTATAGTTTTCTTTTCTTTATAACCATAACTAACAGACTAAATAATGCTTCATTAGTTCAAATTTCACTTACACTTTTATTTATGTTTACCACTACAGGAAAGGCTGGACGTTGAATATGAGAAAGTAATAATACAATTGTGACAAACAATCGAATATTCAATGTACCAAAGAGCGCTAGTTTATCTCTATATGATCTTATCAGAGTAACTAGTACCATTGACGATACCTGGAAAAAAATGAAAGAAAAAACGAACATCTATTTAATAGAGCAAGAGAAAAAAACACAATTATATGGTTTTCAATTTTTTTTTGCCTATAACTCTCTCTATCTCTCTCTCTTCAGTTGTTTATAGCGTAAAAAGAGGTAGATAAATAAGAGCGCTCAAACGAGGCTAATTTCATTCGTTAAGTCTAAATAAACGCTAGTGAGAAAAACTGGCTTGTCTCTTTTATACATAGAGTAATATATTGTTTCTGAGAGGGTGTTAAGTGAAATTAGAAAATGAAACAAACCATAGTACATATTCTTATAGATGTTGAGAAATATTCCGATTTCTCCATTTTTAAATCTCTGATGAAAACGTGCAATAAACTAGAAACCACTATTTGACTGATAAGAAATACCTAGAAAAGTTTATAAACAAATATTCTTCAACCTTATAATTTATTACATTTATAATACAATATAAACTTACCATCTCACACCAAAACACAATAGATTTACATCTAATGCATTGATTTATCCTAAGTAATTGTTTCTTTACATTCTTCAATAGAAATAAAAATAGGAAAATATTGACAGCAAACGGTGTAAGGATAAATATTGTATTTTCTGTACATCTTTCAGTTTGAGAGTTATTTAAATACTGCAAAGAAACGGTATAAAAGAGGGAAATTTAATTAGAATTAAGTTAAAAGAGAACTTCATTAGTTTCTACAAATTTGTTTTACTTGAAGAAGTAATAGAATACTAAAAAATAACAACCCAACTTTAGCGATCAGAACTATACAATATATTCTTTTTTATCTTAAATTCGATTATTTTAAGATGTCCTTTACAGATAACCTTTAGATATTCACTTATCTTATTAAATTATCTAATAAACAGTGAAATAATTCTTTTAAATTTTCAAACGGTACCTTTTAACATAAAATGATAAATTGGCACAAACATTTACAATAGCACCGTTTATTTACTCTATTAAAACATTTCTCGCTAAAAGAACTTTTTTAATTAGAAAAGCAACACATATATGCTAACTAATTGATATATTTACCGTTTGGTTAAAGTTGCATAAGAATAAAGTCATCTTAGAATAGAAAGTTAAACGCGCTCTTTTGTTCGAAAGTGCACATATGACCACGGTTGTATTTAGTCGTCTGCTAGTAGCCCGGAAACAGAGACTAAAGAGATTTATGAAGATATGCACTATAGATGGAGTTGTTCCAATTTTAAGTTTGATTCTCCGCTTTTTTTAACTTTTATTGAATAGTTGAGTTGTTCAATTTTATATGCTTTAAATGTAACAGTGTGTTTTCTATCACATTTTCATATTGATTTTTCTTTTTAGGAGTTTCTTTTTGAAATAAAGTCCAGCTTCCGTATCATTTCCTTGTGAAATATGAATGTATCTGATACGGATAAATCTCTTGATCAAGAAGATAAATACTTAGTATACATAAAAAGACAAGTTTTTTCTTTCATTTTCGTTTGAAAGGTCTATCAGACGCTAGGAACGCTGTTTTATTTATTTTTTGTCAGTCAACGCCGAGTGAAACACTCTCTCTATACATATCCTTATTTTTAAAATATCTCGGATTTAGTAAAAGCCCCTAAATTTATCTTTCCAATCTACTCAACTATTTGATATATTCTAGATTATAATGAATATAAAATAATCAATGGACTTAGTAAGTATGGTTACGCCCGTTTACGCAATGAAAATATATATTCTACAGAGCGATAATACAATATTTCTAGGAACTGGTATATGTACTAAATTGAGTTTTAGGTCTAATTAAAAACAAAACTTGATTGGGTGTTTACCAGTCTCGGTACATAGAGCTAGAATTATAAAAATATGTATTAGAAAGCCAGCTATATCCTTTTATGAGTTCCTTTTTTTTTTTTTTACAAAATATAGAAATCCGTTTCAATAAAGATTGTTTTAATCTTCTTTGCATTTGGAATAGTGGTAAGTAAAGATCACTTTTGCATTCTGATTAATAAAATATTAACTCTAGATATTGTTTATTAGCTAACGGTCGTCCTACTCTTGTTTCTAAAGAGACAAATTATCAGGTATAAACTACGTGGAAAAGGTTCGCACGAACCAATTGGATCATCTGTTCCAAAAGTATGTAGAAATTCTTTTCACTTCAATATAGAATAATGAATGGAATAATGTATTGAATATTATATTAGAAATTGAAAAGGGATATCGCGGAGAAAATAAATAAGATATTATCAATCAAGTGTGAATTACCTCTACTTAGTCCCCGTTTAGAGAGAAAATTGATTCTAATAGGTATTAATTATATCAAGAAATAGATTTTACTGATAAGAGCTGCATTATTATTAACTTTAATGCTTGCAGATAGAACCCATTACTACTATCGAATGAAAGCTGTTGACTCGGTTAGATTCCTTGATGCGGCATTGAGAGAATCAGGAATGAAGAAACGTATGCCAGGATCCAATATTCGAGAATACTTATTAGAATGTAGAAAAAATGGCCCATTAGCATCAGTGTCTATTAATGATATAGATCTCTTTTATTCTTCATACGAACACGCGAGATATGATCCTAAAGACTTTTTACAAGTGGAGTACGCAGGATTTCAAGCCTTACTTATGTACCTAATCTCCTCGTAAGCATTATCTCTAACCATAAATTAAATTCTATACATATCAATTAATCTTTTAAATCGTTTCAGTGCAAAAAAGCACTCGACGGTACAAGCTGTTCCCGTAAGAACTTCAGATATAACATCCGAGGCTGATGCCAATGAAGAAACATTTCTATTAAAAAGGCCTACATCTACTTCAACAAGCTTTTCCGGTGAGCCAAAAGAAAGCTCTATGGTGTCAGAACTATCAGTTTAAGAGAAGAAGACGAACGAAAATTGTTATCAATGAAGTAATTAACAAGTAAATCTAGTCATCTGAAAAGAACGAAATTGCTAGCAAAAACATAACTTTTTAAAGAATCTATGAATATTCAAGATAAAACTTTGATTATTTTTAAACAAATTTATTTGGCAATTCATATGCAAATTTTATGTATTTTATTGCTTTATTTAATATAAATATACAAGATATTTACATGAAATACCACTAATAATAACATTCTACTGGCTTCATTTTTTCAACAAATTTAACTCTATAGGTCCAAGCTATTGTTAAAGCGTTTGAGAGAATTTCTATAGTTTCATTGAGAACCAGTTTCTTTTTTATTAGAAAGAAGTATTGAAAAAGTGAATATTTAACAGGAGAAACACGCAACGGAGGAGAATATCGAAACTATGGGAATATTTAAGCACGCAGTTGATTTTTCATCGAAGCCTAATTGCTTATCAAGGATTACGTCATGGTTTGTTATATAATCACTATTTAGCGTAGATATTTTAGGGATTGATAGGAAATATTCTTTCAGGTGGTTAGGAGATTTGATGCAAAAAGCTCATTTTGATAGATTAGAAGAGAAAGACATTAAAGGAATCCCTATTCACTATGAGTCAAAATACTTGTACATGTTGATTAAGAAAAGGTTATACTGGTTTCTTTTATATATATAAATAGTATTAATACATATATAATCAAATATATTATATTTAATACAACCTAAATAGGGAAAGTAATGGACAATCAACAAGAAATCTCTTATCTTTCATCTATTATACATTAAATAAGTCTTCAAGAAATGTGTTTTTAATATTATCATCCTTCATTTTAACAGTTAAGTACTATTTAAAGGCGGGAAAATATGGATTATCTATAAATAAATAGTGTATTTATATATAGGAAGTTTGTAGATTATTATTCCCTCTTTTAATTGAAAGAATGATGAAGATTTACGACGGAGAAAACATGCTGGAATTGCATCGAATAATTCTCCTTGGTGCGTTCATATTAATAATGGTATTGTTCTTTATATTTTATCAATTCTCCTGTATAAATTGTGGATTATGGGCTGTACGAGTTAAAAGCATGATTCATAGTTTATTATATAAAAAAGTAAGATATTTGTCAATAAAACGTAGACTATATGAATTATTTAATAAGAGATTATTCAAAACAGATATTAAAAATTCAGACGTTCTCTGATGAAAATGGAATAGAAGATGTTATAGGAATGATTTCATGCGATAGTGAACATATTCAAAATTCAATATTGTTATGTTTTCAATTATTAACATTTCCACTAACGTTTACTGGAGTTTTTTTTATTAATTATTATTTAATGGGCAATGCTGCTATCTTAATAATACCATTGACTGTACTGTTAATTCTATGGATTTGTATAATTACTACACTTGAAGATGATGTCTTTAATGACAAAAGAGCATTTGAGGAGAGTACCGTTCAATATGTTAAGAATGCTTTATTAAATATTGAAATCGTGAAAATGTATCTTTGGGAAAAGCCGTTACTTATGTTTATCTCCAACAAGAGGATAAGAGAAGTTGAAGAAATGTTTATGAGTAGGATACTATTAGCTTTGTACAATTCTTTACTCTTCATTTCATCCAGAGGAGTTTTATTATTAACAGTTTTATATATGTCTTATTTTATTGACATAAACTTTCATGTGACAGATATATTTAGGATATTGTTATCTTTAAGTATATTACAGCAAACTGGTTTTAAATACTTTCATACAGGCTTAGCCTCCTTGTTTAAAACTTTAAGATGGTTGAAAACAATCAACGCATTCCTGCAGGAAGATGAATACAACAGCTCTGTTCACGATATGATTGGCGCAAATGGTTTATTTGATATGCAAATGAATGAAGAAATTTTGAATATTAATAATTTAAATATCGTTCAAACACCGTATATGACAAACATATTAACTAATATTACATTTAGCCTAGTTCAAGGTGAACAGTTAATCCTTACCGGAAATTCTTTATCGGGAAAGGTAGGGGATAGAAAAATGAAAAATGATAATATTTTTACACTTATCTTTTCTTTTAGAGTCTATTATTAAAATCAATATTATACGAAGTTGATTTCACCGCCAACGGTTTAATGGTAAATGGTTCAATAAGTTATCTATCCCAGAACGACGGTGTTCTAAATCAATCAATTAAGGATAATATTCTTTTTGGAAATTCTTATGATCACGAAAAATTTTGGAAAGTGATAGAATCGTGTCAATTGTTTAAGGATATCTTTCATTTATCTAATCAAGAGAATACGATTATAGGAGGATATACTAATGAAATAACAAAAGAACAGGAAAAGAAGATTTTAATAGCAAGGTGAATACAATAATTTTCTATTTTTCTTTTTTATTGACCTAGATTTTTAATTATTAACCTCTTCTCTACATATTAAAGAACTGTTTATCAAGATGCTCAAATTTATCTTGTAGACGAACCTTTCGAACACTTAAATATAAATGATTCAAAAGCAATCTTAAAGGAGTGTTTTAATAGTTTTATGCAAGGTTCAACCATTATAATCGCTACAAAATATCTGCAAGTTGTGGAAAAAGCTGAAAGATGTATGTTTCTAGAAGCCGGAAGGATTATATATGATGGACCGTTAAATGATAAATCAAAAACTATATTTCAATCTGAAATGGAACCAGTGCCACCTTGTGGTAATAATGACTTAATTTGTGGTCACATTAGATATGATATCGCAAAGACATCAAATGTAATGAGAAAATTCTTCAGATTTGGCAGTTTAAGTCTATTTATATTGGTTATAATAATTCTACTTTTAACTATGTGCGCATCATTATTTATGGACTACCTCATTGTGTCATTAAAAGGGAAAATTTCAATACCAAAATTGGAGATTTTCCTCTTCCTCTTTTTAATTGCTTGTCTTAGTTTTGTAGGATCACTTTTAACTCAAAGCTTCTTAACGAAAAGTATTGAAAAGGTCTTTTCAAAGTTCCTACTGAAAATTGTTAGGACTCCTTTAGAGATGTTTAAGAGTATGCCTATAAATGCAATATTGTGTGTGTTCAAAGAAGATTTTCAGCTAATGGATGAAATTTTTCACAGAAAATTACATGACCTACTAGCTAATACAACATACGGAATTGTTATCATTATTTTTATATCCGCCATCTATCCTGTGACAATAGTCTTCGGCTTGATCATTAGCAGCTTGGCTTTTGTTACATTCAACTATACATCCACAGCTATTTTATCACTACAAACGTTATTAGAATCCTATAGGACTAAAATGAGTTTTTTGTATAGAGATACGTCAATTAAGTTGTGTGTTATACGGTTACACGAAAAGAAGAATTTCTTTATGGATAAACTTCATGAGTATAATAACAAATATACAGTCTTTCTATATTTGACGGAGTTATGTAATCTTTGGCTATCGATACGTGTACAATTGTTAATATTTTGTTATATTACAATCGTCTTCCTAGTAACACACTTCCTCTTTAAAGTTGACCTTGTATGGTATGGTCTTATACTTTATTTTTTTATTCAGCTAATGGAATCAACATTTACAATAATAAAGGGTTGGGTCGAATTAACTAAAGCGGTACGTATCAGTCAATCTTTTTAAGATCATTCTTCAAAGCTAACAATATACTATTAAACAGACTTCAAGTTTAGATAGAATAAACCATTTCTTCAAGTATCCAACAGAACCCGATGTAAATCGACCTCATCAATACTATTTAAACTATCATAACTATCAATTGGTAGTTAAAAATTTGAGTTTGTATATTTCGGATGAGAAACAAGGATTGGAAGACCTTAATTTTGAAATTCATAAAAATCAACATGTCTGCTTTATCAATGTTTCAAAGGACGTAAACTATAATAGTATATTAAAAAGTGCCTTCTTTAGATTATATAGTGGAGATGGTCAAATTTTAATGAATGGTTTAGATCTGACTTCATTGGAATTGTCGATCGCACGTTCAAGATTTAATATTATACCTCAAAAATCTCTCATTCTTTCTGATACGCTCAGGAGGAATATTGATCCTTTCAATTTTTTTACTGATGACGAAATTCTATATTCTATGAGACAAGTCGGATTGAATAAAAGACTCGAAGACTTGAATGAAGATCTAAATGAGAATTTAGAGTTTGGAGAGGCAAAATTAATATCAATATGCCGAGCATTAATTTACAGGGAAACGATAGTTATATATGAGGCAACCTACGATAATGCCATTAACAGCCATATTTATAGTCTGTTTCAAGAAATATTCAGAGATAGATTAGTCATTATCCTAACTAATAGCGTGATTAATACTTCTCATTTTGACAAAGTCTATGTGATAGATAATGGAAAAATAGTGGAAGATGGTTATCCCAAACTTCTCCTCAAACAAGAAGGAATTTATAAGAAACTGTTGAAGAATACCTTTGAGAAAGTAAAAACTAAAAATACTGAAAAATAAATTATATTTATTAACATGCTTTTTTATTTATTGTTTTTTTCTCACACGAACACATTTTATCAGTTTGAAAAATCATTGTACATATTAATATTTAATGAAATGATGTAAATTATAGAAATAATAAAACATTTCTAAACTTTTTGTCCTTTTGTAAAATACAGAAATCATTCATTTAAGAATAGTAACAATTCATTAAATAGTGTGCCCTTTAATCCAAATCCAAACCATTGATTTAAATTAACCATTAAAATAGTTTCTTGACATATTGTTCCTTTGATTTTTATGTGTTTTACTTCTCTCAACATTCGATCAATATCGTACCGAATCACCAGTACAGCATATCACTTGATGCAACTTCTATCAATTTTAACAACAGGGTTTAATCTATGAAAAGTATTTAAATGAATTTTTGCGGCTCGAACTCCATCTGGAAAGCCAATGTTACATAACAAACACTTTGGATATTTAAAAATAATTCCTCTGCAATTTAGCAACTCCTTTGCAAACTTTTTAACAAGAGCATTTACCTTTCTATTATTGATCTCTACAAAACAACTTATCAACGTTGATTTATGCTGGCTAGCGTGTTCAACTGTTTCCATAAGTAAATTTTTATACTTCTTGAGACAAAAAAGACATTCATATCTATTATATTCAAAATGATCTCGTATATGTGCTTCAATCTTAGTGACATCAGTCAACTTTGCAAAACAAATAGAGCATCTATACTCATCATCCTCCTCATCTCGACTTTCTACCAATGCTGATAGACGTCGCCTCTTTGATACAGATCCCTTTCCAACGGAAGATCTTTTCAGCGATAAAGCTCTCAGAGAGAATTGAATAATTCTGTCAGTTCCGACGTTGGAAACTTCTTCAGTAACATACTTTCTTTGCATTTCTTCTAATGTGATGTAGATATGACAAGATACAAAGTGAGTTTCAATTTGAAAATAGTTGTCAGCTGAAAAATCGCAACCTTTTTTACAACAATAGAAAGGCTTGGGCAGGTGACCTTGAATAACATGCTGCCTCATTTTAAAATATCTATTTTCATCTTCTGCTTCTATAGAAAATTCACAATGCCCACAGATAACAGTTGTCTCACATTGACTCTCTGGCTCATGCTTCTCAATACAATAAGCATCGTCATCATCTTTGGAATCATTGGTAGGGGAGATTTCTTTCGCATCATCGGATGAATTTATTATTTCAACTGGGGCTTCTACTATAGGTTTCTGTTTTTTTTCACTTAATAAACTCATTAGAACAGGTTTTACTAAATTGCCGCCTGAATGAAATATTTTGTTATGTTTGCAAATTTCCATTGGATCGTTATTGTAGACTTCACATTTTTCTTTACATTTGAATAATATATATGGACTTTCTCTTATTTCATAAAGTTCCTCCGAAAGGAGATGCTTTGAGAACTGTTTTATACCAAAAAGAAAAGTTTTTTTGCAAAATAAGCACCTTAGACTACTCTCTCCATGACATGGGCGGGAACTCTGGACTTGACGCTCTTTGTAATGCATAATTTGCAAACTATTCCCATTGAAAGAAAACGTGTTTGTCAATAATGGCACTGCTTTCTTAAATTCTTCGATTGTTTCTTTAAGATTTAAAGTAATATCCAAAATTTGAGCTTTGGAATGTTTTCTATTGCTACCAGATAAATTTTGGATATTCATAGAGTCGTCATCTTTTTCACAATGTGATTGGTTTTCTTCGGTATCGTCGCAATCATCAAAATTATCACTATCATGTAATAGTGGGTCATTAGCGGTTGAGAAAGTTTCAAGTGTATTCATGACATTTGTATTTTTATCTATCTCTGCCTTTGACCCATTCAATTCAGAAAGCTTCTCAGGCGTATTGTCATCTGTTTTACTAGTCTCAGTGAAAGTTTCGTCATTATCTTCGTCTATTATTAAAGGCGCATACGGACTTGAGCATGGTGTATTATCAGCCTCTCTAACATCTTCCTCTTGAATGACTTCAGGATTTGTAACCTTATTCAAAATTTTATCTGTTTTTTCGTTGGTAACCTTTTGACAAGAAAGCAAGTTGAATTTTTCAATAATTTCAACATCCATCTTATGATTTTCTTTGATATGATTTTTCACAATAATTTTATCGCAATCAGTAAAATTACACTCTTTGCAGATATAATTAGCAACTACTTTTAGATGGTCAATAAGAAGTGATAAGCTTTCAACTGATTTTTTACACAAATAGCATATATATTTATTTATCTTTTCGTGATGTGATTTTAAATGGTCTGAGAGGTCTTCTGATCGATAAGTAAAGTAAGTGCACCCATCAAAAACACAACGCCAGGCAGAAGTTTTACATGTCATTCCTACGACATGATCTGCTAGTTGTTCTGTTAATTTGCAGAATGAGTTCAATTTTCTATCTCTCTCTATATTGCGATTGCATAAAGGTGTTTCATGTAAATGATTGTAAATATGGTTTTTTAGTCCCTCCTTTTCAGAGAGTGCAATAACAGTACCGCAATATTGACATTTAATGTTATTACCATCTATTAACTTCATTTCAAGAAGCTTGTCCATCCCAAAGTCATGGACGTTTTGAGCAGACAAATATTTTTGTAATTTCTTAGGATATCTCTTCCTTTCTGATTCGTCATTGTCCTCGCTATCTATTGGATTTTCGTTGCACTCTTTGTTTTGTTCAAGTTTGGAATCAGAAGTATTTTTTTCTAAGTTATGGCTTACATTTTCTTCACTTGTACTGAAAATTCTATCATCAGATTCTTCTGTTTTGGAATTCATCAGATCTGATATAGTGTCTTTATTAGCCGCACCTTTTTCAAGTGTAAAAGTTTTCAACTGGTTTTCGTCTCCAACAACATTTCTAACATTTTCCTTATTCTTAAAAGTCTCTTTAGGTTCTGAAACTTGTTCATCAACTTTAGATACGCTCTCTTTTTCACTTACTTTGCTCATCTCAGACTCCAAACTATTATTTTCACTTTGTTTCTCAATATCAAGAGTACCATCATTGATATCATTTTGGTTTTCAACTTCAGACGAGACTTTTTTATCAATAACAGCAACTTCACCTACTTTTGACGCATCAGATGCTACGTCTTTCTCCCTTGTGGCATTGTTTGTACATGTAGCATTTTCTATCTGCTCACGTGTTTCAGTATCAGGTTCAGCACTTTTGGATTTGTCCTTCTGTTCAATACCAGATATTAAATTGTTACTATCTACAGTAGTTGCTGTAGACTGTTCATGATCCATATCACTGATTGAACTGAATGTGTCAGATGCAGCTTGTTGCTTATTTGTTGTACAATCAGAAATGAGTTTAGGTTCATTAGTTTGTGTTTCAGATGGCTCATCATTTGCAGTTGCCAAAGGTTTATCATTACACTCATTAGTACTAGATACAACTTGTTTTTGAATTTCTATATCCTGTTCAGATTCAGTATTTTTGTTTGTATGTTGTGTTTCCAAGTCTACATATTGCTCTGTTACGATATCAGATTCAGTATTTTTTATTCTCTTTCGTTTTTGAATTTCCAAGCCCTGTTCGGTAACGATTTCAGATTCAGTATTTCTGGCATTAGCTTGCTTCTGAATTTCTATATCCTGTTCCATAACGATTTCAGACTCAGTATTTTTTACTCTACTTCGTTTTTGAATAGCAGATTCGACATCCTTTTCACTTAGATAAGTTGTTGGAAGTTCAGCACCAGATAAACTATTGTTTGAATTGAATGTAGAAGATACATGTTGTTCCTCATTTACTATACCCTTTTCAGAATCAATATTGTTTGCAGTTTCTATTAATTTATTAATATTCGTGGTGTTATTTCGTGGATTGCAATCAGAGTCTACACTCTTTTCACTTGTCGTATTGTTCTTTATTTCACTATTAGCGGATGTTTGTTTTACTTCAATTGAAGATTTGGTCCTTTGGTTATTTAAAACTACACTTTCTCCTTTATCTTGCTTTTCGGTATCTAACGTGGATCTGTTTGGATCATGTGTTTCAAATTCAGCTGCGGGTCTATCCAAAATCGAACGTTCCAGACTCTCAGTCTGATGATAGTTTTCAGCATTTGATGCAATCCCCTTATCGCTTGTAGATATCTCTTCAGATTCTATACTTTTCATCATATCTTTCGCCTTACTTGTTGCAGTACTCTCTTTTTCATTGTCTGTATCAATTTCGGATAGTTGTGTATTATGCATTTTAGCTAATAGTCCATCGATTGCAGTATGTGTTACATTGTGAGTGAAATGAAAATGATCCTTTAATTCGTCAATATTTTTTAGGAAAATCGAACAGTAACGACACTTTACCGAAGAACTTTGAACGACTTTTGCCCCTAATTCTTTGGACTGTTCTGTTCGCTGCTCTGCAGTCTTGCTTGGACTGGCTACTAGAACTCCTAAAATAGACTTCTCCTTCTTAACTTTTAATAAAGTTTGTTTTGTAATGGTATTAACTTCTTTATTAAGTTCATCTGCCAAAGATGGTTTTTTCGCTTTTGCGACTTGACCTTCTTTAAGGCACGACGTTACTTTTCTTCCAATCTTTTCTATGCTATTTTCGAGTCTCTTCTGTTTCATATCGATTTTGCTTGGTGATAAATTTTTAGGGAGATTTTTCAGTCCTTCGGGTACGGCAGATACTGGAGTACTACTTTGTGTAGTTGTTTGCTGTGGTTTCTGACCTGAAACTTCCAAGTTACTGTCAGAAGCTGCCGCCGTATTTTCAGGTCTTTCGCGCTCGGTGGAAATTTGTTGCGTGTCCTTCTCTGGAGTTGCTACTTGTTTATCAGACTGATCGGCGCTTTCTTGAGGTTCTTTTTGTGAAATAGACGTTTGTTGCAAATTTGTCTTTGATACTCCTAAAGTCTTATTGGGTGCTCCTTGTCTAGATTGTACTAGTTTAGGATCTACTCTTAACATTTCTGTTTTTCTACTGGTATTTTGAATAAATTTCCTGGGATCTATAGGTTCAGCAAACGTTTTTTGTATATTTCTCATAAGTTCAGATCTCTTGCTTGTCTCTCTAGGCCTTTTTTCAGATTCTTTTTGTCCAGTGGGTATTTCTTTGGAGTTGTCTCTTAAATTCTCTGTACTTTTATGAGATTCTTGAACACGCCTTCTAGGATCTCTGGGTTCTGTAAATGATGTAGTTTGACTTACTTCCTCTAATGGTATATTTATGGGCCTTTTTTCGAAATCTGCTGGTCTATTAGGTATTCGTTGAACATTTGTTCTTGAAGTTTTACTAGTTTTGGACAGATTACATGGTTGCGATACATTTACTGCAACCTCTACTCTGTTATTTGTTTCCTTTGAATGTTGTTCAGGTTCTTTTTGCCTCGGCTGAGACTCTTTTCTCGGAATTCTACTGGTATTTTGAACTTGTTTTGGGGGCTCGATAGCAGTGTGTTGCACATCGCTTCTCAAAAGTTCTGGCTTCGGTTTTATAACAATTACTTCCTTTCTAAATACGGGTGTACTCACATGGCTTTGCGATTGATGTCTAACAGACGATTGCAGTGGATTTCTTAGGCGATCATTATTTATGGGCACATTGTTGTTTTTCATTGTTCTTTTTATATAATTAGCAATCGGTTGCATAGCTTTACATGGGTACTCATCATTGTACGAGCTATCTGAATGACAACTTTGACAAATGTCTGATAGAAGAACATTTAATCCTTGATGAAAGTTTTGCTGATGCTTTGTGTGGTAAAAGTGATTCATATATTCGTGATAGTTCGTACTCTCATATTTACAAACATTGCAGATTACTTTCGATCCTTCAATTTTAAGTAATGAAAATTTCGAAGAGCTTGACGAATGCATGATTTTGATAGTATTATCCTTATTTCCAATGTAGAAGTAGATGAATAAATAATTGAATTTATAAATTTTTAAAAAATTTTCACCAAGTTTAATAACATAAAGAGAAAATTTTTAATCAGTTAATTATAGAGCTGGATTTAATTTTCAAATATTTCGAGTCCTTTGGATAATAACGTTAAGTGAAAATTTCAAATACGTTATGTGAAGTATATTATACGCACAATGCTTCGCTTATGAGCTTTTTCGTATTCCCTTTACGTTTAGGCACAAGATCAGATTATACAGGTAATAGAGCATTTAAAGAATTTCTAACCTAGAAATGATCTGTAAACAAGTAGTGTAATTTTAAAAAGAAGTAGAATTAGCTGTAAATTTTTTTAAAAGACTACCTAGAAGAGAATCCATTTATGATTTGTATCCAATAATTAGTTTAACATATATATCCTCAGTATGTTTATTTTGGCTTAAAAAAGCGAACGATAATATAGAACGGAAATCACTGACTAATAGAAAATTAATATGGCGTATAATTGTTTTTGAAAATGCGCTACCTAAATGTAAAGAGGAGTAGCGAACCAGCCTAACGAAAGCATCATTTATGCTTCCATAAGCCAAGTTATCACACCTTTGCATTTATTACCTATGTCTAAAATCAGAAAAACTTTTTAGATAGTCTTTATCCTTTTTGTTTAATTTAACTTTTATAGACCTAGCATCTAATATTAGCGAATAAATATCGTTGTAAGATTTTGTGTATAGAAAGGGAAGTAACAGCACATACTAATATTATGATTATAAAGTAGAAATGTTTGTCTCTGTTGAAAAATATGCATAGAAAATAATTTACTACTTTTGAATAATTACGACCTTGAGAACGAATTTCTAAAGGGAAAGTAATGGCATAACAGTTAAACAGAATCTATTGAAATTATCGTTATAAAAGAAATATGCACTCATATCTATCATAGATACAAATGTATAACATTTAAATATATATATTATTTATATTTATAATATTTCTTATAGTCGATAATAATATTAACTTGTTAATTAATTAATTGATTTGCTTATATCTGCTTTAAATTATTTATAATATTTTTCGTTTCCCAGACCCATGCTAAATGCATAATAGTCACATATGTTAACTGCTTAATTAGTAATTGTACTGCATAGAGCAAACATTTCACATATTCATATTAATTTATTGTAATAAAATAATTCACTCATTTGACATTTCTACTTAACTGATTCCCGTCAAATGATTCCAATATTTCTCAATCTTTTTCTCCTCCTGCCTATCTATTGTACTGAATCTCAATTTGATAAGCTATATTTTAGGAGTGATGTATGTAACAACCAACAAAAACTTCCAGGAATATATCCTTGTTATAAATCAACTTGCGTTGATATAGGATGCGGTAAGAGGTTGGTTCTCTCTCTCTCTCTCTTTGCTATTATTTTCTATCCATTTTTCCTTTACGTTGTATCTTATGTTTTCCATCTCAACTATAGCTCTCAATTCTGCTCTTGCGACATTGATTGTATATACGGCTATAGATGTTGCATAGATTTCAATCAAACTTGTCCAAATATATCAAGAACTGCCTACTCAAATGAAAATAAGAAATATCTTAATGTAACAGAATGTTATGAAACCGAAAGAAAACATTTTCCAATGGTAACAAAATGCTCCAATCTAATTAATTGTCCCTCTCATAGAAAAATTATTGATTATATACCAGTTGTCTATAATTTTACAAGACCATTACTTTTTTTGAATTATGATTGCGCCCTTTGCAATGGAATTAAGGATATTGATTTATTAGAATTTAAAATTGAACTCTTTAATCGAAAGGAAATTAGAAATCGAAATTACTCTTGGTCAGATTTGAATTTTCTCTTTAAAAATAAACTTAAGGATATCAGTTTTAATATATACTTTCCAGAAATAACTCAATGCAGAACTAGAATGGAATGTTTAAATTGTTCAAATAATAGATTAAAGGATTCTTGCGGAACATTTCAAATGCTTATCTCTCATCGAAAGCATGTTTTTAGAAATCCGTATTGTTTTATATGCCAAAGTCTTCAACCTATATTTGCTTTGGCAGATTGCGATTTAAGTGAAATTTTACCTTCTAGTCCTACTCTAGGGTTCAGATATGACTTTATGTTTAACATTCTATTGAATTCTGATAGTAAGGAATGCGATGATGGTGAAATCTTCTTTGAAATTGACAACGATTGCAAATACGTTATATCTAAAATTGCCTTAATTGATAAGATAATACCTAAAATTTGTCTTCTCCAAGTTAGTACTGTTAGTGAAGAGTATACGGATTATTGTAGTTCTTTGAATAATAATGAAAATGATAGAAAAATCATATTTGAATATGTAGAAAATGAAATTAAGAATGAGATAATTTCATTTAAACATTTCACATTTCATTTCAAGAATTTTACTTCTGATTCAACGTCCTATTGTTCTCTTCACGTCAAGATTTACGTTGATCAAGGACTGTTAAAATTCTGTCGTGGTTATTACACATCATATGACGATATTATTGAACTAAGCCATGTTAATATTACTTTGAGCATTTCTCCTGTTGTGTCCGAAGATGACGAAATGAGAAAAAAACTAGAAGAGACAATGTGCTCTGAATACGTAGAATATAAGGATAGGCAATTGACTTCGCAGTATAATCAGTCGTTTTATGCCAGTAATAATACTTATGTCTGCAAGTCTGAAGTATTAGACAAAATACGAAGAGATGCAAAAGAGAATGACAATAAATTTGATTATTTAACGATTATTGGATTGTGTTGCTTGATTTTATCCGAACTTGCTCTCATATTTTTCTTAATAGCTTCTATTTATAAACGTTCCATTCAGAAGAGAGGAAGTGGGCTACAATGGAACTTAGCTTTGGCTCTATTTTTATGGTTGTTTTGCACTATATGTTCAGTATTCGTTCGTGACTGGAAATTACTTTGTCAAATAGTTGCCTCATCCGGTCACCTATTGCTTCTGTCAGTAATAGTTTGGCAGAATGTCATTGCGGTCGATTTGTTTTTAAATTTTAGAGAAAAATCATTACTACAAAAGAGTTGGTTTAGTTCATGCAAAGTTTGGAAAATAGCAATTTTCGTTTACCTCTTTTCCTTCTTATTTGTTGCGGCGGGAATTCTTTTACATAACCTTGATTTAAAAGGAAAAGGAAAGGTATTCTACGGCAGTGAAAGTAGAGGAAATTGCTGGATTAGTGGATTTACGGGGCAAATAGGCCTAGTTATTATACCTTTTTTCACAATATGGACAATCAATTGCATTCTCTTGGGAATAACTATTTTTAATATGAATAAATTATTTAAAAACTCACCTGGAGCAAAGGTGAAAAATAGCAAGGAGATAATGATATATGTAAAACTATCTATACTTTTAGGGTTGTCATGGATACTTAGCTTTTTAAGTTCTTTGATCAATCACGATGTAATAATATTTTGTAATATTATAATTAATTCTCTACAAGGCGTTTGGTTGGTAGTATCAGTATATAGTTTTAAAACTTCGTCTACATCAAGAAATCCATCTACAACATATACTATCAAATAAGCTTCTTCTAGGAAGAATGATTCGATTTCTATACATTAACACTAATGCCTTTCCAGCTGAACTGATATACAAAAAAAAGTCTATTCTTAAGCGTTAATTACTATAAGAGAAATTATTAAAAATATTGATAACCCTTTTTGATGGTTAAACCGGGTTATCTTTTGGAGATGGATACGTTTAAACTAAATTAAAATAACGAGAAATATTGATGAAATACCCTACGTATTCCAATAGGATTTCTGGTGACAACAGATTGGCTATTAATATGTTGTTTTATATATACAGTATGCACTATATATTCACATTTTTTTAATATTTCTTTCACTTTGTAACACTTTTAATAAAAGAAAAACCCTTAACAAGCTTTATTGTTAAAAAGTGAATAGAGTAATTTAGATGCCAGCATAAATTATTTTCAAACATTTCAAACCAGCGTTATTGAAATTAGTCACATACATCTTCATAAATTATAGCGTCTTTTTAGTCTATATCGCAAATCATGCTACACTTGGCTAGTAAATTAATCTTTTACTTCTCTCTATATTTACGAGTAAAGTTTGGCTATGTTTACGCTTTTAACGATTCGTTGGATGGTTCAAGACAATATTCTCCATCAGACCATGACAACTATTTAGGTAATGATAATCAGCAGTGTTTAGATCATACTATACTTCATTATGAATGCGGTTTTCGTTCCTGTCAATTTGTATTTTGCGGTAAGAAGTTGTAAGTAATGTAACTTTTTCTTGCTTTATATAATATCCTTCGCTGTGTTTTTCCCAGTCCAAGTGACCAGGCATGTGCTTGCGATAAATATTGTGAAAAGTTCAACGATTGTTGTTTCGATGCGCATAAATACTGCAATAAAGAATCTGATAGTTTCGACTACGAACGATATTTTGAAATATATAAAGATCGTTATACGTGCGAAAAGATTTCCGATTATAGTTACTGGATGGTTACAAAATGTTCCAATGGTGATGAATGCAGTTTGGATGCGAAAAGGCTTTTAGATGAAATTCCTGTTCTGGGAAATGAAATGGATATTTTACCTTATAGAAATGATAAATGTGCTTTTTGTAATAGTGTTTTTAACATAACACCTTTTAATTTTGAAGCTTTTGTTGAATACGATAATGAAGCCGAACCTCGGCCGAATTATACTTTGGACGATATTAAATATTTATATAGCTCCAAGTTAGCAAAAGTTAATTTAGTTATAGAAGCGAAGGGCGATGTTAAACAGTGCATTAAAGATCTCATTGATACATGTCCTAGCAATTGTCCAAACCTGGCTTGGTATATTCTATGCAGATCTTACCATTCAGTTGTACAGTTTAACGATAGTGGAATAATAAGATACTATAAGAATAAGTATTGTTATTTTTGCAACAATGGAGAAGACTCCCATTACGGATGTTTGTCTGGTTTTAGCATTACAGACAAATTTTTAAAAACCTACAGATACAATTTTCTCTTTGAAGAGATCAAAAGAGAAAATGATAATAGAGAAAACAGCGATAGCAGCGAAACTTGTCCAGAAAATTATGCTTATATATCTGCTGATAAGGCTTGTCGGAAAATTATAAAGAAACATGCACTTTACGATTTACTAAAACCGAATATTTGTTCTTTTACAATAACTTTTCAATTGAATTTAACAAAATTGGAATCGATTTCGAAAGAAAATCTCCAAAATCAATTTGATATCTTAATTCAAGATACTTTTTTAGAAATATCAACATTATTGAATGATTTAAAAATAACTTTAAAACCAGTAAAATCTACTGAAAACTGTTATGATATTGCTGACAATTTCTATACAAATGGGAATAATACAACAAACTGTACTAGCTATTTAATAATTCCAAGATATCTTGAATGCAACAATTCAATTCTTATTAACATTTCGGAAACTATTAATAGCAGTACCACATCTTTAAGCAATATTAGAGAGGTGAAAAATAAACTGCAAAAGTACACAATAACTTTGGGTATGATGTGCGAAAATTACATAGAATTTATAGGTGACAAACCTAAATATTTATCAAAATCATTCAATCAATTTACAAAGGATAATACTACATACTTCTGTAGAGAAGAGTTAACTTTTCCGTCAATGACGGTAGAAGAAAATGATGACAGTAAAATAGATATTGTCGGTCTATTCGGTTTAGTTTGCAACTCTTTATCATTAGTTTCATTGCTTGTGCGATTGATTGTTCCTTGCTTTCTACCGAAATTAAGAACAAAAGGTATGTGGATTCAATGGAATTTGGCATTGGCTATATTTATTTGGCAAACTTCAATTCTCCTTTCTCCCCTATTAACATCGTGGATTTGGGTTTGTCGTTCTATTGCAGTTTTGGGTCATCTTTCAATGATTTCTTCAATGTCTTGGCAAAGTATCTTAGCTATTGATATGTTCTTTAAGTTTCGCGAAAAAAGTATGATAGATTTATCAAAATTCTCCGATCTACAAGTGTGGAAGTTTTTTCTCTTAGCATGGGGATTAGCTTGTCTACCAGTTATCGTTAGCATTACTCTTGCAATAACAAAACCGGAAGATGCTATTTATGGAATTGATCAAAATAAAAGTGAATATAAAGATAGATGCTGGATTTATGGATTTTTTGGTCAGGTCATTCTATTAATTTTACCAATCGTTATACTATTATTAATAAATACGGGCATGTTAGTAACGACAATACGTAATTTGCATATAATGCTAAAGAATTCACCGGCAAATTCAAAAACATCAATGAAATCGCAAGTCATAATATTTACTAAACTATCAATCTTTTTTGGAATCTCTTGGTTTGCAATGTTCATTTCGGCCTATGTAGATCACGATGCGATAACAATTGTTAACATATTAGCTAACGTATGCATTGGAATATGGCTATCCATGACGGCATTGGTAAGTAGAGACGTTTGGAAGAGGAAAATGAGCGCTTCTGAAACATATCTGTCAGATAGGCAAAGTAAGAGGCCAAGAAGCCAATCGTAATATGACATAATCTACTTTTATTCCGTTTGAATTATTCAACATTTACTGTTAATGTTGTGCTTTCAATAAATCATTTTTTAATGTTTACTTTAACTTCAAATTTAGAGCAAATACAATTTAATGAGAAATTGTCTCTTTGTTCATAAGTCTATAAATTAATAAAACGCTTTCTAAAAATAACTCAACATATAATATAAACGAATACGCAAACTTGAGCTTGTAAGAGAACTACTCTGTACCATTAAAGTTATTAATAAATAACAGATGGCGCTTTTCAATACAACAATAGCAGACCCATTGTATCAAGGGGTCAATTTGTATTAGAAATATTCAACAGCAAGAAAAGAGGACCAGAAAGTAGTTGATTGTGTTGAGAAAATTGAAACACAAAATCAAAATTGTAACTTCAAGGTAAAACTTACAGGCCAACTTTTTTATTAATGAACTTCCGACGTTGTTGTTTATCACTTGTTGTTTGTACTCAAATACCTATCAATTGTTTATTAATGACATATGTACCACTTGCTACAATATTAATTAATATTAATAAATGCAGTAACAGCTTTACTATATAAAGAGTTTGGTTAATAGTACTAAAATAAACTCAAAAGTATGACGAATGAGAGACGATCAAGCTCGTCCGTAATATCTTTGGTTCTACTCTCCGTAGTTCTCTGCCTAAATAAAGTAAATGGTATACCGTTTGGTGACAGCTGCTCTCAAACAGTTTTACCTCAGAATGTACCTTTGTGCCAGACATGTGAACTTTTGGGATGTGGGCATAGGTAAAAACATAAATCTATTTTTATTTAATATATAAGTATTATGTATATTGAAAGTTTCCTTTGTTAATGTTCATAGCGATAATCACTGCTCTTGCCAAGAAAGTTGTCATGTAAGCCAAAATTGTTGTCCTGATTTTCAACAATCCTGCCCAAATCTGTATAGAAAGAGTCTCGTATATAAAACCTTAAAAAATACCATGGAATGTAAATATTACAACGACTCAGCTGATAGTTTACTTGTTATTTCAAGATGTAGCAATGGAGATAGTTGTGAGTTTGGTAATGGAAGTCTACTTGATCATATTCCGATGATTCATAATTCAAGTTCTCTTTTATTCAAAAATATTCGTTGTGCTCTTTGTAACGGGTTTCATAATGTTAAACCTATAGATTATACAATTCATTTAAAGGGCAATTGGGATAATATAAAATCTCCTAGTATTGGTTTTAGAGATTTGGAAAAATTGATAAAAACTTACCATATCAATTACAGTGTAGAATTGAACTTTTCCTCGAAATTGGAAACCTGTTTCCCCAATCTAATATCTACTTGCCCTAAAACTTGCACAAATCAAGAATTAATAAAGAAATGCCAGTCAATTCATACTATTGCTAATTGGGAGGCTTACTATTACAAGAATGCTTATTGCTTACTCTGTAACATACCTATGCCTCATGAAATTCTTCCGACTACCTGTAATTTGCCACCGCAGTCTAAATTCAACGTTTATTTAAATACTTTTAAGTATAATTTTTTATTCAGTGATCTGTTAAATCTTGGAAAAGATGAAAATTCAATAAACAGTAAAACTGCTGAGTGCACAAAAGATCAAATCTACGTTGAAAGCGAGAAAAAATGCTTAAATGTCGTTTCAAGGGAGGAAATTCTTCCTATGATTGACGTTGATGTTTGTAATGTAGAAATATTTCTTCATATAGTCGACAACGTCCTTTGTCGTAGTATGACACCGGAAGTATTTCAGCAGATAGCTAACTCAACTATTGAGGGTTTTGTGGAGAAGATGAACATGTTGAAGATTGCCAAAAATCCCTTGATGCCATCTGATATTTGTCAACTGAAGAACTCACTTTATAGACAATGCGAGTACAAATGTCGAATGATTGTAGTGAAAGGTTCTGGAAGCGAATGTCAAGCAAATAAACTGGCATTAGAATTTCATACATTCCCAAAAGTAAACCGATATGTCTCTCGCAATCATCCACCTCTACCTAACGGAAGAGTTATTGCAAATTTTGTTCCACTTTCTCCAATTGTTCTATACAATTTAAAACGCGATCAATTATGCAAAACATACATTGAATTCAATTCAACTTCGCCATTAGTATCACTGGCACATAAAGTTGTTCATTTTAATAATTATTCCTATATTTGTAAAGAAGAAGTCGCCAATTTAACTTTAAACTTGAAAGATGAGAGAAAAAAGGAAGTTATTTCTGAGGCAATTGATATCTTTGGATTAGTGTGTACTTCTTTATCATTATTAGCTCTCCTTTTTAGACTAATAGCTCCAGCAATTCTTCCTGCATTAAGAACAAGAGGACTATGGTTCCAATGGAATTTAGTTTTTGCATTACTTATATGGCAATGGTGTATCTTCCTATCTCCTTTTCTTTACGAATACTTATGGGTTTGTAGGATATTAGCAGTGTTTGGTCATCTAAGTATCCTAAGTTCAATTGGATGGCAAGCTGTTCTTGCAACTGATATCTTTTTTAAGTGTCGAGAACAATCCTTACTAAGTAACAACATATTTACTAGAGCAAAAGTATCAACTGTTTTCGCAACAGTATGGTCTGTCAGCTCTGTCCCAGTCATAATATCAATCATGATAGATACTGCAAACCTGAAAAATTATGGAAAAGCGTTATATGGAAGTGACTCATCCGACTCGATAGAAACTATGGCAGATGGTAATCAATGTTGGATATATGGATTTACTGGACAATTTATGCTTTTATTTCTACCATTCGCTATAGTGCTACTTTTCAACATAATTATATTAGCTTTATCAATACGAAATCTACATGTACTGACATTAAAATCTCCATCATCGAAAAAGACTAATTCAAAGAGAGAGATAATAATATACGGCAAATTAACTATATTGTTCGGTGCAACATGGATTTTTATGATTTTAGCATCATTTATCAAACATGAGGTTATCTTAGTATTGAATATCGTATCAAACGCATGTATAGGTATATGGATTGGTTTGGCCGCTCTATCTAGAAAGAAATATTGGCAAGGCATGTTTAAAAGACAGTCAGATACTAGCAAAACGAATCCATCGAATACAGCAAATAGATGAATAATATCGTCAAAAAACTCTGAACTTAAATATGTTAATTATGATAAGGTTGAATTGTTTAAGTATGTTTATTAATTTGTTTATGAGTGCAGATGAATAACTTGTTTTTGTACACCATCTATTGAATAATATACGATAAATGAAAGTGTGTAGTTACTTTACTATACGATAAATAATCTAGTTATATCTTTTACATCGCACGACTAGTTGGACATTGCAATTTTACTTGTCTTTCAGAGCTGGAGGAGCTTCCTTCTTCTTTCCGGAAATGACCTATTTTCATTGTAGCTAACGCCAACCAAAGCCCTTGACATGAGTTGACAAATATATTCAAAAGAGTTACGATGTCGTTACGTATATAAGAGCTAAGTAATACAAGTATCCAAGATCCTCCGAATAAAATAGACAATTTTGTATAGATAATAATTTCCTTCCTACTCTTTTTCACATGATCAGGTGAGTTCTTTAGAAGATAATGTAAGTTAAAAGTTGTTGCTGTCAACAGAATGCTATTTATAGACCAGAGTAAGAAAAATGGTATAAGCAGGAGTATAATTTTCCCCGCAAAACCATGAATCCAACATATATTTCTGTTATTGTTTAAGCCGTAAAAAGCTTCGCCTTTTCCTTTCAGTTGTAGTGTTTCTAACACTAGTGCTATTGTGACCGGAATGCATGGAGCCAACCAAATTGCGATAAATATCTTCCATAGTTTCATATTAGAGTACTTATAAGAATCAATCAGCGTTTTATCTCTAAATTTTAAGTACATATCAATAGCAATGAAGCTTTGCCACGTGATAGTTGCTAGCAAAGATAAATGACCGGAAAGAGCAATTAATCGGCAAGGCCATAACCAGGAGCTCACTAGAGGAGAACAAATTAGACAAGTGAGCCATAAAAATAGTGCTAAAGCTAAGTTCCATTGTAGCCAATTTGCTCTCTTTCTCAAAGCTGCACAGTAAGCAGGAGCAATTAAGCGTACTAGTAAAGCAAATACTGATAAACTGAGACAAATTATCCCGATGACATCAATATAATTACCTTTTGAAATATTATCTACTTTGTTATCCGCTTCATAGATTTCAACGTCCTCTTTGCAAGCATAAGAAACATTATGGATACTAATAGTTCTATTCGATTCAAAAGGGGGGTCATCAATGTATTCAACATAATCATCACACGTAACTTCATTAAATTGATGTAAATTGTTTGAAGCAACTCCAGTTTTTATATGTATTACAGATTGATAAGTACCATTTTCGTGACTGTTTTGCGTTATAATATTTGAAATTTTCCTCCAATTAGGAACGTAAAAGGATATTTCACACACACCTTCACAATATAATTTAAAATCGTTTGTATATGAATTGTAGCATTTGTTACGATAATCTTCAACATAACCTAAATAATTCAATTGTTCCAGTGAACTTTCAATATCGTTTAGTCCAGTTTCAATCATTTTATTAGTATAGTTTACCAGTAAATTTCGACAATTTCCTCTCTCATATTTCATGCGTAATTTCAGATAAACACGTATAGATTTCACCTTTTCCAGTATGAAATATTTTGAGAGGACACTTCTACATTTATCAGTTTCTTTGAAGTATATTTCTCCATCATCACATTTCCCCGTCTCAGGCTCCTTAAGTTGAAACAAAAAGCTATAACGAAAATTCATAACTCCAAGGTCCTTATCACTGTGACTATATCTCCGTCTAATTTGACAACTTAAGGAATAATTCAGCATATTTTGACACTTCTTACAATAGTCATTTTTATATACTATATTATTGTAAATCACTATTGATTGAATTTCTTTACACTTTCTGACTAATTGATCATTAGCACAATTTTCCGGACACGAACTGATAATATTCTGATAGCAGTTTGAAAATTGAAGACTTAAATTAACTCTAACTTTTAATTTATGGAGGTCATTCTTAAAAATATAATTTAGGTCGTTAAGTGTATAATTCGGTTGTTTGTTGCTAACTGAAAAGTATTCAACAGTGTAAATTATAAAACTCGTGACTGAATAGTTTTTAATTCCGTTACAAGCAGCGCAATCGCGATTTAGGAAGAGTACAGGTTTGATCAAGTTATATTCTACTGGAACAAGATCTGCAATTTTCCGATTGATTGGGCAATTTTGGAAATTGGAACATTTAGTTATTACAGGATAATATGATATTTTTCCATCATCAATTAATTTACATTCCATCTGATTCGCTAACTTTTTATTTTCTTCTGAATAAGTAATTTCGGATAAATTTGAACAGGTACTGTTGAAATCTTGACAACAAAAGTTGCTGTAAATGCAGTCAATGTCGCAAGAGCAAAGACTTGATCTAAATTTTTAATTTTTCACGATTACTATTAGAAAACTTCAATTAGATTTTAATTTTTTTCACTTGTACTTACTTTTTTCCGCAACCTATTTGTTTACAGCTATTATCAGTAAAACAGCTTCTAACCTGTGGCAAACTATCGCTCAAACAGTGAGGTGTTAATTCTCTAAAATGTTTATCATGGAGCAGAAATGATGAAGATAATTGAAGAATAATAATATTTTGCCAGAGAAATATCATGTTTTTCATAAACCGCATGGTTTAACTGACGCCTAAGGTTTCCATAATAATCATAATTTTTTTATAATATTGATAACAATTGCGCCACCTGTTGGTGTCATTTTATTTATCTGCCTGTAAATGGTGTTTATAAACCCTAACTCTACTTCTTATAAATGTAATCAAATGAAAAAATGTATCATCCGGCCAATTAAACTGTTTTTGTTCCCCCTTTTCCTTAATAGGGGATTCAGAACAAAGAAAAGATAATATCCTTCACTTTTCTTTGAAGTTTAGTCATTATATCTTTTCATGGAATTTAGAGAACTTTTATTGTCTCCAGACTCTAACACCCTATATAACTTTCAGAATGTCTCTAAAATAAGGTACAAGTTTATTAATAGATAAGCTTAACAAACATTGCTATAGTAATAATACTACAAATAAACAAAGCTCTAACTAAAGAGTAAATAGTTTAAAAAATACAGAATTTTTAATATTTTTTTTGAAATCTTAATCAAAAATAATTATACACAAACTAAATTAACATTAAATATTATATAATAGGCAATACTTCAAAACAAAATAGCGTTGAAAAAATGAATGCCTTACAATAAGTTATTGATTTTAATCATTTAAAATACATTAAAATATAATCGTAGGCATTTTTTCAACTGTAAAATAAAATACAACGATCAAAAGTTAAGCAAGATAAAGTTAGCAAAATATCTTAATATATACATATCTTTATAATATATTTATATATTATACATGACATATATCATACAGATATAGAATACAAATGTTAGCTTCTTTAAGAATTTATAAAAATATCTGTAAAATAGCTTTTAAATTAATTACTTATGGAACAAATATGGTCTTTTTCTCGTGAAGCTAATTCTAACAAAAAAAAGACCGTTCCAAAAAAAATTAAACTAAAACTACGTCTTAACAAAACTAAACTACATCTGTAACAAACTACAAATGACTTATTTTAATGATAAATTAGAAAATTTTGAGAGAATTGGTCCAAGCTTAGGTTTATGCTTGCTATCACGAATCAGAGGCTGATGATGTACGTAGCCGGGTCCGGAATGCTTTAGTTTCCAACACAGAGTACAATAATACTGATAGCAAGTAAAATCTTTGCAGAAGAATGGCCCAACTTCGCTCTTACATATGTAGCAGAGAGAATCTTCAAGTTGAGGTGTTACTTGGACCGTCTTACGAAAATCGGGAGTCTCAATATCGATAAATTCTTGCATTATAGCAGTAAAATAGCCTTCAAAAATGATAATTATTACTTTATATGATAATCTATCATATATATATATAATAAAAAACAAAAACGAAACATAATTTACTGCCGCAACTTATGCTATATCATACCCGTCCAAGATAACCGTTTGTAACTGTTATGTTTGATTACTTTATTGTTTATAAATAATGATTTCTGGCTTTCTTATGATAATATAAATGTTTGTATTACTTGTTTCTTTTCAATTTTGCTGATGTATGGGAATAATCTACTTTATTCTCAGCTCTTGATATGGAAGATATAAAATTAACAGCTTACCTTGACTGTCTGAAAAAGCTACACGACCAGATCCAATCGGGTACTTGTACTTGTCCACGTCTATCGTAACCATCACTATCGGTCCAAAGTAGCTAAACACTTCCGCTATAAACTTGGCTGTCATTTTCCCGTGTAAACCTCCGATAAATACCACTTTCTTATTATCTAATAGTGTCATGTTGGTTGCGGGCACGTAATGCGAATTATTTATTTCCCATGGAATAACTTGAACAATATGGGTGCCGATCCGGGTATAAAATTCACCAACGCTATTAATGACACACGTGGTCAGCAAACCCTTAACACACTGATTGGACTCATAAATAACATAAAAAAAACTGCTTTTCTCGTTAGCCTTTTTTTTTTCTATGGTGAAATTGCCGTATTTACCGAAAGCGTTCAAAATTTCAGTATCACTTATACCCGGCGGTGCTCCCCCGACAAAGACTTTTTGACTAAACATACCAGATATATTAACAGTTGACAAGTTCTTATTAAAGAGCAGAGTTGTTCGTTTCTTCAAATGCGAATTGGACATTCTACGGTTCTTTCTTGCCAACTGTGTCAGTTCATCATAATAAACTTTAGTGATCTGGTCGATAGAAAGAATGCTATGGGGAGCCGCCGAGTTAGACATACCTAAAAAAGAAAGATAAAGAAAAGATTTAGTAAATATATTCAAATTATAGAAATTATCGTCAATAATTAATTTCAAACTACTTAAAGAGGCTCCAATGTTAAAATTAAATGAAATTTCACAGCAGGTAGAATTAATTTTTTTGGCTGAGAGCCTCAAGTGCTAGGAGCCTTCATTAAGAAATTTAGTCAAAATCTTAAAAATAAAGTGTTTGCATTTACTTTAATTAGATATTCTTCAGAAAACGCATATAATTAATTAAGTGTGAAAAAAATTATCTAATTAGAGAAATATAAACGAAAAGACCATGTAGGCCATTTTTGTTTTTTGCCCTTTTCTTTAAACCATTTTTTTGCGCTTAAACTTAATATTTTTTCAACAAAATTTGGAAATTCTAAAACTTCTTTTATAAAGTTACAATTTACACCATAAACTTACTGAAAAGCTTTATGTTGAAACTGACAATATTGAAGAAGGAATAACGTTCGGAAGATTGCGAAGTGCGCTGCAGAGAACACGGAAAGACGCTACCGACCCCCGAAATTATAGCGTTAATTGTTTGAGATGAATAGGCAATTATGAATTAATTAGGGAAAACAATATGGCGGAATTATTGAAATTAATTTAAGGTCATTCCTGATAACTACTCATACATGTTATACAATTCTATGTAACACTCTAAAGGAACTATATCCGGTTTTCAAAAGCGGGCTTTTTTTATAACTTCCAATAGGCCACGTGATTATGAAATTAACTGTTTTTCCCCCATTAAGTCACATGACCATATTCTATTATCGACTAAGCAAGCAGAGCTACTTGTGATGTGATTGGTGAAGTTGAGGAATTACTAAAGGTAAGTGCTTAATAAATTTTAAACTTCGAAAAACAACAATCCCTTTATAGGTAAAATAGTTATTATCATTTGAAAGTTTCCTGCTTCCCCTGCGTTTTATTTAATGAGAATGTTTGTACCGCCTATTAATTTCCTTATTGTTATTTAAAAAGAAGCATTTTAATGATACGCTATTAACAAATGAAAATTTTCTTGTTAAAGCTGTTTCTTGGCTTTTCAAAGTATGACTTCAGAAAGAGATATGTTTAATACAGAAAGAGTATTATATTGCACTGAAGATTATATCCAATTATCTTGTTTACTTTTATACATGATACAGTTTAGATAATGAAAAGAGAATACTTCTTATGTCATTTAATTACGTAATTATAAAATGATATGAGCGTTTTTGAAAAGCAGCTTTTTTTTGTTTGAGAAAGTTTACTTGATACTTATAAATTTGGTCTGTATATATTCATCAGCGCGAGAAAATATTTCCGTTTCCTTACAGCGGAACTCGAACCACTTTTTATAAGACAGCAAACATGGTGGACAAACGGCGCCACTGCAGCTGTCTATTTTAGAACATGATCGAAGTAAAATGCAGGTGTTTGTCAATTTATAAATGGATATCAAATGCAGTCGGGTATGTCTGCTAAAGCATCTTTTTAACCTCATTCATTCTCTTATTTATTCCTAAAATTGACTTGACATTAATAGTTTGCAATCGTTATTTCCACTAATAAATTCATATTTTTATGATTTATATTTCGTCTTATTTTCATAATGGACATTTATTATGATACTTCACTGAGATTTATAGTCAAATAACAAACTATGTAAAAGAACTTAACATAAATAAATACCTCACTCGAATAATCAATTAAGTTCTGCTAGTTCGATTGATTCAAAAAAAAAGAAGAGAAAAGGGAAATGTGATATTTAAATTAGCATTTGCTAGCGAGACGTAGCTTTATTGAACTATTTGAATTATAACAACTAAAAATAAACCATCCAGAGAACATATCTTTAATAATTCAATAATATCAGATGTGAGAAGAAACTGAATAAATTTGTTTGACTACGTGTGACTGACATACACTCTATTTAAAGTACATTTTCGCAAGCGATAGACAACAGAGTTCTCTTTTTACAATGAAGTTTTCACTGATCGTTCATTTATTATAGGATCTTTCTTGGTAGAGGTTTAAAAAGGTAATTTTAAATATTCCTTGAGAAATATTGCTTCACTTTAGTATCCTTGTATAGCTACAGCAGAATACAATTAATTCTTTACTGAGAGATGAGCTTTCTAAGGTATTCTGACAGCATATGCTTTTGATTATATAGTTGATCTACAAGTGGCATAATTAGATAAGATAACAGATTAAATCAGATAATGAGTAAACTCGAAGATTATTCTCTGTAAATTAAATAAGTATAATTAACTAATAATTCAAATACTTTTATGAAACATTTGAGGAGAGAATGGAAAGACTTCACCTCTATCACGAACGCCATGGAAAGAGATCATTACGTTTACTGGGTAATGTCCATGGTTATTTTGAATATATTTCTTTTAATGTACAATTTCGAAAAGGAACGACAGATGTTCGTAGCGGAATATTGAACTACTTTTTTTTCCATAAAGCTTTGTTAAATTCAACCTGTTTCACAACACATTGCATTCATATTCCACTAACGTTATATATCTACCCCTCCCTTCCCTCTCCTCTTTTAACCTTATATCCCGTCTGCTTTTGCTGTCATGCCCAAATGTATTTGGAAAATCGTAGGTAAATCTATGCCTCATTATTGACTTTGTCATTTTTGCAGCGGAAAAGTTTATCAACAAGCAGTTTACTGACAAAGCAAGACTAATAGTATCAAGCAATGTATGGATGAATCAAATACCAACCAAAGAGTGTGACGTTCTAATCACATTTCCCAAGTCAGCTCAGGAGGAGACGGTTAAGTGGTTATTGCAATGTTTTAGAGGTCGAGTTCCCGAGCTTATTGTTCGAGTGAGATATCACAACAACACTAAAATTTGGGGATTGTATTTTACAACCAACAATAGAAGGTAAGTTGCTTTATTGTAAATAGTAATGCTTTATCATTGTGTACTACTTTTCCGAAAACAGCTTATTAAGAGGAGCAGAAATTCACGGCTTAATAAAAGAGGTAAAAGTCGAATTTGGTGGAGGAAAAAGAGAATTCACAGTCGATGAGAAAGAAATATTCCTGCATAATGACGATATCGATAGGCTTTTAACAAGCGAAGAACGCCAATGCATAGTTCGATCAATGATTGATAATTTAAGAGCATTAAAAAATGAAACATGTGGAAATATAAAATTTCTTCAGGGTCAAGCTATAGGTAAGCTACACAGATTTTCTTCTCTATACCTGCCCTAAATGAAAAATAACTTAACTACTTTACTTCGGCTGCAATGTTTACTAAGCATTGTATGCATTTGTCACGTCAATCAAAAGATTAATCCGATATCTATCTTTTTTTAAATGACATTTAACAAGTTGTATTAAGCGTAAGCAAAATATAATTTTTTTTAGTTCCACTTTTGGAGTCAAAAGGAATTATACAGCACGTGCTTCCCATTCATGATTCCAAGGATTTATCATTTTTGAAAAATGCATGGGTAAAGAAATTCTGGAAGAACCAACCCCTAAGTAATGCTTTAAAATTAATAATTATAGTCTTTAAATTTTACATTAATTAAATAGATAAAATAGCTGAATACTTTGGCATTAAGATTGGAATGTATTTTGCCTACCTTGGACATTATACTAAAGCTTTATTATTACCTACAATAATTGGTATCATTATTTGGGCAATTGCTGGAAAAGAACAGAAAATAGATGATCTTTTATTTGTTATATTCGCTTTCATCAATGTTGTTTGGTCGACACTCTACTTAGAGCATTGGAAAAGGTACGTTTGAATTTATATAATCATTAAAGATGCCAAAATAGACATATAAAGTTTTTTTGTAGACGTAGTTCAGAAATTGCCTATGAATGGGGAACTTTAGATAAAGAGGACGATTTATTAGTAGAACCAAGACCTTTATATAAAGTAAGATTTAAATGTAATTTCAATATTTTAAATAGTCAATTCTATAATTCTTTGTTATAACAAAGCTTAATCACTCTGTTTGAGTTTATTTTTGTTCGAACCACTTATACAATCAATAATTCCTCCATAATAGGGAAATCTGATCCAGAATCCCGTTACGAATAGGACAGAGAGGCATTACCCAGCATGGAAGCGCAATCTCTTTCGTTATTTTGTGACGGTACCCGTAATTTGCATTTCTCTTGGAGTCGTGTTTGGAGTTATGCTGTTAATATTTATGGTAAATATGAGTATTATTCTTATTCCAATTTCTGGCATTCTCGATCAATAAGCTATAAAAAAAACAAAAAATTAATCAAATCCTCTGAACTATGCTATATTTCTTAAATAATTTAGCTTATTTTCAATGCTGTTTTTAGGTTCAAGATTGGATTAATCTCAAAATTTCCAAAGGATTTTTGCCTTCTTTTACCAAGTTTCTTCCTAAAGTTGCTTTAGCCCTTTCAATAGGAATTTTGGATAATGCTTATAAAAAAATTGCAGTGTGGTTAAATAACAAAGAAAATCATCGATTGGACGATGAACACGAAAACCATTTGATTATAAAGCTTATATTGGTTTGTTATATATGAACCTTTGATCTTTTTGAAAGAGCTTTTTTTCTCTATTCCAACAGTTTCAATTTGTCAATTCATTCCTTTCTCTTTTCTATATTGCATTCTACCTTCAAGATATGAATCGTCTAAGAGAGCAATTGGCCGCTTTGCTTATAACTCGTCAAGTAATTGGAAACATTAAAGAGGCTCTCTTACCTTATGTAAAAAATCGTATAAAACTGTTTAGGATTGGATATGAAATGACCTCTGATATTAGTCCAAATACGTTGACAAAGCAAGCGACGGAAATTAAAGAGAAAATAGTTTCTAGAGTTGAAACTGAGATCAGACACAGAAAACCAGAAAAACTAGAGAACGTTAAGCCTGAAAGTTCGGTGGAATATTCCGGTCCAACCCTGTCTCAAGCAGAGATCGAAGCTAGCATGGAAAAGGTATTAATAAAAATTAAATAAAAAGTTCATATTGAATTTCACTCTAGCCTATCACTTTAGTATGAAGATACTTTTGAAGATTATTTAGAAATGTTTATACAATTTGGGTATGTGGTTTTGTTTTCTTCGGCTTTTCCTCTAGCGGCACTGTGTGCCTTCCTAAATAATGTTATTGAGATACGATCGGATGCCTTTAAGCTCTGTCATACCTTTCAAAGACCATTTGGCCAACGAGTTCAAAATATAGGAACATGGCAGGTTTGAAATTATTAATTTGTATAAAAATTTTGAATATAAAGTTAACTTTTCGTAATAGGATGCTCTGGAAGTGATGAGTGTAACAGCCGTGATAATAAATTGTGCTCTTATTGGGAACTCTGGCTTGGCTCACAGACTCTTTCCTAATTTTGGTACAACCGAAATGATTGTTCTTATAGTTGCTTTGGAGGTAAGAATCTTAAAGATTAACATATAGGGAAGTGATTATTACGTAAAACTTTTTTAGCATATCATTCTCGCATGCAAATTTCTTTTGGCTTATGCAATACCTGATATTCCGCATTGGATTGCCCAAGAAAAGGCTCGTCTGGAATTTTTGAGGAGAGGGGCTTTCAAAGTATGTAACTTCATTGTAAATCTGTCGTCTTAATGACATACCATTTTATAAATAGACTTTGGAAAGCAAGGTACAAAACCAATCATCTATTGATCACGGAAACTCACCCGTACATAATCAAGACTCCCCATTAGAAAATTGTGATAAATATTCAAAAAGATATGCCGAGAAGGACATTCAGTGAAAAGAGTGTAGTCATTTTGAAAATTATTTTAATCCTTAACCTTTACCTTCTAGTCTTCTAAAAGAATTAAAATTTAATTTAACTGCTCACCAAAACAAAATTTGCTATTTTCTCGTATTTTGTTATTTGTTCTAATAATACTTTTTCTTCTTTTTTTTCTCGCTTGAATACTCGTCGAGTAGTGCTTAATCACGTAAATCTGCATTAAAAAATTTACACTTTTCTCTGCTAATTACAGTAAGATATTAATTTTTTCGAATTGGTCAGTCTTTTAACTCTCTGGTCGTATTATTACATTTATTATAAATGATATGTAAGTTTTTTTTGTTAAATTTTCAAAAGTTATATAATTGTACAAAAAGAATCCTGCTTAAAGAAAAAAAACTTGTACAATTGTCGTTCACCGTCTCATTTTTTATTTAATAAAGAACATAAAATTTGCAATAAATAGTAAATTATTTTATTTAATTATGTGACTGTAACAGGTTTCCACAATAGTGCAGTAAATAAGCGTATAAAAAAATTGAAATTTTACTACTGTTACCGGTCATCAGGTTGAGCTCTGATTTGCGCATGTTATTCGTAGACACCAGTCAGACCACTGAACCATACTTTTACTTCACCGGTTCTATCAATTAGTCGATAAGTATCTATACTGTTGGTCAGCCCTTAGAACTAGAGTTTCGGATCAAACCATTTATTTATTATTGTAAATTTCTATAATTTCATAAGAAAAAAAATGGAAGTAACCAAAGAGGTGGAAGCAGGAGCAGCTTCAGCACAATCGATGGTATATTTTACAATTTATTCAATAGATTCCTAATTCGTATTTATGTTTTGTATATTAATACGAAAATGATTAAAGTATTCTGGTTCATGTCAGTAATTGACCACTCCTGCCTATAAAACAAGTTAATTAAGAGTTAATATAATCATTCTAGTTTTGATAGCAGTGTATTTCCCATGAGTAATTCGAATTTTTGTTGTGCCATATAGAGCATGACAATATATATTAAAAACATAAATCAATATTAAAGGGCTGAGAATTAGTCAAAAGGTTTAATAAATTAATTAATAAATAAACTTGATATTTACGTCACAATTTCTCGGCGAACATGGTTTGTTGTCCACAATGAAAATTTATTATGACACTAAGATTATAATAATAGTATGATTGTTTCGTAGTTGTATCACGTATATAACGCACGCATACAGGTGAGATCAAAGAATATACGTATTTTATATTTCAGGAACCAGATCCACCTCCAAGTTATGGCTCCACGCCACCAGCCTACGATGCAACTTATAACGATCCTCCACCCTCATATGATACAATATTTGGCAGAATGAAGGAGGCCAGGAATCAGTCTACATCTACTCTTCAATATGCTAAGAAATTTTTTCAAATTATAGTATCTACTGTGGCATTTACACTGATGCTTCTAGTTCTATTGGCTATACCTATATCGATGATTGTTATTGGATCGATATATAAGGGTGATTGCCCAAGAGAGAAATACATACCCATATATTTAATTGTGGCTGGTGCATTTGGTGTTTTAAAAAATATATCTTCTCTCTTTCAACGATGTAAAAATCGGAACGAAGAGAATGCTGAAGAAGCCAATAGTAAAACCAATCCTTTTGATAGTCTTATTGGGTGTTTCCTCTTTGGATGGTTCGTCGCCGGAAACGTTTGGATATATAAAATATACGATGATTTTGATGACAAAAATAAGGAGAGTGCCGACTACTGTAATCCCACTTTATATTACTTTTCCTTTTGGATAACAACGGCAGTTTACATATTTGCACTTTGCATGTGCTGCTCTATGTGTATTATTGGCGTTTGTGGAGCAATAATGGGAAATCGAGATAATAACAACCAATCACCTCACAGCGAAGAACCTTGATTAATCTAATATTATTATTTTACTATAGTATTTCTCTCAGTTTTAATTTAATTGGATTTTTAAATTACTTATCGATACAGCAAAAAAAATGAAAGGAAACGCTTTCTGTTGATTTATTTTTTTTTATTGTATTTTTGCTTTTTTAAAACCATCTGCATAGGTTAAAAGTACGTAGATAGATGTTAGAAGAAAATTCATAAAGAATATTTCTAACTGAAATTAATATTCCATCTACTGAATACGCGGATATGCATCAAGCATATATTAAATGTATATATAGATATATACTCAATGCATTTGTCGATGTACAATAGCTTTTGTTAAGAAATAAGTGAAGATTTTTCAATTTTTATCAACATTTATTGCACGCCTTATACTCCTTTTATATTCGTTCGCTTCTTTATATTTGTTTTTTAATTTGTAATGTTTCAATTAAGTTAGCTATGAACAAACAAGTATGTCTCAATTATTATTTCCTACATAACTATATTCTATAATAAATTGAAATGTTCTCTTAATTTACTTAATCTATTATTTTGATAAAAAAAATCTTATAGGATCACTATTTTATCAAATTTCGAGTTTATGCTAATACTTTCTTATCTTAGCCAGAATTTTAATCGAATTATTAATAGGTCAAATATATTAATATTTAATAACTACAATGAAAGAGAGTCTCTAAAATGAATAATGTTGCTATTTTAAAAGCTAAATGAATGAAATGATTGTTTTATCGTTAAAATAATAAAAAGCTATAGCCATCTCATTAGTTTACTGAATATTCATTTACATAATTAAACTTAATAGGGGATGTAGGTCGAAGGATATTTTATCACATGATTAATTAGCAGAGCTACATATATGAAATATTTATAAATATCTGAATTACAAAAACAACGCTTTGAAATTACTTCTTCAAAAATTTTGGGTCGGTTATAAGATCAATTGTTAAGATATAATCAAGAATATCGTTCTAGTATTTAGCCTCGTATCATACGGTGTAAAACTGCCGGCCATATTGAAAAGTCCAGAGTTAACTTTATGGTAGAAAAATGAATATTGTCTCTTTATCCACATTAGTAAAAAAAATTATGGTAATCGGTATAAACATTATCGATTACCCTGTTTCAAAAGAGTCATGTCATCAATAGAATGGGTTGTCCGGAATAATCGTCACGTGAGCTATCTATCTATCTTTGAATTTGAATGGATTAACAGATGGCATTAGCATTTGCTGTCTTTTTAGAGTTCAACGATTATATAATCAATCCTTTCCCTAACATGTTCTTGTCTAGTCCTCATGAAAAGCCAATGGGTGAACTGACGACTGACATCTTTTTTTATAAACTCTTATCCACGTGATATTGACTCACAGGTATTTTAGATATATTTATTATTCACTCTATACATTGAAATAAATTGAAATATTTAATATATTTGAACTAAGTAATGATTGGAGATATTTCGTTGGGCATTATTATGCAGTAAGACAACACTAATGTTATATTTCTTTATATATTTAACTGCAGCATCTTTATGTCAGTTCTTGATTGTAGGAGCTACTGCATAAAAATCCCCAAGAAACACATGCACATACTTGGCAGAAAAGTCTGTTAAACGCAAAATAGCACAACAACGATTTGACATGGTGTATCCTACGTCCAGCAAAACTGTAAATGCTTCTTTATACATTATATCTTAAATATCCCAATACAACACTTACTATAATTGTTCTAAAGTATGTGCACAATTCCCCGACGTAATATTAGGAGGATGATATAACATTTATTGTTTTGTGCTAAGGATCAGCGATACGATCAATCCGTAAAGACCAAGAACTTCAGCGAAGATCATAATAAGGATCATACCAACAAATAGACGTGGTTGTTGAGCCATACCTCGAACTCCAGCATCACCAACGATACCTATAGCGAATCCTGCTGCCAATCCACTAAGACCAACACTTAAACCTGCCCCTAAGTGTACAAACCCTTTAAAAAGCCTGTACTTTCCGTCATCTGCTAAATCCTTGGCTATAAGAACAGCAACAACTAAACCGTATATGGCGATAATACCAGCCATGACAACTGGAATGACCGATTTAATTATAAGTTCAGGTCTCATAACTGCCATTGCTGCTATTCCAGTTCCAGCTTTCGCTGTTCCGTAGGCGGCACCCAAAGCTAAAAACCAGATATTTATTAGAAAACAGATGGATATTTTTACGTTTCACTTTAAATTAATTATTTACCACTGAATACCATAGCTGCAGTAGCTCCCATTACTCCAAAAAATGGAGCATATACTGGACTTCCTTCACTGAAACCGTCCATTCTAATAGAGAGGAATGATTTTTGAATTAAAAGTTAAGATTACTCGTTTAGTCTTATGACCAAGATGGCGGAAAAATGCAAATCATGTGACTGACCAATAAGAAGCATACTATGATTGGCTTACATTATGTTTTCTAACCAATCACTATATAATTTACAGATATATTGGAAATCGGTTAATAATATGGGTTAAAAATTAATTTAATAAATTTTATTTTAATAGAGTTTATGAATTGTTTTTTTAAATATTGACGAAAATAATTTTAAACTATATCTGTAATATCGCTCAAAAAAATGTGCGCTGTCTGAATATTAAGTTATATCGATATAAAAATGAAGTTAAATTTTGAGGTTACTATTCAATTTATTCTTCTATTTGGTCAAGAAAGCTTTAATAAGATTATTGTTTTATCATGTGCAAATTAAAAGAGCTTTTCAAGTATAGAATTATCAATTATTATTTCCTAAGTAGTGAAAAAATATCGGTTTATAAAATGCTTGCTACAATAGGATCTCAATCTGAGCAAATCATTTAATGAACACTTTATTTTATAAATCATTAGCATCAATAAGTAGTCTTAGTAAAATATACATCTTTGCTCTTATTAACAAGCATTAACAGACTTCAGAAACTTTCAAAAATTAATAGTAAAATATGTTCATTTTAAATAGCTACAAAATGTCCTCGGTGCTGTCTACCGAAAAGGTGATCTACTGTTTGCTACTGATGGAGTCACCTTACTTGCTCCTGTTGGAAATCGACTAAATAGGATGAATTTACAAAAACATATATCCAGATCGATTGATACTAAATTAGAATTAAATATATCTGTTTTATGTCTTTCTCCTGATAATTCTATGCTACTTATTATTGATGAAGAGGGATCATGTGTTATTTTACATGCCGTTTCTCATACGTTACTTCATACACACCGATTTAATGGTCAAGTTTATTGTGCAAAATTTAGTCCAGACTCGAGAAAGTTAGCTGTTGCTAACGATAGCAACGTTTTAGTTTTTGATTCTCCAGCTAAAACAAGAACCTTGAATGCATTTTCTCAGCAACGTATATTATATGGAGCTCAAGATCATGTTGTTCATCTAGACTGGTCTACAGATTCAAGAGTTTTATTGGCTTCTTCTAAGGATATGAATACACGATTGTATGCCGCTTGCGATGCTCGTTTAAAACAGCTTGTCATACATTCACTTGCCTCTCAGAATGATTGCATTGTTGCTTCGTATTTTGAACCATCGTCCCTCGATTGTTTTAACATTGGTAAAAATGGTGTTATTTGTGTTTGGCAATGCGATACTGCATTGTCAGACTTGGAGGAAAAGAACGAAAATGATAATGATGAGGAAGATCAACCTGAAAAACTAAAATATAGGTTAATTTATAATATTGTTTAATCATCTATTAAATCTATTAAATATACCCTCCTTTTAAACAGGAGAGTCGGAAAATATAACTATAAAGATTCGTTAGAATCTGGAAGGGTTAGAGTAACTTGCGCTGTCTATCATAAAGATACTCATATTTTGGTAACTGGCTTTGATTCGGGAACTTTTACTGTACATGAAATGCCCGACTTTAAATTGATGCATTCCTTGAATATTAAAGAGGCTGGTCCAATTACAAGCTTAGCTTTTAATAATACTGGGGATTGGATAGCACTTGGAGCTGGAGAGAAAGGACAGTTAATAGTTTGGGAATGGAGGAGCGAAAGTTATATTTTAAAACAAGCTGGACATTTTCTAGCTGGTAAGTGCTCAATCAGAACGATGTCTTGAAGAGGTTATGCATTTCTTTTTTTTGTACAAAAGGTACCACAAGTGTAGCTTGGACGCCAGATGGTGTATACATCACAACTGGTGGAGATGATGGTAAAGTGAAAGTATGGACTGTGGGGTCTGGACATTGTTATGCAACATTCGACGAACATTCGTCTGTTGTTACTGGAGTTTCAACAGCAAAGAATGTCATTGTTAGTTCATCATTGGATGGTTCTGTGAGAGCCTTTGATTTACACCGCTTCCGCAACTTTAGAACTTTTACAACACCTGAACCCGTACAATTTTCTTGCGTCGATATTGATTCGTCAGCCGAATTAGTGTGTGCTGGATGTAATGATAATTTTGATGTATTTTTGTGGTCAGTTCAAACTGGTCGGCTTCTAGATACTTTATCCGGTCATGAGGCTCCTGTCTGCTCTATAGAATTTAAACCAGGTGGCGTAACGCTTGCAACGGGAAGTTGGGATAAAAAGACTAAGCTTTGGGGAGTTACTGAGGATTTTCGAGAGACAATCGATATAGGCAATGAAGTAACAGCAATTGCTTGGAAATTAGACGGCTCACAATTGGCTGTTGCAGATTTAAATGCCAAAATAACTTTTTGGGCTGCAGCGGAAGCCGAACAAGAAGGTATAATTAAAGCTTAAGCTGCTATATAATAAAATAATTGAATTAATATTTCTGTTTAAAGGTAACATCGATGGAAAGCCTTATCTTGGTTATGCCAGATCAAAGACTGATAAAATTAGTGGCAAGAAAGGAGCCGATTCAAAAATCTTTACTTCCCTAGTGTATTCTGCAGATGGTAGTTTGTTATTAGCGGCAGGGAATAGTCCGAATATTTGCCTATTTCATGTTGAACAAGAAGTTCTTGTAAAAACATTTATCGTAACTAAAAACCGAAGTCTGGACACTTTAAATGAATTCTTAGATCGTCGCAAGATGACAGAATGGGGTAGTTTGGCTCTTGTAGAAAAGAACGATGAAGGTAATGATGTATCTCTCAAATTACCTGGTGTAAGAAAGGGAGATTTTAGTGGGCGAAGAGCTTCACCCGATGTCAGAATATCTCAGGTTTCTTGGTCGAATACTGGACGACAGTTCGTTGCAGCATCAACCGATGGAATTATGGTATTCTCTCTCGATCAAGATAAAAATTTTAACCCTATTGATTTAGAAATAGAAATTACGCCAAACAAGGTTTATACCAATATTTAGAATATCTGTAGATACAAATTTATCAATATTTTTCATTTGTCTTCTATAGGTTTTCGAAAGTCTTAAATCGAAAGATTACTTTGCAGCTTTAACATACGCTTTAAAACTTCGAGAATCTTCAATTATTCGGGAAACCATTGAAAATGTACCTGTACCTAATATTGATGTAATTATTCAGCAGTTAACGATTGATCGAGTTGAAGATTTAATTCGGTGGATAACAGCCGAAATTGAAAAGACAAAACACGTTCATTTCTATGTTTTGTGGTGTAAAAAGCTTTTGTTTAAGCACGGCCAAACTCTTAAGTCTGTAATCGGGTCGAAAACGGGAGGAGAAACTCTATCTATTGACAGAGATTTAAATCGAGCTCTAAAGTCACTTTGGAATAAATTATCACCTATTGTTAATCACAATCGACATCTTTTTGACTACATACTAAATTGTAAAAAGGAAAATAGTAACACGGATAAGGTAGCTGAAAGGGAGGAAAAAATGGATGATTCGGATAATGAGGACGACGACGATGAAGACGAAGAAATACTTATGTCAGAAGTTTGCTGATTTTTGCGACCCGAACGCCTCCTTTGACTTTTGATTGTTATATAGACATATCTTGTTACTTCAGTTTACGAATAAGACTATTGTTCTTTTTGATAATGTAAATGCAATGTATGAAGACGATATTTAAAATATACTTTATACATATATTTATAAAGTTGCTATAATTATAATATTTTAATTGGAAATGAAATTATTAACATATCCACAATTGGCTTAACTTAAATTATTCTTTACGGTATTAACGAACTGGAACGAAAGCTTTATTATTCATCTTATACAATCAATTCAATAGTCTAAATATATACAAAAACGCCATCTACAGCAGGAAAAGTTTTTTAGTTGTTTTTGCTATAAAAAAGAATAAGTGCATATAATGGTAATCAATTTATAAATAGAAATAATTAAAAATTCACAGGTTAACCTTGAACTTAAAATCAGTTGAGGAAACTATTTTGCAATGACAAAAAAGGGGTGTGTACTATCAAAGAGAAAACTAGTTTTACAATATATGGCTTGTTTATTATTTAATGTTATTTCTGATATGTAAGTATACCTGCGGGAATTCTAATAGATTTAATGCGAACAGTGATTAATAAAATGCTTTAACAGTCAATTGACTTCTTTAGGAGATACTATTTTTTTAGAGTATAAAACATTATACTCTTTTTTTTATGTTGAGAATGTCAGTTTATCTAAAGTATAAAAGAGTTGTGTAGCATGGTAAATCCATATAGATTATGGTGATAATACTTAAAAAATAAGAGAGAGAGAGAGAGAGAGAGAGACAGAGGGAGGAGAGAGAGAAGAGTACAAAAAGAAAATTACATAGAAACAATTTCTTTATACATAAAAAAAGAAGTTGTGTACGTAAAAGAATAATAATAGCGCTGTAATAATAATACAATACATTGCTCTATTTTTCAATAGAGAAGGTATGATTAAAAGAGTAATGCTATAAAAAAGGTAGCGTACTATATATATTTTAGTTTAGTATTGACCGTTTATTACCTTCCAAAGAGCGAACAAAGTGTTTATTTATACAAAATCTACGTTTGCCTTCTTGAAAAAAAAATTATGAGTCGTTCTTCTTATTAAGAAGCGTATAATAGAAGACCAGGTACGAATAAATCTAATAAACAAAAGGTACGAAAATATATATATACTAATATATATATATATATTATATTTGATATAAGATTGACTTTATACCTTATATGCGTGTTTTGATATAAAAAACTAAGATAATTCATATCCTCTTCATCATCTTTCCTTATTAAATATGATATTTATGTAATAATTTTATTCAAATATACTTTAGTTAGTTTTCAACTAGAATAGAGAGGGTTTAACAACTAGCTTTGTTATTTACATTATCGCTTATCAAAATCTATATATATTTTTCAGCCTATGCAATATAATTATTACCAAGATATAACTGTATTAATAAATGTGTGTTTATACAAAGATTTGGCGATGTATAGTGTACATGATTGAGTGAATGCTGTATATTAATACTTATATAAACTTTTGTTTTGTACATATAAACACGAATATGTAAACAACATACAATGTATTTATATATTTAAACTATATAAATAGAAATAGCAAATAAACATATATATATATATATATATATTTATATTTATATATATGGAAACGATGAAATGGAGATATATAAAATTTAAAAAAATTCCACCGCAAGTACTATAAAATTGCCGTAAAAGCGCCGTCGTCGCCGCCACTAACAAAGGCTAGCTAAAAATTCAATAAACCTATATCGACGTTGTCACAGCAGCGGGCGAATACGAAGAAGAGAGAAGGAAAGTGAACGAGAGAACAAGAGAGGAGAAGAGAGAGAGAGAGAGAAAGAGAGGAGAGAAAGAGAAAAGGAGAGAGTTTATCTATGTAACAGTAAACAAGAGAAGAGGTGAAAAGAGAAACAAAACAAGCCCAAGCCCAATGAAAGTTGTACAAGACATTATACATATATATAGATAATAAGAGGATAAGTTGATAATAAATGTTAGGAAAAAAAAATATGACGGAGATCGATGACAAACGAACGGAGGTTCTAGTCGGTTCAAACCAAAATGGGGGACACAAGTTTAGACTTACAAAGAAAATTGGTTCAGGAAGTTTCGGCGATGTTTACGAAGCCCAAGATGAAACAACAGGGGAGAAAGTGGCTGTTAAAATGGAGAAAAAAGAGTCTAGACATCCCCAGCTACTCTTCGAAAGCAAGTTATATAGGGTTCTTCAAGGTGGTGTTGGAGTACCAGTCTTAAGGTAATTAATTAACTTAGAATTAATAAGATCACACAGCCAATAATCTATACGTGCTGTATGAGATCTATAAAGAAATATTTTCTTAACAGGTACTTAAGTAAACTTGAACTTGTAACCTTTAGGTTACTATATGACAGTTTATGACAAACATAATACGTATATGAATGTATATGCTACTGTAAATAATGCTTATTATTTCTGCAGAACGATCTATCCTATCCTATGTTTAGTCTAGATGGAAAGATATTGAATTATCTTTGAACAAACTCCTTCCTTTTCAGATTTCTTAATTAACATAATTCTACGTTTTTTTCAATATCTCATCCTTGGGTGCTTTGTTCTTCTTCTTCTTCATCATCATCATCTGTTGCCTCTCTCATTTCCTTTTTTTTTATTCTACTTTTTAATAAAAAGAATTCCAGATTTTATCACCTCATTCCTATTTGCTAAACAAATATAAAATCCCTTATCAATTCTTTCGTATAGGTTGTGTGCAATAATATGCTACAAGTTTACATTATGGATAATTATAGATTTCTTTACAAATTTTGAATAGAGTTAATTTATAGATCTTTCTCTTTACATAATAGACGTTATGTGATAGAATATGCATATTTACAATTATTTTATTGTTAAAAAACCCTCAATAAAAATCCAATTAAACATAATATATTTAACGAATGTTTGTCTATTCAAACTATAGAACAAAACGTTAAACATCTGTCTCTTTCCTCGAAATAACATAAACAAAGAAAAGACAGAGAGAGAGAGAGAGAGAGAGATTATCCTATACGATTAATCCACACAGTAATATATTTGTATACTGGAAAGAAATACAGAAAACAGACCTGTCACCTATTTTTTGTGTACTTAAAGCTTCTTTTCACAGACCCAGCAAACTGGATTATTAAATTTTTTTCGTTATACTAACTATCAAATCGAATTCAATTCTTGTATTATTATTATTAGGTGGTATGGCCAACACGACGCCGGTTATAATGTCATGGTAACCGATTTACTGGGTCCGAATTTAGAGGATTTATACAACTATTGTAAAAGAAAATTCTCCTTAAAGACGGTCCTTCAACTGGCTGACCAAATGCTCGGAAGAGTCGAATATATCCATAATAAATGTTTTATACATAGGGATATTAAACCAGATAATTTTCTAATGGGCATTGGAGCTAGGAGAGTGAACACAGTCTTCCTTATAGATTACGGCTTGGCCAAAAAGTACAGGGACATGAGAACAAGAACTCATATTCCCTATAGGGAAGGGAAAAGTCTAACGGGAACAGCTCGTTACGCCTCCGTTAACGCCCATTTAGGAGTTGAACAATCGAGAAGAGACGACCTTGAGAGTTTAGGATACGTTTTGGTATATTTGGCAAAAGGAAGTCTACCTTGGCAAGGACTAAAAGCAGCAACCAGAAAACAAGTACGTAATTAAAGATAATAGAAATATATTTTCCACAATTAAATTAACAAGCTAATAAATATTCATTAGCTGGTAAATAATTTTGCTGATAATAATTAAAAATTGATAATAAACTGTGGAATATATATCTTTGTCTTGCTCCTCTTCCTGTGACATTGTTCTTTTCTCAATTTTTATTTTAGAAATATGAAAGAATTTCTGAAAAAAAGCTATCAACAATACCAGAAGTTTTGTGTAAAGGTTTTCCAGAAGAATTTCAAAAGTACTTGACTTATACAAAGAACTTGAAGTTCGAAGATGCTCCTGATTACGACTACCTAAGGAAAGAACTGTTCAGAAAATTGTATACTAAAAAACTACATTATCAATACGATTTTCATTTCGATTGGAGTGTTTCAAGTAAGAATGAAGATCGCAGTGAAGAGCAAAGAGCCTCAAAAATATCTCATCCGCCTCAACAGCAAATAACGCTTAAACACGGAAATGTTATTAATTGGTGAAAAACGTTCGTCCAGGCCTAAATTCATAATAAAAAACAATTGTTTTGATTTCTCCTTTTTAAAATAATTACTATATATTCATATAGAAATATAAGTAAATGAATAGAAAACGTAAGAAATATAGTTTATACAAAATATACGTTTTAATGTTTTTGTCTTGCTGTATATCTATTTTTTTCCCACAAAATTTTCAAGGTAAATGATTATCCTTTATTTAACTACTGTAAGAGGTATATGAGTTTGTCTTTTATAGCGCCATCTACAATATTGTTTATATTAAAATCACTAAGGTTTGTTTTATTATTTGTTTACATATATACACTATATATATAACAGACAAAACAGTGTGTCTTTTAGCAGTTACAGAAAGTTTCTATTATCATTTTGTGCATATTTTCTTTGATTAGAAATCGTTTTTTATTCAAATATTCGTCAATGAAAAATTTCGGAACGTAAACAAACAAACAAGCAAACAACAAAACCAATACACAATAGTATTGGTATCCATCATCAATATTCATATATTCTTTTTTCAATCGGTAATCTGTATGAGTTTAGAGTATTGTCCAGTTTATAAATGTTAGGTGAATATGGGTAATATTAAAAATCCTTTATCCGACAGTGTCATCTAGTGAGTAAAAGGAATTTCTTTTATTGTCATTGCTAAGAAGTTGATAAATGCCTTGTTAATGAAGTATTCATAACCAGTAAAGGATTAACTAGGATTAACAAAACACGAAACGTTTTTTATTAAATTATTTAGTAATTTTTATATCAAAGCAAACCGCTCTTAAAACCAATCGAAACTCGTCAATATTTCAAATTCACTTCGATTTTCCTTGGTATCCATAGATTTTTGTTATTTTGTTTACTTTTTTGAAGAGAGCAAGGAAGGAACGAGGAGGCTAAAAGTATATTTAACTCTAATATTTAAACTAGGAATGAAAATGGATGAGGACACCGAAGATCAACTAGAAATCTATGATGACGACGACGAAAACGATGATGATACTTTTGTCGAATCTCCAGAAGAAACTAGAAAAAGAGCCGCTCTCGAGGTTTCAATTTCCAGAAAGAGTTTCCAATCATCTCCAACTCTGCCCAATACTTCATTTTTTGGCAGCGCCATCTCACGGTAATAAATACTTAACTATCATATCTATACGAATAATAACAAATAAATGAAAAGTACCTATTGAGTAGTTTTTATTAAACAATAACAATAAATAAAGTGGTAATTAATTCATAATTACATAACAAATATATAAAACAATCATTGAAACAAACTACACTAGACAACTTCAAAATAGAAACAATAAGAGAAGTCATTCT